AATCTAGTATCATAAAGTTAAGCATCTTTGGAACCAATAACTGCATCAATAATATATTAAGTGAATTCAGCCCATTCCATATGACCATCTCCATTAATATCTATATCTTAAAATAACTTAATTAATCCATTAACTAATTCATATTTATCTTCTGGAGCATGAGAGATTGCACATTTCATTAGCCATATAAAATTTGGTAATTCAATACCATTTGGATGTTCATGAAATTCTTTATCCAAAGCATCTAATTTCTCATTATCTAACATCATCATCAATCTATCTGCTTAATAAGGGTTACGTTCAACTAATATCATATCCTAATGTTCTTAGAGATACCTATGTTATATTGTATATATTACTTAATAACATCTGTTAAACATGGTTCGAATCGTTTAAGTAAATTGTTCATTAAATTATTAAAAATTTAAATCTTAATGGGTGAGGTAGTACCAAATCAATTATTTGTTGCTGGCTATAGTCGTAACAAAATATCTGATGATAAGGGAATCAAAGACATATTTAAGAAATATGGAAATATCAAGGAGGTTGCCTACAAAGGTGCATATTCATTTGTTGTAAGAACTATATTCTCTATATTAGACATTCTCCTCTGAATCTGAAGCTTAAAATGCTATATCTGCTCTGAATGGATAATAAATTAATGGATAAAAGCTGAAAGTCGATATAGTGGACAATCGTAAAGGTAGACGTAATGGTCCTTAAGAGAATGATGAATGTTTTAAATGTGGAAAAGGTGGTCATTGGTATTACTTTTAACTTATTCTAGGGCTAGAGAATGTCCCAATAGACAATCACCTACTAGAAGAACAAAATATTCTGATTCAAGATCAAGGTATTTAAATTAATTATATTGTGAGACATCGAAGATCAAAGAGATCAAATTCAAGATCTCGTTCATATTCTTCTTATTCATCTTCTCATTCAAGAAGGAGAAGGGATGCAAAGAAGAGAAGTAGGTACAACAGAAGAAGTAGAAGCCCAAGAAGAGATAATAAGAGAAAGAAAAGTTCCAGTTGCAGAAGATCACAAAGCAATTCAAGGTCCAGATCTTCAGTTAGCAATAAATAACGTTAGTCACATAAGTCATCATCATCTAAATGAGAAAGGATCAAATTAAGAGAAAAAGAAATTAGAAATTAAATCAATCCTTTTCTTCCATTTTTTATTCTCTCTCTCTCTTTCTTTCTGGATTAAATTGTATCATTTTTTGTCAAAAGATCGCTTAAATTAACAAGTTCTTAAGCAATATCAAAAAAAAGTCATTATATAATACATTAAATCAAATTTTACAATAAATAAATCTAAAACTTATTAATTACAAATCTCTATCATATAATTAGATTTATTTAAATTGTAGTCATTTTCTGATTTCACTATTAATGCATATATCTATAAATTTCAGTCTTAGTTCAGTTATTGAAATAAATTTAACACTAAACAAGGTTTAGATAAATTTTAAAATCATAAGAAAATTGTAGATTTAATGTAAAACACTATTATTACCTATAAAATACTCTAAATATATATTTAACTATTATATGAACATTCAAACTCAATATATAAAAATATCATGTTTTTTTATTATAATCTCAAGGTTTTACATCTTGCAAAATATTCTTAACAGATAACTAGATTATGACTTGATTTGGTCTTATTTTAAAATAAAGCAATTTAAGTTTATTATAAAACTGATAAACACAATTAAATAAAGGACCTAAGAATCCCAACATTAAACAACCTATTTATAAAAAGGCAATTGTAATTATTTAATCAGGAGTAAAGAGATTATAAAAATCTTTACAAAATGATAAATTAATTAATGTAAATAATATTACAGGAAACTCGACGCACAAAATATTAATTTGCTCTAATTTAGTATTTGTAAACTTATTAATCGTTATAAACCCTATATACATACAGGTGGAAAATGAGAGCATTATGGATTATGCTACTGAGTAATCTTGCATTCCAATTAAAATTAACACAAAAGTAAGCTTTTTTAATAAAATAATTAATTGATGTTATTAATCTCTTAATTCTTTAATATCAATTTTATTATTTTAACCCCTAAAATTTCTTAAAACAATAAGTATCCCTAATATCAAATATATTAAACAAACTACGTAAGAAGCAATAGTTCTAATTCCTTATTATTAGTTAAAGGTTAAATACAATATAACCTTGAAACTTAAATCCCAAGCATTAGCATAATAACAACTTATGATAAACTCTATATTGTCAAAATTTAATTATTTCTTTGCGTATTAATTTATTTAATATAGTTTTATTGCAAGCCATTCTAATATTTTTGACTATCGTTAAATTATGAAAGAAAATAAATTTTAAATAAAACAAAATTTTAAGCAAAACTTCAGATACATTTTCAAAATTATAAATAATGAAAAGAATACAATGACCTACATAAATTAACTCTAAATATTAGTTATTAAATCAGCATTAATTTTGTACTAATAAAACTTTCCAAAACACTAAATTACATTACCCCCTAACTAATCTTCAAAATTATCTTTAATTCCCAAAAATTATAAAATTGGATTCACAGATATCAATTCAGAAGACTAAAAATAAATCTAAAGATTTTCTGGATATTCTACATTTATAAACTTCAAATATGAGTAAAATTATAATGTATCTAAGATTTCTAAAAATTATTAGGGAGAACCAAGAAGGAATGCAAAAATAGCGAAACTTCCTAATGCAAGCATAATATTGTAACCAAGTTTTTAGAAATTCTGAGAAACTTCTACTTATGCTTGATTTAAAACTAAAGGGGCGGTTAATACAATTTATGATGATGATGGTGGTACTGGTAAATCGTTTTCATCAAATAAAATAAGATCGACCTTAACATCCAAAATTGGGTTTTGTGAGAGTTGCTTATTAATTTCAATTTTTAATTCATAATTGATATCTCGAGTCTCATTTGAGACTATTTCTATTACAGGAAAAATACTAATATTATAATAAGTAGGATCAATGTTAATTTAATTAAGATTAAAATCTAAAAAGTTTATATTTTATTAATCTAGCTTAACTTCTTTAGTATAAGATAATTTAACGTATTGCGTGTTAAGAGTTGAATTTAAGAATAGAACAGAAATTTTACTAATAGGGAAGCATTAACTAATAAAAGAAAAGGAGCCGATACAATTCCAATCATCTTCGATTTTACATTATTTTGAACACCCATCAGAATTAATCCTATTTCCATCATCGCATTCTTCATCTTAATTAATAATTCCATTTCCACATGAGAGACACTTATTATATTCCAAAATATAATCTGGTTAACATTCTAAACAAAGATCTCCATCGCAAACTAAGCAATTATTCTTACATACAATTTTTAATTCTTATTGTTATTATGATTCAGGTTCATTATCTTTAGTTTGATTAAGAGTTTGAACCTTTGTAATACATTAACCATTTAGAAATTCTTCTTCAGCCTTACATTTATCTTAGCATTTACCAGATTCACAAACTTTACAATCAAAACTACATTAAAATTAGCATTCAAAACAACCATCATATTAGATATCATTGCCATCATCACATTCCTCTAATCCGCTAATGACTATTTTATCACCGCATATTGGTTGACATATATTGTTTATCAATTAAAAATTTAAGTCACATATGAGGCAGTTTATATCCTTATCGCAAAATTAACAAAATAATCCGCATTAAAATTAGCATTCATGACATCCATCTTCAATAATCTGATTACCATCATCACATTATTCATTAGAATATAATGCAACTTAATTATCTCCACATATTTGCTAACATTTATTATCAACTAACTGCCATCCCTCAAGACAAGCATAGCATTTTTCTTAAATACACATTAAACATTCTAACGAGCAATTTTACATACAATTATAACATTTATTATTTTATAGGCTAACTAAATCTTAGCAATTGCAGGATTAAGTACATTATCTTTTGTTCGGTGAAAATTTATAATCTTCTTTACATTCTGTTTAACTATCTTATTAAAAATATTAAATAATTTAATAATCGGAAAAATAACAAAAAGAGAAACTTGAAACTATGTCTAATCCATAATAATTATTTTGAAGTAAATTATACTATTAATATTATTTTAGTATTGATTATTATTGATAGTTGGGTTGGCAATAAAAGCCAATTATTTCAAAAAAATTATTCCAATTGTTGAAAAATTTAGTTTCTAATTGTTCAACAAAGTTTTCAGATTAAAAGTCACTTTTTTGAAGTTATATAATCCAATTGTTGAAAAAACCAGCGTCTAATTGTTTAACAAGGTTTTCACATTAAACTCCACTTTTTTCAAGATAATTAGTCCATTTATTGAAAAATCCAGTTTATAATTTTTCAACAAGGTTTTAATAACATTAAAAGCCATTTTTTTCAAGATAATCAGCCCAATTGTTGAAAAATCCAGTTTCTAATTGCTCAAAAAGGTTTTCAGATTGAAAGTCATTTTTTTCAAGATAATTAATCCTATTTTCAAAAAAACCTGTTTGTATTTGTTCAACAAAGTTTTCACTAATCTATTAATCAGATATGCACCTATTTTATATAAAAAAATAGGATTATTCACATTATTAGCAAGTTCCAAAAACACAAAAAATGCAATTTAATGGGCAAGAAAATTAGCAATTATGACAACCATCATATGGGAGAGAATTACCATCATCACAAACCTCATTTAACATTAACATATTATCACCACAAATGGGAATACAAGTATTTTTTGTGTGTAAATACCATCCATCTAAACAATTGATGCAGATTCCTTTTACACAATTACTACAACCAAAATTACAATCGTATTGATTAGAGAAGCATCCATCAAATGGCTAGATGTTAAAGTCGTTACATTAATAGTAAAATTCCTCTTTATCAATAAACAATGAAAAATCTCTGATTCCAAACCAAGAAGTTGTGCCATCCACTGCAGTTACCACCTCTATTCTCAGGTTCTCATTATTATGAGCAAAATTTGATATTTCTACTGATATGACTGTGAAGTTGTTGCATATTATAACTGAAGATAGTACTTATAAATTTGAAATTTATGTCACTACTAATTTGTCATCAATTTTTATATCTATTGTTGACCAAGTTTTATTGAATATCAAGACTTTCAAGCTCAAATTAATCATCATATGATTCTTCAAAGTTAAATCTTTGATAAAATTATTCCCTGGTGATTTTAAATAATTGAAATCTATATAGATTTATTATCAATACCTGTACACAATTAGATTTATTAAGATACTATATTGTTAGACATCCATCCGTCATTAAAAGATATGGATGAGAAAGCTTTTTTATTAAGGGATTGATAAACTAATTCCCAAAAATTTTGAGTAGTATTTTCTACATTTAAATTAAATTCAGAAAAGCCCCATTAATTCCAATCAGAGACCATTGTAATTTAAACTGAAGAACTTGAGTGAACAATATTTTTTGAAATTTCATATGATCCATACGGTGGACAATTGTTTGTAAGACTGTATTCGGAAGTTTAGATAAGCAGCTAAAGTTTGTTATCAACATACAAATAAAATTAATAGTTAGATCGGGTTATACTATAATAATAATTTACAATTACATCCAAAGTTTAAATTATAGATTGACTAAATCATGTGATGGAAGCTCAAAAGTTTTTGTTGTTAAGCTATTAAAGGCGTAGTTTAAGCATTCGTTCATGATTACTATGTTTGTAAATCCACAATTTATAACAGAATAACCATGACTATCCATTTAGTAAATCCTCCAATCTTATATAAAACAATTAAATACCAAAGTTTGTGGGAGTAAAACTCCCTTAAAAATTACTATAGATTAGTTCTGATCTACTGATTGTTATTTAGAGGACATAGACTGTCAGAAAAATTAGTTTTTTCATTGGAGATATCTCTTAGTTCTATTATTTTCAAAAATTGATTTATTTAATAATTATCAGGTTCTATATTTCTATTACCAATAAAATCAGTTAATTCGAGATCACTATCAATGCTAAATGCATATTCAAGATATCATTTATTAAAAAGATACTGTTATTTATTAAATATTTAATTTGTAATATAAATATACTAATGTAAAATTACCAAATTTATTTTTAAATCGCTTGGTGTATATTAAATTTTGAAGGTAAATTCCAGCATAGAAGTCAGTTTGGCCGAGTGGTTAAGGCGGTGGACTTGAAATCCACTGGGTTTACCCGCGCAGGTTCGAATCCTGCAGCTGACGATTTTTTTATAAAGTTGTTACAAACTTCTATATAATTAAGGCTAAAATAAATAATCTCTTTTAACCTAAATAGATGTATATGGCTACTATCTTCAGGTGGTTAATTATAACCATCTAGTTCAAGTAGTCTATCATTCTACTAAGAATTCTAAGAGTTTCTTGAAAAAAAAGGTTTTAGATTATTATTTAGCTTAGAGAATTTAAATGATTTCTTTCTTTTTTGTCATTTCATTTCAAAAACTGTATTGTCATCCTTTAGGTTTTTAATTTATATTAAAAAAAATAATGAGTTCACTTTTCATCCTACAATGATTAATATTGCTCTGTATTTAAATTCTAATAGAATTAAATTAATGAAAATTATGAATTAAAACAAAAAAACATGTATAAATCTTCTTAAAATTTTATTAAATGTTGAACTATTATAACTTCAGCTTAAAAATAAGATTTAATTTAAAAAATATTGCCAACAAGAAAAAAAATAATTCCTATAATTATATGTTTTGTATCATCCAACTTCTTAAAAATGTCTTTCTTACTGCAATAACTATCAATAAATATATATGAAAAAAAAGAAGAAATGATATTGAAATTATTTATAATATATGTTCTTTAGTGACATTAAGTAATACAATTTTATAGAATCATCAATAATCGTCAAATTTCTTAATTGTACAATTAGTATGTTTATTGATCATTTTTATTGTCTACATTCCAATAATATTATAAAATCTTCTTGATTATCTCGTTAATACTTTCTAATTTCAGGAGTCTATCTTCTAATTTCTTTATTTCATATTGGTATATAGACATTTATTGAATGCTTTTTTAATATTGTAAAATTAGTTAATGTTTATTTTTCATTTTAGGTATTTATTCTTTGCTTTAGGATTCTTTTTTATTTCTAGAACTATATTTATCTATCTAAATCCTACATTTAGTTAGGTTTAAATATATTTAACTTTTTATATTTGTCTTAATTTCAATAATACAAATAACTGTATGAATTTGAAAGTCTGAGTATCCTTTAACATTCTTCCCATAACCTGAAATTTATGATAACACTTCTCTTTATAAGGATTCAAGAGATGTTTAAATCTAAGCTTCATTATCTGAAATACTAATTTAGATTTAACATTAGCAAGTGTCTGTGGATATTAGATTTATGAGAATTATCATTGTGGATTCATAAAAAATGTCAAATTGAGTTTTTATTTCATCATTTGTTTTAATCAAATTGACCTTCGGATTTGAATATTTATTTTTTAAAATTTAGTTCAATCACTAGAGGATTTGGTGTTCCCTCTCCAAGTTGGGATGTACATTTCTTGTTACTATTTTTGCATCTGCTTTCAAATAGTTCGAGTTAATAATAATTAAAATATATTTCTATTAGAAAGAAATGACTGTTATTTATTTTTCACAGTAATATTAGAATTAAAGTAATACTATCAGATAATGACATAATTCAGATATGAGGAACTTGATAACAATAAAATATTATTGTTTAATATAAATATTTTGAAAAGTCATTTCAGCAAGGTAATTTTTGCTTAGTCTTTCTAATTCCAAACTTTTTTACTTTCTTGATCTCTTTGGCATCAATTTTTATTTATTCTGAAAGTATTTATTTATAAATCCTTAGCAAATACTCCTTATATTCCTTCTTCTTCTCTGTGGTCATCTCCACTTATTATTCTTATTCCTACTAAAATTAACAATACTTAGTATTGAGTTAATCTTCTACTTTGGTAAAATAATTAATTGCCTCTTAATAAAGGTCCTACATGATAGTTACGATATTTAATTTTATTTTAATGAAAATTATAAACAATCTATTAATGATTTAATTACATTTATAATAAATAAATATAAATAAATATGTGGGTTGGAATATTTACAAACCTATTATTAAATTATTAAAGAATTACACATTTTATCAAGGATTTGATGGCTAATTAAGCAGGAGAACTTATCAAAAACAACGTAGCCCTAAGCCTCAAATGAAAAATGATTTTTTAGTCCTTCTTTAACTTTGTTGTAACATCTTCAAATTTTCATAATTATCTAAATATAGGGCTTCAGGTCAGCATAAATAAGATCAGCTGGCATGTCTAATTATTTATATTTTTCCCTTAATTCTAATATTTTAATTAGAGTATTTCTAACCTACATAAGAGTCACCATTCTAAGACAATAATAAAGCATTTTTTAAGAAGACTCTTTTAGAATATACAAAACTTAAGGGGAATTATGTTTTAATTTCAGACTTAATTCTAAATAATTATTTATAAATCAAAAGAAATGAGCAATTTCAAAATAAAGTTCAAATTGTTCGGGACTAACGCTGGAATATTATACGAAGCAGAGGAAGAAAATGAAAAGCAAAAAATAAATTACTTTGCCTATGATTTATCACCTGATTTTCAAGAAAGATGCTTTAAAGAGGAGGCAAAAATAGAAAATTGTAAATCAATTAGACAGCATGTGAAATAAATTTTTTATTAAAATAAACCAAGGATTCTATTTCAATATTAGGATGGCTTAACACTAGATAGTATTATTTAAGAATATAGGGCAAAAAAATAATCAATTGCTTTTTCTTAAATTCGCCTCTATCTAATTTAGATTCTTGATACACTATTCCATCTTCATAGACATTATATCTTAGGTCGAGTATTTTCAACTAAAAATATTCTCGATTGCTAGGGATAACTTTTATTCTTGGATTTCGGATTTGGTCCAAAAATGATGGAGTAAAACGTCGATTTAATTGCACCACCTGAAATAATTGAGAATTTAACTTTTGAGAAAGGTAAATTGAACAATTAACTTAGAATAATCTCAAAACTATTACAATATGAAAGTTGATTCTTGGTTATTAGGAGCAGTGCTTTATCATTTAGTTAAATTAACTCCTATAAATACAATAGAAATAGAGAATGGGAGAGTCAAATGCATGCAATTTAAAGATGCTCCTGCATATTCAACATATTTAAATAATAGAATAAGCCAGAATAATAAATACATAGAAGCATTAACTGAAAGATATGACAAAGATTTTTGCTACTTTATTTAAGGACTATTAACTTACAACCCTTAAAACAGGCTATCATTTTTACAAATTTATAAACATAGTTTTATTTAGAACTTGAAAATTCCAAATTACTAAACTTATTTGCAATTTTATGAAAATTACAATGAATAACAGTTGATCAAATAAATAATGTTTTACGAAGATCATGGATCTAGAATATTGAAAACTGGGTTGCTTGCGAATGGATAAAATATTTAATAATAAATAGTATAACCAGAGGATGACTAGTAAGAAATTTTCAGTAAATTATTTTTAGAATTCCTAATCTGAGCTTAAATAGCAATATGGCTATCCAAAGCAATTAAGATATTGAATATACATTAACCTCATAAAGATTAAGTGAAAGTGTTCAATCGGAATTAAAGGATAATATAGAAAGATTATTTGTGCATCAGATATAAGGTCTGAATGTAAATCTACTGTCTATTAATAGGAATCTTCATTTTATTATGTATGGGTACGAATAAGAATGGAATTATTCAGATTTACATTTTTAGAATTAGTTGCTTAAGAACTTTTAGAAGAATTACCAAAAAAAGAGTTTAAGTTAGAGCATGTTTGCGCATATTCATTAAGGAAAATGGGATATTTAATTTTGATTGAATTACAAAAGAAAATCAATGAAGATGTTTTTCCCTGGAAAAGTCATCTACATGATAATTAGAAATGGAAAGAGTTTTAGAAGGAACTTTAGAAAACTATTTTGGAAAACAATATTAAAGGAAAAATCATAGAGATGGAACCAATTCTCAAAGAGGAATTTCTAACACATTGTAAAATCTATTTAGAGGATTAAAGAATTGATAAAGTTATTCGAGATGAATTAAAAGCAGATGAAAAATGTTTCTAAACTTAAAAAATAGAAGGCCAATCAATTTATAAAACTTATTCTAATGACTTTTTGAAATCAGGATATAGACAGATTATTTAATTGGCATACAATTTTTTATAACGAGAGTAGAAACTTGCTAAAAAGCCAGAATTAAAATATAATACTTTATTGCTGAAAATTACAATATGCCATTTAATTAATAGAATATTTAATCTTGATAGATTATCTGTTTCATTTAAAAGAGTTTTACAAAACAGGAACAGACCTCCTTTAAGCATGATCACTCCAAATGAAATATATTAGTACATTTGCAGAGATGAAGAAAAAGAAAAAATTCAAGATATTTAGTATCTTAAATAAGTGGAATCTGAATGATTTTATGCATTAAATATAAAAATAATAAATATTAAAAAAATTATTAAAATTGTAAAATAAATCTATAATCTTTATCTATTAGACTTTTAATGAACTAAACAAACTATGAAAATCTATGTTCTAACATCGTAAATTTAACGGAAAAATATTTTAAGTAACTTTTATAAACATAATACAACGTAATTAAAAAATCAAAAAGCACTATAAGTTGAAGATTCTCTGATAGGGGATGAATACTTTAAATCCATAGGTGAAACACAAGTTTAGGCTTCATATGATTATCTCAAAGGTGAACCAATCATGGCTCTCAAATTAACTTTACTTAAAGGTGAATTAGTTTTTTGAATTGAAATGGAGTGTCTAATCAGCATATCCTTTTAGTTTTTCATTTTTCTAAACCATGTTCCAGAACCAATGTTTTGAGCAGTTGGTCTTCTATAAGGCGATTTCTCCAACATCGTAAGTATCTGATCTTTGCACTCTTAACTAATATCATTTCTCATGAATAAATTATCGATATTTGGAAAATTGTTATGTAATAATTCCTTGAATATTATATAAAAAATACATATAAAACAATGCCTAAACTCCAAACATCAACCTTCTCATTTTGAGTTCTTATCTAAATCACTTCTGGTGGCATATACTCAATTGTACCACATAATTACGGGGAGACTTCCCCATAAATCATATTTGTTGCCCAAGTGAAATCTGCAAGTTTTACTTCATCTTGGTCTGTGAGAAGAATATTGGAGAGCTACAATTTGATTAATTAAATACTTTGATATCTCGGTGTAATATTTTATTTTAATGTAAATGCTGGACTGCCGATAAGATTTACGAAAAATAGTGAAAAGCTCTCTCTTCTTTAAAAGGGCCATTCATTTATAAACTACGGAATAAACAACCCCCACTGCAATATTCTAGCATCATATATAGAAATAGGTCATCCTCAAAAGTATCTACCATAGCAACGATATTTGGATGGGATTAGGTTTATTATATTTTCATTTCATTCCTGAGATTTTATATGTCTTAAGCGCTAAGTGACTTTTTAATGACCTTGATAATTTGATGATCTATACAATTTTAGCGGCTAAGTAAGTTCCATTATTTTCACATTAAGCTAAGCACACAACCCCGTAAGCTCCCTTTCCTAAGACTTTCTCAAAGATTATATATTCCCCTTTTGTTCCTTTGACTCTAACTTGCTAAGACATTTCTTTATTTATTATATTAAACTAAGTCATATCAATTTGCACTTAACAGTATAATTTCTGTGCGTTTTTTGTTTCAATAACAGAAAACATGGTAACCAGAGATTTCACATTTATTTCAATTTATGAACTAAAAAATACTAAAACATAGAGATGGTTTTCTTGCATATTTTTGAGACTGGCAATTGTTTCTTTAAAAATATTGATTTAATGAAGACTAATAAATTTTTACTATTTTATAAATTAAATTTTTTAATAATATGTAATATATTCATTTTTATTTAATTATTAAATATATATTGAATGGATTAGAAGGAAAGTATTTATAATGTTCATTAATCATAATTTAGAACACTCAAACTAATTACATAGTTTTAATTATATTATTTTGTTAAAATCCTATAAATAAAATAATTAGCTTAAAATCTAATTTATGTGATAAAAAAAAATACAAATTTATTTCCCCAACTAAATTTATGAAAAGATAGCGATCACAATCCTGGGATACTTCTAATCATGAATCTAGCGAATTAATACGATAATAATCGGAAAGACCCTTGAATGATCAAAATGTATGATGTTGTTAGATTAAGAGTATTTTTACTATGATTGTTAATCACCAAATAATTAAAGATATTTCTATCATTGAGACATATAAGGAAGTCGATAAAATCTCAATCCATAAAAAACACTATGTCAATTATGTGATAAAAATAAAAACAGACTATTTTGATTATACTGTTGCTAAAAGATATTCAGAATTCGAAAAACTATATGAATAAGTAATTGAAAACATTCTATAATATAGGTTTCTCCAGTTTTATAAAAATTGCCGAAATTTCCAGAAAAAAAAATAATTAAGTCCAATTCAAAGAAAAATATTGCAGAAAGAAAACAAATGCTTGAAGGTAACAGAGAGTCTTAATCTAGAACTATTGAAATATATTTAGAAAAATCTCAATAATTAAATTCATAGTTTCTTAAGTTTTCTGAAAATTCAAGGTAAATTCATGGATATTCTTTAGAATAATTTATAAAAGGGGGATTTGGTTAAATTCATGAATTGAGTAAAGATGAATTAGGTTTAATGGATTTAAAAGAAACAGCCAAATTGACTATTACAAATGAACTGGAAAATATGATTTTTCATTATATAGCTAAATTAAATGATCGTATGGATGAAAAAAGTAAAATATTTTCGTAAGACATAATTACTTATATATAGAAAAATGGAAAAGTACTTTTTTGGGAAGACTTAATATTTGAATTCTCAAGTTTTGAAATTTCTATTACTTGGTGATGATGGTTAATAGAAAGGAATTATTGAACTTTTAAGAAATCCGTCCAAAGATTCCCAATCTCACATCTCTTGTGTTAGTGGATTTCAATTTCTCAGAAAAATGTTAGAGCATGATTATAATCCAAGTAATCTGAATTTTACCAAATTTAGATGCTGATTTTTTTTTGAAAATTTTCTCTGAATTAAGCATAAAACAGTTTAAGAAAATGGGTTTGTCCTTTCATATATGTAGTACTAACAAATAATTGTGCAAGCAACATACCTTATTATTGATTTATAAATATGTTAAAGGAAATGATTTGAAACCTGAATTTATTAACTTTTTAGTAAGTTTTTCAACAAATTTTAGTTAGAAGACAAAGATGCTTTGCAAGAATTTTAATCGTTTTCTGAAATATATTAATAAAAGAAGGAAGAACCCTTTTAACTAGTAATTGATAACGATAATTACGATTATAACTCAAGAGATAACTTGCCCACAAAATCAAGTTCAAAAGAATAACAATGTCTTTTAGAATAGGATCCTACCTTAGAATAACTCCAAGAAATCATAAAATCAACATCTATATCTTGGAAATTAGTACAAGGTAATATTTAGGTTAATTAAAGAGTTTGAGAACCATACTTTCTAGCATATTTAAGGATAAATAGTTAAGACTATCCATCCATTGAAATGCAGTTTGGAAAAAGCCATCGAGATTTTAACAACTGCTAAATAGAAGTGGGTGACCACTATGGTTTCGAGATAACAACTAAAAAAACTAGATGATAATAGATATGTAGTATCAGAAACTTATTTATGGTAAGATAAATAATTGTTTAAAAAAGTCGTTTTTTTCTCCTAAGAAACAATAACTATCAATGTAAAATTAGATTAATTCTATTAGGAAAATAAATTTGAAATTTTGATGTAACCAGAATATGAAACCTAAGAATATGAATAATAATAGAAATATGATGAAATAAGTATTATCATTTTTATCATCTTTAGGCTCGAAATTATAAGTAACGTCTGGAGTATATGAAAATGGCATTACAACAGTAACTATCATTTAAAATCTCTTTGATAAAGTTTAATAACTATAATATACACCTTTACTTTTAAAAGAAGTAAATTATTTTGAGAAGAGCATATAATAATTAAAAATTTTATAATCTGAATGAAATTATTATAAAATTAACTTGATTTAGTATCTTCATTGAAATTTACATAAGAAGTTATTATAATTATCCTATTGTTTGTTGTAAAAATACGAAAATGAAGAATAAAATATTCAATTTTGTCTTTCATAGCATATTACATAAGCATGCTCAGTAATAATATCTTGCAATTAAATTTCTGTGACTTGAGAATCGTCATAGCAATACCATTTCTAATCCTCTAAATTTTTAATGAAGGAATTATAATGACCCTCCTAAAGTTCTCCATAATGGTTAATGACTCCAAATAGTTTATATTTCAATTCATTTGTATCATGACCATTTAAATAGTCATTTGGTAACTAATATATATAAATATACTTTTACCTTTAAATTTGTTACATATTTAGCCATATTAAGTATGAATGGAAATTTGACAAGCATATTGTTTTTTATTTTTTAAGTAACATCATCCGATGATTTAAATCTTTTGAGTTGAAATATCAATATTTGAGGTGTAGAATATAATAAGAGCTACTTAATTCCCTTGACATGTTAATCACATTGATTGCAAAACCATGAATTATTTTCATCCAATTATTATTGTTATTATAAAAAGTTTAAACAGTCATAAATAGTTAATGAAGATTTATTAATTGAAAATTACTCATTATCTTATAATTTTTAATTTGAGATTTCTTTATTAAAAGTAATTGGAACTCCTTATCCATACCATTTAATGATAAAATTCAATTAAAAGCTTGGTTAAGAAATGCAATTGTTATAATATTTTAAACTGTGTTAACATTTCTTTAATTCACAATATTTACAATATTATTTATGACAAAAGTAACATTATTATTCTGTTTCTTGAGAATTTGATTCCAAAAATAAGTCGAATTAGCATTTAAATTAATGATTGTAATTTTTCTCAATATAGTCATAGATTTCAAATATTTTAGTTCTAAAATCGAAAACAATAGTTATTATATCGGTTAAGATTTAGAATTCCTGGTTTACATGAGTTATGAGAGTATGGCATCTGTAATTATAAGGAACTTATATTTCTTGGATATGCATAGGTCTAACAAGTAATTTTGAATGTTAAAGTTATTGTTTCAAATATTGAATGTCATCTTCTGGTCGGACTAATTTTAAATGAATATTCTAAATACTTTCAATATTCTTTTGTTAATTTGATAAATTGAAGACTAAATCTTAAGTTCTAAGTTGATTCTTGATTTCATTTTAAACCCATTCAAAATTATAATTTTTATAGACTGAGAGAGTCATTTATTTCTACCTGAATTTCTCATCTAATAAATAATAGACTATGCCTTTTTCATTTTTCTTTGTGGCCAATGGTAATGATATCATCATATATGGATCAAATCTAATTAGGAATTTAAACTTACGTGATTGACATGTTTTTACAATTAGGACATTCGATTTTGCTCTTAAATTATGCTTAGAATAATTGTGTAATAATAGATTAATTTCTTTGACTATGGACATCCCAGGATTCTATTGCTACTACTAAATCCTCCCTGCCTTTACTTGAAGGTATTATCAAATAGGGTTTTTTTTTTATTAAGTTTACATCTTCGTTAATCGCATCAAGTAATTACAATAAAAATTCTGCTGCATCATGCTAGTCATTCCCATAATACTGCTAATAATTATTAACTCTGTACAATATTATAAAATTTGGAGAATGTTTTTTTAAATAAATTTGGAATGATGTAAGGTTGTTTTCTACTTTTTAATTCCTTGATCAGAGCAGCAAAACTTGAAATAATCTCGCCTTTACTTCCTAATGGATTTATTAAGTTTATATCAAATTAATAAATATCATTTAAAATGTAATCTGTGAAACCTGGAGTATTGCATAAAATTTGAATGGCACTATTCATAAAGCAAGTGTTTCCCATATTTCCCAATCCTGTTTATTAACTGTATGAAATCATTTTTTAATTATATTATATAATCTAATTTCTAATAAAGAAATATTTTATATATATATATATAAATGTAAAATCATTCATACCTAAATTTAGTACTATTTTATTGCATCAATAAAGGAAGAGATTGTAATTTGTATCCTTTTGGAGGATGTTACAATTTTAAACTAAACACCTTGGGTTTAAGATAGGCACCAGTCATTCCCTATGGGTTGGTCTATTAATATGTAAATTAAGATGATATTATCTATTGTCTAGATGGATTCTCTTATGGTTTCTCCTGTTCATTATCCTAATTCTATTTTTAAGAGATCTTCATATTTTTAGTATTCTTTTTAATTGCAAACTGTCTGACATTTTTAATTGCTATACCCTATAAGACTCCCTTAATTTATGAAAGTGGAGATTAGATGTTTTGTCCATTTTGATACTGAATGTGCGAATTATTTAATCTTTTTTCGGCCTTTCTTTATTAAAAAAAGTCCAAAATCTACAATTCCAATCCTCTTTTATCTGTGTAAGCATAATAATCTTTTATTGATTCCAATGACTATTATTAATAATCTTCGTAAGGAACGTAATTATCATTGTCAACTTCAGGTATGGTAATTATTTAATTTGGAGGTTGCTCTTCCCCTTCTTAAATTACTTCATTGCCTTTATTCTATTCATTTTTAATAATAGGAAATAAATTAGTATTGATTCTGCTCTGAATATGTTTATACAGAGTGCTTCTCTTCTCAAGTTAAATCTTCTTAGGTAAAGATTAAGATTTATTTTGAGAATCTTAATTTATTTATATAGATTCCTTTTTCTGGTTTCTTCTTATGTCTAAGTAAATTAAATAATAACTTACTTGCTCCAGTCCATTCCTCATAGATCTTTAAAGAATGTTATAAATATTCTTCATAAGATTTGGAACATGGGTAAATCAATTCATAATTACCCTTATTCTACGATTCATAGTCGTCTCTTTATTTTTAAAGTTATAATTTGATTTATTTCTTTTCTTCAATTGTTAGCTTTGTCTTTTTTCCTGTCAACACTCTCTTCTACATTTCATCCTTTTTCTGTTAAATAACCTCATTCTTTGTTTTTAGATTGATATTCATTAGTGTAATAGTATCGGCTATTAAATTCTTTTTAATGTATTGATCCAACGGTGTATCCGCTGTAAAACTAGGCGTATGATTAACTTCAAGTAAATATGGTTTCAAAGAACTGTCTATAAGAATATCAAAGCCAAGAATCTCAAAACACATATTATTAGCATAATTATCAACTTGAGTGTAATTTTATTGTAAAATTGGCTAAACTGAACAAAAAGTTTTTATTATTAAATCTTTTATATCATCCATCAATTGATCAACATTATGATTCTAATTTCAATTAAAATAATTACCAAATCTCTTAGAAGTTGAAAAACACTCGACATACTTCTTTTGTGTCCAACATCCATTTTCTTTTCATCTTGATTGAAAATAAAATTTGGATTATCCTTATTTATTGCATAATTTGTTAAATGCATGCATATATCATCTAAATTATTTAGGTTAGGAGCTATGTATGCTTGAGTTGCAAATCTTGCTAGGCCTTCCTTATACAAATAAAGTCTTAAGGGATCGCAGCCACAAATCAACACATACATTCTCAAATCAAATTTTAATCCATCAATAAGAAGTGGCTTATGAATATATCTTTGCGCAACGTAATGTTCAGTAGGATTAATTGATTCTATGGACCGAGTTAAGAAAATCCCTATTTATATCAAGTGAGAACCATACCTCTGCCTTAACATGATGCCTCAGGTTTGAGTATAAATGTTTTAGCCTTTCCAAATTATTGTTTGAAATCATTGTACTCACTTGGTAACATCCAAGTTCTCGGATAAAAGTCATATTCTTCTGGAAACTGCTTTTGCATTTTGTTCAAATTCTTGCCCAGATGGTTTTTGCGTGCCAATGAATACATGCCTGGAAAATGGTTAATCTTCTAATGAGCTATAAATATAAATATAAAATGTTTGTTACATTGCATTTTGGCTAATGTTTCAGGGAGAACAGCATTGTCAGTCCAACAAAAATCCCAATTATTAATTTCTTAATATGGAACATATTGTAGTTTAAACTTATTAATCATTTTTCCTACAAATTTCACTACGGGATACTGAGTGTCTATTTAGCTAAGTCTGAGATACCTGAAACATTCATAATTAAATTTTTATTTGTGTTTTAAAGGGATTTCTTTTTCTTCTTTTTATTCAAATCTTCATCACTGTCATAATCTTAGGATTAATCCTCGTCCTCGTCTTCACTGTCTTCGAATTCTCCATTGAATATAATCTCTTTTTCTTATTTCATCTACTGTTATTAAATATAATGTCTAATAATTGATCAAAAATAATGATTTTTATATGTATTATACAAACATAAATATAATTAATAATTAAAGAATTTTAGAACCACTGATAATTCCAATTAACCTCTCAATGCTTATTTAATTTACTGATGGCTTTAAAGAATAGAGAAAAAGGATCATAAAGAAAATACAGTTTCAAAAAGAAAAAAAGTTTCATCCAAAGCTCCAAAAACAATGACCTGTTAAAACTAAGATTCATCTAACTTTTACTCAATTTATTTCTTCATGAACATAAATAAAAGAAATACTTTGATCTCATTAAGCTCCTTTTTAGGATGATCTTATCGTTGAATTTAAAATTTACGAAAATGCCATTAAACCATAAAAGTTGATATTGCATTTGAAAATGAATAGGGTTAGAGAGTTTGCATAATTTTATTCATTTATTTTGTAATAGCATCAAACCTCGAGCATTATAAAATATTTTGAGTTCTAACCTTGCATTCTGGCATTACTTTCCTATTAGTTGTTTAAGGTTATTTTACATTACTTATTGAAACTAGAATTTGATTAATTTATGATTTATTATTAATTGATTGATTTAAGAAAAGCATTACACATAGATTAATTTAATGTCATAACTTAATTTATTATATTAAATTTTATATATGTACAAATTATTTTAATTTGTGATAAACGCAATTGCCTTAATCAAATTGGAAAGTTTTTTCTCACAAATATTCTTATTCTAGTGCAATTAACTATAATAATAAATTCTCATTCCAAAATAATCATTTTAATATTATAATCACTCGATTATAATGAAATTTGTAATGATTAATTAATTTTCATCTAATTCTCATTAGTTTATAAGTTCAAAAACTGAGAAAAGATTAAAAATACAAGAATAAGCATTATAAAAATCACTTAAATCCACTCATCAATCTATTACAAATTATCAATTCGTGGTAATTATATAGTAATTTTGATAGTGCTTAAACGTTAAATTAATTGGCTCACTTTTTTTATAACCATTCTATACATCTTTATTTCTTATCTAAAGTAAATTATTACTACTACCTTCTGTGAATTGCTTCTCTAAATAAATTTAATATAACTATTCGAAATCTAATTCTTTTTGGTTTTTATCCTTTTTAATTGTGTCTTGGGTGAAAGTGTTTTACGAAAATGGTGAACATTCGGAATCCTCATTGTTACATTTATTTTAATCTGTCTGGATTTTCCTTTTAAAAATGATATCAAAGTTGAGTGTCTGAGAATTCGAAAGACGCTCAACTTCTAATTCTGCTAGTTTTACTTATTCTTTTGTAAACTCCTTTTAGATTAAGTGAGGATGAGGTTTTTATTTATATTGTTTGTAAATTTTTCGAAATTGCTTTAGAATAGGTACTTCTTTTTTCAAAGCAAACCGTTTTGAGCCTTGTTTATGGGAAGATTCTAAAGGTTATTGAAGCATGTTTAAGTGTGTTAAATAAAATATAACTGATAATAGATTAAAAAACTGATTATGAATATGAATGAATTAGAATTATATTCAATACTCACTGGATTTTATCATAATATACTATGATTATAATATATCAATAATCTAAATATGAAATTTCTTAAATAATGTCTACTTATTTCTAAATTTTTTCATCTTATAAATTCCGTATTAATAAAATACAATCCAAGTTGAGAATTTGATTCATCTGAAAATATTACATTCCTAATAGAAATTACTTGGTGATTTCAAATTAATTTAACGGTAGTAATTGGAATCTTGACATTAAATTTGCTATTTTTGTGTTTATTCTTCAAAGTAAGAATAAGAGGTCTTACTAACTTTAATTCCTACTTTGACGAACTACAAAATTTTTATATGATACAAGCAACTCATTTCTCCTGATGTCAAAAGAAAGAAGGCCCACTATTAGGCCAATTTCTATAGAAATTGTAGAATTTAAAACAAGAATGTTATGTATAAAAACTATTTTTTTAATCTAAATAGTAAATGCTAATTCGACTTCTAATAAATCGTATTATATCATATCTATATATCATAAATTTAGACTTGTTCTAGGGATAGACCCATACTTTATTAGAGCAATAATTTTCTTTATATTCATAATGAATAATGAAATGTTACAACCAAAAATGAATGATTAGTAAGTTGATTTATCAATAGTGATTTGCACTAATTATAAAATAAAATATAATAATTAAAATTTTTTCTCACGTTTTAGATTCTTGACCATTTTAATAATAACTAATAAAAGGAAATAAGCGATTTGATCATTTCTTATATTATTTTTTAAATAAAACCTTGTGTTTTTAAGATTGGATCAGCAAATGCATAAGATGTAATTGCTGAAAAACATAATCAACAAAAGGAAAGAAAAAATTTATAAAATTACTTTAAAGCCTTTTGTACATCTTTTGAAGAAACAATTCATATAAGCTTGTATCTGCTGAAAGTAATCGGAAATAAACCTATTCTTTAAGATCACATACTACTTTTATGTATCAATTACATGATCCATTTTCTAAACAAAAATAATTAGTAAAACCAAATGGGTTAGGCTATTATACCCCAAGAAACAACCAACAGAGGAGAGTATTCTTATCGGTTTTAATATATACTACAAATTAATTACAATGAAATTTTACATTGGAGTAGTCTTAATTATAGTTAAGAAAATAATTTAAAGAAAAACATATATCATTGATTGCTATTTGAGATAAATTAGAATATTTTACAGGATTGCGAAATTTTCAATAAACTTGAATTCATTTTTCTTATTTATATTATATTTCAAAATAATAATCGTTCTTTATTTCAATTTAATTTTTTTTATATAAAATCGCAATCAATTCAAGGCTTTAAGCTGACCTGACATAGAGCTTATGTTTTGCTAATGACTAATTCAATCTTAATTTAATATCTTAAAAAATCAGAAAAAAAATAAGGTTGAGTCAATTTCTAGATTAAATTGTATATAAGTATTTCAGATAATTCATAGATGGTAATCACTATTGTAAATCATTCCTTGTAAGTTGTTCTTTCAATATTTACATTTATTTATAATACGCTAAAAATAATTAACAAAAAAGGATATGTTTATAGAATGAAAAATAAAAATATGATATTTTGACACTTTTGTTTAGGATAATGTTTTGTTATTAAATCTTTAGAAATATTTATTTATTATAAATAATTATTTTAAATAAATATCAAATATGAGTAGAAAACAAACAAGTTCCAAGTATCATTTAAAATATATCTCACCTTAGATCACCCCAGATTGCAAAATCTATCCACAAGCAAAGTAAAGACTCAGATTCTAGTTCCTCTGAGAGGAGGTATGGCAAATTTTGGAAACCTAATGAGGATTCATTATTATTGGAATTGCATAATCGGCATAACGGAAACTGGAAATTAATTGCTGAGGGCATTCCAGGACGAAATCTTAGTTAGTGTTAATAAAGATGGAAGAGAATTAATCCAAATAAAGTATTTTTGCATCTATTTTTTGAATAAACTCCGAAAATAATGGACAGATTTGGAAGACCAAGAAGTTATAAGACTAGTTAATGAGCATGGGCGGAATTGGAAATTTATTGAAGGGCTTATGGAGGGCCGCTCAAGTAAATAGATAAGAGAAAGGTTCTTAAATAATTTGGATCCTGAAATAAACAGAGAAAAATTCACTATATAAGAAGATCAAATCATTTTAGAACAATATCGAATATATGGTCCTAAGTGGAGCGAAATTGCAAAAATGTTAAATCGAAGACCAGTACAGTGAGGACCTATCATTAGGAAAATTAAGTGAAGAATCGATTTTACTCTTATATAAAGAGAGTTCATATGTTAGATGAAAGATCAGATGATGATGAAGATGATCGATCAATGGAATCAGAGCCAGAGCAGCCACAAAAATTAGTTCCAAAGTCTAAATTGAATGTGTCTTAGCCCATCTACCAACCCTTAGATACAATTTAGAGTTTGAAAGAGGAACATGATAATACTAAAAACGATTCATTGTTAATAAATTAGACACCATCTCATCGTATCTAACCATCGATTAATTTGATATAAGGTCGTTCTATCATATATTTCTAGATTCATTTGATTCTAAGTAATTTGGAGGGATTGAGGAATAAGATGTTTCCCCCTTTAATTAACATCGAAAGATATTGGAATATAGTCCTATTAATTTTTAGTATGCCCATCATTAACCCAATTTTGACATGATCTAAGAAGACATAAAGGAATTAAAATGCTAAATAGAAAGTATTAATATAGAACATCCTATTTGAAATTAAATTTTATTTGTTATTTCAAGAATAAAGTTTCTTACATAATTTAAATTTACATTCATTTTATCTTATGTTAATGTTGATTCATTTAGAATAACTCTATGAAAATACCAGCCTGATGATGATAGATTGAGTCCAAGTCAATTCAAGTTAACAGAGGTATTTTCAAAAATTTCAAATTTTATAATAATAATATATTAATTTGAATATCGATAAGGTATTCAATGAAGTACCACATCTTATTATGAATCTTCAAGCTTTTAGTTTAAAGTGGATTTTTTGAATGTCACATATTTGATTCATATCCTTTTAACGGACTTAAATCAGTTGATCTTTTTTCAGTGGTTGTAAAATTTATATATAAATTTAAAATCTAAAATGGGATAATGCAATAACTGTTAATCATGCTAAAAACCTGATGGTAAAGAGCTGACAGTGGATCAATAAGTATATTAATGATTTTAAGTGTTAGGCTTACAGAACTAGTTAATAATAAAGTCAAGTATAATTATTATTAGCTTTCATAGACCAGCAAATAAAGAGTATCAGATGTGAATGGTGATAAGGGAAGCAAAAATAAAAAGATTAAAGCGGCAACTAAAATACAAGCCCATTGGAGAGGGTATGCAGTTCGAAAGAAAAAATAAAGAAAGTCAATTGGTACTAATGATAATCCAGGTGCTCCTCCAATTACTAATAAATATTTTAGCACTGACAAGGATTATGCCCAATAACATAGTAATTCAAAAACAAGAGAGAACAGGCCCCCTTTTAAGTATAAGAGCGGTGCGATATATGAAGGTGAATGGATTGGAAATTCTAGGGATGGGTAAGGCACATAATTATGGAATGATGGAGCTAAATTTGTAGGACAATGGAAAAATAATATGGCTCATGGCAAAGGAGTGTTTTATCATGTGGATGGAGATGTTTTTGAAGGAACTTGGGTAGAAGACAAAGCATGTGGATTTGGTATATATACCCATGCTAACGGAGCAAAGTATGAAGGAGAATGGCTAAATGATTTACAACACGGATTCGGAGTAGAAACTTGTAATTAATAATTAGATTATGATTATAGGGGCAGATGGTTCTAAATATGAGGGCCAATATTATATGGGAAAGAAGCATGGCAAAGGAAAATATATCTGGAATGACGGAAGTTTCTATGATGGAGATTGGGATAACAATTAGATTAGTGGAAAAGGAATCTATTAATGGAGTGATGGAAGAAGATATGAAGGAGAATGGCTAAATAATAATATGCATGGATAGGGACATTACACATGGCAAGATGGTAGATCTTATAAAGGAGGGTATATAAATGATAAGAAACATGGTTATGGAGTGTACACTTGGGCAGATGGAAGAAAATATGAAGGAGAATGGGTAAGTGGTAAACAACATGGCAGAGGGCAATATATCTTATTAGATGGATCAATAAAAAAAGGAGAATGGATAGAGGGGAAGAAAATAAAAAACATCCAAAATTGACTTATTTATTAATTTTAAATGTATATAATTATTCTCATTTGTAAAATGAAATTAAATAATTATTGATTAATGATCATTTAATTTATTAATCATTGATCAGTTTTGCTAAATCATTCGTTCTATCAATTCTATTTGATGTAAATTTACTATCTAAATAACTTCTTAATATAAATAATGATTATTCATCAAACATTTCATTAGACTCATCTTTTTTTATTCTATCTGAGCCTCTCTTTTTTTTTTTCTAGATTATTTATTCTACTGTGCTATATTTGTTTTATTGATTCTCTATTTTCAGTTAAGAAGAAAAATATGATTTTGTTACATTTGAGTTGGGACTTCTATACCCTTGTATTTATGGTGAAGGTATTTGTATTTAATTTATCCTTATATCACTTTTGCTCTGTACATTCTTAGAATTTCTCCCTGATATTGGATATTATTAAGAAGGCATTCCAGTATCGGGAGAAATGATGATTGAAATGTTTGACTGAGACTTTTTGGGCTATTATTTATTTTCGATTTCTTATAATAGATTAGATGTTTCTATTTCGCTAGAGTTATTTTCATCTTATAAATCAAATGATAATTTCCGATAATTTTTGTAATAATTTTGAATTTCAATACCATATTTTTAATAAAATTAGGTTAGATAAATATCTCGAAGAATTTTCAAATTATATATATCTAATATTATTGGGCTTACCTAATAATTGGTCTATAAAATTTAATTATTTAAGAGATGATCGATTAATTCCTTTAACTCTTTCAAACATTAATAATTAATCTATTTTTATTAAATATATTCTAATGTTATGATTAAATTTCCAAAGTAAGATTCTAACTAGCTTTATGGATTTCTATTTCTCTAAAAAATCTTCTCAGAATGCTAAAGAATCTTTAAAACCAACCTAATTCTATCAATTTATTCTGATATACTTAGATAAATAATTATGCAATTTGTAATTTCTAAAATGTATTATTAACTAGTTGACTTCATTTTGACTTACTTATTCATCCAATTCCTCTGCATTCCCTATATCATAATCCTAAACCAAATTCAATTCTTTTTTTTTGAGGTTTTCTAATTCTGAGTTGACTGTATCGGAGCTCATTTAAATAACTCTTTGGCAATAATTTTTCAAGTCCTCCATTTATCAATAATAATAATTATAATGAAAATGCAGTTCATAACAAAATATTGATATTTTTATAAAATTGCTGGCTGTAAACTTGCTGAACTAGGAAAATGAAAATAGTTATTTAGTAATGAGTATCCTTTGTTTAAATCGGTTTTATTTATATACATTCCATATAGATAAAATCAAAATTATAGAATTTTCCTATAATTTAGATTTGTTTTCAGTATAATCAGAAGATGGTAACAAGCTTTAAATGAAATATACTCTAAAAGTCCTCTTAAATATGGAAATATTAGGATAGTTTTAACTTATGGGGATATTAATGAAAAGATAAAAACACTTTATCCATAAGGATAGAGAAATTACTAAATGAGCAATCTAGTAATTATATTTTATTATTCAGAGATAAGAATCGAGTATATTTTGTTTCTAAAAGGTATATTGTTTTTGAAAAATACTAAACAAAGTCATTTATTTGGATTGTTATTAACCTTAATACTACTTTAATAGTATATACTAAGAGAGTATATCAATTCTTTTCTAATTTTTAGTGAGATTAGACAATAACTAATTTAATTGAATTCATGATGAGTATACTTTTTATTTAATAATAATAATTGAGATTAAAATTCAAATTTCAGCATACTTTTCTATTATCTTTATTATTTCATTTTACATTACTACAAAAATTTCATTTTGAATCTTTTTTTAAAAGTACATCCATATTTTATTTATAATATCTTCTGTAAGTTTTCTGATTTGCTATTTCTCTAACTAATATAAATTCGTCTTTGTGAATGAAATAAATTCACATTAAAAATCTATTTTCATCTTCCTTTCAATTTAATTCTAAATTCTTTCAATTTTTAGTTTATTTCCTGCATTTCCTCTAAATTAACTTTCATAAAATGAATTCAATTAGCTTGTCTCATAATTCATATCACTACATAATTAAGAATAGGCTTCATGATATATTGCAATATTCATATTTAATCTTCTAATTATTTAAATCAATTAAATTTCCTTTTTTTCAAATTCTTAAGAGTAACAATAATAATAGAGCCAAATCCAAGCCTCAACAAAATTTGTTTTATCAATTTCTTTTAACTTTTCTTCGAATGTCTAAGAAACCTTCTCAATAAATTCTAATTGTAGTGGATTAATCAATAGTTATTGTTTTTCCTTATTAGATTACAAAATCTCCGTTTATTCATCCAAAAATTACTCCAAATCTTTCAGATTCTTTTTTTCAAGTAATTTTTTTTATTTAAATGCATTTTAAACTTTTTGATTTCTATCTGATATTTGCTAAATTAATGAAAATATTTATTAAAGATCTTCGCTCTTTTAAGGTGAATCGTCTTAAAATTTATAAAACTTTATTTAAACCTAATTAAAATTTAGGTTCGTAAATGAAGTAAAATCTAATTTGAAAATCAAGATGTGTTCTAAAGCTATATTGTTATGATATAATTTCTAAACTTGTAATTTTTTATATTCTTTAATTATCAGTGAGATCAATCTTATTATTATATAATAATTATTGTCTTATTAGGTGTTCGATTAATTAGTAGTAAATGTATTAATAAACAATTTTAAGTTGAAACAATATAAAGGATTAAAAATAATGTATGATAAATAAGCTCCCTTCAAATCTGATAGAATAATCCTTTAGTCTTCTCCTAAATATGAAAAGATATTTTAAACCCTATCCTGGTTATTCTTTGTAATATGTTATGAAGTTAATAGTAAATTCATTTATTACATAAAATAATTAATAATAGAATTTCACTTTAAAACTCATTTAATTTATTAGAACTATTCCCTCATATTAGATATTTCCATTCTTATTCATTTCATACTAAATTCTTTATTTGATTATTCCTTTTATCTATTTGCTAATTGTTAAGTTGATTTTATCATTTTTTTTAATCTTCAGATTGTTCATATAATATTCATTGATAACAAAATAGATGGACCTTATCAATACTTAATGTTTTCATTTAGTTCTTAAAGTTTTTCCCATTTTATTTAGGTATTCTTTCAACTCTTGCTATGAGACTTGTTTTAATAATAAACTAAAAAGCGATTTTAGTTTTCCTATAATCATAGTATTTTAATTGCTGTAAAATTAAAAAGGGAAGATAATATAAATGTATCAAGAAATAGCAGATAAATCAACATTAAAAGAATTAAGAGAAATATAAATCTACATTAATAATAATTCATTCAATAGTTATTGATTTTAATTGAAAGTTTACCAGATCTAAAAACAACGCACTCATTATTTCATCTATACTAACTTTCTTATTTTAAACTTTCATTAAATGTATTTAATAGCAGCCAAAATAATTTTTGGCTAAAGTGCTGAGTTCCATATTGAAATGCAATTTTAAAACATCAAGTCCTTTCAAGAGATCTGATACTCTCTCTTTGTAAGTTTAAGTTTATGTTATAGTTTAATATAGCAGATTCTTATTGATTATCTTAAACTTTTAATTTTTAAGTACTTTTGTTTGCTCTACTAGAAAGAATTCCAGCATCTCGTAATCTGAAATTATTTTTCCAGTCCATTCATATTTAAATATAGCTAATCTTTCATGAGTATATTAAAAAATGTCTTAAATTTGTCTTTCCAAGTCAGCTGTTGACTTTTTGAAATTCAAAATAGTTAAATAAATAATAATTTTGCGATATGGAATGATTTGCAAGTTTTCTTATTATAGGCAGGTATATATTTGCTCTCTTAGGTACTGTTTGATAAATTTATTAATTTGATTTTTATCATTGAAAACTTTAGAGAAGATTTTATCAAATAGATTATATTTCTATATTACTTTTATTATTATTAATTCTAATTTTGCTTGACTGCTATCCTCATTCTTAATGAAACTTGATAGTTTATCATGCAGGTTTTATAGTTAGGGTTAATTTGCTATTGATTTTAGTCCTTCAACTACTTTAGTAAAAGATTTTTTAGATTATACAAGAATACTTTCAAAATTCTCTAAAAACTCTGATTTATTATATTGATCAGAAATTCCTTTATAAAATGCATTAATTGCCATATTTAACTTCTTGGTGACCAAAGTTTAAATTGAATAGCCCTCTAATTTCACAGATTCAATATCTTGATTTATTTTTTACACAAAATTTTTCTTTGTGTTCTTTTAATTAGAATTTACATCAGGTTTTATTTTTAATAGATATTTAACATAATTCTAGAGGTCTGATATATTCTTGCCCTCCTTGCTTTAGGGGACAAAGTTTAGGATATATACATTGAAAATTTTCTTGTTTACCATCTCAAACCAAATTTTTGAAGAATCTAAATTCTATACTGATAAATGATTATAGATTTTCTCATCTTAGAATATTTTATCCTAATCATCTAGTACACCTTAAATCTAATTTGCAAACTTTTTAAATTCTGCCTAATTTGCATATACAAAAAGCTCTTCTAAAGACATATGCATATTTCTCTAGAAATTATAAGTAATAAACTAAAATTCTTCATCATAGATGATAAAATTGGAATGAGGTAAATTTTTATACTCGCTCAACGCTCTAATATGTATGAAGAATTTTGAAATCCAATCAAAAGTGGATTTTTATTTACACTAATGGTAAATTTATGCTTTAATTTAAAATTCTAGCATTTTTTTTATATAAATTATTTACTCTTCTTATTTCATATTTTGTAAATCGTATACATATTATAAACTCTAAAGCATTACCTAAAAGACGCAAATAAATTGTAATACTTAATAGGACTTATATGTATCATAGATTATTTATAATATAAATATTTAATTTTCTGTTTAAATAAAGAACACAATTAATTCTTAGATCGTAAATTGATATTTCAATATAGGATGTAATAAACCTAAAATCAAAAAATATACTTATATATATTAACTCATTCAATTTTTATAAAATACTAAATAATTGTTGAATGATACTACATAAATAGCAATTTCCGCTTCAATGGAGGATTTAATGATATAATAAAATCATCATCTTGTATAAGAAGAATTTACGTTAAAACAATACAATAAATTTTCTAATTATTTATTGACAGCTTAATTCTAATTTGATTCTAATTTTAGGAGCATTTGGTAATAAATTTTTTCTATTTTTTAAATTTCACACAAATTTTATAATCGATATCATAAAAAATGTATTAATTATTAGCCTATAAGAATGTTTAAATAAATAATTTCTATATTTTTGTTCTACAATTCAAATTTCGGCGAGAGCCAAATGATTAATTAAGAATAATAATAATTAAATTAATTTAGTATATAAAAACTTATAAAAAAAAATGTTTATATTCTCAATTTAATCCAGCATATCTAAATGCTCTAATATTGAAAAACAAAATTTAAAAGCTCAGTGATTGTAAAGTAACAAAATATTACATTTTTTGATAATTTAATATCTATATCTTTTTAAAATGAACAACAATGTGTACTATAAGACCTCGCTTTTGAGAAGGCAGAACGACGAATTTGAACGCAGGTATGTGTACTTGATGGAAAATTTTCTCATAATTAACAAGGTAAGGTCTTAGGCTAATTTTCATAGAAGGAGGTTTTAGATTTGATAGATAGGAAATTTGATTTGACTTCAATGGACTGCCAAATCAAATGGCATTATGAGTACCAAGCCAAATAATATTTAGGGATAACATAATAAAAGAGATGATGGTGTATAACACATAATAAAATTAACGAATTGTATATTGTGAGAAGCATGCAGTTTTGCTAGACTTGTAATCCAAACTAGATGGAAAAGCCTACTACAGAAATTTCAAATTGTTTTACCAGAAATTAGAGGTATTTAGAACTCATAAAAATGTCGAAGTAATTAATCTTCATCATCCAAATTTAGATTTTGATATGTAAAAATATAATAACAGATGAAGTTGTGATAGCAAAATAAGTTAAGTTTCCAAAAAATAAGCACTCTGATTCTTATCACAATGTAAAAATTCCCAAAAATTTAGTCTTTTGTAATGAATGAAGCTAAGATATATATGAAATTATCTTACAATCCCCATCAATATCTTTTAGGGGCAAGGTAAATTTACATTTGTGATCAATCAATCATTTATATCATGCATCATTGCAAAGGAGGAACACTTTATGACTATCTAATTGAGAATGATTTAAATTTGCCAGAATTAGTAACTAAAGAGATTATGAGAAAGTTACTAGAGGGACTTCATCATCTTCATAAACTCGGAATTATGCACAGAGATTTAAAATTAGACAACATCATGTTACTGAGAAAAAATGATCCAAACTCAATTAGTATTATGGACTTTGGATACTCGACTTTTTTTGATGATGAGAGGTTATTAAATTAAAGATGTGGGACCCTTGGATACATTGCTCCAGAAATTTTAAATATGAATGACTACAACGAATTATGTGATATTTATAGTTTAGGGTGCATCTTTCATGCTTTATTAACAGGGAAAAAACTTTATAAAGCACCTAAGTCCACCAAAGCATCGGATTTGTTGATATTGAATAGAAATAGCACAATTTCGATGTCCTAAATTTGTAATCCCCATGCCATGGAATTATTATAATCAATGATATCTGCTGCTAAGTAAAGGCCCAGTGCTGCTGTCTGTTTGCAGCATTTGTATTTTGAAGAGGAATTATTTTAGATAGAAGATTTCAACACGGAGTATATTATTAATATTATTGTAGATTGAGACAATTGGATTTTCCCCAACTGAGAAACCCATTTAAATCTTGAGTGAAAGTTGTGAGTACTTTTCTTTGTTTATTTTTATTTTATTGGCTTTAAACTTGTTGTATTCAAATTTTATTCATAATATTGTCTTTATAACCATAATCACCTCCAATCTCGTAATTTAATTAATAAATTTCCTTTTTTAAGAATTAATTTTTTTGTTTATTTAACTCGTCATTACTTTAAATATTTAAAACTTTTGCATAAATCGTTGAATTAGAAGGAAAGATACTAAATTTAATAATTGAGTTTCATTAGTGAGTACATATCCAATCATACCAGCTTTATATATTTTCTTCTCTTTACATCCAATTATAGCCATTTTAAGATTAAATAATTAGCAATATCACAATTAATTCGATTAAAATAATATTAAACCATTTAAAATATGCCTTTTATTTCTTAAAATCAATAATTTTGAAATAAAATAACAATAAATAACCATCTAAACTCTCTAACAGGGTATCAATTGTTTAACACTTTGTAATTTGCTTAGGCTTCTACTTTGAAAGAAAGTAATATTAAGTTTGATATTATATATATACTGGGTATTTAAAAATATTCAAAATTGTTCAATTTATTAAATTATATAGCCCAAATTATATAGTAAATTCTAGAGATCAATGATGATATCGCTAGAAGGGTCATTTTACAGTTTGATATAAAATGAGAAAAAGCCTTTTTGAAGCTCTGCTAAAATTAGTTTTATTATTATAATAATTATTTTTTTTTAGTAATCAAATAAGAATGGAAAATAAATGATAATTATAAATTATATAGGTTTCTAATAGTATTACTTAGAGAGGTTTGATTTTTAAAAAATTAATGTAAATTGAATAATTAAATGTAAAGAGTTTAAGAAAGAGCTTAGTTTGAGTAATAAACAAAAAATGAATTAAATTCAACAGGATTGAATGTTTTTTGGTATTTCAAAGGGCTCTTTTTCCAAAGAGGAGCAGTTAACTTGTTGTGAATATCTGGTACACCTTTGATGTTAATCGAATTCTTAAATAGCCTTGCTTTCAAGCTTGATGCGGATGATGAAATAAACTAAAGGTTCGCTATTCACTAATTCTTTGATACTAAAAATTTCATTTAGATATGTTTCTAATTAGTTTTATCTCTCGTGTATCTCGTCTGGGTTATCATAAGTTTATCCAATAAGTTTCCTTTTAGGAAAAGGAGGAAGTTAATTTTTGAATTACTTATTTTCTAATAAAGAATGATAATCTTTAAGCTTGCTATATCGAGTATTAAATTGATATTTAATATTCTTTTTAGAGTCAGTTAAAGTAACATAATATAGCACGTAGTCTTGCTGTTTCACGTATTCTTCAAATTTAAAATAGTATCTTTATTTATACCCGTTTGTTTTTTTGGATTAACTTTTTGATGGAGAAGAACTTACATCATGACGTTATAAATATTGTTGCTTTAATTCTTACATCTGTGGCCAACAAACATCTTTAGTATATTGATGGCTTGTGCATAATTGATTAATTGACTCTTCAAATGCTTCATTAAGTGGTTAAAGGTCTCTGATAAAGGAGAATGTCCATAGCATGGATGTATTCAAGATGATTTCCAAGTATTACTACAACTCTAATCCCTAAAGAATTCTTATTAATTATTACTCTTGTTACAATATCAGTCTCAGAATGCTTAGTTCTTCCGAATAATTTTTTTTTGGGGAATTTCGGTAGATTCAATTTAAGTTTGAATTCGTGATTCTTTTATATAAGTTGCTCATTTAAAGCTCTCAAATCTGAGTATCTTTTGTAAATCACTTTAGAGTTATGCAATCCATTGACAGTGATTTTATAAAAAATTACATCGTTTCTTGTTTCGAAACCAGATATGGTTACCAAATACTTCATCATTTTTACAATAGGAATTGTATTTTATATCAATAAAAAATAAATATACGTATATAATTTCAGATAAATTAAATAAAAACGAAACAAGTATTAATAAAATTGAAGAAATCCTATTAAATAACTTGTTACTCAAACTTGTAAAATTAGATCTAGTTATTTGCAACAGCGACAACACATAATTGATATAATACGTAGTAGAGATCCAAATTATTGGAATACTTTTCTATTTGAGAGTATTAATCGATATTTATTTCCTTAATCAGAAATTAATAGTGAGATTAAATGCAAAACACTACATTATCAATATTTTAATATATATATAAAACCTCAATGCTTTTTTTTGTGATGGTATTTCTTCTTCTTTTTGTTTCTACTTCTACTTCTAGAACTTGAACTTGAGCTGGAACTTGAGCTCGAGCTCGAACTTGAATGTAACCGCGCCAATTTCATTTCCTCTTGTTTCTTTTTGAACTCTTAAATTTTATGATATGTGGTTTCATTCAAATTGGGTCTTGGCATTTACATGGTAAAGTCAGAATTTTGAATGACTTAACATTATACCTTCTGAATATCTATACTGCAGGGCAATTTCAAGTCGGTGACTGATTACTCACTCTGCATGATCACACAATACTTGGAATCACTATTGTTTTTTCTATATATATAAATAATTACCTAATTTAATGAAATAATACACCTCCTAAGGTAGTCATATGAGCATAAACTTATGATAAATTTACTTTGCCACTCAGGATGACCGAATAAGGTTTCAATACCTCATTAAAAGGGTCTGTTCGCTTCTTCTTTTACACACATAGCAGAGAGATGTCCTTTAGGACTAATGGCTACTTCTTCAGAATCTGTTGGCAAGGTATTCTTTCCACTTGCAATTCCAAATATTCATATGTAATGTCTCCGACCTTCTCAGATCGAAAGATTCCCTCAGGCTTGACCACTAAGTCATAGATCTGCTTAATCTCGGATATGCACTCGTCGATTGTAAACTCCTTGGGTATCCCGAAGATGTATAGTTATTCTTTCGATATGTTATCTAAATTGGTTAATTTGATACAATTATAAGTGGGGATGTACTGTTGGGGTTTTTCCTTTTCACGGGACAATTCTTTCTATTGGGACTTGCGATAATCACTCTATTATTCTTTCATTATATGTCCTTGTTCTTTGAGCATTTCGTTGTAGACTTTGGATAAGACTGGGATAAGCTTATCCCTCGTTTTAATGGAGACCTTTCCCTAATAAACTTTGAGCGCATCGTCATCATATTTGAATCCCACAGCTACATCAATAGTTTGTGTTTCCTTATTAATTGAGCTAATTTGTAACAAATCGCATGGCCCCTCTTTTAGAAAGAGAGATTCTTACAGCCTTTTAAATGCGTCCATGTAAATAAAACAAAAATTCATCTTCTCGCAATCCTCCAATATACAAATCTTTGAAGTAGAAATGTATCCGAATTTCTGACTATCTCTCTTCCTTATACTTGTCACATTGGTTAATAAAGATCTTTTTCTCCGGAGAGGAAGATGAAGACGAGGATGATGATGAAGATGAACTATTCTTTCTTTTCTTTGACATTAAATTTAAATAAATTATATAAATTTTATTATTAGAAGTAATAAGCAATTGAATAACCAATATGATTGTCTTAAATTCTATTCAAACTAATTTATAGTTTAAATAGGTTAACTAATTCAACTTTAAATTTGATTACTCAAAATATTTATTTTTTTATTTAAACTTATGTAAATTCTATGAAATTCATTCAATCTCTATTGATGTAATAATCTCATAGTTAAATCAAAAAAACTTCTAAAAGGAAATAATTACAAAAGAAGTCAATAAAATATTTAGTTGATTCTTTAAGGGAAATGCATGTTTTCATAGAGAAGGTAATAAAATTAGCATTAAAACAGTACACCAGTTAGTATTAGAATATGTAAGATCGGTGATGAAAAAGGGAGGATATAATGCCAGGTTTAGAATGGTAATAAAAATAATTAATTTAATTTATATTAATGAGTTCCTCATCTAGTTCTTCATCATCGATGTCTTCATCAAGATCATCTTCCTCAAGTTCATCATCTTCATCAAGATACTCTCACAAAAAACAACAGCGAAGAAAAAACAAATAGAAGGAGGATTAAGATGCTGGCCATTTTGAATATCAAATAGGCATGAAAATAAAAGCAGGATAATTTGTGATCACACGATTTTTAGGAGATGGCACCTTTGGTCGTGTTTTAGAAGTTAAAACTTGTAATGCTACTTGTAATAATTATTATGCCATGAAAGTAATATTATTTGGATTTAAAAGTGCATAAGGGCTGTGGAAAGGTACATAGAATCGGCAAAAATAGAAACCAAAATATTGTGGTATATTTAAGATAAGGATAAGAATGGGGCATTTAATATTGTTAGACTGTTCACGTCGTTTGAAAGATATGACAATTATTTCATGGTTTTTGAGAGGGTATTTCTAAAATAATCATTAAGTTAGGGAAATCATTATATGACATCATAAAGCAGAACAATTACATTGGATTCCCAATCTAATATGTGTAATCGTTTGCCAAATAGATTATCATCTCTGTTGCTTTCCTTCATCAGAACCAACTCACTCACACAGACCTCAAACCTGAAAATATCTTGACCACCAATTGTGAGTATAAATTGGTTCCCTTCAAAGGAAAACAGTATTAATTTACATTCCATTTAGAATCTGGGTCCCTGAACGAGAAATCCTTAAGATCATCGATTTCGGAGGAGCCACCTTTGATCACGAATATCACAGCACTGTCATTAACACCAGACAATATCGTGCTCCTGAAGTCATTATGGGCTATCCGAAATGGAATGAGAATAGTGACATCTGGTGCATTGCTTGTGTCTTGCTTGAACTCTATACAGGTAGGATTATTGATCCCAATTATTTTAGGCGAGTTGTATTTCTAAAATAAAGATGATTTAGAACATATAGCCATGATCGAAAAAGCTATTGGACCTATGAATTACCGTCATTTCAAGAATTCCAAATATAAAACATTCTTCAATTATGATTAAAAGTACACTTATTGAAATTAGAGGTACTTTGATTAGCATCGATCCTATTTCAAATGGAATTCGGTGGCACCAAGTGATTCTGCTATTGAAAGAGTCAAGAAATTGAAAACTTTCGAAGAATTAATACCAGCTAAACACGCCCTCTTTATTGATCTGATTAGAAAGATGCTCCAAATAGATCCTGAAGAACGAATGCCCTTACGAAAACTAATTCATCATCAATTTTTTCAACAGGTATTCTAAGATTGATTATCATCTAAATAAATTGTTCAGCTTATATATTCATAATCTCTTATTTATATATTTTTATATCACTCAAACTTAGTTTAGTATTTAAATAAATGTAATTAAAATTGAAATCCTACGAACTAGAATATTACGACGAGATCCTTGAAAAAAAGGTGTATTTATGTCCAATTAACAAATCTCATTCACTAAAATCTGTAGATTAGTTCATCTAACACTTACACACTTGTAAAGAAAGTGCCAATTACCAAGTGAAGAAATACATATGTAGATTTAACTAATTTCATTGGTTTAATACTGCTAAAGTAATATATCTAAATAATCAAAAAAGGATAGAATAGTGCATGAATTCTTCTATTGTGAGGATAAAGAAACTGTTATGCCTCAAAATGAGGTCATAATAAATTAGATGAATGAAGTATTCTTACCATTAAATGAAGATCATAGTTTTCAACTGAAATAATATTTCAAAAAAGGTAATTCATAAGCTAGACCTAATTTCAGAAATTTCATCTCCGAATTTCAAAGAAGAGATCCTGAAAAAGAGTCTTCTGTCAAAAGAATTAAACTAAATTAATGACTTTGATTATTAATTTCTAAAATCAAAATTATATAATAAATTTATAAATTCAACTACCAAGAAACAAGACTGACCTTATAATTGATCAAGATAATCGTAATACCTATTAATCTAGAACAAACATTAGATATGAGAGAACAGAGAAAACTAAGTGATTAATTATTTTCTAACCAATAAATTAGTTTCTTTCATTATTTTAATTAAAAAAATTCAAAGCCAAGTTTCTTACATTTGAGTATTGATTTGCTGCCACACCTATAATACTGTCTGCATCATCTTATTAAAATGCTTGTTGTATTGATCAGTAAATGTTTCATATTCATTTTTGAAGTTCTCAACAAATTTACTCATGTTTTTTTAATGATCGTTCAATTATGTCTAAATCAATGCTTATTATTCAGGCTAATTTAAATAAATGAATATTAATACAGTGTATTTGGCACTAGTCAAGGCAGCCGCATGATCAGTTATCAACTATTGCAAATCCGCTCTATATTTAACAATATTCAAAACTACTTCCATGTCTAATAAGTATTACTAGCCTAATTTTCAACATATTATTACATCAATCGTGTAGATTATTGGCATTACACTAGCAAAGGAGTCTCTTAATGCTATTGATATCGTTTCACACTTAGTATTCATATGCTCTTTATACCCTATATCATTCTAGATCTCGTCAAAAAGAGTAGACAATTTCATAAATTGTTTGCTCTGTTCAAATTTATTGAGAAATGTCTTTTCTAATTGATCCCTAATATTCTTGATCTTAACCTTCTGGATATTGATTTCTTATACTGCAATTTAGCAATATTTCTCCATTTCGTTGTCGTTGTTTTGTGGATCTAATATAGATCATTAATATAAAATACTAAAGAATATATTTCCAATTTTTCCAAATGCATTTACTACCATATTTTTACTGACATTTATCAATAGTTTCTATTGTTTTTATGCTTGATAGTTCTGTACCAGTTTTTTGAAGTCTTAGTCCTATAAGGTCATAAATTTTTCAATAATTTCACAATCCTTTAATTATACATGGCTCAGAGTTTTTCTTAAAAATTCCTCAAGACCCTTTTATCGCTATGATCTAATAGAATTAGTATAGCCTGTTATGTTGAATTTAGCCAGCATGTTCTTTTAAGGGATGGAAGGTATAATGATACCTGGAAAGTTTTCCACGAGCTCTTCGAAAAGCCATTCAAAATCAGAATACTATCTTGTAACAAGTGCCTTATCATTTTCATCTATATAACTTTCAATTTCATAAAAAACAGTCTCATATTTTAACAACTATTAATTGATTTCCACATTTTTAAAACAAAATTTTCTTTCCATAGCTTTGTTTATCTTTTTGGATAAAGGAGGTAACTAATTAAAATTTAAACAGCATACTTAGACAGGCTGAATCTTCGGTTTAACAATTTATGTACTTTCGTATGGCTTAGTATCTATAGAAACTGAGTCCTGTTCTTTAGGGGGAATAACAAATTCATCCAGTCCTGAATGGTAAATATTTTGTTAACTGTATTGAGTCTCATTTTTTTCCATTTAGAATTCATCACTTGAATTCAAGACTTCAACATCATCCATTTTTTTAACTGTTTGAAGTTGATTAAGAAATTTTTGATAATCACATTGTGGTTATTCCTCGTCTGACATCCTAGCAATTAAATTAATAAATAAAAATATAACAAAATGAATATATGAATATATGAAATACATTACAACCCACAATACTCTTTAGTAAAATTACTCTACTATCTTATTTATCGACTGTTCAAATGAATAATACAAGCTTGTTCAATTTTTTAAAACTATTTCTATATTTTAATTATTATAACTCAATATTGTTTCAAATATACAAAATATATCTATCCTAAATTCTAATACCAGAAATATAATATTGAATTGAACGATTACTAAATTTGAATAGAATAATTTATTATATTGATTATTTTCATTTTTTGATGTATCATTTAGATTAATTATGCGGAGGAACAAAAATTATTCTAGTTACTCAATGTTGAAATAAAGAGATTCAGTTCAATTTATAGATGTTATAAGTATTCTAAGAACAAATCTTTATTATTCATATTAAATCTTTAGCTTACCTAATAAATTTTATAAAAGTTAATAGAATTTATGTTTATTAAGGAACACACGATCATTCCATAATCATATCAAAGTAATTATATTATATAATTTAGATGATATTTGATATAATATACTACTTGTTTATTCCATTCTTCAAATTAAGGCTACAAATCTTCAATAAAACTTATCCAATATTTATTGTAAACAAATCTTTCATTTTTTATTCTTATGAATAGATTTAAAATTTTTAGAAATTTGTTATTTGTCATAAGACTGTGGCGTGCTTTGATTATAAATCTAATTTCAACAGTCTTTAAGTTATAATCAAAATTATAAAATTTGCCTTATTTAGATTTCTTTGTTATCATTTTTTTCGCAATTACTTAAATGAAATATCAAATAATTAGCAGTCTAATGATTATTGAGTTTATTGTTGAAGATTCTGTTTTAATTTATCCTTATCTTTGTTAAAAATTGAAATAAAACTCAATATCTTAATCAAAATGTTCTAATCTTAGTAGAAAACAACACTAAGTAATTTAAATACTTAATTATTACCATAATTTTTGAATATTTACTGTCCTCTCTAAATATTATTAATCTAATTTATGGCATTCCTACAACCTGCTATCTTTTTTAATGACACACCTTTCGAACTCTCTAATTAATCGAAATTAATACTCTTATTGTGCCAAAAGGTAGTTATTATATATATAATAATCAAATTTAAATTCTGCCCTTTTATAAAATTTTACTTTTTATCATTAAATTAGAAGTTTTTTCCAGAATAAAAATTATTCTGAATGACTGAATAGGAATTGTTTAGAATACAATACACTTAAGTATATATTATTTATCATTGTAGCATTAATCTTGAGATAATTGAAAATCATATCTATTTTTATACATTTTTATTAAATAAACTTTGATTAATATTAATGAGCAAACCTGGATTAGGTCTAAACTCATTTCATTTGGTTTTCATTGAAAAATCATATGGCGACATCGACGAACGGCAGCGAATCTATTCTGATAAAACTATGAGATTTGATGAAGAAATCATGATCTGCTTTTTCCATCAGAAAGAAAAGGTTACCTAAATTGTAGACAATAAAAAGAAAATTATAAAGCAATGCCTGAAATGAAGAATCTCCAAATCATGACTTTATAATATTCTTTATATTCTGTTCTTACTTAAGTACTTTCATTTACAAATCAAAAGCATTTTATACTTTAAACTAAATCATAATGAGAAAATCTTTAATTACTATTCATAGAACCTGTATAATCATTGCCAACCCTCTGTTCCTCTACTTTTTAACCCACAATTCACAGCTCCATCCAAAAGTCATTTATTAACTTATTGTTCACTGTAGATAATTGCTATAAATAAACTGTCTCATTATTATATCATACGTCATCGTTAGAGAGTATTCAGCTGAAATAATTAGATTTGCTTTCAATGCAAAAATCTACATAAGTACTCCTAAATACATTCCTGAGAAATTTCATCAAAGGACTGATTTCTTAGGTAAATTTAAATTTGGATAAACAAAATGCTCCTCTTTTGAGACTTTCCTTAATCAAACATTTATATAGGCTATTCTTATAATAAATAATTTAATTCACCAAAATGTACAAAATATCTTATATATTCTAAATTTTATTAATTCTCTTTGTTTGTTCATATCCAACTTAATATAATTTTTAATAATTCTGAAATAGAGAACTTAGATAAACTGCGTTAAGAAAAAGTTCTTCATTATGACGTTATTCCTTTATGAAATATTATAAGTATGCTAAAATAGTAAACACTAATAACTCCATTATTTGTAGATATTCATTTAATATAGTGTGTTCAAATTTGCTTATAATTTATATATCAATATGATACTTAGATATTAGTTAGAATAAATCATAAGTATTTAACACATTTTATCTTTTATGATTTTATCAAGATATAATTGGAACTATTTAAACAGATTTGTACAAACTACATTCTTATTATTTTAAGCTATTACTCCTCCTTGAATGAAATATTATCAATCCATCATAATATAATGCTCATCATAATGTCTAGCTAATTTTGAATTGTAGCAATAACATATATATTTGTGAAACTACCAATCCTAATACCCTGTTATGTTGAGCCTTATACTTAATTAGCAATTTCAATATAAAACCTATTTCTTAAAGTATGCTTCTGACCTGCAGTTTGCTCTTGAAATCCTTAAAAATATAATGTTTACCCAAAATCTACCTTTGAAAAATCAGAATAATAAATTAATATAATATCAATTAGAAAATGATTATTTAACTAATTTTAACTTTTTAATATAAATCAAATTCTCCTTTTATTGAAAGCACTTTGATGTTCCATCCATACATGTGTCCTTATAAAGCTTGTAGAAGAATTTTAGATATTTATGTATCTATTTATTACCAATATTTGATCTACTTTTTACAATCATGTTGAATTAACCAGCCATCAGATTACATTTTTGTTTAATTATCTATAAAATGAATCTAACATTATAGTAGAAAGTGAATAAAATCTTATTAAGATTTATGTTTTAATTGATAAATTAAGATCTCCATAATATGATTATAAAATAAAAAAGTAGTTTTTTCAAGTTTCGAAATTTTGTACTTTAATTTGATTTACTATATAGACAATTAAGTTACTATTAATTACAAATTTTAGTAAATTACTAACATTCTATATCAATAACAAACTAATCTAGAGAGAGATAATAACTTTAGATTTAGATTTATAATTACTCCAAGATTTTAAAACTTTACTATTTCTATTTATAAAATTGTAATATCCCTCCTATTTGAAGTAGTGTATTACTTTTATACAGAAATGTAATTACAGTGATGTTCCAAGGGATATTCAGAGACCGATGGCTTTAAATGTTTTCTTAAGATTGTTGGAATTTTCTAGAAATGAGAAAAATGGGTTTGAGGGAGTAGATTAATTGGATTTGTGATTGAGAGTTGGTTTTCTTCTGAAATGGAGGGTTACAAAAACGTGGTGTACATTAATTTAAAATGAGGATGAGTTTGTTTAAGTAAGAGGGATTAAAAAGATTTAAATAAATTTAGTTTTTTTGAAGTCGTGTATAAAAAACATTAAGGTATTGAAATTTAAATATTAAAGTTGAATACTATTGTTTTGGGTTTGATATATTAAATTTATGTGATTTGAATGATATAAAATATTATAATAAAATGAATAACTAATCTGTGAATATGCATTACAATGACCAGATAAAGTTGAAGGCGTCAGAAGTATTTCAGAGTCACTATATTAATACTTAAACATCGAAATAGGAATAAACTATTGTAATTTGCTTAATTGTTTTTGGCAATATAATTTGGAACGTGATTGCTAATTTTTAAAACACTGAGTTAGGTCATTATCGCTTGGAATTAACGATTAAGGTTATTGAGACTCTTTGGATTGTATTTGATTACCTGAAGAAAAAGTAAGCATTTGTAAGAATAATAGAACTACCTAAACTCCAGAGTCTTTTTTGAATTTAGGTTTAGTAATTTTATTGATAAATGGCCTAATTACAATATTCACCATAGAGGAGTAAAATCTATAATATGCTTTTTAGTGTACTAAGAAGATCGGAGTAGGTATTGGACCAATTTACTTTTTTCATATTAATCCACCAATATATCTACAATAGGTTTTCCTTGAAATTGCACTACACTCATCAGGTAATCGGAATCAGTAGTGTTTTGGTGTTTTAGAGTTTTTGGGGAAGTCATCTTTTTAGCACAATAAAAATGATAACAGTGCAATCAGTTTTTATTTTATCGAAATAATTGCGATAACAAAGACTGTTGAATGAGACTCAAAACAAGATCAAGCAATTCAATTAAGAATTGGATTAATTGAAGTAGTAGTAATAACAATAGATTAATAAATATCAAGAAGAAATAGATTCGAAATCACAGATGCAATTGCAATCTAGGGCTAATGACCTAGTGAATAAATTGAAGCTAATCAAATTTAAGCAGTAATGCGAAATCAAGAATCAGATGTTAAAGAATGTTGGTCAGCAACAAGAAAAGTTATAATCGATGGTATCGATCACAGAAGTAATGGGAAAGGATGAAATCGATGAGGCCACAAATCAGCAGAATCACTCTTCTTCACCTAGGATGGAGAACTTCAAGAGGAGAGCAAGTAGAACTCTGTCTCAAAATTCGGATTTAAAAGGAAAAAACTTTCAGTTTGATCAATAGCAATCTCACTCCGATTAAGATATTGTTCAGGGTGATAATTATATCACAATTGATGAAATCGACGATCTATTGAATTTGTTGACTGGTAAAAAGGATAACATATGGTTGCCAAAGTTCTTGAGAAGTCATCGTTAATTGGATTGTTTAAATAGTAACAATAGCATTTAGCAAGCATCGAAAGAGGATCAATTTAGTTAGGATGCCAAAAAGTAAATTATATTCAATACCCTAGATTCATACTTTCCCATTTCACTTAAAAAGAAGCCTCCTTCTAATATATTGATGACATTTAAGACGATGTGGATGACATAGCTGAGAAAACTCTAATTGATTTCAACATCAATTTCTTATAACAAGATTTCACATTAAACAACTTAGACTTGTCACAGAGAATGATGTTTATAGAAGGTTCTATAAATTTGTTTAAGATTTTCAAGGTTATCTAAACTTTGAAAATTACTAATCTGGAAACTCTTGGAGAATTTAGTGTCAAAATAGAATCTCTATATCAAAATAATTTCTATCACAATTCTATGCATGCCATAGATGTCGCAAACTCAACTGCATTTTTCCTACAAAATGGATTGTCAACTTTAATAGATGATTTCTAAGCTACTTGTTTATTGATCTCATCATTAGCACATGACATTGGACATCCAGGATTAAATAATGGGTTTATGACTGCAAATAGATGTCGATTAGCCCTATTATTTAATGATCAAAGTGTTCTGGAGAATTATCACTCATTTCTTCTGTTCTAGGTGCTCACTCAAAGCAATTGCAATATCATTGAAAATCTAAGTACCAATGAAATCAAGGGATTCAGGAAGTACTGTTTGAATCTGATTCTTGACACTGATCTGACCAGACACTTTTAATTGATGAACAAATTCTAAAATTATTTGAATGTCAATGAGTCTCCTGCTGTTGATTAGCAATTAATTATGTCGATTGGAATTAAATGTGCAGGTAATATAGTTATTATCATTCTATTTCAGATGTTGGACATGGGGCAAAAGAATTGAAATTGCACAAATTGTGGAGTCGAAGAATTGTTGAGGAGTTCTTTTTGTAAGGGGATTTAGAACACTACTTGAAAGTGCCTATATCACCAATGTGTGATAGAAATCAGAATGTTTCCAAATCTCAGGAAGGCTTTTTAAAGGCTATTGTATTGCCGATGTTTGAGGCCTTTTCAACAATCTTAAAGAAGTAATTGGTCATTTGATTAGTAGTGAAAACATCCAAAAAACTTGTGTTGATTAGGTAAAATAAAACATAGAGTACTGGTAATAGTAGGAGACGGATTAGAAGTTTATGGAAGAAACTGTATTTGACACTAATTCCGGATTGGAAACTCTTCAAAAGTTCCTACATGAGCCTCTTCATATTGAGATTTGATTTATATGTAATAGATAATTGATGGTTGATGTGATTTAGAAAAAAACTAATATAAGAATAATTGTCAAATTTTCTTTAGTATTATTTAAATAAACTCTGCTTCCGAAATTTTACCATCTTTATCATCATCACATTCCTCTAAGAACTCTCCCCATATGACATCATCGACTCCTTCCATGGCTCTCTAAAACTCCCCTTTTGATATGTAAGTATCGCCATCCTAAGGAAATATTTATATAGATAGGAAATACAATGTCCAATATTTTAAATGTTTATTTGATCTTCTCTTCAGTGATCAAACGTTGTTGTTGTAGACTTGCGATGATGAATTCAGTGTAATCAATTTTGCCAGATTGATTGATGTCTATTTGTTGAATGAGATTTTCGATCTTTTCTTCGATGGATTCAACAAAGTAGTCTTTATTCATGATTTTATCTTAAAATGCTTTCTTTAGTTCCTCCTTTGAAACAGTTCCATCACAATTAGTGTCTAATTCTTTGAATAATTTTTGTAGGTCCTCCACTTCATGTTATTAGATCATTTGACAGGCCATGAAAGTTAGAAGAGCCTGTTTTAGTTTGCTTTTGGCACTGAATTCTGAGAGATTCTTAAGGAACTGCTGATCAACTAGATTGCTTTAATTATGCTCGATCATCCAAGGGTCAGCCAAGGCATCCTTTGCACTTATTCTTTACTCAGCATCTTTGCAGAGCATTTTTAAGATCAATGACTTTGCTTGATCGCTAATTTTGGACCATTCTTCAGCTAAAAGGGTTTAATATCAGAAGATAGTACTGTAGAATGGGACATTGGCCTTGACTATCTTTTGGTAGATGTCGATGTCCTTCTTGCCGTAGAAGGGAGGGTAGCCAGCCAATAAAATGTAGAGGATGACACCACACGACCACACATCACATTTTTCATTGTATTTTTTGAGGAGTACTTCAGGAGCTATGTAGTAGGGCTAGAGGAGATATGGGGGATGATAACTTACAGTGCCAAGTCTTTTGGTCATTTTCTTATCATTTTCAAATCTCCTGGAGGTTCCAAAATCAATGATCTTTAATTGGGCATCATCATCAGTGGAAGTAAAAATGATGTTTTCGGGTTTGAGATCTCTGTGTACAATTTATTTGGTGTGACAATAGGCAACAGCAGATAATATTTGTTTCATAATGTTGGCTGCATCTCTTTCGCTGAAGGTCTTGGCTTTTTGTATTCGATCGAATAACTCACCTCCATTTAGATATCTAATGTAGAGAGGATATTGAGTACTCGGTGATGAGATAATAGCACTTTTCGTCTTGGAACAATTCGCAGAGCTTGACTATGTTGGGGTGATCGAGGTCCTTCAATATGTTCATCTCTTAAAATAGTCTTTATTCTTCCTCTTCGAAGAGACAATCCTTTTTGATGGCCTTCATGGCTCTCACAATACCTAGGACGATAGGATGGAATTGCATACCAGTTCTTTTGTTCGTCACCAGAGAGACCTAACCATAGGCACCTACGGAAAATCTAACTTAATATTACCTTCACCCAGAGCCTTGCCTATTGAGTATTGGCTGAAGATGTCCTCTCGTTTCATGTGGATGAAGAGATCGGGACTCAGTTTGAGATAGGTAGATTTCTCTAAAGGTTAAGATGGGTAGAGATCATACTTGTCGCTTGAGTGCTCAACTGCTTGTCATTGTTATTTAGCTCTTTGGGTCTAATTTCAATCTCTGGGGTGTTGGCTAGAAATAAACAGTCAATCATTACTTATCACTTCTTGGGAGCAACAAGTATTTCCCATTTAAATTGTAAATGATTAAATAAATATTACTTTAATTGAAACTTAGCCAATTCAAAATAACAATTAGACCATGAAAGGGGGGAGGACGAGGAAAGGAGGGACAAAAACACAAAATTGAGGATGAGGAATATATGTTATATTAAAATCAGATTATAAAACAATTTAAATTGATGAAAATAGACATAACTATTCTCCTGATTCTCGTATCAATAACAGTAAATATAAAATTAAGAGAAGTAGAACGAGGAACTGTAGGAGATCTCGACAGGTTGTTAAACAGCGCAGAATCCTTGCTTAAAAAAGTGTGAAGAGGGCTATCAACTGTGTGAAGATCCGAATAATAGAAGATGTGAGTACGGCTATTTTAAATTAAATATAGAGGATGAGAACTATTGTGTGAGATGGTATTGAATTTGATTTTTAAATAAAAAGTCCATTTTCATATGTGGACGAAATGATGTACTTATGTATGGATTGCCCAGAGAATTCAGACACCTGGTAAAATTCCAGATAATGCACCTACAATTATGCCATTACACATGGAGATGTAAATGGGGCATTCAGAAAGATCGCGATTACTGAAACTCAAATTTTCAAAATACGCCAAGTACCATCCAAAACAGCAGGAGGAAGCAATACTTATTCAACTGAATTATGTGAGGGGTGTTAATCATTCTGTGATTAGTCCGATACTGCAGATGAAGAACTAGAATGCAATATCCTATCAGATCAGGATGATGTTATATATGTTGGAGTAATATGTTCTGATGGCTATTACTTTGACAACGACACCTGTATGACTTGTCCTTTTTATAATTGCAAAACTTGCGATAGTTATGAATGCTCTGAATGTTTTGATGGATATACAATGGATCCCACCTAAAAATGTATCCCTTGTTTTGAAGGATGTGCAAAATGCGAATATTACAATGGAATTCTGTGTTTAGAGTGCATCCAAAAGAAGGATACTTATCAGATAATGATGTAGAGTGGAGTAGTGTGTTCTTCTTGTGATGATGGGTGCATAAGATGTTAAGTTGAGTATGTGGATGGAGTAGAATAACAACGTTGCACTCAATGTTAAGCTGATTATATTGTACACAATGAAGGATCGAGGTGTGAATACAAAGAAATCTTCGATTGCGAAATAGCTTACTTTGAATATTCAAAAGATGGAGTGAATAAATTGCAGACATATAATTTGGACTTTGAAATTGTTAGAGACTACTCAGCCAAATTAAAATGTTATAAATGCCAACAAGGCTATAAACTAACAGGTGGAGAGGATTGCACTCCATATACTGACACCGATCCCTTTTGTAGCACTCGTGATTAAGATAAAAATCTATGTTTGGAATGCTAAAATAATAAGGTACTCAAATATGAAAATGGAGGCACTCTATCTAGTTCTTGTGTGCCAGACTAAGAGTGCAATAAGAAAATTAATTATTGTGTATAATGCATTTCATACATGGTCAATACGGTTGAATAATATTAATGTCTTAAATGTCAAAAAGGATATTATCCTGATATCTTCTCCAATCTATGTTTACAATGCCAATCCAGATGCGATGAATGTTGGCAATATACTAATACTTATAACATTACTGCCTATCTCCAATTGCAACTAGCTGGAATAGATTACGAATAATTTACACAAGACTTACAACTTATTCAAATGGAAAAACTCAATGACCCCTTCTGTTCAATTTGTCAAATCGGATTCAATTTATACAACAATCAATGCAAAGGTTGTACTGATAGTTGTGTTCCAGAAACAATTTAAGATGGAGACTCCCAATGCTTGTACTTGGATAATACTGCTTATTGTGCCAAATGTCCTCTCCCCTCATTATAATAATCATTGACTGCTGACAATAGTGAATGCAATGAGTGTCCCTATAATTGCATCGCTTGCAGAGAAAGGACACAGGAGGAAATCAACATAGTCAATCCTTTTTTTGATCCAGACTCAGATCAATTTCAAAAATACAGTAATTATTGCTACAAAACAACTTAGCCAAAAGCTGATCAAAAGATTTACATTGACTCGTTCTTAGGAGTTCCCATTACATGTGCTAATAATCCCAACTATAAAGGATGTTATAAAAAACTAGACACTACTTTTACTGTATATTGTGGGGATACAAATGATGTCCCATAAGCAAATGAAATCAAATTGAAGGATGTCTATAAAAAATAGAAAACTAAAACTGTCACTTTATACCTCTAAGGATTAGAAAATGCATAAAAGTATAATGAATACAATTAGTAGACTGTCAACTAAATTGATATCCATATTAATTTCATTTCTGACGATCATGGCACCTGTAACTTTGATAAACCCATCTATATTAAATCAAGTTTTTAAAGGAACATTTTTACTTTACAACAATTATCGGTTATCATCAATGGCTAGCATTCGATCTTCAAACAAGCTGGAAGAATAATACTCTAGGATTATTCAAATGTAGAAATTTAAAATGTCAATTTCAAAGAAAAAGCATCTGGTGATTTTGGATTAGAGATTTTAGGCGAGAAGACCATGCTAACTATGACAAACTGTAAAATTATTAAGGATAACCTTGCAAGCTCATTTAATATTGTGTTATAAAACACGATATACCTGAAATTATAGTAAGTTGAATTTGAAAATCTTAAAAATGAAACAATCATCTATTAAACATCAACTAATGAATTCCAAGAATAAGGACAATACATATTTGAGGATGTTCATGTAAAAAATAGTGAAATAAATGATGCTCTTATTATAGTTAATTACATAGGAGCTAATAATATCTTATTAATCAATTCACTAAAGTTCTCGAATTCTAACATTACTAATACGGCTGTCTTTTCAGATTTAATAACAACCCCAAGTTATAGTGCTATTATAAATGATCTTAAATTGATCAAATGTACAATTACAAATGCTAGCATCTTTAATTTTGCCTTAGTCACATTATTTCAAGCTGAAAACTTAGAAAGTGTATTGACTTTATTCCAAAAAAGGTCGAATTTTATTATAAGCACTACATTCACAATTGAAAAATTGTTTTGCTATCACTCCTTATTTGCTAATAGCTCCTAACTCATAATTACAAACAATCAAATTTATAATTCTGATCAGAAATCCAGCATTCTATAATTCTCCTTCAAATAGATAATGTTTAAAAACAACATTTGCTAAAATGTCAACTGTTTGATGTTCATTGCCACTCCTCTAAATAATTTTGGTATAAGTTCCAACATTGAAATTGAATACTTGACCATCTCAGAATTGCAAGTCCAATCCATAAGTCAAATGAATATAGACTTGGTTTCATCAGCCTTGGTCAATCTATAAAATGTTGGCGATGTCACTTTGAATGAATTGACAATTAAAAATGCTCAAGGAATATCTATAATATTTATTGGTGATTCCCAATCGATTGAGATTACTAATGCATACTATTTTCTGGAAATGTCGAATGAGATGCTCTATGAATACGAAGAAGAAATAACTGAGAATTTTGAGATTGACCCTACCCTAGGAAATTACATTATGGTAACCAATCCATTCAATAACCTATTACCCAATTCTCCTGATTGTGCTAATAGGAAACGAACTGCACATTAGTTTAATTCTTACCTCATATACATTGAAGGATTCCAAGGATCCATTGTTATGGATAACATTGAAGTCTTTAATTTGCTATTTATTGATAGATCTGCCATATTTATTAAATCTTATCAAATCTTATTATAAATGTAGATGGAAACCATTTAACTTTAGAATTTGAAATTTGATAACAACAGACTTGCATCGTCATTAGATGGGGAAATGATGAGCTTGATAACAATTGATTCAGAGTAATACCAAAACATCACTATACTCAATGCCTAGTACAATCAGAATCATTTACATCAAATCACAAATTCATAAACAACCCAAACCCCAGCACTTCTATTAGTAATCTCTCCGAACTCCATTTTGAATTTGTTGGATTCATATTTCAATTACAATCGAATCACAAAATCAACCAATGGATTGATGTGGATAAAAGTAGATTAATTTATACTCTACAACTGTTATTTTTAAAAGACAAACATTTTGGATCTGTAATGGTTGGACTATCTTGAAGAATACTAATTGACAACTGATGATCCTGCTACAACTATTATCAATCTAAGTAATATGAGTTATTTAATTTTAGAATAATATTTTTACATCCAATCTATGGGATCTAACTTATATTTGATATCCACATTCATCTATATTGAGAACTTGTAGATTACTGAATCCTATGGATAATCTGGTGCTGGAATCTTCCTGGAATTGTTAGATGGAGTTGTCTATATAATGCACTCTTAGTTTTAGAATATATAAAGTAGTTTATAAAGTATTGATGATACCGAAGGAGGATGTTTAACAATAAATTCAGAAAGTTCTCAGATGTAATTGGAATTAAATTCTGTCGTCATGACCAATTGCACTGCAAGAATTAGAGGAGGATGTATTCATTTATACCCAACCAAATTCAAACAAACCATTATATTCAAAGACTCCCAATTCTCACTCTGCCAATCATTGGGATATTCATTTCTAAGCAATCCTTATTTAGAATCCACCGATCAACCTGTAATTGAGTTCTTGAACATCTATATAGGCGATAACAACTACGATAACTTTATTCAAAATATACCTGATTTAACCTTATTGGAGTAAATGCTATTGATTAAGGATTCTGGAATCTATTATCAGCACACAGGATAGTTAATAATTCGAAATTCCAAATTTACTAACATTAAATACATAAGTATCATAAAGGCAGTTGGAATGACTGATATATCCATATCTCAATGTGTGTTCACCAAAAACATTCTCTTTTTAATGCCTCTCTTAGATCTCTAAATGACACCAACTGTCTCGAACTCAATATAAGTTGTCGCATCTTAATTTGTTGACAATTGGTCTACAGATATCAATCCAATTGTAAATAATTGTGATGAATTTATTAGAGAAGGCCTGGATTAAACCTTATCTCAATAAACTTGTGATTAAATTATGTACATAATTGATTTTTAGAATTTTATGAATTAAGATCAAATAACTTGGAATAGTGATCAATATTTGTTAAGTTATTAGTACCTAACTGAATAAGATAAGTACGAGTCTGTCTATTCATTTAATTTTTATTATTCTAAGACTACTCAAGTAGTTCAAAGATTCAACTCAACACTCAATAGCAAGTTAATCAATTGTATCCTATAGAATATGTTAAAGTATATCACATCATATATTTAGCTTGACTTTGGAGGCTGATTCGGTGATACCTACGTCTATGGTTACTATAAAAAGCTTATTTAGCAATTCCTAGTTGAAGTTCGATGAAATTAGTATTCTCTCAAATAGATGTTTAAGATGCTACGGTGGCTTAGTTCAAATATTGGGAGTAAATGCTGGGAGCATGTTGGTTCTGAATCATATAAACTGCAAAGAAAACACAGTGGGTTATTATGGATGCCTGTTAATTCAATAATAATAGAGTATAAGGGAATTCGTACCGAACCAAAATTTGATGGATTTGAATGTTACCTAATTTCCCAACAGGCTGTTACAGTTAAGGAAAGACTGCACTGTCTCGATAGCTTAATCAATGTTCTCATCTAATAGAGCCAGCATAGGGAGTGCCATTAGTATATTGGGCTTGAATGCGTTAGTCTAGAATAGTACCTTCTCGGATAATAGGGCAAGTCTTGCTGGAGCAGGAGTTTACTACATGAACATTGGTGGAGATTTCGAAACTTCATTATATGTCTACAATTTATCATTCTAAAGCAACAAAGCATAAGTCGGAGCTGCATTCTACCTAGTTAACAAGGAATTAGCAGATGTAAAATCCTTGCTAATTAAATTCGAATACAACAACGCAACCATACAGGCAGACAATATACAAGAGAATTCAAGAAGATAGACTCTTTCAATGAATGAGGGTTCCTATTATCAAGTGCAGACCTACCTGAATCTAAGTGGAGATTAGAATCTTGATGGAAACATAGATGGTGTGAATTAAATAATTAGGGAAAATGTCACTTTTGATTATCATACGATTGGCAACTATCCTGAGAAGACTAATCTGCTAATCTTACCTTCAGGGTAATCTATAAACACATATGAATACTATTTCGAAGAAACACATGAATACATTCCTTACGAATGGATATTTAGAGTGATTAATTTGAACAGATTTAATGAGCCTGTAGTTAACAATGAAGATGGAGATAAGTGCTATATTTTCGGTAGAATATAAAAATTCTCGAACTATTCTGAAAAATTATCTTTTACTAATAATTTCACAATTCCCAATGAAATGCTCTATAGCAAGAATTTAAAAGGCTATATTTTAGACGATATGCAATTATCCTTTGATCCTTATTTTGATAAAGACTTTTATTTGGAATTGCAAAGTAACACTCAATCATAAATTAGTTAAATGTGACAAGATGGTTATTCCAGTATATTCTAATCCACCTGATTATAAAATATTGGGGTACAATAAGGGTTATGAATTAATATTAAATGTTAGAACATTTCCCTGTTAAAAAGGAGAAGTCTATTAACTTGGTCGTTGCATACCATGCAGTCCAAAATTAAACTAATATTCTGTTATCATAGGAGGTGTATTATGCTCTTAGTTTAATTCTGATTATATGGTTGCCATAGAATAATCACAAATTTAATTGAAGGCGGGATATTGGAGACCTGATTATAATAATGATTAAACCTTTTATTGTGAAAATTTAGATTCTAATTGCAATGGAGGGTGGGTTCCTGGTGATCCTTCTTGTTATACTGGACATCTAGGAGCACTGTGTGAATCGTGTGACCTATATCAAATATACAATGAGGAAAGTTATACTTAGACCTCAGCATATAAATGTGCAAGGTGTGAACCAACTATGAAAATAAACTACATAGTTCTGATAGCTACATCAATAACATCCTTTGCATCTATGGTTATAGCAGTAAAAGGCAGCTATGAATCATCAATGTAATTTATTATTGAAGAAACTCTGGACATATGGGGGATTTTACTAAAAAGCTCTTAGAGTAATTTAGATGTTTTGATGAAAGTTCTTACAAATTACTTTTAAATCATCTAATTCATTACTTCATTTTAGATATCCATTCCCAGTGCAATCAAATAGACAACCTAGGCTGGAGGCAACCCTACTGAAAGTACTACCTCTGCCATGGATTGTCTCTATGTGACTATGTCTGATTTAGATGTATTATACTTTAGAATGGTTTGGGCATTCATCTAGCCATCAATATATTTGATTAGTTTTTATATTATCTATTTTGTTGGAGTTGCTACAAAAAAGATACCTTATAAAGTTAACATTATTACTACAGCCCTTATCTACTAATTCCTCTATTTATAGCCTACGTATGTTGAAGGATTCATAGTCTTAGCATCCTTTAGAACAGTAAGTGGTTATCAATATGTACAGAGAGATGTTGCATATAGATATGATAGTTCCATGCATTAATACTACCTCTCGAGGTTTATCATACCCATGCTAATTGTTTGGGTCACGTTCTTACCTTTACTATTTTTATTTTTGGTTTACAAGAATCGAGCTACAATCCACACCAAGTAAACAAAATTAATTTATGGATTCTTCTACTTAGAATACTAGTTAAACAGTTATCTTTGGGAATTTGTTAAATTATTCCAAAAGGAATTCATGGTCATCATTTTAGCATATTACGAAAGTCAAGTTACTGTTAAGGGATTGTTATTGGTTGTAGTAATGTTTCTCTATGGGTTCTACTAAATTTAGATATCACCTTATAGTAATAAGAGACTCAATATGCTGGACAGGTATTCAACTGTTATTTTGTCAATTTCATTAGCTATGGGGGTTTTATTGAAATCATGCTAAGATTCAGAATTTGACTATTTAGTTCTTATCGTGGCTATTTTCATAATCCTAATCAATGTTCTATTCCTATTGTCGATTATTTATTACATTTTTGAAGGGTATGTCATCAAATTGTCCCCCATCCTCGATAAAATAAGGGATGTACTTAATGAGAAGTACCCAGATTTAGGAATAAGGTACCCACGGCTAAGACCCTACTTATATAATAAAGCTTAAATGACTATCAGGGTGAAGGCATTATGGGCAACCTTACGAGAAGCAGTTAAAGACACCAATGAAATTTGTAAAGAACATGGTATTAAGTTTAAAAAGATTTTCCCTCCTTATGCAAAAGAAGAGGAACTTCCGGTCAGTTTTGAGAACATTTCGATTGAAATTAAATCAAACTAAATTGAAGATAAATAACCCTTAATAGTTTAAGATGCCTCCTTTATTCAAAACCATTAAGACAATTCACAAAATTAACCATCAAGTGCAATAAGACTCTAATTTATCAACAGCAAGGGAGTAGTATAACAAAGTTAGTTTTTCACTTCATCATTCATGATCAACGAGTCTTAAGAACCTATAGCAATGACAGGCTTATGCATAGAGTAATGGATTGATTAGACTTAGTATTAAGGGTTAATTGTTGAAGGTAAAAAGTAAGGGAAGGGACTATTAATTTGGCCTTTCTAAGAAAATTAAAAGTAACAAGAATAATATGAAGGTGAATTCTATAATAACCTTTTTGAAGGTTATGGTGTATATAAATGGAGTGATGGAAAAGTATATGAAGGAGGATGGAAAGAAGGCAAAAGGCATGGATACGGAAAATATCAAGGATTAAGCTAACAGTATGAAGGGGAGTTCTAAAATGATTTGTATTAAGGATAGGGAATCTTAAGTATAGGAAATAAGATAATTACAGGATCTTTTACTAAAGGCAAAATGGATGGAGAGATGCACATTGTGATAGGAAGAAAAAAGAAAAGAAGAGGAATTTGGAAGGAAGGAGCGTTTGTGAAATGGATTGATTGAGATTATTTAGATTGAATAAAATATAAACTAATTCAACTTAAAATTCTATGACTACTTTAAAATGAATCTTAAATTTGTACTCTCATTGTCTAATCAAGTAAAATCCGAGAGAACTTCAATCACTCTTTATCAATCTATAATTTTTTAGTTAATTAAAACGATCACTTACAGATAGAATTAGAAATCATTTTCTAATTTTTAAAGTGTTTAATAGAATAGCATAATTGAATGAAGATAATGATATTAAAAATAGATCTATAATCTAATAATAATATGATGTATATAGATTTAACTTAATTATGGCATCATAAGGCTTTATCAAGGTTTCTTAATCTAGCTTCCAAATCATCAAGAGCTTAGGTATTTGCAGTATTAATATTCGATTATTGGCCAGGATTTTATTGTGGTTGTATTGCTGGTTAAACTTATGGCTATTAAGGCACAGAAGGATTTTAATATTATTAAGGAACTTTCATACTTTAGCTTGCCATTATTTAAGGACCTTGAGATTTCAAATAATATAATACCTTAGTTTAAACATGAATAAGGATTTGGAGACCCATTTGTTTAACCGAATCCTCCGGTTGTTCCAAACCCTCCAGTAGGAGGATTACCAAATTAATTATTTGGTTAATTATACAAACCATTTTAAGGAGGTTAATTTCCAAATCCACCTTAAGTACCTTATCCAAAACCTCCTTGGGTATTGCCAAAATCTCCTTGTGTTCCAAAACCTCCTGGTTGTGATTAACCAAAACCTCCAGGTTATGTCTAACCAAATCCTCCTGGCTATGACTAACCGAATCCTCCTGGCTATGACTAACCAAATCCTCCTGGTTATGATTAACCAAATCCCCCTGGTTATGATTAACCAAATCCACCTGGTTATGACTAACCAAATCCTCCTTAGGGTGGAATTCCGAAACCTCCTTGAGATGAATTTCCAAAACCTCCTTAGGGGGGTTGACCAAATCCTGGTTAAGGTGGATTTCCAAAACCTCCTACAGGTGGTTGACCAAATCCTGGTTGAGGCGGATTTCCAAATCCTCCCAAGGGTGGCTGACCGAAGCCTCCTTAGGGTGGTTAGCCAAATCCTGGTTAAGGCGCATTTCCAAAACCACCAATAGGTGGTTGACCAAAACCTCCTTGTGTTCCAAAATCACCAAATCCTTAGTTTGGATTTGGCATAAATTATTATTATCCAAAACCTTATTAATCCACTAAGATGCCTCCTTGAGCAGGCCTTAAAATTTTAGAGCTAAATTAATGTCCTGAAGCATTTAGTTGTTCTTCACTGAATCCATATTTTTCTGCGAATTTCAACGCATACTCATTGACTTCATATGCATCAGGCAGAGGGGTTTTAAAGAGTTTCCTCAATTCTTGATCGACATTAATCAATTTACTAGTGTCATTGAAGCCAGGACCAAAATAGTATATCATTAGATCTTTAAATTCCATTACTTATTCTAAGTTCAAATTATCGGCAGCAAAGAGGATACTCTCAATATATGGCATAAGATCTGCAATTTTAGAATGATCTCCTCCACATCTAAAGATTCTTATTGATTGATCTTTAACAATTTCACAATATCTAAGTTATATCGAGATTAGTATACCTTAGTACTATTTGACATGTCTCTAAGAATCGTACATCCTGAACTAGTTGTTGGAATTTCTGATACTCTTCAACCATCACTCTAGATGGACTACGTAACATTTCATTTAAAGCTTTCTCTCTCAATAATGCTTAATTAGTTCGTCTGTCTCTATTCAATTCCACATAGCCTTTAACCTAAAATTAGAGAGGAAGTCATACTTTTAAACAGGCAATCTCAATTTGAAACTAAGTTATCTATTTAGTTTGGGGTGCTTTTTGTTATTAAGTTCCCATGAATATGGATTTATTTTGTTTAATATATAAATATTATCATTTAAGCTTTCAATATTTTAATTAAAACATTATGTTTCCATATTTATTTTAAAATGTATAACAGTATATAAGATGCAGAAAGTTCTATACAGAAGAAGAAAAATAATATTTGCTTCAGATTTTAACTGGTATAAAGTAGGTCCTATAAAACTTGGATCAAACTGGAAACATAACAATAAATAGAGGAAATCAAATATCATTTATAAGGATTATTGAAATATAGAATCCTTAATTTCCTTATAATAGAATCTATTTTGAAAATTGTGGAATATAAATCTCTATTTATACATTTTTATTATATGTATTTTAATTCAAATGATATTTTAAGCAATATCCTTTTACTTTTTAGATTTTAGCACAATTTTTGAATGTTTCACGAGATCAGTGAGGTATCTAATTTTTATTTCTTCAGTACTAATTTGACGAATAGATACTTTATATATAAGAGATAATAAGATAAAATTTAGCTAAGGCTTGTAGACTAATGAAAGAAGATGATTATTAAATTGCTTAGTTTGATGCAGTATACTTCATTTTAATATTGATAACTGATAATTTATTAATATCTCAAAATAAGAGGGAAGGGTCATTTAGGTTGTGATTTTTTAATCAATTTGGTAAATATGATTTAAAGATGGCTTTAAAGTCATTTGATTTTTAACAAGTTTATAATTTGAGATCAGAATCCTATCTCTAAATTCAGGAAACAATAATTACTTCAAATTAAGTGTAAGAACCTTAACAAAGTAAAACGAAAATTAATTGGCAAAGCAAAAATTAGGATGAAAGTATTAAAATAAAAAATAAATTATGCACTATCTTTGAGAATAATCTTTAAGAAGATATGATAATAAGTGAATCATTAAACTTGTATGGAAATAAGCATCTAAACCTTTTAAGCAAAGTCTTTTAGTGACAAATTATATATTTTAAATGATTATTTTCTAAACTATGAATTAAATTATGATTCATATTATATCCTAAATATTTTCGATAAAATGCGACTGATTAGGATTTTAAAAAATGTAATTAACATTTATTCGAAATTAAGAAATGCTTCAAAATTATATGAGGATCAAAATAAATCATATCAATTAATTATTTATAATAAGAATGGTTTTTGGATAATTATTGTAACAGAATTGAGAGTGATCATTTAGACTTTCTTTCTTTTTAATTAAAAATACTAAGCTTTCGAAAAAGTATTACATAACAAACACTATAGCTTATAATGATATGAAATTTTGAGGTAGCATAGAATGGAATGTGAAATTTAATCGAGTTAACAAATTAATTATATTTTAATTCAAAAAATGGTTCTAAAGGATAGCCATTGAATGAAAATTTTAATTGCAATAATTTTCATCACTAAAATCGAGATAAATTTTGAAAATTTCTAGAAGCACTTTGTTTGGTTTATTGAAAAATTGAAAAAAGTCTGAGATAATATAATTACCTACATCGACTCTCTAATGAGATCAGATTAATTTCAGAGGTCATATTCTTTCAACGCACAGTATGAATATCATTGATTATTAAAATTTAAATTAATTTATTTATTATCTTACTACGAATGAAACAACCAGTCTCACTTTTTGCTTAAAATACTTTTTCAAGAAATATAAATTAAGAAGATGATCAAGAAATTCAGGACAGATCAGGTTTTGAAATTTTAAATATGGATGGTCAAAAGAGAAGGAGAGAAAAACTATCTCCAGTGGCTCGATCGAATTCTGGCCATCATGAATAGTTGATTTTACAATACCATAATCCATAATAACTCATTACTCCTAAAAATGAGAACATTACAGAGAGACTTTAAACATTTGCTTAGACAGAGCAATTCAAATAATCAAAATCATTTCGAAAATTGATTGTGTATTTTCATCAAAAGGACTTTATAAAAATACTATTGGCTCCATACAAATTAACGTCATCTTTTACTCTAAGACATTTTATGTTAATTAATGATTTAGGAGCCTCCTTTAAATACTAAGTAGGCAGATTTAATGAAAGTTAAAAAAGCTTGATTCATTAATACATCTCACTTATTGACATTAGAATCCAAATAAGATTAAAACTTAGAACTATAAAAACAAAGTGCAAACATTACTTACAACACATCCATAATTAAATTCCATTAATTGAACCGATGAGTAATCTCAAATTTTTTTGGGATTTAATATGCTTTGGTATCAGGATTTATTTAATTGTGGTAATCCCAATACTGATGGCATTCCATAATTAAAACTTCATTGATAAACAATAAATACCATTAATTTTATTTTCTATTGCTTTAATTTTTGATATCATTATGAGAGCATTTACTGTAACCTATGATTAAGGATTACCTGTAAGAGATCGTTATTTATTATATAAAAAATAAGTAAACTTCTCAACATTATTGGAATTATTTAGTTTTATTTACACAATCATAATAAGTTTATAGTCAGACAACATTATCGATAAAAACCTAGTTGGAGATGGTTGGCCAAAATTTATATTAGCTTTATAGTATATATAAGTGGCCAATATATTAAAGTTTATAGACATATCTTAATACTCTTTCAAACTCAGCCGAATGTCAACATCAATAGTAGAACTCATTAAATTAATAACACTAATACTTTTGGTTTAACATGTGTTTAGTTGTGTATGGCTTGTCTTTGGTATTTAATGTTAGGATACATAATAATAGTCATGGTTAGATAAATTTGAGCATGATTAATGGTCATATTAGTTCTTACAATCCTTCTATTTTATTTGTGTTACTACGTTTACTGTAGGCTATGGTGATTTGACACCAAAAAGTAATAATATTTCAATAATTTAGATCCGCCTGAACAAATCTTTACTATCTTTTATATGTTTTTATGTATGTTGTTATTCTCTTACACTGTAAATACTATTGGAAGCATACTCACTTAAATAAAAGAAAGCAGCGATAAAATTAAAACTAAACTCACAGCCATAAACTAGTATATGCACAATAAACAGATTAGTCCAACTTTATAATTTAAGTAATATCAATCAAATATGATAGAGTTCGAGAATAGTTGTATTTTTATCTTAAGCAAGAGGTTGTTCAATAAGTTAATGAGCAATCAGAAATTATATCAATGCTCCCAGAAGAATTATAACACAGTCTTAGGATAGAGGCTGCCAAATCTTTAATAAATAAATGCCCATTTTTTAGCGAGAACTTTTCAAATGAAATATTGAATCAGCTATTGGAAGAAGTCAATTTCTAAATATTTTAGCCAGGAGCCACAATTTAATCAAAAGATGAATTCTTCATTCATATCATTGAATAAGGATAAGTCGAAGTTTTATATAAAAAAGTAATATTACTTTTTATTATCATAGAAAATTATACAAACACTTGAAAGATTTGATTACTTTGGACTTGAAGAATTTCTCAGTCAATAACAAAATCCAAATTTTATTTTCAAAAGTAATGCTTTTACTAGTGTACTCTCCATTCCATACACTTATTTTCATAAGATATTATCTCAAAATGATCTAGAAAACTAAAAATTTCATAATCTACTTACATCCTAATCTTGTCTCTCAAACTATTGTTTTATATGTAAAAACAAGAGACATTCAACATAGTCCTGTTCTTTGGTTCATTTTATACCAAACAAGGAGGTTGTCTTAAAAAGGTACCTTTATAGAAAAAAATAAAAAAAAAGAATTAAGTAAGACAGAAGGAATAGATAGTTATCAATAAATGAAATTAATTTAGTAAATGGATAAAATTAAATTAAATAAATTTAATTTAAAAATGCTTGCTATAATTAAAAAATGATTGAATCAATAGTAAACAAATTTTAAATTGAAAACCAAGTAGCTTTAGAAACTCTATTTCCTACATTTGAATAACCTATTAGTATAGATAGTTAAAGTGAATCTGAAAATGATGAACTTGAGGATTTTAAAGATTAAAGTTTTTCATAATAAAATCAGAATTCAAGAAGAGGCAGCAAACAAATTCCTTGTATTTCTTCCAAAAATTTACTCTAATATTAGATTTTAGATAAAATTAAGAAAGAAAGATAGAATAGATTAATCTAACCTTTACAACCTTAACTCTTAATGTCTCAATATGGATAAAATAATGCAAATCCTACTGTTAATACTAATGCTAATACTAACACCAAGTTATAACTGAAAAAGCTGTTATTGTCCAAGCCTGGCCAACCTGATTATGATGAATAAGTAACATAAATTCAAGAATTAAACTTTTTTAATGATTTAAGACAGAAAATGAATAATTTACTTTTATTTCCAAAAACAGAATAAGAATAAATAGAATTTTTGTATAAGAAAATTTTAAATAGAAAGGAGGACTTAGGTGAAATGTCGGACTTTGAAATATTAAAAAATTATGAAGTCTTTAATAGATAATGGAATGCTGACTAAGTAGTTAAGAAATTAGTGTAAAAACAAAAAAAGTTTAGAGGATTTAAAAAACTTAAAAGATTTTTGTTGTTCCCCTTTCTTTATATTAATAAATATTTAGACAAAAAGGATTAAGGTGAACTATTTAAACCATCTGAAAAAACAAAAAAGAAAAGTAAGCATTCACTCTATTATTAGGACCTGCAAGACCAAAGGTAATCAAAAAGACGAGGGTTAGTCCTAAAATATGAAAATAATTTGTATATCAATCTATTTCATATTTATCAATAATAAAAATGGGATAATGCAAATGTTTAGAAGCACCAAAATAATTAACCATCGAAGGAAATCCTATTTAAGATTCTTACAGTCAAGAATAGGATTATCAAATATAAAGAATATTACAACCTCTAAAGTTATATGAAACACTTCCATTACCTTCTTACTATTCCTAAGTAGCAGAATCTTATGAAGATTTTTCTCCTGAAAAAAACATACCTGAAGATTCTGTATGCACAGATTTTGTTGCTCCTAATATTGAGCTCTAGCAAGTACCAGAAATAACATTCTGTAAAAATTATCCAAAATCAGACAAAGCATATAAATTTGAAGGTTTCATCTATATAGGGCAATGGAAGAAATTTGAACCATATGGTTTTGGTGTTTTTGTTTATAATGATGGAGCAATTTTCATTGGATACAGTGTAAATCTCAGTCCTCATATTTATGGAAAGAAGTAATATCCGGATGGTACAGAATATGAAGGAGAATATTTATATGGATCTCATCATGGCTAAGGTGTGTTGAAAAATAAAGAGATGACCTTCGAGGGAATTTGGAGTTAAAATGTGCCAGTGAAAGGAAAAGAATAATGGAAAGATGGTACCATATTTGAAGGAGAATACAAAGAAGGAAAAAAAAACGGGTTTGGTATTATGAAATGGAAGAATGGAAATTAATATGAAGGAAACTTTTAAAACGATTAATTTGATGGTTAAGGAGTATATAAATTTGCAGATGGATTCATTTATGAAGGAGAGTGGAGTAATTCATTAATGCACGGAAAAGGAAAATTAGTATATCCTAATTCAAGTTATTTTGAGGGGGAGTTTAATAATGATAAATAAGTTTGTGGCCTTCAATATTCATTAAATGGACTCCGATAAACTGTTTCCTAATTTAGTCCTAATTCAACAATAAGTGAAAGAAGCTTTCTTAAAATTGATAGGCCAAGCATCAGAACTTCATATATTGAATTTAAGAGTGTATATGGTTGAAATTTACTATATTTTATATTGCTTTTGTTTTAGCAAAAGATTAAATGATATACGATTATACTTAAATAATTAAGTAGTTATATCATTTATGTGTAATGTAATTATAGTGTAAAGGGCTTAATATATCTGCTTTCATTAAAGTCTCATTTATCATTATTGAAAAATTATTAAGATTTATATTTTTTTTTAATTTTAAAATAATTAAGACAAGATATAAATTTTAATGAAAAATTTATTTCAAAATGCTAAAGCTTATAAATCTAAAAATTAAGATGCTTGATTACATTTAAAAGTTATTTATTAGATAAAATATCTCAAATTTTATTTGTTGAACAACAATTAATTTAAATTTTAAATTTACGATATTTGCTTCTAATAGATTTAATAGCTTTAAAATAAGTTTTCCAAAATCTTTTTCTTCTAACCATTTAAATTTCTAAAGAACTTAAATTAAGATTCAATTAGAATCATTAATTAGACTCTACTGTAAATCTATTTTCAAGATTTCTATCGAATATTATTTTTAAAAGTTTTTATAACATTTTGCCAATTCATCAGCCATAAATTTTGATCTAAATAGATAATTTATAAAGAAATGAGATTATTAATGTTTGGTGGGGATGTTTTCAAACAATTAAAATTTAAAATAATATTTGATATTCTACTTCTTCTTTCAGTATTAGTTAAAACAACTTAGGTTATATACTTATTCCAACATTTTTCTATGCTCTGAGGATCAATAAAAGAATAGGATAATTAAATAAAACAAATTGGAATCAATAGTAGTTTTTTACTAAATTAAAATTGTCTTAAGAATCGCAAATCATTTTTATGAAAACTATTAGTTCTTAATTTTGCCCTTTTGATAATTTTCATCAATATCACAGTTAATAATTTTATTCAAAAATGTTATAAAAAATAGGAGAAAATTAAAAAATTTATTATCATAAACTATTCAAAGAAAAAGTATGACTTAAATACAACTAATATGATAATTATTTTTATTCATCTATTCAATAAATTCTTAAACATTCAACTTAATGAAAAAGAAACCTATCATTCAAAAATTTCAAATCCTTCATTAATTGTGTCTAATTTTAATTTGGCAACCATATTCTACAAATTATCTCTTCAAAACAATACTTTTATAAAAAATTTGAAGATAGTCCCGTGTAATCATGCACTAAAAAGTAAATTAATTCTTCCTCAATCTTAATTTTAAAAACTTTAAATTTTCCAAAAATATATTAAGACCCATCTTCTTTATTTAAATAATATAATGTTATCAGTGCAATATAAAATTAAAGAGAAATTAAGAATTTATTTTTGTTATAGTTAAATATGATTTCATCAAAATTATTATAGTAGTTTAACAAAATTTTCTTGATTAATCATTCCTTATTAATCAGAATTGCATTTTTTGAGCAGTTGTTCCCAATGATTTTCATCTATTATAATACCTCCTAGAACATCCTCGAGATTTTCCTTTTTAACGAAACCATCGTTATCTAAATCAAATTATTTAAAAGCCTGTTCCAACTTATTTGTTTTTTCTGATAATTCCTATCTTATCATTATGCTAAGAAATGCGTTGTACTCAATAGACCCAGTTTTATTAAAGTCACATTATTCCATTATTCTATCTATTTATTTTTCAATCTCATTTTCATCTAGTTTTGATTCCTTTAAACCAAAAATCAAATCTTCTCTATTTATTCTACCATCTCCATCCTTATCTAATGATTGGAAATTTCCCAAAATCTTTATCTTGTCTTCAGGTGTTAAAACCTAAAAAGTTATATATTATCGAATTAATTCTTAAATAACATTAGATTACTAAAAATAGTTTTCAATAATTTACATCAAACTTTTATAAATTATTTAGGGTTTTTAAATCTATTGTATTATTTATGTGTTCTTATAGCCAAGGATCTAGATATGCTTCCTCTGCTGATATTCTTTAATCTGGATTATATGTCATAAGTTTCTTAACAAATTTCTTGGCTTCTGGAGAAATTTTAGCCCAATCATTTTCATCAAAACTCCATCTATCATATTCGATCAATAGTTGTGTTTGTCTTGCGTCTTTGCCATTGAAGGGTAGATACCCACATAATAAAGCATAGAGGATAACTCCACAAGACCAAATGTCGCACTTTTCTGTGTATTGTTGTTTAAAAACTTCTGGGGCAGTGTAATGAGGCTAGAAACTAATAAGAAAGCATTATTACTGTCCCTAATTTAGATGTAAGGTATTTTTCTTGGATAATCTTACGAGATGTACCAAAGTCTATTACCTTTAAAACTGGTTTTTCTGATACTATATTTAGCATAAGATTTTCTAATTTTAGATCACGGTGAACTATCTTGGCTTTATGACAATATTACAAGGCGGATATGAGTTATCTCATGTAGTAAGCAGCTTCCGCTTCAGAAAATGATTTTTGTTCTTGTATTTTTTATATAAGTGAGCCTCCTTAAATTAATCTAAAAATTTAGAGAAACCAAATACTCAGTAATTAAATAGTAGTTTTTTGCATCTTCAAATAATTCAAAAAGTCTGACTATGTTTGGATGATCTAATTTGCGAAGAATGTTGACTTCTGCAAACATTTTTTCCTTTTCTTCATTGATTATCTTTTTTTTGGCCAATGTTTTTAAGGCCCTTACCTATCCACTTTACTTATGAGTAGCTTTCATAACTTGTCCAAATGCTCCAACTCCAAGAACATCGCCAAATGTATAATAATTCTCAATCTAACCATTTTTTAAGTTTATGTAAAGATCAGTTCCATATTTAAAACTGTTACCAGTGTGCCTTCGACCAGGACTACTTGGCCAATGCTTCAGCTTCAAGGCCAAGTCATCATTCTATTTTTTAGATGAACAGATTCCCATTTTTGTTAAAATTAAAATATAATATTGAATATTAATCATTTTTGTTGATTTTTACGCTAAGTTTTTCTAAGTGTTGAATCTAATTCTTTTTTTCTAATTCTGAGATCTTTTGGAGTAACCTCCACTAATTCATCATCTCTAATGTAGGCAATGACATCTTCAAGAGTAAATGTCTTGGGAGGGAATAAACTTATCTTTTCATCCGCTAAAACTGTTCTAACATTGGTTAATTTCTTTTCTCTTATGGGATTTACTTCAATGTCTTATTCTAATTTGTGCTCTCCAATAACTTAACCAACATAAACCTTTGAGCCTGGTTTGACAAATAATGGTCCAAACTTTTGGATATCTTCAAGAGCATAGCCTTAACAAACTCCTGCAGCCATAGAAATGATGGCTCCCTTTAAATTCTTTTTCAAAGTTCCTCTATATTCTTAATAACCTAAGAATTATTATTGCATAATGGCTGTTCCTCTGGTGTCATTAATTAACTCTGCTCTCAGACCGACTAAACCTCTAGTTGGTGCTGAGAATATTAATTTAACTCTAGTTTTATCGATATTTATGCAATCTTCATAAATGGCTTTTCTTTACGACATTTTATCAATTAAACCAGTCATGTATTGTTGATCAATTTCAATAGATACTTTTTCCATTGGTTCTAAAGTTTTGCCAGTCTCTGGACATTTCTTAGTAACAATTTATGGTGGTGAAACTTACATTTCAAATCCTTCCCTTCTCATATTCTCAAGCAAAATAGCAAGATGGAGATCTCCTCTTCCTAATAACTATACACAAGCACTATCGTCTGATTTATCTTTAACCAACACCTATAGTGCAACATCGCTTTATCCTTCTCTCATTAACCTTTCCTTAATCTATTAAGCATTTAATTTTGTTCCTTCCTTTCCTGCTAAAGGACCAGTATTGACACCAATTGATACTGAAATCATAGGAGGATCAATAGGGATGGATGGAATCACTTCATTTTTTCCCATTTCATTTAAGGTGTTAGTTACAATTGCATTAGTAAAGCCTGCTACTTAGACAATATCTCCAGCAACAGCTCTTGCCATTTCTAATTGTTACATTCCATATCTTCTTAAAATTTTCAAAACTTTTGCAGTTTCAACCAATTTTCCTTATTAATCGACTGCTAAAACTTTATCATTGAGTTTGATTTCCCCCTAATGAATTTTTCCTATCACAATTTTGCCATAATATGGATGACTTTCTTATTATGAAACCAACATTTTGAAATTGCTTTCAGTGCCAATTTATGGTGGTGGGATAGTTTCAACAATAGTTTCCAATACATCTTCTAATCCTTGCTTTTCAGCTTCCATGGAACCTTTTCTGACCCATCCTTCTTTGCCTGAACAGAAATACAAAGGATAGTCAAGTGATTCACTTGGAGCTTCTAAATCGCAAAACAAGTTAAAGATTTCATGCTCAACTTCTACAGGTCTAGCTGATGGCCTATCTACTTTATTAATGATGACAATTGGTTTCAAATTTGATTGCAAGGCCTTTTATAAGACAAATCTTGTTTAAGCCATTGGTCCTTCAGTTGCACAAACCAATAAACAAACACCATCAACCATTGACATAATTCTCTCTACTTCTCCTCCAAAATCTTGATGCCCTGGTGTGTCCACAATATTTATTTTGTTTCCTCCAAAAGTAACACCAGTCACCTTAGATAGAATAGTAATTCCTTTCTCTTTTTCTAATGCATTGCTGTCCATTGAATCATATTCATTTGCACAACCACTTGCTCTTAATAAAGCATCGACAAGAGTCTTTATCAAATATAATCAAATATTTACTGTTTTTCCATGGTCAACATGGGCTATGATGGCCACATTTCTAAAAATGTCTCTCGATTCTGAATGCAAGATTTTTAATATTTCCTATAGAGCTCTTATATAATATTAGTACATCTTTAGGAGCAACTTCAACCGCACCTGAAAACTATCTTACAGGGACTCTATGGAAAATTGAACTAATCTATCTCAGTGTTTTCAGCATTAATTTTAGCACCACTAATAAATTTATTTTGCTTATAAATCATAATTCTTGAGATTATATATATATATATATATATTGCATTATATAAATTATTTAATCATTAACAGAAAGTATGCTTTGGAAACCACTATCAAAGTGATCTATTTCACCACATAAGAAGGAAAACTTAAGTTAACAGGTTGCACATATTTGTAATCAAAGAGGTTTTAAATAAAAGGAGGGATAGCAATATTTCAAATCGGTGTCAAGACAACTGTTCTTAACTCACAATCATCGAAAACTATTAAATACTAAAATAGCCAAGAGCAAAGACATTGGATCACTTATAAGATTTAACATTAAAACTATTCAACAAGCTATAATTGACAGAACAGAACCATTTAAAAAAATATATATGGTTGGTAAATAAATTGGTTCAGGCTCCTATGCTAGTATTAGATTATGTGCAGATAAACTAACACTCAAAACTTATGCTCATAAAATTTACAATAAATCTACTATCTCTTCTAATCCTTAAAAGTCCATACTTTTCATATACTTCAAATGATCAAACATCCAAATATTATTAATATTTAATGTAGTCGAGACATAATTTACTCTTAGAATATATAGATGGAAAGAATTAAATACTCTAAGAGGATATAATTTAAAATAAGCTTTAGATTAATAGCATCAGTAATAAATTATTTACATTTTAGGCTCATTACTCATAGAGATGTCAAAAATGAAAACATACTTTATTCAAATGATTAAGTACACTGTTTTCTAATTCAAGAAAAAAAAAGATCTATTGTGAAAATCCTAGTTCTATGGCTCCAGAAATTGTTATAAAAAATATTACAGTGCCAACCTGCTAATATTTGGGCTTCTGGAATTGTCATCTTTTATTTAACTCAAAAAAAAAGGTTAATTCTCATTCAAAGGCTCAAAGGATAATGAATTATTTTAATTGATATTTTATTCCAAAATTAACTTTCATTCAATTAACGATCACTACTTACAAGATCTATTATGTTAAATATTATAGTTTGTTCCTTAGGATCGTATCTCTGCAGCTAGAGTAAGTTTCCTTTCTTTAGATTATTTTGCATCCTTGGTTTCTAGATTATGTAAAGCCAGTTAGTAAATCTCAATAATCTGGCTTGACTAAAATTAACTAAGTCAACCCTTATCAATAAGATTAATCTACAGTTAAGAAAAATGATAAAGCCTCAATAGAATATCAATTAGATCATTCATAATTCATAAAGGGCATAGTTTATTCATATATGAGTTAATTTGTACTACATCTAATTATAGGAATATTTTTATTAGTTTTGATGAGCATCTATATATTAATTTGATTATAAACTACTATTAAATTATATTATTAAATCAATCATTTTAAAGATTAGTTTGATTTGCATTTAAATTGATAAAAAATAATCAGAAACTTTTTCTAATCCCCTTTCTTCATTAACTTTGAATTATCCATGCTAATCAACAATAATGTCAAGAGTCAAAAATTGGTGAACCTACCCAATTAAGTGAATTAGAATCCAAAAACTATTCAATAAACGGTTTATAAATGTGTTGAAAATCTAAAACTTCTCTTCTTAGAGCTTATTTTCAACTATTCTTTGGTATGTGCTTTCACTAAATTATTTAAGTAAAACCAAATAAAGAAGAGATGCAACAATCTCTCTTCTTGAAATTAATATAATGTAATATCTAAGATTACACAGTCAAATAATGCAATAAATGTCGAAGCAATGTGTACGAAGCTTGTTNAGAACAGAACCATTTAAAAAAATATATATGGTTGGTAAATAAATTGGTTCAGGCTCCTATGCTAGTATTAGATTATGTGCAGATAAACTAACACTCAAAACTTATGCTCATAAAATTTACAATAAATCTACTATCTCTTCTAATCCTTAAAAGTCCATACTTTTCATATACTTCAAATGATCAAACATCCAAATATTATTAATATTTAATGTAGTCGAGACATAATTTACTCTTAGAATATATAGATGGAAAGAATTAAATACTCTAAGAGGATATAATTTAAAATAAGCTTTAGATTAATAGCATCAGTAATAAATTATTTACATTTTAGGCTCATTACTCATAGAGATGTCAAAAATGAAAACATACTTTATTCAAATGATTAAGTACACTGTTTTCTAATTCAAGAAAAAAAAAGATCTATTGTGAAAATCCTAGTTCTATGGCTCCAGAAATTGTTATAAAAAATATTACAGTGCCAACCTGCTAATATTTGGGCTTCTGGAATTGTCATCTTTTATTTAACTCAAAAAAAAAGGTTAATTCTCATTCAAAGGCTCAAAGGATAATGAATTATTTTAATTGATATTTTATTCCAAAATTAACTTTCATTCAATTAACGATCACTACTTACAAGATCTATTATGTTAAATATTATAGTTTGTTCCTTAGGATCGTATCTCTGCAGCTAGAGTAAGTTTCCTTTCTTTAGATTATTTTGCATCCTTGGTTTCTAGATTATGTAAAGCCAGTTAGTAAATCTCAATAATCTGGCTTGACTAAAATTAACTAAGTCAACCCTTATCAATAAGATTAATCTACAGTTAAGAAAAATGATAAAGCCTCAATAGAATATCAATTAGATCATTCATAATTCATAAAGGGCATAGTTTATTCATATATGAGTTAATTTGTACTACATCTAATTATAGGAATATTTTTATTAGTTTTGATGAGCATCTATATATTAATTTGATTATAAACTACTATTAAATTATATTATTAAATCAATCATTTTAAAGATTAGTTTGATTTGCATTTAAATTGATAAAAAATAATCAGAAACTTTTTCTAATCCCCTTTCTTCATTAACTTTGAATTATCCATGCTAATCAACAATAATGTCAAGAGTCAAAAATTGGTGAACCTACCCAATTAAGTGAATTAGAATCCAAAAACTATTCAATAAACGGTTTATAAATGTGTTGAAAATCTAAAACTTCTCTTCTTAGAGCTTATTTTCAACTATTCTTTGGTATGTGCTTTCACTAAATTATTTAAGTAAAACCAAATAAAGAAGAGATGCAACAATCTCTCTTCTTGAAATTAATATAATGTAATATCTAAGATTACACAGTCAAATAATGCAATAAATGTCGAAGCAATGTGTACGAAGCTTGTTAGGTACAAATACCAAGTGCTCCAAAGATAAAGAGTAGGAGGATTTATCAACCATTATAATTAAGTGAGCATATGTTATTCTTTTTTAATGATTTGTTATTCTGTGAAGCTATAATTACTGGCTTAAGAGAGATTTCCTATGATTCAATTAATAAAATACTTCTATTTACATACAATATATATACTTGCTAAACCCAGTAATTGCAATTCTTATTTATAGATTTACATATATCTGTCAATAATGTGAATGCAAAGATGTAAGGTTTCTCTTTTTAAAGTGAATTCTTTGCAAACTTCACTAATCCAATCAAATAAGATGGATCTCATAATAGGTGTTTGATGTTCAAAAAAATGGATGTATTCAATATTCTTATTCCTTTTAGTGTAATAACCTAGGAGTAAATTCATCAAAATGCTATCTTGGTTATCAATGATTCCTATTTATTCTTCACAAACAATGTCTATTTTTTTTAATTTTGTTTTATTATTGAGTTGTTCTTTTAATAAGTTAGCTAATTTATTTTCTAATATCCTCTGAAATATCATTTTAAGGAGTTTTGTTCTTTTTTGTATGCTCCTATAGAACCTTCCTTAGAGAAATAATATATTATTAAATGTATGTTTTGTTTCTTACATTTTAAACATTTTATACATAGTTCCAAACAATTTAGATAAGGTTTTCTTTAAGATGTGTTTGTGTGGGGTGTTTGGGTGTTTGCAATACTTTTCATCTAATATTTAATGTCGTTTGACCTCAATTAGATTAAAGAAATAATTTTGAAACAAAAATAATTTATAAATTAAGATTTTAATAAAAGGCTCAATTTTATATTTTGATTATTTTATTAAATTTAATATTGGTATTATTGAAAATTTGGTATATTGAACTGATATCTAGCCTATCAGTTTTTAATGGATTAAGGCCTAAAATATAACATATATTACATTTGAAAATGTTTACTAGCATATTAAATAAGATTTATCTTGGACTCCTTTGGTACTAAAATATAGCTGAATCCTCATCTAAATGAAATTTCAAGGATTTAAATTGCTATATGTAATCTTTCTTAGACATAAAAGCCTGTTTGATTATATGAATTTTATACTATTGGCAATTTTCCAATTAATAATTCGTAAGCCACTACACCAAAAGAAAACACATCTGCTTTATCTGTTACATCATTGTTTTGCATAATTTCTGGGGCAGTATAGGGCACTGAGAATTTAACACTCTCTCTTTAAAATGGATATTGAGGATGATAAGCTTCTCCAAAATCACAAATTTTAACCCTACCTTTTTTGCTTATCTAAAATTTTCATACGAATATTTACTAAAATATTATCCGGCTTTATGTCTAAATGCAAAATTTATATTTTATGCATGTCCTAAATGCCCTTAGCTAGTTATTTTAATATTTTAATTTTTCTTTTTAATGACATGACATTTCTATATTTTTGCTAATACTCTCTCAAACTTTTGAAATGATAAAACTTTAATTAATATTCATCATAATTGTTCTGTATGTAATAAATCTAGGCTATATATTTTGAATAACTATTTTCAAAACATTTCTTCATAAATTGGATTTCCTTTTTTAATTTACTTTTATCCCCATCTTTCTTTACAACTAAGTTTAATGGTTTGTTTATTTTAGGAATAATTATACATGTTTTATAAATTTTATGAAATCCGCCTTCATCTATCAAACTTAAATTATGAATTTCGTATTTTTGATGAGCTATTTGGAGTTTTGTATTATTCTGTTTATTATTCTTATTATTATTCTTATTATTATTCTAATTATTATTCTCATTATTATTCTCATTATTATTCTAATTATTATTCTTATTATTATTCTCATTATTATTCTAATTATTATTCTCATTATTATTCTCATTATTATTCTCAGTATTATTCTAATTATTATTCTCATTATTATTCTCATTATTATTCTAATTATTATTCTCATTATTATTCTAATTATTATTCTTATTATTATTCTAATTATTATTCTTATTATTATTCTCATTATTATTCTAATTATTATTCTTATTATTATTCTCATTATTATTCTAATTATTATTCTCATTATTATTCTCATTATTATTCTCAGTATTATTCTAATTATTATTCTCATTATTATTCTCATTATTATTCTAATTATTATTCTCATTATTATTCTAATTATTATTCTTATTATTATTCTAATTATTATTCTTATTATTATTCTCATTATTATTCTAATTATTATTCTTATTATTATTCTCATTATTATTCTAATTATTATTCTCATTATTATTCTCATTATTATTCTCAGTATTATTCTAATTATTATTCTCATTATTATTCTCATTATTATTCTAATTATTATTCTCATTATTATTCTAATTATTATTCTTATTATTATTCTAATTATTATTCTTATTATTATTCTCATTATTATTCTAATTATTATTCTTATTATTATTCTCATTATTATTCTAATTATTATTCTCATTATTATTCTCATTATTATTCTCAGTATTATTCTAATTATTATTCTCATTATTATTCTCATTATTATTCTAATTATTATTCTCATTATTATTCTAATTATTATTCTTATTATTATTCTAATTAATATTCTTATTATTATTCTCATTATTATTCTAATTATTATTCTTATCATTATTCTCATTATTATTCTTATTATTATTCTCATTATTATTCTAATTATTATTCTCATTATTATTCTCATTATTATTCTCAGTATTATTCTAATTATTATTCTCATTATTATTCTAATTATTATTCTTATTATTATTCTAATTAATATTCTTATTATTATTCTCATTATTATTCTAATTATTATTCTTATCATTATTCTCATTATTATTCTAATTATTATTCTTATCATTATTCTCATTATTATTCTCATTATTATTCTAATTATTATTCTTATCATTATTCTAATTATTATTCTTATCATTATTCTCATTATTATTCTAATTATTATTCTTTTAAAACTATTCTTAACCTTGGACTTGTTAATTTAGAAAATGATTGGTTTCTTCATACTAACTTTCAGACTAATCATCATTTTATTATTCATCACATTGCACTTTATCGAACTCTTATTTCTGACTAAATTGAGAAGATTAGGATTCTCTCTATTCTTTCTCATTTGGTACTTGATAACTGGAGCTCATTTAATTTGAAATTTCATTTTTAGAAATTAGAGTGGTTGGACTCTTTAAAATCTTGAATTAGTATTATGGGATGATAATATCAATAATTAATTTAAAATTTTTGACTGCATCTTCGATAATGCTCTAAATTTGTTCTAACTTTATAAGTTTCAATTTTTTAATCTCATAAATAATCTAGCTTGTTTAACTTAAATATATAAATGATCCTATTTTCAACTAACGATTCAAATTTAAGCAAATATTATTAATAGTAAATGTTGAGTCTTTTTTAAATAAATTAAATACCTGATATAAGAAGTATTTGATATTAATTCGACATTAAATTCATTTACATTTAGATCATTTTGTCACCATCAATTTTAGATACTAATATTAAATAATTCTAAAATTTGCCATTTTCTGACTAATATTGATTATTTTCATGATCTTTTCTCCATTAGCAGATTTAAATTTCATTATTCAAAGATTTCAAGAATTTGAACAAGTTAAAAAAGTCATCAAATATCATAATGTTTTTCAAATTCACATATGAACATTCATCATTAGAGAACCCTTAATTTTGTATTTCCCATTCATCTTTATACAATTACTTATATGAATCTTAGTCCTATTCTTGTTATTATTTTTTATTATCATATTGTTTTTATTCTAATTAATATTATGATTATTATTCCTCTTTTTCTTGTTATTAATGTAATTGATCTTATTGTTTTTATCCACCTTCATCTTATTATTAATTTTATGATTATTATTCCTCTTATTCTTGTTATTAATGTAATTGATCTTATTGTTTTTATTCATCTTCATCTTATTATTATGTTTATTCTTGTTACCATACCTCTTATGTTATATTTTCTAAAACTTATTGCTAGTTTTGCTAATCGTCTCTTTCTTCATTTTATTGAATTTCATTTTTTAATTCATGCAATGGTTCGCTTTTATTGGGATCAATAATTAATTCCTTATCTATCTCATCTTTACCAATTTCATTGAAATCGTTGGGGTTCGATTATTTCTTCTGTTTTGAGGACATGAAGTTATTAATAATAATTATATCTATAAATTTGTATTTTCAAATGACTTCCTGATTTATAAAATGTATCTGATGATCTCGAATATCGATTTTATTTTCTTGATCCTCTTGATTTTCTTGAATACTCTTTATTGATAAACAATGCTTTTTACTATGTTTTGAGAATTAAACATCAATTAAAAATCCAGAAATTTCTTTGAATAGCAATAGTTATTTATTTTCATCTATTTTATAAATCTTAATTTTATTGAAATTAAATTAAAATGCTAAGAATTATCTACTTATTAAATGAGCTTTAATAACGTATTTGCTGAGATCCTAATCATCAAATATTTTTTGAAAGTATGGTTGTTGATTTAATAATTCTTTTTATTTAATTTAATAAACTTCATAATATTAATTTTCCTAATGAAAGAATAAATAATTTTATTTACATGTTCATCAAATCTTTTAAAAAGCATAACAACATATTCACCATCTTAAATTATTTGTTTTAAGAATCCTTCAAATGGAACCCAAACCCAGAGTAATTCATCAATATTAGAAGCATTATAAACTTTGATTTTACAGTAAGAATCTCCTAGAATCATGACTTTTTGATTATTGATTTCTAGATATTTAAAGCATTTAGGAATAGCAAGATTAGTTTATATTGGTGTCATTTCTTTTGTAATTGATTATGTTCCTTCCTATCCTAATTGAAATGACCACATATCTCCGTGTTTATCACAAACATAAACAGTATCATTGCTTTCATTAACTGTGATTCTCTTCACCTTTTTAAGAAGTTTAAGAGTGAATGTCAACTAAAGGTTTTTATAAACTTTGACTGTCTTATCCAAACATGCCACAATTATGAAATCCTTATAAGCTATAACTTCTCTTCCTTTTATGTCTATGATTTCATGTTATTAATCTTGCTAAACAACTGCAATGTTGTCAGATAATCTTAATCCGAACATTAAATTTAATACACAATTTAATTATCAAATTTTAAAAGCAAAAATAAAAAAATTCATATTGAGAAACTCAAAGTTTAGAGATACAAATTTTTGTATATATTTAATAATTTAATTCTATATTATATTAATCAAAATGGGTTAGTGTATTACAAAAGAAGGTGATGAACAAAGAAGCATATAAAGAAACTCTTAAAAACCGACAATTTAGCCATTGAATAGAACATACAGTTCTAAACTGTTAAACCCAAACATTACAGATTGTGTCATACTAGAAGAGGAGTCATATTTATAATAGAGCTCCTTATACTCCATATATACAATCATGGAAGAAAACTAAGTTAAAAGATCAACTCTAGCCAATGCAGTCTCTAAAGTGAAACCATTAGGCAGTGCAATTACATCAGGAATATCAGTGCAATTCATCAATATTAGTAATGGTAGAAAATTGCATTCTCATGCTATTAAGTAAGAAAAAGGCTTAAAACAACATGAAGTAAGTTTATGCAATGAAATTGAAAAGAACGACTATGATGAATGGTTAATTTTAACTAATCATTATGAACCTGTTAAAGATGGTGATGTAGTGGCAGTATTTATATTTTATATATTCAGATTTAACACAAGATCACAAAATGCATCCTCAGATCTAGTAATAACATCTTGACTAAATCAAAATTATAACAGGTTTCTTGCGTTGATATCATTTAAGATTTAACAGAGGATGATTATTGGATAATAGAGATTATTAATGATTCTAAATAAATTAACAAATTGCATAGCAATAACCTGATTAGTAAAATTTGAATTTATCTTAAATTAGGAATTAAACATGCTCAAACCAATACCTATTTGTCTGGGACCAAAAATAAAGCTGTACTAAAAGGTCATATGGAAGTGTGTGTAACTTAATAGCCTGGCCATGATATTTGGGTTGTGGAAGATACATTTTGATAGTAAAAATTACTATTTCTTTATTTTTTTATTTTTTTATATTATTGGGGATATTATATATATTAATTTTATTTTATGAAAATATAGCACCTTCTCATTCAATTATTAATATTTACAACAGTCTAAGCAATCTGTATTTAGCTACTATTTGATCCTTGGTCATAAGAAAGATTTGAAAGAATGTCAAGAGAAAATGCAAGATTATTTAACCCATTATTATAAATATTGAATAGAATTGATTTCATTAGAGAAGCTATCGCTATTTTAGGGATTTTGAGTTCCTTAATGTATTTATTTGGGTATAGAATATCTTATTATATGAAGATCAAAGTTTTTTGGGCAATTGACTATTTTGTGGTTGGTTTGTTATTGGGTAATATTCTTTAATTTCAATATCTTAAGAAGTGAAAGATTTTTTGTATATGTATTACCTGGAACATTTGGAATATGTGCATTTTCAAATACACTCCTAAAAACATTATGATAAATTAATATATAACGTTAAAATAATTAGAAATATTTTTTTAAATTTTATGATCCCTCGCAAGTCATCTATGTCTAAGAAAACTATTGGTCAGCCTAAATTCATCTTAAAAGACGACAATACTTTAGATTCATCATATTTGGAGATGTATTAATAAAATAAAAATCATAATCCTGGTCAAAGGCTACAATAAATACTCCAAAAATAAATAAATCAGTCATAAAAGAATAAATCGGTAGAAGAAGATAGATTAACAAGATAATAATTTATTAATAGAAGCTAATAAGTAGTACGCTAAGACTTGGGATCATATACTCCTTAAAATATTTCCTATGATGAAGTCGATTTAAGAGAAGAAAATAAATAGTTAAAATGTACTCTAATATAAATATTATTTAGAGTAAATAAGAAAATTACAATTAGAATTACAATAGAGTAAACATTAAAATTAGTTACTGATTCAAGATTTCGAATAATTAAGAGATCAATTAGAAAAATAATCAGAAGAATTTAATCAAGCCTTTGAATTGATAAATGAAGAAAAATAATTAATCCAATAAGAAATAGATTAAAAAGATTAAATAATTGCTTAATTAAGATTACAATTGGCTCCTCCGAGTAAAACATAAATGCAAATAGATGAAATCAAAAATAGAATCTTAGCTCGCAAATCTGTTCATCGAAGTTCAAGAGAAAATATCACTCAGTTGATGAATGATATGGATCAATCGGCTAGATAAGATTTAAAAGAAAATTTTATGGATTACAATAATAGAATAACACTATAGAAATCGATTAAATGAATTACTTAATTAATTAATATTGACCTAAATAGAATATTAAATACTCCATATTGTTATTTATTTTAAATAAATATAAAAAATAATCAACTTTATAAAAGAGTCTAAGAATCAAGCTTTATCTCTTAGTAATATTCCCATCACTTATTTTTCACTCATCTGTAAAACAAGTTAATATTGATGTGTTTCGCCATAAAGTTTGATGGCCAAAGTTTTTGGACTAGGAATTTCATTAAAAATAGTGGGCTAATTCATATCAATATATCCAATGCATTATTATTGATCACACTGAACCGAAAATAATTTCCATTCTTTATTTATCTCCTTATTCATCCATGGATTTAAGTCAGACAATCTAAATGTGAAATGAGTTATTAATGGTAGCACTTAGACATCTAAATTTTGTTATCTTAATTTTGACATAAATTATGGAGATTGATTATCATCAAATTCAGGAATAGTAAATTCTAAATATGTTTCATCTATTCTGATTATTAATATCTATTAATCTTAACTCATAAGGCTATCTTTTATTGCACTTTCCAATCTCTCAAGTTCTTTTGACCAAAAAATATAATTAGATAAATTAAATCTATTATTTATATGAAATTTTAATAATGAAATTTTTCCACTGCAATAATGAAGTTCTTGTAAACCCAGTGACTTTCTTAAATTTATTGTATTTTATGGTATGCCTGCAAAATTTCCGTCTTCATCTACTATACAATCTTATTAAATGATTGTTTTGATATTTTTTTTGTTCAAGGCTTCTTTTAACACACAAAATAACCCATAATCATTTACGTATTTACCAGCACATAATGCATTTTAGATTAACAATTCATTTGATTATTATAATTCTTAAAAATCCAAAGGTTCCATTGTTTTTAAATAGAAACTCAAATCTTTATGAAACTTTTAACCTAATAATAAAATTCCTTTTTTAATGGTTTTTATTTTCTTTGTTGGTGGTACTTTAGGAGTTTTCAGATTTTCATCATTCTATTTGTCAAGGGGGGCTAAATCTTTTAAAAGATGATTAGTGATGATTCTTTCTTTTTGAGATTGAGAGGCCTCTTGATTTGTAGGGAGCTCCATAGTAAATCGTTTGCTCTATTATTCTAAGAAATTAAAGCGAATAAGTAACTTTTTGATTCTTCCAATAGTTTGGACTGATGAACAGAAATATTCATCTTTCGCTTGCTGATCTCAAGTGAATTTAATATTTGTTGGAATTAATCATTCTCATCACTTTATGACATAATTATTATATAATCATTTTTATAATGGCATACTTTATATTAAAAAGGACTTCTACTTTTTAGAGTAATAAACCAATTAAATATTCTAGTAGCATTGCTTAATTTGGAGGCCTCAAAAAGGAATACCTATTTAATTTGATTTATTCTTTTGCAAACTTTAATTCTTGCAATTGAGAAGATTGACAATTTTAGGCTATTTTTATGACATAGTAGACATAAAATAGACCAACTCTTTTTATGGCTATTTATTGTTGATATATTTTCTTTTTAGAATATATACCAAAATATTTAGCAATTCTACTTTTCAGAAAATCCAAAATTTTTTGAATTCCATATAATTTAATCCTATCTAATCGATAGCTAGATATTCCTTCTTATAAAACTTATTCAAAATAACTGCTTTCAATCTTAGATATTCTTAATATATATTATATTCTTTTAAATTCTACTTGACTTTTAAAGATTCTTCTTTTGCTTCACCTATCAAAACCACGATGTTAATATTAGAATACTACATTTAAAGTAGCTTAGATTTTATTGTTTTATAAACTCATGTTATATCAATAGGATAACTTCTGTTCATTAAACATTACATAAGTCTTAGTAGGAAATACAAAAAGTTGTGCGTTACGATCTTTCTATCACGTTTTATTTATTAATCATATTCAAGAGGTATAAATATTATTGATTAAGCTTAAATTTCACATAAACCTAACTTTTTTATCCTTCGGATATTTGGAATAAATAAAGTTAGCATTTATATAACCTATAACTCTATTAATCAAAGATTAAGTCTCAAAAAGGAATAAACTTTTAAGTTTTTGATCATGACTAAACTTTAAAAATTATTTGGTATGAATTCATCCTTTGGGTATAAACCTAAATTAATTACAAGATTTGGCTTTGAGATGAGGATGGTTTGTTTTTCTTTTTACCAAATGATGGTGTTATTGACTTTATCATTTTTGATTTGAAAGAAATTTTTCTTCTAATATATTAATCAATACTGTTATTTCTTATTATTAATATTTAGAAGTTAGATCAATTTGTGATTATATTAACAGTATTTATACAAATGAAGTGCAGAATTTTTGCTTTTATCAAATGTTTGATTGCCTGAGTCTCTTCATCGAAGTATTGCGATTTGGTAGATGCTACAGACCTATTTATGGTTTATCTTAAACTAAACTATATTTCTAAAAATTACATAAACAACCGAAATGGCTAGCCATTTTATTCCTTAAAGAGATCTAAAAAATTTTCATTAAACTTTAATTAATCTAGACTGCTCTATGCTCAAAATTATGCTGATTCTTTAATCTAGTTTTCAAATGCTTCAAATTAAGGATATTGTATTTTTTCATTTCTATTACTATCCTTTTGTGTTGATTCAAATTTATCTTGCATTCTTGTAGATACTTCTTTTTCAGTTAAATTTTAAGTTTTTTGAGAATGATATCGAAGATGTTCAAATCTTTTATTTGTAAATAATAGACTTGGTTATTGAATGCTAGATTTTTTCATGATCCTACTTTCTTCTTATAGATTCAATAGGGGTTATTGACATCTTTTAATAATGAGTTTTTAAAATTTGTTGATTGCTAAACTCCTATGTTATCTTAGAACCATTAACTTAAATTAGTTTGAGTGTATAATAATAACTTATTCTCTATTGATCATCAATATGAAATACTCTGACGTTAATAATTACAAAAATTGGTATTATCTGTACTTTAATTTGATAAATGGATTTAGTAAAGTAAGCGTTTCAAAAGTTATACTTTCCAGATTAATGCTACGAAAACATGAAAGTGTAGATAGATTAATTCTCTTATAATGAAATAAATAGTCTGATGGAATTCTATGTTTAGAATTATTTAGATGTAATAATTTCTAGCAATTAGAGAGTATAAAACGATCAGCGTTAGTGACTTTATTAGAATTAGAAAGGCAATATCAAAAGAGCTTGTTAATTGTTAGAGACTAGAATACCAAAGACAAACATTTTAGGATGGATTATTTTAAGTCAATAAGATAAACTTGGCATTAATGGAAATATGCAGAATATACAAATTTAATGAATTAATTGAACCTCACTTTGTCATCCAATATTGTAATACTTTAAACCAAAAATTATAATTCACTCAGAACTAAAGGCTTATTGGCTAACCTATTGTTAACAAGAATAAGGAAAGGAGGAAACTAAGGATTTGAAAAAAAGATTATAATGTCCAATGACAAATCACCTGATAACCAAAAATTATAGATGAATTTACTTCCAAATTAGGAGAAAAATATGATGAATTTAAAGAAAAAATTGTGATTGCAGCTAATGATTCATTTCATATTGTATAATGTATTCAATCAATTATGTCGTTTTTTTGTATCGATCTATAAGGTTGTTCACATTTCTCTCTAATTGGTTACCCATTATTTAAATTAAAAATTATTATAAATCAGGTTTACTTTATTTCCTTATTTCCTACGAATCAATCATTTTCAAATCTGGATCATCAGTTTGAACATTTAAGAAAGGGTTTTACTCTACCCCTTTATTTTTTCTCATATGTTCTTAATTTTTCTTTTTATTTTTGGATTCCTGTTTGATTGAACACTTGTTTTTATCATTTTCATCTTCATCCTCGATTAAATTATCTAATTCTTATTCTTATTTGTTGTAATACTAAGTATTTGACTTTAAGATTATCTAACATAGTTTGGTAATTCTTTGTTGAACTCATTAATTTATGGTTGTTTAACCTCATCCTCTTCTTCATTTTCATTGATATCAAAAGGAGAATCAATTTGTTAGAGAAGAATCCTTTGTTGCTTATTTTGTTGAGTTATGAGTGCATAGAAATGATCAACTTCTAAATTACTTAATGTAACTTCAACTTATTATAAGATTTCTAAATAAATCTAATATTACGATAATTTTACATCAATATTCATATACCCATTTGTATTTGTATCTGGATGCTTCTTTATTAAAATATCTGAAATTTCATTTTTCTTCTTCATAATTTACTAATTGATGCTATTTAATTGTTGTGTAGTCAATATCTAATAGTTTTTCATGAGAGTTTTAAATATACTTCGAACACGTGCACTATTAGTGGTTTCAGTTTCATTGTCGACATCAGCTAATAGATTGTTACCATTTCAATTTATTCAATTGTTTAGAGGCCGAAGATTCTATTGGACAAATTTTACTTAAGTTGATGTTAAGTTAAATTTTCATGAGTTAAGAGATATTACTCTACTTACTATAAGGAGATCTTTATTTCAATAAGATTCAATCGACCTATTAAGCTATAGCCAAAATCTCATTTTTCTCCACATTGATAATCTTTTTCTTTTACAAATCATTATTCTCTTGTTACTAAACTTGCTTTTCAGGTTGTTAGGGTCCATTATTCTTTATTAGAATTGTTCTTTTAGATTAGTACTTTTAAATTTTCCCTTAATCATATTCTCTTTATAATATTTCATATTATCTCTTTTAATCGGATAATTTTTTTCTCAAGATTACCTATTTATTCTTGATTTTCAGCTTGCATTTTCTGCATCATATTTTCCAAATATTTGTTTTTCTACCTCTCATTTTTTAGATCTACAAGTGCTTAGTCAAAATCTAACTATAAATATTCTTCAACCTTTTTGTTGTCCTTCTATTGCGGTCTTTCACGAAATAAGATATCTTTTTACTTTAATTCTGCTATCTCCAAAAGTAATTAAGAATTGAGGTTCTTCAATTATTTATACTTATTTAATATTGTATTGTATCTTACATTCATCTTATTGAATTAACTCTAATATAATTAATTTTAATACTTAGGCTTGGTTTACTGATTATTCTTGATATCAAATCATTAGAGCCAGTTTCAAATTATCTTATTATTGTAATTTGATATTTTCATCCTAATATTGAGACAACAAAGTACCTCTAATCTAGTGATTTTTTCTAAGTACCCTTGTTTTAGTAGTGAATTACTTTTGGTGGGAGTTCCCTCATCTTTTCATATTGATTGCACTTCTCTTTTGAAATATTAAATTTATGATTGGAACTATCTCAATGCTAACTTTAATTTATTGTTCTCCTATTTCAATTTCTGGATTCCTCATGTAAGCTTTCCTTATCCTGGATAATATATTTTGCTCTCAATTTATTTGCCTCCACATTGTCTAGGGTTCTGTTCCTGGAATACAGGTTTATCTGTGTAATTGCTTCTATGAATGCACTTATAAAGATTTTTATGTCTGAGAAATCGATAGCATCTTTTTTTATAATTAATAATAGAATGCAATCATTAATCTAAGCTTTTCAGCAGAAAATATCCTTGTCTGCTTCATTTGTTAAATAATCTACTCCATAAATATTATTTGGCATAAGTCTACTTTCTTGTTTATACCTTTTAAATAAATAATAAAAAGAGGAAAACCAAGTTGAACCTGAAAAGATTGAAAAAAAATTAAAAAAAAAAGCATCCAGCCAAAAACATCTGGAAGAAAATAAGCCATAATATGTCGATGTGATACAAGATCTGGTATGAATAGTTTAATTTAAAAGAAAAAAAGCTAAAAGAAATTAAACAAAAAAATTAATAAGCAATTCGATGATTCAATTGACAACACTGAAGAAAACATACCAAGATCACCTGATTATAGCGTGGTTTCAGAAATAGATTAGAAATACTTTTTAGAGCTGATACAAAATTAAAAAAATACTAAAAGAGCATACTAAACTGATTGCGAATCAACACCCGTGATATCATTAAGAGGGTAAATTTCATGAAAGACTTTTTAGATTCAGGAGAAATTAGTAATTGATAGGAGAAGAAGATAAAAAAGGAGAAGATAGATTGTTTTATATTCTGAAATAACGTGTCATCGAATAAGAGGAGAAGGAAAATGAAATTGATGAAGACGATTATTGAAATAATTAGTCGACATTATGATTAAAATCAAATAAACACTATCATCACCTTCTCAGGGAATTTTTCCACCCGGTTGCATGTCTCGTTTAATAATCTGATCATTTTTCTTTCAGTCTCATCTCGTTGTATCTATTCTTATGCCAATTACAATTTTAAAATATTGTTTATCTCCTAAGTCATAGTCCCCATTTGGTTCTGAGATTCTGATCTTTAATGCTTTTCTTAATTCAATGTTTCCTGCACTAAAAATAATTATTCTCCCATTCTACCTACAAACTCTTGATATAACATTTCTCTATTAATTATAGTTTATCATACCTCTCTCTTCTCTTAATCTTCACTTAAATTCTGAATTCTATTATTTTTGTATTGCTCTTCAGTCTCATGTCTATACTTTTGTTCAATTCTAATCTTATTTTGTAAGATTATTCATCCAATAATTTCATCAATCGTGTCTCAAATGCCTCTTTTAGTAGTCTATTATACACTATTTTCTTGGACTTTAAAGGGTCTTAATAAAAGGTTTTAGAATTAGTCTAATAATAAATTTTATTTTATTTTAGATTCTTGATTATTTAAAGATTTCTTAACGTTTGTTCTATTTTATTCAATTTCTTCTGTAATGATTGTAGCCTACTATGAGCAATCTAAACCTTTTAGTTTATTGAATTCAATTTTGCTTCATATGTTTCTATTTTAGTGTTTTATCTTTATCTATTGATAATTATGATAGTGTTTCGTTTCATTAAATTACTAGAGACTTATTTGGAGATACTGCTTGTGTATTTTTGTAGTATACCAGAAGTTCCATCAAACAAGGACATCATCATAGAGGAATTTCTTTGTTTTTTTGTATTTGGGAAGAATATATTGAGCTATTTAACATTTAATTAATAAAATATAATAAATAAAATGAATAGAACTCCTCATATGGATTAATTGATCTCCAAAATCTATAGATAACGTAAAAATGTAAGTCTAATATGTTAANATTAAACAAAAAAATTAATAAGCAATTCGATGATTCAATTGACAACACTGAAGAAAACATACCAAGATCACCTGATTATAGCGTGGTTTCAGAAATAGATTAGAAATACTTTTTAGAGCTGATACAAAATTAAAAAAATACTAAAAGAGCATACTAAACTGATTGCGAATCAACACCCGTGATATCATTAAGAGGGTAAATTTCATGAAAGACTTTTTAGATTCAGGAGAAATTAGTAATTGATAGGAGAAGAAGATAAAAAAGGAGAAGATAGATTGTTTTATATTCTGAAATAACGTGTCATCGAATAAGAGGAGAAGGAAAATGAAATTGATGAAGACGATTATTGAAATAATTAGTCGACATTATGATTAAAATCAAATAAACACTATCATCACCTTCTCAGGGAATTTTTCCACCCGGTTGCATGTCTCGTTTAATAATCTGATCATTTTTCTTTCAGTCTCATCTCGTTGTATCTATTCTTATGCCAATTACAATTTTAAAATATTGTTTATCTCCTAAGTCATAGTCCCCATTTGGTTCTGAGATTCTGATCTTTAATGCTTTTCTTAATTCAATGTTTCCTGCACTAAAAATAATTATTCTCCCATTCTACCTACAAACTCTTGATATAACATTTCTCTATTAATTATAGTTTATCATACCTCTCTCTTCTCTTAATCTTCACTTAAATTCTGAATTCTATTATTTTTGTATTGCTCTTCAGTCTCATGTCTATACTTTTGTTCAATTCTAATCTTATTTTGTAAGATTATTCATCCAATAATTTCATCAATCGTGTCTCAAATGCCTCTTTTAGTAGTCTATTATACACTATTTTCTTGGACTTTAAAGGGTCTTAATAAAAGGTTTTAGAATTAGTCTAATAATAAATTTTATTTTATTTTAGATTCTTGATTATTTAAAGATTTCTTAACGTTTGTTCTATTTTATTCAATTTCTTCTGTAATGATTGTAGCCTACTATGAGCAATCTAAACCTTTTAGTTTATTGAATTCAATTTTGCTTCATATGTTTCTATTTTAGTGTTTTATCTTTATCTATTGATAATTATGATAGTGTTTCGTTTCATTAAATTACTAGAGACTTATTTGGAGATACTGCTTGTGTATTTTTGTAGTATACCAGAAGTTCCATCAAACAAGGACATCATCATAGAGGAATTTCTTTGTTTTTTTGTATTTGGGAAGAATATATTGAGCTATTTAACATATAATTAATAAAATATAAAAAATAAAATGAATAGAACTCCTCATATGGATTAATTGATCTCCAAAATCTATAGATAACGTAAAAATGTAAGTCTAATATGTTAACAAAAAGTAAACTCCAAATGATTATTCTAGAGAGATGTACTCTCATCCAAATAGCCATCAAGCATCTAACAAAGACCTTTTGAATTTGACTAGCAAATAAAAATTAAATAAATCATGTAACTACAATTCAAACTTACATCAACGACTCTAATCCAAAGCAGGTGGAGATATAAAATAAAAATTATTAGATGAAAGTAAATGTATGTAATTACTTTCACAGTTTTAAGAGGATCGCATTCCAACATTTCTACTAGTTATTTAATCAGTACACTAAAAGAAAAGGTTAGTGAAAAGATCAATTAAAAGGTTTAAAAATACAACACTTGCTAAGAAGCCTCGTCATTCACAGTGCCTGAAAAAGAGCTCTCCCCAAAACCTATGTTCAAAATTCTTGAAAACTTTCTCTTTGCTGAATGTTAAAACCTCAAAAACCAAGTTTCACTTAACTCATTCCAAGAACTACTTGATAAAATGGAAATAAAAGAGCAATCTTTAAAAATCTCAATTTTTGCAGATTTAAAAAAGCTTTTCATTATCTTAGCTTAATCTATTCGAAATGATGTTCAAACATACAAAAAAGAAATTGATTCTCTGCTTCGATAAAATAATTCGTAGAAATCCCAAATCCAAGAAATGAATTCTAAGTTGGATAAATTCAAATCTGTTATTGAAAATTAACAGAAATAAATCAAAATGAAAAGTGAAGAAAACTTTATTTCAATCATGAACACTTTAAGATCTCATGGAGTTGACCCTCGAAAAATGTTGAAAAAATGTTAAGATAATGTCGAAACTTGTAAACTCAAATAAGAACAATCTGAATTCATAGATGAATCCTAAAAATATAGCTCAGATGATTCTATTCCATTTGGTAATTAAAATTTATTACTTTAGTCGATCCGCAAACAATAATAAAAAATGAAAAAAAGGTAATAGGACTAGCTCTAAATTTAAATCCCTTAAAAGATCCAAAAAAAGCACCTATTGGATATTAAGATGAATTTATGGCTAATATTAATGAATTCAGCGAAAGTTGGAGATAATAGGCATTAGCTGAAAAAAGATTTTGACTTTTTATTTTATTTTTTTATATTGATTAAGTAAGATATAGATTAGACATACCTGAAGAGATTGTTAAATGATTGAATATCTAATATTGTTACTAATTAAGACAATTATTTCGAAACAATGAATTTCATCATAGAATACATATGCATTATTATTACGTCAACAAGAATCCACATGAATATTCAATATAAATAAAATCAAATTACTCTAAAAAAGACAGAAAATGCGACCTAACAAACCCTCATAAGATGCCTTTGATGAAGTGCAAGGATCCTATTCTATGGATGATCAGTACAATGTATAAGAAGGGTATAGAAATTCAATTGATGAAATTCCGGCAAATTAACTTAGGTAATCTTTATATAATATAGTATAGTGGAGATGAAGCATTAGAAAAGAGTTTTATGCAATCAACAGGTCAATCATCAATATGGCAAAAGAAGGGATAAAAAACTTCGATTCCAATGACATCTGTTATTGTAATGAAGAGCATGGTTGGAGTGGGAATTCTAGGAATAGTATTAATTTGATTTAAGTTAGCCTTATGTAGCATCAAATTTTGGGGCTATTCTAACAATAATAATTTTGATGATAATCTTTTGTTTGGGAATCCTTTCATCAAGTCTATTATTAAAATCTAAGAATCTTTCAAAAAGGAGTAATTTTTCAACGATTGGATTTTATATCTTTAAACATAAATGGATTATTATAGTAGTCAATGTAATGATAATATTATCAAATTTGGGAGTATGTTTAAGCGAATTAATGTAATTACTTGTTTTTAGTTTTAGTATTTTTGGAGACACAGCAAGCAATCTTATAAATTATTTTACTGATAGAAGTACAGAAGATTAACCATTCTATCTGAAAAGACCAGTTTTTCTTACAGTAATAAGTATAATATTGCTTCCTTTTTTACTTGTTAAATCAATCGAGAAATTGAGATTTGTAAGCTTATTTGCTATTTTATCAATCAGTTCATTTTCATGTCTTGTAATCTATAATTTTTTCAGAATTGATTAAACAAATAGTTAGTTTTCATGGTGGATTCCAGATAATTTCAATATTAAAAGAGCCTTAGCATCTATGCCAACATTAATATTAGCATTTAATTGGCAATTTAATCTATTTCCTATTTATAAAGGAATGGCATAACCAACTGATTAAAACTTAGTCACATCAACAATTCTCGGATTTTGTTAGGGATCTTTCTTATACTTGATAGTAGGATTGCTAGGATATGCAACATATGGAACAAATGTAATAAATCTCAATAAATTATAGATTCAACCAAACTTTTTATTAAGTATAGATGAAAAAGACGTTGGCGCAACTTTATTTGTTATTTTGAATTTAACTTTTGTGTTTTCTACAACTCTTACATTGCCAGTGATATTTTTTGGAGGAAGAAACAATTTTATTTAAATGATCAAACAATTCACAGTATTGATTTTTATTGAATTTAGGAAAATAAAAAAGTGAACGTCTCGGCCAAAAAGAAACTACTAGATAACTAATAAACTGAATAGTATTACAAAGATTTGTTGTAATTCAAAAAGAAGTCCTAAGCTATTCGATTTTACGGGATCAGTATTGGATTGTTTATTTTATTGGCTATTGGAGCAGTTTTCATAAAAAATTTAGGAACTGTCTACAATTTATTAGGATCGGTAGCTTGTAATGCAATTTAATTGGGGCTACCTACATTATTCTATGTATTTTTGGTAAAGCAAGTGAAGAAAATGAAATTTCGAAGTTATCCAAATAAATTATTTTATTTTTTTGTCTGTGCTCTTTTAGGTGTAAGCATAATTCTAACATTCTTATGCGTGACTTGTGAATTTATTTAGCCAGAAAAAGAAGTTATTGATGATTGATATTTGTATAACTATTTATAAATGATAAGAAAATTAAAGGAAGCTTTTAATAAATAAAATAAATAATGGATTAAAATTTTGCCAATCGAGAAGAGAACTCAGGCTAGGCTAAACTCAGAAGGAGAAGAAACGATTCAAATAATAGAGACTATTCTTGCGGTTGTGGAAAAAGCTATTTAAGTTATGCTGCCCTATACACTCATTTAAAGTATTATGGGAATATGATTATAAGATAGAAACATAATTCTATAGCTCCTGATGGAACTCATTCGCCCAATAATGCAAATTAAAGACCAGGAAGAGGTAGACCACCAAGAGTAACTTAAACTTAATATACAATGAGCAGGATGATAAAGATAGAAAAAGTGCTAAATCTGATGACGGATAATCCGAAAGTGGAAATGAACCAGATGAAATTCTGGAAGAGCTTTTAACTTTTTTGGATAGTTTAGGCAGTTTTAGATAAACTGAAAAACTGTCTAGCGATGTTGATATTTAGGCTTTTCTACTTTCAAATTTTCCTGCCAATGTCTTTTCAAATTATTAAGAATATTAGGGAATATTTGATTTATTAAAAGATATTACAAATGAAAAAGTACGCAATGTTTGATATTCAAAGATTAAAGTTTAAGATATTGATCAAATTGCTAATGAACCTTTTGATAAGGACAAATCTTTGCGTAAAACAAATATTACTAAGATATTGACATATTTCTTGATATAAATAGGACCAAAATTATGTGTTGAAGCGTATAGAGAAGTATGTAATTGTATTTAATAGATATGTATTTTCATCATATTTTATTAAAAATTTTTGAATTCATTGGGTTATTATGCACTCTAAAAATGCTAATAGGAATAAAAAAATGAAGATAACAAATAATTGGATATCAAAGAGGGTTTTATTTTAAAAAATATATTTAGAGGTCTCGCAAAGTTAGGAGTTCTGCGATGTTCACAATGGAGAGTATATGCTTTTAATTGCAAATGAATTTATTTTATCATTTTTACCTTAATCTTATTCAGGAATTGAGAGAGTTGAAAAGAATTTAAAAATATTTGGTAGCTGTGCTGAAAAATTAAAAAATGCTGTATATGTTACTTAGCATTTCTCGTATTGGCTGTTTTCTTAAAAATTTACAGATTAAAGATTAGATTTTTATACTGAGGATGATTGATCAATTTTAATTATAAATGTGTGTTTAAATATATAGACAGAAATTATTAATTAAATATTAAAATGAGTGAGTTGGAATATGTGAATCTTGAAAAACAATCAAAAGGAAATAAAAACAGAAATAATAATTAATTCAATAGAAGAGGAAGAAGAGGAGATAGAAACTAATCAAATAGAGGAACTAGGCCTGCATGGAAATAAAGATAAATACAATAAAGATAATAATAATAACAAGTACATCTTTTTGAAAACATTACAGGGATAATAAAGATCAAATAGATTCAGAAGAATACCAACTGGATAAGCTAGAAGATAAAGATTAAATCGAATCTAAAACAGGCCTAGATAATAGGAAAGGGAAAGAGGAAGAGATAGAGTGAGAGAAAGAGTTAGAGATGGTGAAAGAGATAGAGAAAGAGAAAGAAATAGAAATAGGGAAGAATAGAGATATAATAATAGAGAGAGGGATAGAGAAGTCAACTCAAAAGGACCTAGACCCAATGTAATTGTCAGAGGGTTAGATCCACACCAAACGGAGACTGGACTTAGAGTAAAATATCTTATTTTAACATTTTTAGGAATTCTGTTCTTAATATGGACCGATGGAGATGTGTAAATTAGAAAGAGACAATTTTGGAAATGTTAGGGTATTATATTTAAATTATTTGAATATAGCCTGAAGGAATTGGTTTGATTAGATTCTTTAAATAAGAAAATGCTGAATTATTTGTTTCAAAAGTTGATGGTGAGGTAGTCAATGTCAATGGAGATGATAAAAGCGTAAGTATTTTATATAATTGGTAGTTGAGAAGACTGTCTGCTAAATTAGTTGGGCAGAATAATAAAAATAATAATGAAAGATAAACTAGTGGAATTCTTAAGATAAGCAGAGGTCCTATTCAAAAGTAATTATCATCTAACATTATTAGATCATGGAGAAGATGAAATGGTGATATATGAATTAATAATATTTTAAACAAATCCTAAATATTTAGCATTAACTATGGTAAATAGCTTTATGGAGAAGTCTTTATAAGGATGTATTGTATTAAGATAATAATAAACATACTCTTTAGACTTTATCTATAAACTACTATCTTCACATATATTTTCTATAATTATACACAGTTACGATACGAATAATATGAATACAATCATTTAATTTATTGCATTACTTTTAGGACATCTACCTTTGATTTAGGTTCTCTGATTTTCTTTGGTTCTTGCAAACAATATTTGATCATAAAATATTTTAATGGATCAATTACTATTAAATCTAATAGTAAACTAGGTAGATATTCAATAAACCAATATAAATTATCAAAACTTAGAAATATAAGGAGCCAAATAATTATTCCAATACTTGCAATCCAAAGAAACATTAAAGCATATTTCAAATTTTGGTGATGACGAACAATGCCTTTGATTGCATAGTAATCACTTATTTTGAACAGGAAACAACAGCTTGATGTAATCCCTATAATGATCCACAAATTGAGATTTGGTAGATAATGAATAAGCACTCCGGACACATCCAAACAAATTAGTTATCTAAAATATATAGTAAGAATCATAAAGGTTCTTGAAATCCCTTCTTTATGGGAATAAAGTATTTTACTAAATTAATGACATTTCTATTTTTATTTTTATTTTTACATAAAAATCATTTTGTGGTTTTGGTATTTAATAATTTGGATCGCATTTGATAGCTTCAGCTTTTCCAAAATTACTAAATTATGAAATTCTAGGTTGATTTTATTAATATTTTTGATTGCTTGATCTCGGTGTAAAATCACCTACACTGCTTCTATCGCTTTGTATTTATGATAATTTTTTTCCAGGAGTCCTTAAACTTCTCCTATTTGTAGTCTATGCAGTCTCAATTCCTTCAAAAGTGCCGATTGTAGGTTTTCTCAAAATAGTCCTTCTTAAAGTATTAGATCTTTGAGGTGTTCTATTAATTCTTGGAGATTAAACTTATTTTGTGTCAACAGTGAAACGAATAGGAGAATTTTATTCTGTAATATTTCTTTCTCCATTACTATAAAATTAATCCTCTTAATTCAAATTAGGTGAATTATCTCCAGGATTATTAAAAAAATCCTCTAATTCATTGTTTTCAAATCTAGTTAATTGCTAGCTTTTCATTTGGCTCTATATCTTTGATGTAATTGGTAAAATTCCAAAAGTTGTTTCACCTGGATTTTTATTATTAGGTTGGGGAGATACTGATGCTAGTCTATATGATTTATCTAAAAGATATCCGATCAATATTATCAATATAATGAATACTGTCCATGATGCTAAATATACTAAAATTATTAAGTTAGTAATCATAATTTATTTTATAACATTTCTTTCAAAAATCCATCTTGATTGCAATCATACTAAACTTTAACTTTTGAAAAGTGAATCCTTATTAATTTAATAGCAATAATTATCTAATTCTATTTGGAATTAAGACTTTTATATATAAAGGAAGATCATTTATATCTAAAGTAAAAGTCAGATTTGTATTGAATTATTCATTACTATAAAATTAATTGATCTCTGTAATATCAAATAACATAAAATCAATAAATCAAATATCTAAATCTTTAATTTTTGAGTTATTTTAATTCTCATTATCACAATTATTTTAATTTATTTCAATTGAAATATTATGAAAATGAGAATAACAAAATTTAAATAGATAATAAACTAAAAGTGAATTGTTGATGTAATACGCTATATTTATATGCATAACAGAGTATATTTATATTTCAACATGATTCTAGAATTTTAAAGTAAAAATATATTGATTTTAATATTTATTGTTGTCATATATAGTAACTCTATCTCTTTAAAGTTTTTCTCATCATTTATCTCTACCCATGCATGAAAATAAACTAACTATTTTTTGAAAGACATTTTTATCTTCATGAGGAGTTTTAGGAACTATTTATTATTGCTGATAGCTTGCTTATGTTTCATCAGAATATGAATTTTCTTCACTTTTTAAATTATTCTAAGATTCTCTAGTAATGTATGGATGTTACATTATCTCAGTTAATTTGATTCTTTTGTCAGGTTCAGGAACTAGCATTTTGATAATTAAATCCTTAGCATCGGGGTCAGTCATAGTAAATGTGGGTTCTGTAAAATTTAGAATTTGTTCAATCATCTCGTCTTCAGTGCCTATAGAATTTATTAGATAATGAAATACCAGTAAGAATTGGTTTTTTTTCTAGCATCCAATATAGGAGACAACCTAAACTCCAAATATCCACAGAGTAGGATTATGGATAATTCCTTAAAATTTCAGGTGCCATGAATTCATAGGTACCAGAAAAATCACTTATGACATCTTTTTGTGTAGCCAAGCCAAAATCACATAATTTAACATTATTTTTGTCACTCAACAATACATTAGTTGGTTTGATGTCTCTATGGATTATTCCTTTATTGTGGAGATATTATAATGCATTGCACAATTGAATTATTATCTATTTTGGATTAACTTATGTAGTAGTGGTCAAATGACCATTTTCTAAAATCATAGAGATTTATATCAATACTTGCATATTCTTAAATCAAATATAAATGATCGTCTTTCTCTAAGAATTATAATAGTTAGATGATGTATTTGTTCTTTAGTTATTTGTGTATTTTAAGTTCCCTGTAAGCTAGATTTTTATTTATTTTTTTTATCGCAAAATTATATCCATTCAGTTATTTTAAGTACACCACTCCAAAACTACCTTTTCCTATTAGATTCATTTCATCATCCAATTAACTTACAGTTAATCTAGGAACTATTTCAAATAAACCATTGCAAACCAATTAATGATATCCCTCCCTATACAAAATGTAATCACTAAGTACCAATCGAAGTCTCTACATTTAATAGAACAATAGAATGCATCAGAACAATTATCACAAGTTATCTAGGTGCCGCTTATAATAGAGTTGTATTTTATCTGCTCATTGCATTTCGAGTTTTAGCAATTCATGTATAGGTTTCAGAAAAGGAAAATTTATTAAACTAAAATAACAAATACATTTTAATCGTATTATATGTGTATTAACATAAATCAATTATAGCTATATGGTACAACAATCTCCTCTTACTAAATAATAAATCGCATAATCTTACATGATGTAAGGGAACCAAATCAATCCAATCGGCACTGTTCAATGGAAGCAACCCAATATTGTATAATTTATACAGCACTACTCCCAACTACAATAATCCTGCAGATAAATAAATCAACTTATATAAAAACAATGATATTCCTCTGTTCTCCAATAATGAAAATGCTTGATCCATTTTCGCAATTGTGGAAATGGCTTACCATAAAAATTACCCAATGATGACAATTGTAAATATGTTCATCATATTTCCTGTCATATACAAAGTGAACATAATCATAAAAATGTTTCCAAATCCTCCCTTAGCAATACCCATGGCTTTCTAATTGCTTACTAAATGACTTTACCTTCTCTAAATCATCCCTCAACTCTTATCCCTGACAATCATCAAATGCTTTTTTATAGCCCACAGGTTCAGGTAAACTGTTTTCTCTCTTTATTTTGATTTCCCACATATAAAATATATATTCTTATTTTATAAAATTATATCATCGCAATTTTAATTATCCAATTTCAACTTTGTAAAGTTCCTTATAGATTTCTGAAATGGATTTATCAAGTGTGGAAATTAAATGTCCAGAGCCTTAATGAACTATAGGAGCCTAATAGATTATTGGAGATTCTACTTTGCTATTTCTCTCTTTAATTATATTGCATTTCTTTAAGATTTATTTTGAAGTTTCAACAGGATTGAATGTCTCTGTTTCAATGCTTTATTTTGGCTGAGTTCCATTCTCATCCTGTTTGTTTTAGTTTTCATATGAGATAGTTTTTTGTCTTTCTTGAGATGTAGGTGGTTTTCTTCTGCTATCTTCCTATGTATGAACCTAAGGAAGTGATCTTGCATGATCCATTATAGTTACTTTGTATTTTACATATAAATTTACATGGTAGATTGTTGTACATAGTTTGAGCAGCCTAAAAATGAGTTTTATTATGTAATGATGGTAGCAAATTCTTTGCTATCAATCTTGATAAATATGCCTTCCTTTCTAGGGAAGATATTCCTTCTGAAAAATGCTCTAAATTTAGTAATTTTTTATGATCAAATTTCATGTTCTCCACTTGAGATTGTGTATGATCTTTCAAATATTATTCTATTCTTGCTAATGCAGTTTTATCTCTATATCTAAAAACATCTCTTTTTATGTCTTTAGAAGGATCTCTTTCTCTAAAGCAATATTTTCCTGCCTTTAAATTTGGCAAGAAATCCAAACTGTTATTTTTCTCCTATGCTTCTTGGATTCTATCCTTTTCATGCTTAAATCCTTTAACATATATTTGTGGATCTCCAAGATTCTTCGTGGGATCTTCATCTCTAAATTAATATGCCTCAGGCGGCTTGTATTCATTGCATACGATAGGGTTCTCCAACATGTTTATCACAAAATTTTCGATTCTTTTCTTATAGTTTTTAGACAATCTTTGATTAAGTTCTGATTTAATCTCTTAAAAATACCTTTGCGATTCTCTCTTTACTTCATGTAGTCCTTTTTAATTTTGTCTATTTCTTTTGTGAATGCCAATTACTTATCGTACTGGTAACCATTAAACATATTAACTTAATTTTACTCTCCTTTATAATAATAAATTATATTTATATAAAATAATATATTAGTAGTTATTGTATTCATGTTACAAAATTACAATGCAATTCAACCTTAATGAATATCAATTATTCAAAGGTGGAATATCTCTTAAAATATTCATCCTTCAACATAACATTATTTTGATTTATTCAAAATTTCCATACAATTATATTCTTTAAACTCTCTTCCTAATCAGAAGAGACAATTGAATATTAAGTTAAGTTCCTAATAATCAAGAGAGTAAAGATTGGATTCAATTGGTTATTTGTTGATGTAAGAATTATTCTATTAGAATATTCAACTCAAAACATAAAATTGTGAAAAAGAGAATCTTCTTATATGTACTAAGATTTACAAAATAATGCTTTAACACGTGTAGTGATTCACTATCAAACCACCTTAAAAATTGAAAAAAATTGACCTATTCTTAAGATATTATCTCACTAATTGAAGAAATTCAAAATATTTGAGAAAGTCTTTAAGCTAAAAATATCGTATCTGATATTTGTAATTAATTTATTTAGATGAATTATTCAAAATCATAATTTATTTATATAGTAAAATCAATATTTGTGTTTTGTATATATAAATAATTCAAGATTAAAGAAGTATTTACTTCTTCTATCAAATTCCTTATGAGACACAAAAACTAATTTTAGTTGAAGAATGCAAAAACTTAAAGTATATATTCATCTGAATCAACAATTCAAACTCCTTCTAGATAATTATCACCTAAGTCACCATAGATTTAGATTTCATCTGCTTTATCCTACTCAAGTATCAACCATTCATTATTAAATAGATCTGCCAGTTTAATCTGATGCATAATATAAGGTGAAAATTAAAGAACTTTTAGAAGCAAATTAAAAGTTGATTCATAAAAGTTCCATGCAAGACTTAATCATTAATAGATTATAATAAATAGAAGAATTGGAACCAACTCGATCCAGCAGAGTGAATACTTTAAACAATACTCGCAACAATAGCAAGAAACAAATCAATAAAATTTAAAACTTCGTTTACACAAGCCAAAAAGAGAGCAAAGATGACAAAATGCTATTCACTTTCTATAGTCCAGAACCAAATCAGAAAACCAATGTGTGTAAGCTTCCAAAAGTATTCTAAGTGATTCCAAAGAAGAGAAAATATTTTATATGACCCACTGTTATTATTTGATAACATCGTTAATTTATTATTTGTATGGTATTTTGATTCTGGATTATTTATCATTTGATATTTTTATTTTATTATTAAATCTGCTAGTTCTCGATTTTTATGAATAATTCTATATCAAAAGGAATAATCACTAGGAAAACAAAATCCATACCCAGATATAAGAAATTTTAAAAAGATGATAAAGAAGAAGGAGCTATTGTTTAGCTATCATTTGATGTAAAGGACTTAATTTATATGTTCCAAAGTTTGAGAGAATTATTCTATATTTAAGTCGATCATGAATGAAGAAGATAAAAATAAGGATTAATTTGATAACATATTTTACTTTTAATTGCAAATTTAATTATGAAAATTTTTTATCAAAAAAATGATTTTTTGGGAATGATTAGGACTGCATGAATTTCAAATATTTGTAAAACAAAGATAATATACTTCTTATGGCAAGGGTTTGTAGAATTATATGAATGGAGAATATCAATATAGAAAATGATTTTGGGAATTAAAATTAAAGTACTAGAATTATTTAATCATAACTATTATATCATTTGTTACTTATTAGATTAGATATATATACACAATATTATATTCAATAATATTCTTTTCATTTTGAGAGTTTTTCATAGACTTGTAGATACTTTCTAAGATGAGAGAGTGAGTTATTGCATATGTAAATTAACTATGAATACATTAATATGAGTACCTAATATTTTTGAATAAAAATTTGAATGAGTTGAAGTAATCTTTGAGTGAAATTCTCCTATTTAAAGTGATAAAGGTTGACTATCATGTGTTGACAATCATCCTTTTGAAGTTAGTGTTCTAACAAGCTCTTTTCTTAAGTATTACAAAATTCTACTATTGTTTTCAAATTAAACTTCTTCAAAATTCTATAATCCTCCTTTGATTATGGAACATATCCATAACAAATATTTTTATTAAGTTAGAATATCATTTATTTTACTTTTGTTAGATTATCTGAATAGACTAGTAAAGCATCTTTATAATATGATTCTAAAAATAATTAACAATACTGTTTACATTCAGATTCTAAATCCAGTTTTTACACAGGACTTGAAAATTCATTTTTGGTCAAGAAGTGATATTAATACTGTATCAAAGGATCAGTAATATCTAAGAGACAAGTGTATTACGAAATTCCATCTTTATTTTTCATTCTAATTCTTTTTTTAAATTTGCCCAGGGTTTCAGGGGATCCAGAAATATAGATCAAACAATTTGATGGATTTAAACACTAAAAGCAAACCTTTCTGTAGTTCCACACATCAATTGTATGTTTAGTAGTTACTCTATTGGGTCCAGATTCCCACAAAACAGTTTAAATACTCTCATATTGAGAGATGAAATATTTATACTCAATTTCATGGTAGGCTATCTCCACTTCCCAAATATCATTCTAAAGATTGAAATAATAATTACTTATGTCCAATTCATTCGGATTGCTTATTTAGGATTCCATTACCCCAAATACTTTGAATTCCCAGAAATATACACAGCCTAACCGAATTCAGTTTTGAATTGGATTTTTAAATGAATCATTTCACCAAAGAGAGTCAATAAATAATTAATTTCAAAGGATTTATTTGAGATGCTTAAGATGCTTTTTATAATACGTAAGAATTTTAATATTAATTAGAAATTTATGATTAAGTATAAATTTCACTTCGAAATATCAATTACTATCATATATTAGCTTACATACTAGATAAATAATACTTTTTTATTACCCAATATAACAAAAGATTGCAAATTGATTTTTAAGTAAATAAATCAAATTGCAAAGTAGTATTGATCAAATTTTAATAAATGATTTGGGGGTGTATTTTAACACAAGATGTACATTTTTATTTTTACACTTGTATTTATTTGTTAACATAAAANATATATACACAATATTATATTCAATAATATTCTTTTCATTTTGAGAGTTTTTCATAGACTTGTAGATACTTTCTAAGATGAGAGAGTGAGTTATTGCATATGTAAATTAACTATGAATACATTAATATGAGTACCTAATATTTTTGAATAAAAATTTGAATGAGTTGAAGTAATCTTTGAGTGAAATTCTCCTATTTAAAGTGATAAAGGTTGACTATCATGTGTTGACAATCATCCTTTTGAAGTTAGTGTTCTAACAAGCTCTTTTCTTAAGTATTACAAAATTCTACTATTGTTTTCAAATTAAACTTCTTCAAAATTCTATAATCCTCCTTTGATTATGGAACATATCCATAACAAATATTTTTATTAAGTTAGAATATCATTTATTTTACTTTTGTTAGATTATCTGAATAGACTAGTAAAGCATCTTTATAATATGATTCTAAAAATAATTAACAATACTGTTTACATTCAGATTCTAAATCCAGTTTTTACACAGGACTTGAAAATTCATTTTTGGTCAAGAAGTGATATTAATACTGTATCAAAGGATCAGTAATATCTAAGAGACAAGTGTATTACGAAATTCCATCTTTATTTTTCATTCTAATTCTTTTTTTAAATTTGCCCAGGGTTTCAGGGGATCCAGAAATATAGATCAAACAATTTGATGGATTTAAACACTAAAAGCAAACCTTTCTGTAGTTCCACACATCAATTGTATGTTTAGTAGTTACTCTATTGGGTCCAGATTCCCACAAAACAGTTTAAATACTCTCATATTGAGAGATGAAATATTTATACTCAATTTCATGGTAGGCTATCTCCACTTCCCAAATATCATTCTAAAGATTGAAATAATAATTACTTATGTCCAATTCATTCGGATTGCTTATTTAGGATTCCATTACCCCAAATACTTTGAATTCCCAGAAATATACACAGCCTAACCGAATTCAGTTTTGAATTGGATTTTTAAATGAATCATTTCACCAAAGAGAGTCAATAAATAATTAATTTCAAAGGATTTATTTGAGATGCTTAAGATGCTTTTTATAATACGTAAGAATTTTAATATTAATTAGAAATTTATGATTAAGTATAAATTTCACTTCGAAATATCAATTACTATCATATATTAGCTTACATACTAGATAAATAATACTTTTTTATTACCCAATATAACAAAAGATTGCAAATTGATTTTTAAGTAAATAAATCAAATTGCAAAGTAGTATTGATCAAATTTTAATAAATGATTTGGGGGTGTATTTTAACACAAGATGTACATTTTTATTTTTACACTTGTATTTATTTGTTAACATAAAATTAGTAATGTAAAATCAATGCTATTTATTTATATATTTAAAAACAATGAATTAATTCGAAAATATAAGAAATAAAATAATTAATATCCTAAATTGTTTAATGTATATTTATCAAATCTCTAATTCTTAGATATAACTCTTGATCTATGGATTAAGTCTAGTAGTGAAGATCTCAATGCATTCATTAATGATATTTAACTCATTGAATCTGAAAAGCTTAAAATAACATATTACTTTATTTATCTTAAATTTTGGTTAGCTCTTAAATCGTCATCACAAGTTTTTCTCCAATCTTTGTACTCCTAATTTTTTACAGTTAAGAATTGCTCCTTTGTTTCAATGTCATTTTAAAACTCAAGTAACTTCTGCTTTTATTTTTCTGCCTCTGCCTATAGTGAGGCTATTGTAGTGGTTAAAGTTTATAATTCTGAATCATATCTACTTTTTTATAATTAATAAAGTTCCTCCTTTTGTTCATCTCCAGATCTATCAACAGAGAGCAAGTGTTGCAATGACTTTTCTAGTTACTAATTAAATTACTTCAACAAGTTCATCAATTATTTATATGATTTTTGGTACATTATCATCGCCTGCAGCTGCAATCAGGATTTTCACTAATCCGTGATAAGGACTACTCTTATTTAAGGATTCAAGATGTTTGTGTAATTTAGCTCTGACATCGCCTACTTACAAAAAGGAACTTTTAAGTTATGATAAAATGGCTTTTGCCTTTTTTAATCCTGATATGAAATCTATGGTTTCTTATTATTTTGATGAGAAATCTTTCTAATTTATATATTTCACATACTTTTTCAACTGATCTTGAAAATTCTGCTCCATTTCTTCTATCTTGAACTCGCTTTTATTAATCAACCTTGTCTTTAATTTGATATGCAATGATATTTAATTCTTCTTATTTGAAAGGCAAAGTTCTCTCATTATCAGCTTTTTTATTTGAAGCATTTTCAATTACAGTTTACAATTCATTAAATCTTAACTCGCAAGATTCTTAACTTTGTTTAATAGCTTATGAGTTATCATCTAGATCATTTTGAGTAGCCTTTTACATAGCCAAAAGTTAATTTACAACTCCATCAACAGATGCACTTAAAATGAATGAAATTTTACTCTTCGCTTGCTAGTGTAATTTGCATTGTTGCTATAATAGTTTTTCCGAATTCATAATTTTAAAGTTATGCTAACAATTCGTAATCATTTGCTGCAACAACAAAGATGACTGAGAATATCAAGGATAAATTCATATTTAATAATAAAATAAAAACGATATAATCCCAAATATTTATAAATAATGATCAATTCTTATTTATGATCATAACAAACTTATGAAAATCAAAAATAAATAGAGATCTAAAATGTTAAATGTAAATACTGTAAATTTATTCTTGTATATTAAAAAGAAACTTAAAGTCATTCCTTTCAAACTTGAATGTTGCTGAAGTCAGCACTTTCAACAACTGACAAGGCTTACTCACTAATTCCAAGTTCTCTAGTGAACTCATTCTTTAAGTTAGTGTAGGTATCGGTTTCTTCAGCATATGTGTTATTCTCTAATTCAAGTTCTGCAGTGTATTGTTTTCTGTCAGCTTCTCTTTGGTCTCTGAAATCACTTAATTAATCGATTTTTTCTAAATTTATTGATAATTATATTACCATTAGTTGCAGTCAAATCAACATTAACTCTGTTGATTTATCTCTAGAATTCAGCATATTCAGCATCTAATTATTCAAGATATTCTTCATGTTCAGCTTGGGCATCAGCTTCAGCAGCTGTTTAGGCATTGATTGAGTCAACAATAGCATTTCTAAATTCATTAAGAGCACCAACTATTTAACCAATGATTCCTTGATCTGAGAAATTTTAGTTTGAAGCCAATGTGATAAGTGCCTTGATCATTGGAGCCATTCTGGATCTTGATTTGATCTTTTATTCAATGTTTTTTAAGGAATTTTGGAATCTCTTGATCTAAAGAAGTGATGGATTTGTTAATGAAGAAAGAAGGGCAAGTGCATCATCAACTGCTGCAGTGGCATCATTCAATTCTGCAATTTAGAATTCAAAATCTTCATGTTCTTATTCTCTTGTAAGAACGGCTTCATCATAATTTTTTCTATTTGCCTCTTAGTTTTCTTAAATTTATTCAATTCTCACTTGGAGTTGTTCTCTTCTTGGGAATAATAAATTATCCAATGTGTCTTATGTATTGTTAACATCTATGAATGTATCATTAAAATACCGATCACAGCATCTTGAATGTCTTATTCATATCCGATGACTAATGAATTATGTTAATTAGTTCTTTATTAGAAATTGAATTCAAGTTCTTCCAATTCCTCTTCAAGATCATTAATTAACTCTTCAATGGCGTCAATCAACTCTTAGACAGGACCACCAGCCATGGAATGGAGTTCAACTAAATGAAGAAGGGCACTTCCATATGTGCTCTTTTTCAAATCTGTTGTAATTTTAGATAGACTTCTTTCTTAGACTCTAGCTGTGAATGCAATAGCAATCAAGGCAATGAGGAACAATGATTTCATTAAATTAATATATGAAAAATGAACACAAAAAAAAAGCTTAGATTACAACAAAAACGACTAGTCTTATTAATTAAATTATCAATTAAAACCACTATCAGATTCTGTATCTGCAGCCAAATACTCACTATTCCAATTCATTTTCTTCTTCTCCTCCAATTTCAACAGCTTCCTACTGACCTCTCTGCAAAATTCCAATTAGTATTATTATTATAAAATTTAAAATGGTTGCATTTCAGCTTTATTATTTTTTTTATTGCTTGAAGAAGTAGTCTTTCGTAGAACTTTTATCTCACTCCCTAACTTAATATTAAATAAACAATATTTTACTTTGTATTTTCCATTAATACCACCATTGATTGTTCTTTTACTTAAAGATGGACGACTTAAAGTAGACTCTGTTGTATTCACAAATTTAGCGTTTTCTTTTTATTTGAGTACATCTTGGAATGACAAATATTGTTATTCCTATTTAGGTTATTTTACATTCATTATCATTTGTAATCTTTTATCTTTAATTCTAAAATCATTCTATTCAAAAAATGAATTGGAACATTCTCCTTTAGATTCTTGCTTTATGGTATCAATTTGACGTCTCTTTTCAATGATCTATTCCGATTGTTATTTTTTTAATTGCAATTTTTGCTTTCTTAATGTCGACTAACAATTTCTCAATTAAAATTATTCACACTATTTTATCAAACACCTGTAAAATAGAACAGACCTTGATTTCAATTTTAAAAACATTTCTAGAAATTAGAGATCTAATTAAATTGCTTAATTAGTTCTTAATATTAAGAAACCCTTAACTAAATCGTTGCTAAATCTGAAATTTATTAAATATTTCTTACTTTTCTATATAATCATCATTAAAATTATCATGATATTTTTTTGACTCAAATTAAATCATTATACAAAGCATTCTGAGTATTATTTGAAATACGTACACATCCTATAGTGATAGCAGATATGTATTATTTTTTTCAGCATCTTTTATCGGATAGATTTGATGTTCCAATAATTTTGTCAATATCAATAATTATTTATGTGCTTACAACCGATTGCATAATTTCCGGCAAAATTCAATCTATTCGCATATCATCTCAACACACATTATTATGTTTTAATTATTACTCAATTGTACAAAGCATTCATCCAATTTCTTTTGAACATAATTTGGCAAAGTCTATTCAACATAATAAGAGAAGATGCTGCAATTCATTGATTTGTTTGAATTTAAATAAAAATAATAACTAAAATAATCAAGATGTTAATGTTACTATAGTATTCATAAATAAATAAACAGTATAAATTTCTAAATATCGATTAACTTAAAGAATACATAAAGATTTTATCTATATTAAAAATAGATTATATTAAGTTCTAAAGTTTAAAATAATTATTTATTTATTCTTTTTCTATATTCAAACTTTTCCTCTAATATTTCCAAATATATTAAGAAAACCACTTTATTTTTTTAGTTTCTGAGATTATTATTGAACAATTGAGCTGAATGTGAATTATCTTAAGCGTTTTTGGATAACACCTATGTTTTATATTAATTAAGAAAGAATTTATTTCATCATTATTATTTAGATATTTGATTTTCTAATATTTACATATGAGATGTAAAATAACTATTAGATAAAGGAGTAGTTTAAAATTGAAGGCTTAAAATAGTTAAGCTCTTAATACATATACAAGAATGTGCTTCATAATTACTGAAATTTTTTAAATCAAAATATTCCTATTATATTTCTTTATATATTAGGTTATGCAAAATTAACTTATATTTAAAATTTTCTTTAGTTAATCGATATTTGAGAATAATGACTTAATATAGACTTGCATTATTATAATATATTAATTAATCATTCAGCCTAAATATTATTGTATCCGTTTCAATATTTTTTAAGTTGACTCTTTACAAGGAACAGATAAGAAATTCTAAGCTGTAGTAGATTTTTAATTTTATTATTAGTAAGGTCTAATTTTACCCTTCTTCAATAATTCCCTTAGATTATTACTTTACTATTTATCTAAATTCATTAACATAGGCAGGAGATCAATATCATTACTAAAATCCTTAGAGAAGCTAGGTTATGATTGAGGTTGTTTGGGTTGTTTTGTCTTTATTCTTTGTCTGCTTGAATTTCGATATTAGCCACGGTATGACATTATTTCTTAGTATTAATTCTTATCAAAAATATTCTATGATTAAGTAGGTCTGTGAGTTTTGAGTTATTGTTGTTGAAAATTCGATATTTTATTAATTTAAACATGGAATTAATACTTAATACTATTGGACTCTACTCTTTTTCTATTTTATTAATCGATAAGTCTCCTATTTAACCAATTGGATTTGATTTACTTTTTATTTAATAGTTATTATTTGAACCAATGGTAACGTTAACATAATAAGTTTATGTCAGTAATTTTGACCCCATACAATTTACATTTAGTTGTTGTAACACACTTATATTAATATTAATGAGTATCAAATGATTCTTCTCCCAATAAACATCCTTAATTGACCCTAGCCAAAGCATTGTGATCATCATTAATTTAGCATTCCCCTGAAACGAGAACATATATGAATGCCAATTATTGCCCTTTCTAATAAACTGTGTTATTAGGATTGTATTTAAATTTTATAAATTTGCTCATCAAAGATTTTACTAGTTAATGCATTTCAGTTTCTGATTCAGTAATTTCACTTACAAATCCAGCTTCCAATTATCGATATATTTTTGATTATTTTTAAATTTTGATTTGATTTTCTACATTTTAATAATCGCTTAAATTCATCTGAATGATTACACAATCAGAAAGTGCAAAAAGCAAAGTATTGTGCTTTTTCAATTGAAGATCATTGTTTAAGATTTCTCCCTCTTTAAATTAATAGGTTTGCCTTGCATTACAAACGCACTGATTTAATAAATATTAGAAGTATGATTCATTGTGCAGTTTTATGCCTTTTAATAGTTGGTCCAATTCTGAATTTAAAGCCTATAAGTATTATGGGGGTAATTGAGGAAAACGGTTATGCCTTATGCTATTTGTTCTTTTCAATTCTACTTTTTACGGTAAATCACAAACCTGTGCTCTACGTAATCTAGGTTAATCATTAATTGTAAAAGTTAATAAGCCATTTTACTAGTATGCTGCAGTAACTCTTCTGCCTGGCCTTTCAATAAAAATATCAGATTTGTATTATTTCATAAGTATTTTTCTTTTGTCTTCTAATTCACCTTCCGACATCTCTTAATACTATTGAATTTAACCAGAAAACAGGATCATTATTTTATCTTGTCGATCATTATATTTCCAAATCAACGAACCTTTATAATAGATGATTGAAAAGTACCAGACTCATAATTAGTCAATACTGCATTTTGGGCCATTATACGAAGCAAGGCTTTATAAAGCTTCGTTTTTGTTTGGTTGTGTAAAGTATCAAAGTATTACAAGCAAATCAACTGATCTTCAATGGCTTAATGGTCTTTTCGACATCTTTCTTCTGGGTCCTTCTGTAATAAGTATATTAACATATAATTAATCAAGTAAAGTAATTAATATTATTTAGGAAATAAATGTAATAATTAGTTGATTTCACCCTCAAAAGTTAATCTAAATGGCTAAGTATTAATTTATAATTAGTAACTATTTAAATTGTGTTGAAAGACTTTCTTAATAATAAAATTAATTTATATTGTTTAATACAAATCAACTAATTGTAAATATTAATATAAACAGTAAATAAAATGTGTTCCTTGTGGAATTAATATAGATCCATAAAAATTTCATTTTAAATTTCTTCCTTTTAAATATAATTTCTAATTTAGGATGCTTTTATAATCTAATGGTAACCTTATTCTGATAAGAAAAATCGTTGCCATTATTAATGCATAATATAAGGTTCAATCTAAATTTTTCTTTGTATTTCTTCAGTTAGTTATTTTTGATTCACTATACATTAGATAGCAGATATTTCAAATAATGTAGGCTAGTTTAAATACTTTTAATTATTAAATCTAAAGGTTTTAGAGTTTATAAATAAGTTTAAGAATTTGTTAAGAGGTCTAATTTCAATTCATTTTAAAAATACATATGAATTCTCAAGCTAAGATTTTGACTTTTATCTATTTTATAATGATAATACTAAATTAAGATGAATAATATGATATATTTGAAATTATCATAAGTTGAATCAATTAATTTAGGTTGATATAGATTTAGAGAAATAAATTGAAAGGGTTGCCAAATCATTGAAACAATTTTGATCTAGTTATTTGAGAATGTTATTCTTCCTAGATCATTTTTATAATATAACTTATTATATCATAATTTGATTATTTTTAATAGATTAATTAAATGGATAAATTAATAATATAATACATATTGATATTAATTATCCTTTAGAATGACACTAAAACTATTTGTAAACAATCTTTATATTTCAGTGAGAATCTTTTAGTCTTACTTAATGAAATTATGAATTGACAATTTTTATAAGAATTATCTTTATGAAATACTAGCAATATTTAGAATAAATTAATGATTTCATAATTTGATGAGAATGATATGCAATCTACCACTGTAATATGTTATCATTAAATTCAACGCTATAAGGATTTATTTTCTCGTTTATGATTTTTGGTTCTATAGGTTTTGTCAACACTAATGAATTTAATCTAAATCTTTTGACTTCTTAGAAATACTCTTAAACTTAAGAATTGATTTGGTGTATTTGATAATTTAATATTATCAAACAATAGCTTTTGTATTTATGTTATATATGCTTATTGAGTTGATTTATTTAGGAGAAATCACATAATTATTTATTAATAATTTATTTATGCCTATTGTATAAGGAAAAGCAAAATTGTGGCATCCAACATAAGAGGAACAAGTAGATTATTGTTAAATATTAAAAGGATGCATATGATGACAGAATGATTGCCAACATTGAATTGAAATCATTAGATTTTGATGATGAAAACTTTTCCCCAGTGTTTAATAGAAGCAAAAAAGAATTCTTCTTATCAGCAAGTGAAAGATATAAGAAGGATTTGTCAAAAGTAATTATGAATCTTAAAAACAAATTAGTTGGCCAGACCATTTTAATCATATACATGCGAAGAGTTCGTTAATAAATACATTTTTATCAAACCAAATCATACTTATTGGAGAGAATGGACAGTTACCAAATGGTTGTCAGGATTCGGTTTGGGATATTTGGTTTTAAGAGAAGTAATATAAAAATTTGAATTTAGTTACCACTACGTAATTTTTATGCAAGAGTTTTTGTTATGTGGATCTTTTTGGCCAAATTAAGTGATCACTTTACTTCAATTCTTCCATATCATGGAAAAATGGTGATATCTACATAATCTGATAGATTTACTAAGTAAATCATAACAAATATCTTATAGCAAAGATATCAATTAATATCACAATGTGTGCAGTGCATTGAACTTCTTGGAAATGCCAACCTTTTAGAACAGAATTTCAGAATCTCTTGCATGGAGAGCCAGACAGCCAGCTCATTTATTATATAATGATACAAATTGGTGTTTACACATTCTTAAAAAGTGGCACGGTCGTCCCACTCACATTGCTCATTGGGTATTCCTTATTTATTATTAAAATAGGATGGTACATTCAATCAACCCTTGGAAAGATTAGCAGACCCATACCATAAGGATGCCCACTTTATCCATTGGATTTGAGTATATGCATACAAATAAATACAATTATTATTATTGTCATTATTATTATTATTATGAGTGCTAGTGTTGCAGAGGATATATCAGACAGAGAAATGATTGAATTTTCAGAGGATGAACATCTAACCTTCTTTTTTAATATTGATCAAGTAACTAATCAATCAATTCAAAGGTATATGGTGAGATCCCAGGAGTTATATAAAATTATGGCACTTTTGCATAATCACTTTAAGTTTGTCGCTAGCTTTCCAATCTCATCATAAAAAACTCAATAGCAGAGGCATAAGAGAGAGTAAGACACTAATATTACTAATAAAGTTCATTGTCAGAAATATTCCAATTAATGCCATAAATGAAATTGAAGCTGAAACCAAACTATTGTTGAATGCTAAATTAAATGATGGAGGGATTGAAGTTGAATCTTGTGATTTAATTGAAGATTAAGAACCAGTATTTTATTATTCAATATTAAGGTACCTATCTTTTGTGATAGATGGAGAAGAAACAGAATTTAAATGATGATTGGTATTTTATATCAGACTAAATCATATAGAAGAGGAAACTCATGAGAATGAACAAAACGATGAAAAATTAACAACTGATCCCAATAAGAACATTTCTAAATCTAGACTCTATGATACAAAAAAATAAACTGTCCGACTTCCAACAACACCACAACCACAAAACCAGATTGAATCTAAAATAATCTAAATATTTTAAGAAGAATATGAAGATGAATTTGAAGATAAGTTAAGAAATGCTAAACTCTATGAAATGAAAAAGAAAAATGAAATTGAATAGAAGAAAAAGGAAGATAAATTACAAAGCTAGGTAATTATACAAACATAATTTGAGATCGAAAAAAAAGATGGAGGAACACAGAAATACACTTATGATTTTGATGGCAAAATCCTATTGGCCAGAGCTGTTAAAATGGATAAACTGTAACCTACTAATCAAAAATTGAAAGTGGAATTCAAAGAATCTTCAAAGCCTGATCAATAATAATAACCAACAAAAAAAGGAGGAAAGAGAGATTCTACCAAAATTAATAAGCCATTGTGTCCTGAATAGGAGATACCAAATAGAGTATATTATTAACACATAAGGTTTTATAAGAACGCAAAGATGCTACAAAAGAAGTGATAGGAGATAAAGCATTAAGAATTGACAAAACATCACAATTTCCTTATGAAGTCTTCACTATGAATAATGGAGTTAAATTGTACTTTGAGCATAAAATGAAGGAAGGAGTAAGACATTAAATAAGTGATTCCGCAGAACATTTACAATATAAATTATCAGGCTCAAATCTACTCTCTGGAGATGATGCTTCTTAATTTGCTTCCTAAATTAGATTAACCAGAGCAGAATATTAATTGATAACGGATGCCAAGACTCTCTAAGCAACCAAATCCTAGTTTATGCCTAGTGAAACTATCAATGTTCCAGAACATGATCAATAAAATACTCAATAATCCATTCTATTAAAGAAAAAATTAGGTGAAATTGGAAAATCTGAGCTCCCTTAAGATAACAAATAAGTTTAGTTTAACATTGGATCTAACTCATTACAACCTATAAAAAAAGAATTGCCTTCCTAACAAGCGTCTCAAACAGAACGAATTCAATTAAAGAATGTCAAAATGATGGAAAATTTAATAGTAACTGCACTACCTGATACTCCTAAATCATCCAAATAAGAAGCTCCTTTACCCTAATTACCAGATGGAGTTTCAAAGTAATTACAATTCTACTCTTAATAGGAATCCTATTGATATTTTCAATTAATAGTTATTAACCTAAAAGGAATGGGGTAAACAAATGGGAGGTAAAACTACTTACTTTCCTCCAGTTCGACAACAAAAAAGATCGCTAGAAACAAAAGCTAAGAAAGGAAGTTTAGAATAAATGTAATATCTATCCATTTATATTTTTAAGGTATAAAATGCCCAGAGAAAGATTAGTAGCTTAGACTGGCAGAACAGCTATGAACTTTTATAAATCCAATTAGGACGGTAACATAATATATGCTACATAATTAGGATAGAAGAATATAACAAAATCTCTTAGTGAGGGATTAATGTAAACATTTTATACCACTCATTCTAAATTTAGTGATAAACTTAGATAATGATTTTATTATATTAATTATCAATATTGATAAGAAACATTGATTTTCTTTTATGTTTTACAACAATCCTGGCATCAAATATATTAAATATTAGGTTGAAATATGATGCATCTTGTTTTTATAGACAAATTGCACAAATATCTTAATCATTTTAATTAATCCAAGTATCACTCAAGGAACTCCTAATATTTGGTTTATATAATCAATCTATTTAAGTATTTTGATCTTGATTTTAATGGAATTAAATAATTAATAATATATATTTAGTATAATATCACAAAGTGATAATACACATGTTATCAAAATAATGTTAATAGAATTTAATGAAGAAGATGTTCTAATTTTGAAATGGATTTTTGATATTTCATTTATTTAAGAGTTTATAGGATAATTAAAGGATTTGGGAAATCAATTTTATTAAACATCTTTACAAATTATTTCCTATTTACATTATTGAGAGGAAGTGTAGTACCCTTTAATAAATAATACAACAAACAAATTTCTTGAGACTTCAGATGTCTAAAATCTATTGAGTCAATAAGAATTTGAAAAGCAACAAAATTTTTTTATTATTAAAATAAAATGAATTTGTAATAATTAATGGAAATTGAAAGTAAATTTGAGCATCTTTCTATCATTCCAATTTTCGATGAAATCCTAAAGTACATATTAAAATATATAAGTGGTGGAATATAAACTGGAATATTGACAGAATTGTATGGTGAAGCAGGTTGTGGTAAGACACATGTTTGCATGACCTTGATGATTAATACAATAATAAATTATAAAACCTCGAGAGTGATTTATATTAGTACAGCTAAATAATTACAACAGGATCGTTTTAATCAGCTATTATGTAAAATTAGTTATGTTATTCGGAATTAGAATATCGAGTAGGTAAGAAATCTAAAGATAAGTTTACTAATTTATTTAACAAATGTATTATACAACACTTAAACAATACTAAATTTATGGAGGAATATATATATGAGCAACTGCCTACATTATTGGAACAATACTAATTCAAATTAATTATTATTGACAACATTACAACCTATTTGCAGGAATTGTAATTGACCTTAAATCAGATGCAAAAAACATCAATACTAAAGAAATTCTCAAATCATTTTAGAAAATTAGCCAAAAAACACAATATCGCTGTAGTATTTGTTAATAATGTTGTTTCATCAACTTAAAATAACAAATTGTACCCAGCCCTGGGGATAAAGTGGTCCGAGATGATTGATGAAAGAATATAGGTAGAAAAGAAAGGAATGATTCGACATCTTAGAATTGATATATCTCATCGTGTTGCTTTAGATGATGCAGCATTCACTATACAGGAAAGTGGAATATACCCTTAGGTTGATTGATTAGAACTTTTATGAAACTAAATGAAACTTAATTATATTCTTTATTTTTAGATATAGATAATAATTAATACTAGAGAGTTTATGAACTCTCTTACTTTTGATTGTTTCGTAAAGCTAAGAGATATCAACTAAATTTTTAAGTCATAAATTGGTTGAAATTTGACAATTAAATTTTAAATATTAAACTTAACTAATTTACTAGTAGGAAAATACAACTAGTTAAAATTAAATATTTTCAGAATGAAATAATAATTTTAACATAATGATTTATTATTAATAATTCGATAATGAATATAAATAAATATATAGACTGGGTAGTCAGCATCAGTTCTATTAATATTATACGTTTTTGTTGATTGGATTTAATAATTTTAAACTAGTGTTTACACAAGGAATAAATTTGAATTTAAAATACTTATTAAAATGGTGAATATAAACATTAATGTATTAATTTATGGAATAATATGTAATAGATTTTCTCAGTCTCTATTTGCTATTAAATTCAAATAATGATCAACTTGTTCGTTTGTTAATTTATGGAACTTCTTATCTTATTTAGTCACGATACCTACTTCAATGTCAGTGGGCTTAAAGTCTTATGAAATGACCTAAGTTATAAAAATCATGCTTACATTTTATAATGTTTATATAGCAAGCATAATGGTTTCATCATAATTTAAATCTGCCTTTTTTTTGATTTGTTTTTCCAAGTAGTTGATTGCTTCTTGTTCTTTGACTCCACTAGCAGTTGCCTTGTATCCACTGTAATGTCCAGATGGGTCGAGTTTATATAACAATGGACCCAATTCATCATCATATTAACACAAGATGGTCTCAACACCATATGATCTCATTTAATAATATTGAGTATTGGTTTATGCTAAATCAGCCATTCTCTTTGATAATACATCAACAGGACAATAGTAACCTAAAAGTATGAATAATGATAATACCATTTTTCAATCTGAATTCTCCTGCTTCATATCTCATTCTTGTTACTAGAGCTCTTGCATCTGATGGAATGCCTGTAGTCAAAGCACCAATCTTTTCTGATACATTGAATAGATTTGTGACAGACTTCTCGTCAATTAATTTATCTGGCACTCTTTTTTCTGTAATCAAACAAACTGTGTCAGTGCCTTTGACTCCTATTGATGTTAATCCGCTTGTTTTCACTGCTTTGAAGGCATATTCAACCTAGTACAATCTACCCTCAGGTGAAAAGAGTGTGATATAGAATTCATGACCTTAGCTTCCTCTACTCATTTTAATTAAATTATCCTAATCTCGAAAATTAAATAATAATCATTTTTTAGTTTAAGCACCTCCCTTTTTTTGAGAAGAGTTAAAAGTGTTTGAATTGTAAATGATATTTAAATTTTAAATCTTAATTGATTAGGGTTGTTTGGCTATTGCAAATTATTGTTGACTAAATTAAGAACCTGAAATTTTAATTTTATTTGTATCTGAAACAAACCCTACTTTTGTATCCTTGTACTATGGGATCAATTTGTCAATCGACTGCTATCACTTAAATTAAACATAATACCGTTTTCTTCATAGTCGATTATTATTGTGAACCCTATTGCTGCTGTCCTTAATCTTATTACTATATATTGTAAGCATAAGCTGTGCTTTGCATATTTAATTATTATCCTAAATAATTAGGGACCTTGAATGATGTCTTTTATTAATAAATCCAAAAATACTTTAGTTCTTATCACATTCTATTGACTGGTTGGTGATTGTGCAGTTCTATTTACTCCAGCACTTGCTTGTCTTTTCTCTTATTCATTTTGCAAATTCAATTCTTTCACAAATTCAATTGCTTCAGGCAGATCTTCGAAATACTAATGCTTTAATGCTTATCTGCAAGTCAATCGCTCTGATGGTTCCATCTTTAGCAATCCCTTTACAAAATTTATTGCTCTTTTAGGTAATTTACACAAATATCTATTCAATTAATAAACATAACAACCTCTATTCCAAGGTTTCAGGCTTTGAGATTTCAGGAAATTTCATACCTAAAAATCGAGGGTTTTTAGAAAATGTCTCTTATTAACTAGGAGTCAAGGGTCCAAGCATTTTTTAGATTAAATATAACTAATCCATCTCATTCTCTCCAGGAAATAATGGATTACCATCTGTTAACTCGCACAATAAACATCCAATTGCCCTTTTTCATTGTTATTGTACAATAATTACCACATGTCAACACCTTTATCATAATTGGAATAACTTAGTAATAATTCAGGGGCTCTGTACCATCTTGTTGCTACATAGTCAGTAAGATCCTATGTTTATGCTGTCAATGACTGAATATTGATATTCATTTACTCTGGCAAATCCAAAATCGCATAACTTCAACACATTTGCATTACTTATAAGTAAATTCTCTGGTTTTATATCTCTGTGGACTATATCATGTTAATGGCAACAGTATATAGCCTTTAGAAGTTGAAAGATAGTTTTTTTTATATACAAAGGCTAAAATTAGGCCGATTCTATACTTCTAAACCAGAAGGTGAGGCTTCCAACACTTCCAATAGATTTCTTTCCACATACTCAAATACTAAATAAATTCTTCCCTTTCTAATAATAATAGGCCCAACTCTAAACCTTTTAAATGCCTCCTTTAATTCTACAATATTGACGTGTCTCAACAATCGCAACACCTTTACTTCTCTTTAAATGCTCTTCTTAACAATCTCATTATCCTCTGTTTCCTTAAATTTCTTTATTGCCACTATTATTTAATTCATTGTCTACCAATCTCATTTGTTTCCTTGTTCTTGCATTTCAAAACTACTCCATAAGCACCTTCTCCTACTACTCCTAAAACTTCATATTTATTCATTTATATTATTATTAATTGTTATATTTAAAGGAAATAACAATAAATTGATTCGGATTGAGAAACAAAAGTTATACTACATAATCTAAATGTATACAATCTCTAATTCCAAACTGAAAAAATATTATGAGTAATCAAAAATCTCATAAAGTGTTAAACAACAGTTTCAGAAAAACAATTAATTATGAACCCTGAGAATAAAGTTATTAAAAAAACTAAACATATAATCATAGATATTAAATTTTCATATCTCACTATATGTATAAATATGATTTTAACCAAATACCAAAACAGTATGGTTGACCGAAACTTTTGCTATTTAAGAACATACTGATGATTTGATTCAATTATAAAGAGAGAATTTCCTATTTAAATTGCTAATTTAAAAAGAACTTAGTTGATTGTAATGAGAAATGTGAAAGTGAATTTATGATATAACTTCAAATGATTGCACATCCGCATGCTTATTTTGTTTCTTGATTAGGTGTCTCAACATTATAACTCTTCCAATTTTCTACTTCATGCACTTAAACAAGAGAGTGTTTTTAATCAATCTCATCAATAAATGAAATTCGATGTTTCTTGGATCCTTAAATTATATTACTTTTAAATTTATCTTATCTTTGAATAGCCAATTCTTTTTTTGATCCTTTCATTATACCATATTTTTTTGTATCCATCAAATTATTAATAATAATATAAATGATCTAATTTTTAATATAAAATCATGAAGGAATTTTAGTTTTATAATTTTTTCGCAACTTCTTTCAAAGTGTTTTACTTCTAGTTTTTGTATTTGAGAACTCTGAGTCTTGTTTTCTCAAAAATTTTCACATTTTTCAATATGACAATATTTGATATATTAATATTACTATAATAAAATTATATATATATATAAGAATATTCTCAAAGACTTGAGATTGATATTGAGAATCTTCTATTAACTATCGAGATCATCTCACTCCAATAAAAGACAGGAGTACATTTATATAGCTTATCAAATAAATTGCTAGAGAGATCGAGCACAAATCAACTTTGGTAAATTGTTAAATACCCATAATTAATTCTAAAGGGAGATTATAATTTTTTTTAATATTTTATGTGTAAAACAAACTAATTAGCTGTAAAGATTTTAATTTTATAAATTAATAATTAAAATTAAAAATTGTTTGAATTGAAATATCTAATAATAATCAAAATTCTTCATACTCTTCTACCTCAAGTAATTAACCACTTTCCCTTTGATCATATTCATAAAATGCTTTAGCGTCTATTAGCATACTAATGATGATGTCTCCTTGGCCACAATTTTATAAATCTGTTAAGGTAATAGCAGTTGAAATCGCTGGTTTAGCCATATCAAATATTTCATCTTTTACATCTTCAACATTAAATCCAAATTTATCCTTAAATACTAAAGCAAATTTCTACTTTATGCTCCAATTTTTAAATAATTGGCCTAAAAAACATGTTGATGACAAAAGAATCAATAGCTGGTTTGTGATACACATTTAAGATTCTCCAGAAATATTGTATTGCTTGTTGACTTTTCTTGTTTTCCATTGCAAGTACAAAGTCTATTGTAATTAAAATGATTTAAACCTAAAAATGTCTTGTAATCCATCTCTCCCTCAAAAGTTTGATACTCCTCAAACACTCTATCAATAAAAATATCAGTCAATCCCCATGAATACTTAGATAGTTCTTATTTTGATAATAGACCATTATGATCATTATCCAATTTCAAATATCTTTCGTAGACTTTTAAAGCAGATTATTTTGAGAACCAATTCTGGCCTAATTCTTCTAAGGTTAGTTTTTCCTGTCTCAATTCGTATAACTCTGCTAGGATGGGAGACGTCAACATATCTTTAATGTATATTCTGCCTGTCCTTTTGGAGTCCAAAAAGAAAAAGAACTTCCTTACAGCAGTAATCACATAAAATGGATAAAAGTTTTGCTATGGTTTAAAATAACACTTGATCTTACATCTAGTTTCTCTAACTAAGGGAATGTAGGTATTAATTCAAAGATATAATTCTCAAGATCCTTTTCTCTTAGATATCCATTTCTACATATATAATATGCAATAAATACCCGATAGAATCATACAAACTAATTTATATCCTAGTCTAAAACAGATTAACTTTTCTAACTATTGAATGGAAGAATGCAACAATATCTATTCTACCATATTCATCCCTGTCAAATTTTAAAAAAGTAGATGCACTAAAAAAATGTCTACATTTGATAGGTAATGATGAAGCAATAGTTAAAAACGAATTATAATTAATTCTTTCCTTCTTATCATCTGGTGGTGATATATTATTTTTAAGTTCTGTCCATAATTTCTCTAAATCCTCTTTATCTAAAATTTCTCCAGTTTTATGATTCAAAAACCTTGTTCTTGCTTCTTGCCTAACTCTGAAACTCAATTAATTTTCATTTGTAACTGAGGCCTTTTAGAAAAACTTAGGTATCTTCTTATAACTTGGATCTTCTTCTTATTCCTATTAAATTAGACTGTTAATTAAACTTTCTTTCTTGCTTATTCGATATAATCGAGAAACAATTGATCAGTTTCATCATCGATTTCTTATGCAGTTCTCTATTGTTTGGAATCTACGAACTTTTTCAAAGTATTCACCCAATCAATACCCTTCTTAGACATTATTATTTGAATTTTTAGTTAATATATAATATTTATTATTGAGGTTTTCATTTAAAAATTTAATCAGAAATGTTTCTCCTTCCTCCCTGGAACTCAAATTCATTGTTTGATTCAACTACTTGGCCAGATTCAGGATAAACATTTCGATATTTTGGTCCTGTCTATGGTTCATTTTGAACTTCTTGATTATTTATGACCTTCTTCATCCCAAATACAAGACCTATTCAATTCTTAATGTGTGATTTACCATATAATAGAGGAGTTTATTTAGAATTATTATCTTCTACGATTTTCAATTTTTTGGTTATGAATCCTCTATCCAGCATTTCTTAAGGCATTCCTGCTTCTGAACTAAATACACTTGCTGTTTAACTATAATGATTGTATTCCATATATTCTCTGATTAAATCATTGATTATCATATTTTCTAATTCAAAATCCAAACATACCCATGGAGAGTTTAGGTTTGTCTTCTGGGTCTTCGTTCAAAGCGTTGAATATCTCTGCTCTGATTCTGGCTCTCAATTGAGACAAGACTCCTCGTGATTCCAGAGTTTCTTTCAGAGCGTCTTTCATTTCATTTATTGTTGTCATAATTTTAATTAATAATATGAGAAAGCAATTCTCATTCAAGCCCCTATCAACTCACAATGACAATCAAAGTTTATAAACTAAATCAGACTCCATAGGTAGATTTCGCTCTATCATCGCTATTCGTAAAATACAGACCACCAGTTAATTTCTAAAAATGAAACAAGAGTTGGCACTTGAATTTCCTGAAATTCCGATGCAATTCAAGAATCAACATTCGAAAGCCAAAATCTTCTCAACAAAACCTCAATTCCATTCTGATTTCCCTATCAAAGAAGACCTTAGTTAATTTTCAAAAAAGATTCAATAAACAATCAAGACTAGCTTTAAGAAATGTCAATACTGGAACAAGGCTAATTAGGTAATTTATACAAATGAGCTCCCCACTGTCTTTTATTTCAACATAACAATCACATATGAGGAATAGGAAACATATTATTAATTTATTCGCCGTTTGGGAAACACATAAAAAACCGAATAGAATAATAGCAAATAATTCAAGGCCAAAAATCTCCTCAAAATTGTAGGCGTCTTTGAAAATTATGATACAAGACCTATTTTCACTTTTAAGGTATTTTTACCATGATTTAAGATTAGAAGTTTCTATAAAATGTACTTACAAAACCAAATCGAATGGAACTATCAAAACTTTTATGATCACTACCCAAACTCATTGTTTCTGGATTACATTGATAATAAAAAGAATAAATTAATCTCTAGATCAACATATTAATTTAATACAAAAACTGAATTATTTAAATTACAGTAACAGTTTTGTGGAATTTTAAGCATAGAAATGATAACTAACATACAATCAAACTTCATGATTGAGAATGACCAAGAAGAGGAAGATCAACTTGAAACCTGTGTTAAAATTATTTAATGTAACAGAAGAATCAAACTTTTCAAGTCTCCTCTTCAATGCATAGTGAATCGACTTGACAATGAGACATAAAATCAGTTACTGACTGAGTGTGAAGAGCAGCACTCTTTTACATTTGCATAATAACATCCTTAATACTTTAATCGGCATTTGCAATTCAAAGTACCGGATTAAAATTGTATTGCCTTTAGGTTTTACAACAATTATTATGAAATATTGAATGGGATATTTGAGGATACTCATGAAATATCAAATTTGCAAGATAATATTACTATGCTTGAATTTGAAGAGCCTTAGGAGAATCAAAAGCCTAAAATGGTCCAATCAACATAACATCAACAAATTTAACCAAAAAAATTGAATTTTGAATCTATAATGAAAAAGTCAAAACATCAACCCTCTATTACTTAGGAAATATCTCCAAGGAGTGATCACTCCTAGATAAGTACAATGAGAACTCCTAGAGAAGGTTAATTATTACCAGTTCTAATGAAACCTTAATTTGAAAACAATAAAATTAAATTAAGAACCAGTCCTCCATCCTATGATGACAATATTAGCAACTCTAACAATAATCAACAGTATTCTACTCACCATTCCAAAACCATTTCGCAAACAGACATGGTCTCTTTTAATACTCCAAGGTCATAACGAACTTCATTAGCCATAAATTTGTCTCTTAGAACATCAATGACCAAAAATTCCCTTAAGACTAGAACCTTAGTGGTGGAACAATTTAAGAAATCATAGCAAAAAGCCAATCAGTTAGCTGGACTATTGATTTAAGAGAATAAATACAATGAAGTACAATTTAAAGAATTAATTAATAGCTTGTTGAACTATTTAATAACAACCCTAATCTAAGGATTGACGAAAGAATATCTAATGGGAATACCTATTTGATGTTGGCTGCCCAAGGAGGCAATTTAGACATCTGCGAATTAATACTGTCCAAAGGAGCCTCTGTGAATTTACAAAATGTACAATAATCAAATATAGATATTATAGTTACAAGGAGACACTGCTCTGCATAAGGCATTCCAATATGGCAATTTCAGTGTTGCTGATCTTTTAGTATCTTATGGAGCCTAGGTAATGGTAAATGACAAAGGGAAGACTCCTTGGTAAATGTGAATAATTTACTTTTATTCATTATAACATACAATTTACACTAATTTTATGATCTGTACTCTAACAACAACGATTTCTTGTGGAGTAAACTCATTTTAAATCTTAAAGTTCAAAATATGGTTGGAATTAAGTTTATAATAAAATTAATAAATGAATCAACAATTTAGAGTGGAATACTTGAGAATCAAACCTTATCGATACCGTAGATTACCCTCACTTAATGCCACAGGCAGTCAAATATTCAAGTACAGAGAGAGTTATAGGTTAGTCTCTCTTAGGAAATGGCTACATCGAGAACTAAGAAGAATTTAGTAAAACCGATGCTGGTATACATGCTGATTATTCTCTAAGTAAGCTCTATCACACAAAAAAGAGGATGGCAAGAACTTCTATCATCATTCTACTATCTACAATGTAAAAGAGTTTAAGGAATTGAGCAAACTTCAAGAGTAAGCATATATTAAAACATTTAGTTATCAAGAGCCTAATCTCGCTAAATACACAGAATTGTAGACTAAAATTATGGTTGCTGATTTCAAGAAGAAAGTTGATGCATTCCTATAAAAAAACAATTATAAGACAAATTTGATTGGTAGTAAAATAACTACATCATTACATGAATTGGAATCATTTCAATCTACCAATAATGAAGAATAGCTTAATAAATCTCTTTGCTCTAATAAATATACTATTCGAACTGAATGTAAATAATCCTGATTACTTTAGACAAATCTATGAAAGCAACAGAGATACTAGTAATTAGTAATAATAAGGTTGTCTCAAGATAGATTATCTCTAGTGAATTAATTCAACAAAGACTACTAAAATAAATGGAAAATTTTCTTAAAGATGATAGATTTAACTATGATTTAAAGTACTCAATTAATTTTATTAGGATGCAAACTATGATAGATTAATATGAAGATATTGTCAACAGGATTAGACAATAAGCATACACAATTAAAATTCCATAGAGTTATGAAATTTAAATGAGTGATTACAATGAGTTTTACTACAAAAAAGAAGAACCAAAAATCCCCTCATTAAATGACAAATTAGAAATCTTGGCTGACTAAATCATATAAGAAATCTAACAATCAAGGGAATCTACACCATAATTGTAAAATCAAATTAATGAAGAGTAACAAGAAGATATTTCACCATATATTGATGAGGTAGTTAAAACTGAACCTGTCTATACAAAAGAAGAAGAAACCACAAATGCGAACAATGAATAGATTAATCAAAGGAAGATAACATAAAGAAAAGGGAAGCCCAGAAAGAAGTAATAACAATAATAATAATAACAACAATAATAATAGTAAAATGAGTCAACATCCGATAATAACAATCCAAAATCTTAATAGTCGAGTTAATCAGAATTACCTGATGTTTCTACCTCTTAGCAACTTCACTACTAAAGAGAAATAAGAGAAAAAAAGAATAGTTAATAAAATCCACAACCAATTTAAGCTTAAGAATAAATTATTGAAACTGATCATCATCAATAAAACTAACTACAACAAAATCAACCAGCTGTCTAGAATAACAATAAAAAACATTCAACAAATGATAAACAGAAGGGCAAGGTTCACTCTAGAAAAGTTACAGGAGATACTGTTTCTTAGAGATAAGTTCCTATATATTTAGAGGCTCCAAAAGAATAAATTTTAGAGACCTTAAGCGAAAGGTCACAAGATGAAACCTAATAATTTGAAGAAGTTTAATCTAAAAAGCAGGAATCTCCAAAATAAGAGCATTAAGATACCAATTAAATAGATAATCAAGAAATTGATATGATCTAAAATGATTAAGAACCAGTAAATTAATAAATAGACACATCTGAAATAAAATAATTAGTTCAACCAATTTTAAACAGTAAACCGTTGCGCAATCCTGAATAAAGAGATGCTGTTGATATTTGGGATAATGGTATACCTACAGTAATTAGGCCAACTCCTAGGCCTAAACCAACTGTATAGGAGAACCGACAAATCGAACCAAAATAAAAGCAAAATAGTAATATCAATCTAAAATAAGCAGAAGATATAGAAGTAAATTAAATAAAAGCCTCTGAAGGTTCAGAACAATAATAAATTCAATAAGAAATTATTAATGAACAACCTTTGAAATCTGACCCATGTTTGGATACATCGGAACCTTAATAAATCAAAATAGAAAATTCTCAACCTAAACACTAACAATAATAAAATAAGACCGTTGTTACAAAAACAGTTTTAGAATAAAAAGAAATAAACTCTGTTAGAATAGTAAAGTAAACTGTTGAATAAAATGATTAATAAGTAGAAGATAATAGTAATATTGATTACTAATAGCTTATCAACCAAAAAATGAAATTAATTGAACAACAACTTCAACAACCTTGTCTTGATATCATTGATATCTTATTAGCTTCAGATTTAGTCTATAGTGTAAATATAGAAAATTATAAAATCTCAAAATCATATAAAAAGAAAGTCAATCATCCAAAATTTTTATTTGAATAGAAGGATGAAGAGGAAGTGTATACTCATTAGTATATTCTTTATTTAATTTAGGGTAATTTGGAGACACGAATTATAGGAAGTAATCCCGAAATTGTAAAATTTAAATAAACAAATTGAGGTTCTAATTGATGATAATGATGACTATAGAAGAAATAATGTTTACACAATAGAAGAAGAAAATGATGAATCTGATTATTGATTATTATGACTAAATATCTAATATATTAATTCGATATCATTTTTAAATATGCTCGTACATATTCCAGATGAATTTATACTTTGGCTTAAACAAGTTTAATATTTTAATGCTTATGCTGAAGTACGCATAAATATACAAAGAATTTTTTATCATCTTTATTAACAATTCCGATTAGTTATTACTTTCAGTCTCTTTTGATTAGGAGTTATTGATATCTACTTTGGATTAATCAGAATCTTAATCATCCTCTTCTCTTTGAATTTGATTGTTTGTATTAATCTTTATGGTGTTGTTTCCCTCCTATAATAAAATGTTCTGCATAATTATTTAATAAATATAATATCATAGCAATAATTTAAACAACTTGTAACATTGCAAATTTGTTAAGCAATATTTATAAGCACAAGATGTTCAAACTAATTATATAATCAGACATAACATTTGTAAAACTGAAAGCCTAATAGGTTTCTGAATTTCAGTTATTTAATTCTATTTTCAGCAAATCGATAAGATGTATAAACAAATATTGATCCAATCATAATTTAAGAGAAATGTATTGATATCAATTATGAAATGAAATTGATCACTTTTAGATATTCAATTCTCATGATATAATCTTAAACATTTGATTATTTCATCTCCTATTTTTATAAAATATAATCAAAAATAAAACAATAATTTTTTGCAATTTAATGAATATATGATCAACATAAAACATGATAAATTGTAAGAATGAAAGATAATCAATATATTATAAAACTTTATATTTTTTTTTAAAAACTGTATAACACATTTAAATTTATATTCAAAAACAATTTATTTGCTGGAGCACACTTAATGGTACAACTTGAGAAATTAATTAAAAACTGAAAATTTTAGATTTTCTTTTAACTGTTATATAGATTAATAATGCTATAAAAAGTTTTACAAAATATATTCAAATAGCATGTTAATATTTGAGAGATCGTACAAAATATAATAAAAAATATAGATATGAATTTATAGTAAGAACAAGATGATGAAAAGAAAAGATAAGCATTTGAATAGTTAGGAGATAATCCTACTGAAGTTGATATTAAATATGTTAGCTATTTATTGAAAATTCCATTGCTTACAATAAGATAGTGGTTAGATGAAAAATCAGGAGTTGATGTTCAAATTGAAATCCAACCTGAAGAAGAAAAGGATGTGTAAATAATTGGAATCGCATAAAAAAAAATAAAATTACAATGCTTAAAAAATCTATAAATAAAAGAAGAGGAGCCCTCCGTATAATAAATAACTGAATTTCATAAAAAAAAACCTAAAATTCCAGAACCCAAAGAAAAGTAAAAATAACGTCGAAGAAGAGTGGCAAATAAATCATCCACTACAACCAAAAAGCTCTAAAAATTTAATTCCAAAAATTAAAATGTAATAAATAATCAAACATAAGAAAAATTACTTTAAGATAGTAATAGTAAGAGTTAAAATCAGAAATAATAATCTAATAATAACTAATTAAAATAATTTGACTAGATTTAATAAAATTTGACCGAAGTTGTATAGAATGACATTTAGTAAAATTAATCTTAAAATGATAAACTATAAAATCAAAATATTGTGAAAGATTAATAATAAATTGTAAATCAAAATGTGGAAAAGCTACAGTAAAATAAATAACCAGAGTAAGTATCAAAGCCACTAAGAATTTGCATTTAGAATTAAGATCATCTATAAAAATAATCTTAATAAAAAAATAATGAAAAACTATAAACATAATAATAATAAAATTAGACTTAATTGAATACATCTACATAAATGGACCCAAATTCAAACGTGCAATCCATAAATGCATAATAGTAGTAGTAATAGTAGTAATAAATTAAAAAATAATTTATACCATAGAATACCTAAAAAGCAAATACAATATAATAAGCAAATAATTAATAGAAATAACCTTAGAATCAGCTTCAAAATAATGAAAAATTAAAGCAAATTATAATATTGGATGATGATAATAATATAAGCTAAATTATTAAAAATAAAATGAAACAGGTACAACAACCAAAGTAACAATAACCAAAAGATTAAAATCAGTAAAAGTTGCCTTTAAATCCTAATCTCAATTAAAAATTAAATAATAATGATTCCAACAACCTAAATAAAAAAAATCAGATTTCAAATCCAAATTAATAAATTGTTACTTAAATATCAAATGAATAACGCATTAACAATACTTCTGCGGAAAATTTGATTCAATAATTAAACAAATCATTTGATGTTTAAATGACGGTTTATTAAAAAGAGTAAAATATTTAAAATCAGCCAAATTTGACTTAGAAAGACATAGGCAGTAATTCTAATTATTCTTAATAATAATAATAATAATAAGAATTATTAAAATAAAATACTGTTTTTGAATCTAATAGTTTTAGCAATTAGTCATAAATATAGCATTATTTATAATAAATTCCTCATTAATTAGGTTAATAATAATAACATCTTAGTGATATTTAGCATAGTTAAACAAGTTAATAATTTTTTGAGTAAATATAATCAAACTATAGATAACAGCAAAGCCTAAATTATAATTAAAATGAAAATTCTGAAGCGCAAAGGTTTGCAGGTTTACCATAGCTTCAAACAAATTAATAAATCCCAAGCAATCAAAACCTACTCATACAATAAAATAATTAAAATATAGATTATTTGATAACGAAGCAAGCCTCAGCTACTTCTGAATTAAATTTAATTCAATAGCAACTAAATTAGGCCTTGAATCAACCAAATTAATAAAGTTACGATGTTAAGTAACAATTTGGATCTTATGAGATTATGTCGATATTGAATTAACACTCATAAACCTTAACATAAGTAGTTTCAATGTTATCAACAATAGGCAGTTTTTAGTTTTCTTTGATGGAAAGATTAAATCTGGTTTATAATTAAGTCAGCAATAGTTGAGCAATAATATACATATACATATATTTAATTATTAATTATAATAACAACATAATGGTGCATTGTGGTGAAGTGAAGACTAATTTGATTTGATTATGAAAGCTGGCTTATTAAAGAAGCATTAATATATTAATTTAGAAGATTAATTCATATAAGGAGCATTAAGTAGTAACACTAAAGTTATTTGCTTATTTATATTTAACACTTATTTAGCGTTTACAGAGAAACTGGAAGTATTATCGAGTAATAAGATCAACTTTGAGATAATATATATGTTAAGCAATTTAATGTATGATATTTATATGTGTACGTCATGATCAATATTAATTTTTATTTCCTTTTCTTTTGGCTAATCTAGTTTCAAGACTCTTATTCTTTTTGATGGAAGGATCGTTCTTAATAGCAAATCTTCTATTTTTCACGAATCTTTAGTTGCACTTTGAATAGAATTAACAATTACTCCTTTCAATGTTCTATATCTTTGATTGGGGAGCTTTTTAATACCATTTCTGTGATGTTTACGGGCATTATGATGAGAGGTAGCATTCTTAGACTTAGCCATTGATAATTTATTATTTAAAATATTTGTTTAGATATTTCAATATTTTTAAATTCCTAAATTTTTAGTATACACCTATTACTCTATCCATTACGCATCTTTGTAGGCTTGATTCTTTTGTTCTATTGTTCTTTCTAATTCTTTGTAAAGACTTTATATTCTCTTGGTCTTGAAATCATTAGGTTCTGTTTTCTAAGTACTTAATTTTTCTGATTTCTTTTTGTTTTGCCCTTGTTACTAATTTGGAATTTATTAAGTATTATCAATATTTAATTTAATTTATTATGCTTATTGTTATGGGAAGTTTGAATCTGCTTTCAATAAATGTTATTTGCTCTAAGAAATCAATAAAATAATAAAATACTTGTCGATCATCTTCCCATAACAGATGTTTCTTCACTCCTTCAATTTTCTTAAGTTATTTGAGAACATTCTATATTTCATTTTTGAGTTATTGTTCTATATCAGGATCATCATTATTTATTTTTTCAACAATTTAGTTCAAATTAGGAGCCTCATAGGAAGTAACATGAATTTCTTTCTTAATTAATTGTCTTGGAGATATAACTGGAGGAGGAGAACTAACTTACTTGCTTATGTTCTGCGAATTGGTTAAATCTTTTTCTTTTTAACAACTTTTAGAATTATTTGATTGATTCATAGGTTGAAGACTCTTTGCACTTCCATTTTCTTAGAAATTCTGGCATTCATTGGTCAAGTTAAATGATTGTTAATTTGATTAGACTGGGGATTTGCATAAAGATGAGTATTTTTTTAAGGTATGATATCTAGGTGAGGAGGGACTGATTGATATTTTAGGATTACACGAAATATTTTTAGAATAAGAATTAAAATCTTTGAATCGATTCAACATTTTTAATGGAGTTTGATTGGTAGTTGATTAAATTTATTATTTATCTTCTAATTGAATTTAAGTATGTTCATCCAGTATTTCTTCTGACTCATCCTAATTAAAATTACTGCTTAATTTTGCTAACATATAAGTTTTTAATTAATCTGGGTTAATCTTCTGTGGAGTTCTTTTTTGTAGTTCAGAGTTTTTGTTGATTTTTAGAATCTTATGGAATGAATCATAATAATCAATAACACATTTTAGAATATATTCTAGTTTTTCTGTTACTGTTAATGGATCATCAGTTTTAACATTTTGAGTGTAGTATTTCATCGCTTCTTTGATATTGGTAACATTGATTTTCTTTTTCAGGGTGTACTATTGAATATTAGAGAGGATTAAACAAATTGGTTCATAATTCTTACAAAATTGACTTTGACTTGGCACCCATTCCCTTGTTTGCAAGAACAAATAGTCAGTTGATATGACTTTATCTAGTCCTGCAACAATACAAAGTAAACCGCATATGCAATTATAGAGCTATTAAGTTGGTTTAAGTATAAAGAAGAAATCCTAATTGAATAATAGAGTTTATTACTTATATTTCTTTGTTTTGGATTGAGTTTAAAGTAACGATGATGTTTTAATGCAGTAATTCTGTGTCTTGAACAAGCTTTTAGTAATCAGTAGTTTAGATTTGATTAATGGCAATCTAAAGTTTTGTTCTTTCAATGAGTTCTTACATATATAAAATATATTATCATATTTAATAATAAAATCAACTAACTTGTATTCCAATTTTACACTCTTTTATTCCTTAATTAATTAATTCGAATGGTTTAATTATATTGCATGGTTGTTTTAAAGGTATTTCGTTAGTGCTGTGTTCAGTTTTACAAATTACTTTTCCATCCCCCAATCCTATGATCTCGTAATTAGTAACTCTCATACCACTTGGAAATTGTGTCTGAGTTCGAATTATAAGGATGTATTTGCAGGTAATGTAATCTTGAAACTTACACTACCATTTTATTTCTTCACGAATTCAAAATTTGAACTCTAAATTTATAATGCATTTTCAAAATAAGGAGATAATATAGGCTATTTGATACTAGACAATGGCCATTATGGCAAAGTAGGTTCATCAAATTGGTATGACTCTAATTATTTCATGAGAGAGTTGAATGTGCTATGATTAGGACTATACATTTTAATTGTAAAAATAATTGATAATCAAATTATTATCGATTATAAATAAGTAAGAGATAATTCAATAATTCCGACTCATTGGATATCGCTTCTTTAGCTCCTCATAATCTATTTAATAATTGTTTTCAATATGATATTTGTTGTACACTGAATCTATAAATGTCTTTTGTTTTTGCTCTCTCTCTCTGATCTTCTCTAATCTACTTAGTTCCTTTATCTCCACATTTCTCAAATGTTTCCCTTCCTTTGGAGGCTACCCTAGATAAGTGTCCAAATTGAGGGATTGCTCATAAATCAATAGTTATTGAAAGTACTCTACTTTAATTCAAATATTACAATGTCTAACTTATGCAAAGGGATTCTGAATTTTCACAATTTCCCAGGCTCTCTCCACCGTAAAACCATTTTTTTATAACATATATGCTATAACGAACACAGGACTGATAGTAACACAATCTTGACAGTGGATTAACACATTCCCATAAGTGATTCCATTTTCAATGAACATGTAGGAATCATAAAAAGCTTTGAATAAATCACCGCAATTTTCTATGTCGATTGGAATCACCTTATGAAATAGAATTTATTCGCTTCCTTAGAATTTAACAGAGCATTTCATTTAAACAGTCAATATGCATTTAATATTATAGCGAAGATGCAATTTAGTATCTGTTGCAGCATAGATATTGCCTATGTATATTCCACTTCTTCCTTCTTTGGGCAGTATGATTGCATGAATGTTGTCATCCGGATAAGTATCCCAATAGGTTGAACCATAAAATTTCTGTTAATCAAGTAAGGATAACATTATTATATAAAATTTATGAATAATAATCATTATTATCGTCCATCATTAACCGGTAATAAGAATAGGCGACGAGTCCAAGAAACCAATTTCGCAGCCATACTAAAAATTCACTCAAACAAAAATGCTAATTTAAAAAGTTCTTTGCTCTTCCATAGTAATTATAACTAAATAGCTAATATATTAGATCCTAGAGATATTGATACTTAGTTTACTTTAATTAATAGATCGATTGATGTACCTCGTTTTAATGACAGATCAGCCTCTAAATAAAGAGTTAAGACTGAAATAGTTAAACCTAATATTGATGTTCAATTTTAAAATCAAAAAATTGATTACACTACAGCATATTTTCCAAAATTGAAAGAGCGAATAGCGTTGTCATAAAACAAAATGTTTTATCAAGTAATTAGAAATAAGAATAGAAAGCCAAAAATGATGAAATTGAAGATTCTCCAATTCGAGACTTGCAGAAGTCCCTTGATTATTCGAGTCAAGCGTAGAGGACAAGAAATCTTACTCCAATATAATAAAGAACCTTAGATATACCTAAGTTTCAGAGCAGATCGGATCACTTGAATTAAGAAGAAATCATGCAGTTCTCCTTTGGACTTCAATATAATAGACAGAGCATTGAGAAACAAAAGCAAAGATTTCCAAAAGATATTTTTCTTGGGGATGTTAGAAAAGTAAAAAGAATTTTTTAATAATAATGAATTATGTAAATCTTTAAAAATCATTCATTGTATCTATATAATGCTCTTTACTTGTAAGGTATCAGCATTTATTTGGATAAACTCTACCTTCTTCTCTTCTGAATTAAATAGATATATCTATTGCTTAAAGATCTAAATTTGGTATATAAAAACATTTACTATTGGCTGGGTGCAGTTTACATTTATTATTTTTTAAATATTATTATAACTATTTTTTTGCACAGTTTTTAAGAAGATGTTGATCAACTGAGAACCACATTCATTTCCAAATTGATTCTGTCCTCCAATTACTAAGATTTCCTAATTAGAAATTGGTAAAGCATATCCAAGTAATTGAGGAACATAGGACTAATTGATATGACAGACAAATACTAATTAGTTAATCAATTCGATAGTTTCTACAAATTTCATAAGTATGGAATCATAGATCTCAATTAATCCATTGGCCACATATTGATTCATCATTCCCCCAATTAAATAGATTTTCTGATCTAAAAGACAACACTATCCTTAGATTCTCGGATATTTCATAGATTCGATCTATTCCCACTTATCATTCTCAATCGAATATCTACATAAAATCACAGTGTACATAAATCCCTTTTTGCTGCCTAATTGCTGATTCTCTATTTACACATATCCACCCCAGTAGTATATTGCCTTCTAATATTTGATTGCTTATCCCCCATAGGATTTACAGGGCAAATCTTATAATTTCAATACTTTATTCTTCATTTTATCATATTTGTTGAATTAATCACTTATTATTTTCTATGAGTTCTCAGAATTTAGGAACACCTAACCGATAAAATATAAATATTGATTTGCATTAATAATAGTTACATAATCCAATTTACATTAGTTTTAAGAAAGTATCAATTTTTGTTCTTTAACTTTATCTATTTCATCGATATTTGAGGAATAGAGTATGTTGTTTCTAAATGAATGTATGGTGTTTTGCATTTCCTACAACTTGAATTTGTTGGCTTTACTCTTCAAAGTTACCAAATTCTTTTTCTATTGTTTAAATCCACTAAAGTAATTGGGAATTATCTTAAACTCATCTTTGATAACAAATAGATACAATACCTTTAAATTTCAAGGATACCATTTTTTATAATGAGTCTTTAATGTCATACAAAGATTTATTATTGATTTAGAGAGTGATATCTTTAGGTAAGTAATTTTTTATTAAATGGAATTCCTCATTTATGTTATTCTATCTATCTAATACCTCTTAAACTTAAGTTTCGTCGTAATTATGTAATTCATTCCTAAGACTATATATTAATTGTTTAAGTGGCTACAACGATGTTTATAACAAATCGTTTGTAATAACTTAATATTGTGAGATTAGATTTATGAAATATTTATCAATAACCTATGAAATGACTTTCTTGATTGATTTGATCTTTTATATTGATTTTTAGTAAGTAGCTGAATCATAGATCTTCAAATTATTAATTTGAGCATTTAATTATTCTAAATCCTTATCAACTTAAGCTATTTTTGGACATCTATGTGGAGTTAGAATAAGATTGAGTTGTTCTATTAGTAATTGTTTTTGGTCATCCTCCAATTAACTCTCTAGATTTTACTCTATTCTTTGCTTCTTCTATGAAAAAGTGAGATCTGAATCAAAATTGGAATGAAATGACAATTATTTCTCATCAAAACTCATATCTTCTGATAAGAAACTGGCATCATTGAAACTCGAATTATTTTAATTATTCATTTTAATTAATGTATCAATGAATAGTAACCACACTACCAGACTCCATGGGATTATTAACTTGAGACAAATTCTCTGGAATTTGAGACTCCTCTTAACGAATTAAACTTTCATCAACAGATTTGCTTCCCCTTTTTTGATGCTCTATACTTTCTTATTGTTCTTTCACATTAGTTCCAAAAGGATTAGGATTTTACACATTGGCCCAAGAATGTAACATACCCTAATTATGCTATGATGCTCCAAATTGACTAGTTCCCAACTTTTCTAATTGTTATCCTTGCTTCTCACTCGAATTAACTTAAACAAACATACATTCCGAAGTTGGGAGCCTGAGAATTACTTTGACTCGCCTCCATTGGATTTACTACTGAACTTAAACTTTTAATGGAATGTCGCACTCCCTATTTCAATGCTTATTAATTTTAGATGCCTGCACTATCTATTTTAATTAATTCATTAGAATTACACATATGATTGTGTTGACTATTCTTTTCAATTAGTTCCTAGTACTTAATTGCTTCCTTGAAGTAACGCACCTCTTAATAAATCACAAATAAGAATGATATGAAGTTAATTGGTGCTACATATTTCTGGAATTGGAATATGAAACTCAAACACTAGCATTCTTCTTCAACTATGTCATTCGTCTTAATGAAAACTAACACATATTAGACAATATGGACTAAGAATAGCACTGTCAACAACAAGCTATTCATAATTTAAGTACAATTACTCAGCAAAGTTTCTTAGTTCCTTCTAAGATCTATTTTGATTAAACAGAATCAAAGTGAAAATTAGATTAAAAATAGAAGTCAGAACATTTGTGAGCAGGAGAGATAACAGAACCATTGAGTATTTGTTTTAGCATTCGTATTGATCTCCATGGGATAAAATCATCATACCAATTATACATGATGTAAAACAGTTAACTGATCTATTCGTTAATTCAAGTGGAAATATTTTGATTATTAATATTTCGATTTCCTTTGATTTATATAAATTAACATACTTTCCCCAACAATATCATGATGTACGTTTTTATATATAATTAAAGCAAATGGTCTTGCTCTTTTTTTTAAATAAAGTAATTGAGTGAATACACAAGAAGAGTTATAAACATAAACACATTCATTGTGTATATCAGGAAGTACTCAACCTTCGGAAATTCTCTCTTGAAACATAGCAAAAATACTGCTGCAACACAATTAAATAAGAACATTATGATTGTTAAATACAGGGTAATTGACATAAAAAATGAATCGTTTTCTTATACTCTTAAAAGTGCATTCATTATAAAGATTATAAATGCTTATTTGGTATGTTAACCAAAAATGTTAACTAGTTTGTTTTGTTGTATTTTTTGTTCCTCATTCAGATTTATCATCTCTCTTTAACTTAAATTAAAATAACTATAATTCTTATAACAATGAATCATTTAAATACATATAATATTGTCCAGAGTAAATTCCCATTTATTATTATTTGGATAGAGATTCATGATCATAATATAGTAATTATATTATTATATTGAATCAAACATTCCTTTCATCTTATAGCGCCATTATAACTGAAATAATAAACTTGATTATGTCTGCATAAAGTACAATTTTTATTTACATTTAACATGATAGAACACGTTGACTGAGGTCGATGCTTAATTAGCAAGTAGCGATTGCAACTTTATTTTTGAATTAATTTATAACAATTGCTCATCCATTATTATCTTAAATATAGAATAAAGACGAGAAGAGTACCTTTTCAGTTTTCCTTGTAATTTCTATCTGAAATCGTTGAAGTTATCATCAATTTTCTTATTCCTCTTTTTCTTACAATTACTACTTGAACACCAATAATAAACTAATTGAGAGTAATAGTAAAATAGAAGTGCTTTTATATTTATAGAAAATGCTAAATATTATTCCCAAAATTGCAACCTTTCTCTTTAAATAATATTCTCTACAAATAAGGAGTTCTGTTAATGGTAAATAATTCGATATCAGAATCAGAACTATGTTTATTAAAATAGAATATTAAAAAATAAATAATTAATAATCTGATATGCTTTTTATTTTAAGAAATTTATGAACTTTTCATTAAGAAGATATTTTTCTCACATCTAATTAATAATAACTTCGATTTCTTTAATCTTTATCTGCCCTTCTATATTAACGGTTATTTCATTGAATATTATCTATATCAAATTACTATTAGGTTTATGATTTTTAAAAATTGATTTTATTATAATACACTCTTTCCTTTTTCCAAAAGCAATTTGAAAATTTTGAAGTACTTAATATAAGGACAATTTTTATAAAATATTATAATAAATAAATTTTAGTGTGGTGTGTTTTGAGTTTCTTTAGAAAAAAAATCTCATGATTCCTTTCTTTATAATAATGTAACTATAAATTTAAGAAGAGCTAAAAACTGATGAAGTTATGATAAGCATGTCTATTTAATAAAATTAGTGATTTTTGACCATCCCCCCCATAAATTTATCTTATTTTTTAAATCCAATTATATATTAGTTTCTTTATGTTATTGCTGTTAACTTTGATCATTGCAAATCTTGCATTTTGGAATTAGCGATGAAATGTATCCTTATAAATTAAGACAATTTAGTTTAGAGATATATTAGTATTGTTTATCAAAACTGATATTAATTATTTAAAGATCTCAGTATTACATCGCAGTTTTTGCTATTGAATAATTTGATGAATAAATTATATATATAAATATTTATTTGTTAAACATACTTATGGATCAAAACTAACAATACTTAATTGAAGTTCTTGCCAGAAAAGTAACACTAGAATTATTGAATCCTCTTTAGAATAGGTAAAGAAGTGGTTTATGTAGAATCTTAAATTTGTAACAAGATTATACCAATATTGACTCAGCCATTAGCAAGCACACTTAGGCTATTTCAATTATTAATTAACAATAATAGCAGAGACAGCTCTAAGATTCGATGTACTTGAAGAACATCAATGAACTACACGCAACCATAAATTCTTTGGTATCACTTTAAATTAATTAAGGAAGAAAAACAAACCTTAGCAATTTAAACTTAAAATTAAACGTTCACTAATCTAATGGACAGAATTGAACATTACAGTCAATAGTTGAATGAGAGATCAGAGAAGTTAAAAGAGTTACAATAATAATATCAATAATTGAAGGGAGATCAAGCTTTTGTTCATTAGACTTACATCACAAATATTGATAATATACAGAAGAGAGTTAATCAATTGATTGTTTCTTCAAGAGAGGAGACTGATGGTAATAGATTCTCAGTAGAAAAAATGGATTCTAGAATCTAAGATATGACAGAAAAATTGAATAAAACGCTAGAAAAGGCTGACTAATACCAATCAACCTTTCAGTAATAAAAAGAGCTCAGCCAATAAGTCCAAGAGATGATTGAATAATTTGAACTGTTTAAAGAGTAAGCAATACTAAAGGAGGACCACGAAAAGTCTGTTAAATAGTAGAATGATCAAATAAAAAGTGAGCTAAACACTATTCAATTTAAATACCAACAAATCTTGAGTTAAAATAATAGGAATATCACTTAAATGTAATAATAAATCGACAGCTTTTAATATTAAAGGGAGGACACTTAGAGATAATTTTAAACTTGTTAAGGATTAATCAGAGATGTCAGAGTAGAGGTTGAAGCTAAAAATTCCGAGGTATTAAAATCTATAAACAATTTAAAATCATAATTTGAATAGAGATATGAGGATTGGAGTGAAACCTTTCACATAGTTCAAAAGGCAGTGGAACAATTTAAATTTGATTTTGCCAGTATGAAATAGAATTACAAGAAGAATCTTATGAAATATGATGAAATATTTGAGTAATACAAAGAAAAGTGTGACAATGATATCATGTCGATGTTGAATAGAAACACAAATATATAGAAGTAATATTTAGATGAATAAATATAAATAATGGACACTCATTTTATGGAGGAATTGCAGTCTTTATAAAATTAATTGGTTCCGAATATTATTCAAAACATAACTTCACTTGATAATGAAGGGAAACAAAATCAACTTAATTAAAAACATAGCAAGTAAGATGTGGATGATTCTTAAATGAAACAACATAAACTTTAAGTTCCTTAAAATATAGTCCACAACAATCCTCAGAGAAAGAGCAAAGTATTAAAAGATACAACAGAAACAGAATCACCTTTAGGGATTAATATCACCAGCGTTTATGTTTCAGCTAATAAATCAATTAGATCAAATAGTAGAGTTGATGGTCAAATTGAGTATCAATCATATCAAAAGAAATAATCAGTATCGAAGGTTACTGATAATTTAGAATTGATTGAGGTAAAGCAGTAGATCGAGAAGGTGCTTGAGTCTCAAAAAACTTGTTAAGTTCAATATTAGCAATTGGATAAAGATTTCAAGCAATTGAATGATAAAGTCAAGAAATAGCATGAAAGATTAGAATTCTTCTTTTTGTAAACTAAAACGTAATTAAACAAATACAATTCTAAAATTGATACCATTCAAAACGATACTAAATAAGGATTACCACCAGATAAGGAGTTTGTTGATTTGAACTACATTAAAAGAGAAATTGAATTATTGCAAGGCCAAATTACTAAAATGAAATCTGATATTCAAAATGATGCTACGTTTGCATAATAACAAATTAAGAATCTTCAAAAAATTAGAGATTAAATTCTACCCAAGTAATTAGAGTAATAAACTAAAATGGATTAATTAGAAGAATGTCAGAAGTTAATGATTATTTTATTACTATAAAATGAATTGGTTTAAATTAGTCATGAAGATGGCTTATATAGAGTAGATTAGAATCTTAATAATTTGCATTTCGAATTTCAACCAGGTTTGAGGGATGAAAACACTCATATTACATTTAGACAATAGAGAATCTCCAAAGTAGATTTCATATTGAATCAAATATTGCCAATCAAAAAAATTTGTTTATCTACCAGCAGAATCGATCAATCTTTAAATTTATCATAATCATAGACCCTGAGGAAGCAATAAACAAATAGAAACCTAAATAAAAATAGTAAAACTAACAACTCTGTAATTGTTGGAAAAAACTCAAAATTAAATGAATCAACTAGATTGACCATGAGAAATACAATGACTGTTGAAATGAGTCAAAAATATATGAATAGAAGCTAGAGGCAGAAAGACACTTTTAACTAAGCAAGAATATCATTATCAAATTAGCGATTAAACTATACTCTAAATGATGAAACAATTTGATCTATAATAATTTAAAGAGATGTTTCTAATTATATATAAGAATTTAAATACTCAATATAATTAATGATAATTTTCATTTTATTCACAACTATACTTTGTTATAGACCAATCCCTCAGAATTAGTACATCATTCTATCAACCTCCAAATTTTGGTTCAATTATAGACAAGCGATAAACTCTCTATTAATCTACCAACAATTAAAAGATTGGAGAATAAGTGATGATCAAATTTCCTTGATGATTCCAGAAGATACAGCCTGTAATAGAAAGAATAATGTGCCTGGAGTGGCTTGTGCATATGATGGAGAGAGAGAGCCAAATATACATAAAAGTGTAAATTGGGACTTTAAGAGAAATGATGTCAATATTAAATATTGGATAGATGTTATGCGCAATAAATACAATAAATATGTAAGCTAAATCATTTTAATAAGACTCCTTAATCAAGAAGATTAACCCTATCGAAGCAATAGAAATTATTAATGTTTATGAATGGACATGGTGGAGATGGGTACACCAAAATGCAGGATACAACCTATTTGTTGGATTTTGAAATGGAAAAAATCACAAAAGAAATGGAATTTTTAGAGCTTTATCAAGAAGCCTTTTTGATATCTGATTCATGTGGGGCAATCACTTTATTTGAAACAGTGAAAGCCAAGAATATGATATTATTGGGATCAAGTTCCTTGGGAGAAAAGGCTTATTCTCATGGTCGTTGTCCCATTTTATCTATTCCTAAAACAGATAAGTTTACATTAACTACACATTATTGGCTGAAAAATGAATTAGACAAGAAACCTAATTTATCAATACTTGATTAGATGAAAAAATATGATTATGGATATCATAAGGCCAATTCAAAGTTGATTATTAATATTGAAAATAAAGAGTCTAAGGATGTAAATGAAATAATGTAATTATTTAGATCAAAGCAGCTGATTTTTGGAAACCAAAGCAACCAATATTGAATTAGGTTATTTTAAGAAATGATTAAGATAATTTAGCTTAATAAGAGTTTTTGGAATTGATGAAGGCATGATTTTGGAATAATCATTATTTATTATTTTATGTGCAATGATATTTTCATTCACCTTTTTCTAATTTCTTAAGTTCTTCTGGAGTTAATTCTCTTTTTAGACCAAACAATTTATGTCCTTCCTTAATACCTTTCTTAAACCAAGTCTGGGTCACATTGTTAGCGATTAATCCTTTTTCATATGCTTAATCAAGAGACACATCATCATAAGGTTTTTCCTTTTTTATTCATAAATTATGCATACTTTCATGCTATTTTGTATTTTGACTTCATCTACTACTGCTTTGAAAGAAAAAGGTTCGTTGATTGCAAGATTAGCTAAAATTTTCCTATCTAATTATATGTTAGAATGGTTTAATCCAAAAATAAATTGACTGTAACTTATTCTGTGTTCCCTCACTCCAGCATTGATAGCCTAAATCCACTCACGTCCTATTCATGATAATAGACTTACTTAGAATTCTTGGTCTAAGTCTTCTACTCACATATGCATATTGCAATGATTTTTATACTCTGTTCATCATTATTTTGGAAGTATTTCTGGCACGTCCTTAGAAGCCCTTGGCCAATTCTAAATACTTTTTTAAACTCCAATTAGCCATAATTAATTAAAAATATTATCTATAAATTTATGTAATAGTATTTGAAGATATTGAATTTCTTCTTGTTAGTATTTTTCATTCCCAAAATTTGTGCTATCATTTTTGAATGCGAGTCATAATAATAGAATATAGCTAATAATAAGGGTTTAGAATGCTGAAAAATTGGCAATATTAATTTAGATTATTATTTTATAAATGGATTAGAGATAAGAAAATTATAAAGAAGTTTTAATAGATTGGATGTAAGAGCAACTTAAATTATGTATAGTTATAACTTGAAATACATTTTAAATGCATATTTAAATAACAAGAACGTCCCTCCAGGTCACCCAATTTATATTTTGGGCAGTCGTATCGATATTGATAATAATGATATTGAAGTAAAGTTTATAATAAAAATTAGGATCGTATCAATAAAATTAAATAGTTAGTTTAAGAGACCATTTGGATTACATACAGAAGAAATTTCCCACCTTTATATTGTAAATTAAGAGATTATTTTTTAAGAATCAAATTACATCTCAGATACCGGTTGGGGATGTATGCTTAGAGTAGGTTAAATGGCCATGGCTTAAATGCTTAAGAAACACCTAAAAAATCATGGAGATAAGAGAGATGAAGATTATGATAACATTTTATTAGCCTTTGCTGATAATGATTCATAAGAGTATAAGGAATTTATAGAATTTATAAATAAAAAGGAGAAACAAAAAGTCCACAACTTTATTTGTCCATTCAGCATTTAAAAAATAGCGTATTTAGCTAAAAAAGAATTCAATTTAGATCCAGGGGAATGGTATAAACCCAATTATATACTATTTCTCCTTGAAGAATTGCACAATACCATACCAATTAGAGGTTAATATTTCAATTATCTAAAATTAGCATCTGAAAATCTCAAATTGTCGGTATTTAATGACTCCTGCCTTTTTCTTGATTAATTGATGAACAGAATGTTCGATACCAAATTTGAAACTGATAAAGATCTAGAAGAACAATTGGAAAAGACTTAACTATAAAGCAAAAACAGTTTAGCAATATTTGTTTTAACGAGAATTGGTTTGGATGAACCCAATTAAAAATACTTGAAAGTGCTAGATGAACTAATGGAATTACCATATTTCTAAGGTATAGTTGGAGGCACACCAAAAAGAGCATTTTATATACTTGGTAGAATTAATGATCATTACATTTATTTGGATCCACATTATGTTTAAGAAGCTGAGAATAAAGATCAAATCATTGAAAATAAAATGTTCAATCGAACATCTTACAGTTGCAAATACATTCACTTATTAAATCAAAGGCATGTAGATACCTCTATGGGACTATCTTATTATATTCGAAATAAAAGTGAATTACTTCAATTTTGGAGAAATGTAAGTTCTTTCATAATATGTAGATGAAACAAATAAAACAAAAATCAGATGATTTCTTCATTTTCCTCTCAGATACTACACCTGAATATGTCGATTATAGCAATTAACTAGAGGAAAGCAGTAACAAACTTAATGATGATGATGTTGTATTTTTATAATGAAATCCAACTATCTTTATTTTGATTTATATTTCTGCACAATCCATTCTACCCACGTTATAGTGATAAATGATGATTAATTAAGAAAGCAATTTAAAACTTAATTTAAATCTTCGAATATATTAATATTAAAAATAATAAATAATGAGAGAAAAGTGGCGAAAGAAGAGAATGCGAAGACTTAAGAGAAAGAGACGTAAGGCACGTAAGTGATTTACATTATTTGCACATATTCTGGATATATATATTCATTTTTTATTTCATCTTCATTTTCCATTTCCCTGGTTGTTATTCCCTTACTATTTTAGATGAGCCTCAAACTGATTGAGTATTCAACTCTTATATCTATAGGAGCATATAATTTTTATAGTCAATATCATATACTAGAGCTCAACAAGGGTTAGGTCCTTAGAACTAGGCAATTAGCAAAAGTGTTGCCAAAATTACAGAGATTATTGCAAAACCACAAAATTATAGCATTTTAATAAATTATGGCAATTTCAATAGTTGTCTGTGGTTACTTGTGCAATTGTAAATATTTTCCAGATTATTCATTCAATTAATAAAGTAAATCATTTTTGAAAGATATAAAGGAAGCCAAGCTATACTATTCATTGATGGATTCTAAGTAGAGCTATTAATGAGCTTTCGAGTTTTGCTACCATACATTTATCAATAATAATTATTTTAACATATATTTGTTAATTAATAATCGTTTAATGACTTTTAATAAAATATTTTTATATATACCTGGTAGAATTATAAATTTATGATAATCTCTAAATCAATAACTATTGAAGTTGTAATGATTCAAATAATTGAATCAAAATGCAGGATCAAATTATCATATTAATTAAAGGGTTGATTTTGATATTTAATAAAGTATCATGGATATAAAGACTATTAGAAATACTANGAAAGTGCTAGATGAACTAATGGAATTACCATATTTCTAAGGTATAGTTGGAGGCACACCAAAAAGAGCATTTTATATACTTGGTAGAATTAATGATCATTACATTTATTTGGATCCACATTATGTTTAAGAAGCTGAGAATAAAGATCAAATCATTGAAAATAAAATGTTCAATCGAACATCTTACAGTTGCAAATACATTCACTTATTAAATCAAAGGCATGTAGATACCTCTATGGGACTATCTTATTATATTCGAAATAAAAGTGAATTACTTCAATTTTGGAGAAATGTAAGTTCTTTCATAATATGTAGATGAAACAAATAAAACAAAAATCAGATGATTTCTTCATTTTCCTCTCAGATACTACACCTGAATATGTCGATTATAGCAATTAACTAGAGGAAAGCAGTAACAAACTTAATGATGATGATGTTGTATTTTTATAATGAAATCCAACTATCTTTATTTTGATTTATATTTCTGCACAATCCATTCTACCCACGTTATAGTGATAAATGATGATTAATTAAGAAAGCAATTTAAAACTTAATTTAAATCTTCGAATATATTAATATTAAAAATAATAAATAATGAGAGAAAAGTGGCGAAAGAAGAGAATGCGAAGACTTAAGAGAAAGAGACGTAAGGCACGTAAGTGATTTACATTATTTGCACATATTCTGGATATATATATTCATTTTTTATTTCATCTTCATTTTCCATTTCCCTGGTTGTTATTCCCTTACTATTTTAGATGAGCCTCAAACTGATTGAGTATTCAACTCTTATATCTATAGGAGCATATAATTTTTATAGTCAATATCATATACTAGAGCTCAACAAGGGTTAGGTCCTTAGAACTAGGCAATTAGCAAAAGTGTTGCCAAAATTACAGAGATTATTGCAAAACCACAAAATTATAGCATTTTAATAAATTATGGCAATTTCAATAGTTGTCTGTGGTTACTTGTGCAATTGTAAATATTTTCCAGATTATTCATTCAATTAATAAAGTAAATCATTTTTGAAAGATATAAAGGAAGCCAAGCTATACTATTCATTGATGGATTCTAAGTAGAGCTATTAATGAGCTTTCGAGTTTTGCTACCATACATTTATCAATAATAATTATTTTAACATATATTTGTTAATTAATAATCGTTTAATGACTTTTAATAAAATATTTTTATATAATCTCTAAATCAATAACTATTGAAGTTGTAATGATTCAAATAATTGAATCAAAATGCAGGATCAAATTATCATATTAATTAAAGGGTTGATTTTGATATTTAATAAAGTATCATGGATATAAAGACTATTAGAAATACTATTATGGTTTATTTGATTGTTTAAGGTGAAAATATTAAATGATGAATATTGATTGTAATTTATAATTATAAATTTCTGACAGTTTTGAGGAATATGTCGAACATTGAATAGACAAAATAAGTTTAAAATTATGTTATAGGTATAATTATAATAATTTTAGAGATCGCACTCTCGGGAAAGGAACCTTTGGTAAGGTGAAATTAGGTTATCATACGATTTGTGATGAATATGTAAAATTGAATTAGAATTTGAGGTGGCTGTAAAGATTTTGGAGAAAAGGAAAATTGAGACCGATGCTGATTTTATTAGAGTTTAGAGGGAGATAGCAATTTTGCGAAAAGTGGAGCACCCGAATGTTATCAAACTATATGAGGTATAAATCAAATAAATTAGTAGATATTGGAATCAGACACAAATCTTTATTTAGTAATGGAATATGCAAAGGGAGGAGAATTGTTCGATTATATAGTGAAGAAGAATCAGTAAATTAAAAAATTAATCAGGTTATCCGAACTGGCTGCCACTAAGTTTTTTATTCAGTTGATTGACGCCGTGGAATACTTGCACACTTAGAAGATTGTCCATAGAGATTTGAAACCTGAGAATTTATTGTTGGATGAACAAAGGAATTTAAAAGTGGCTGATTTTGGTTTGAGCAACATATACAAGGAGAGCGATTAAGTTAAAACTGCATGCGGATCTCCATGTTATGCAGCACCTGAAATGCTATGTATTAAGATTATATATCAAGTAGATGGCAAACTGTATGGAGGCCAGAAGAGTGATATTTGGAGTTGTGGTATCATTTTGTACGCCATGCTTTGTGGTTACTTACCATTTGAACACGAAAACACGAAGAAACTATATGAAATGATCAAGTATGAGGACTATGACAAACCAAAAAACATCTCACCTGCAGCACAAGATCTCTTAAAATAATTATTGACAAAGGACCCTTCTTTGAGAATTGGATTCCAGGAAATCAAACATCATCCATTCTATAAGAAAATGGTTATCTAACCATAGTAAGGATTGGTAACCAAGGATTAAGATGTGTTGAAGTAATTATCAGATTTGGGGTATGACGTCAATAACGTTATCGATCAAGTAAAAAAAAAAAAACATAATACATATACTGCTGCATATTGGCTATTACTTAAAAAATCTTCATCTAATTAATAACCAATTGCAAAATAGACTTCACTGTTGTTATAATAAACTTAATAACAATTAAAAAAAAATTAAATTTTACAGTCTTAATTACAGTAGATCTACCAACCCATGGAATATAAATAATTACAAGGTTCAACTGGAGGTTCAAACAGCAAAGAAAAAATATAATAGCCAAGGTAGTTTAGATATTCTGTGCCTCATAATAAAAATAGAATTGATTATTCTCAATTTCAAGATGTGTATACTGGAATCTAAAATAAATTAAATAACATCCAATTGCAATGCAAATAAAATACTAACACTATAATAGATTTTGTGAGGTAGAAAACTCACTCAGTTTAGGAAAAGACACATTGCCACACTCCAGATTAGGTTGATTTAGTTATTAAATAACCAGGGAAGAAGATATAACTGTTATTGTAGAGAAGGAAGAATCCCACCGAATAAATGGAGAAGTAAGAGAACACAGATGTTGGTTTAAAGGAGAAGATGAAAGATCTGACTAAGAGATCAAGGAATAAAACTCAACCTCTTAAAAAAGTGAATGAGAAAATGGAGAGATATGCTAATAATTATACTCAATAGTTGATAAAATAGAATAGTCCTTAGGATAGTTTTATTGCTAAGTTTTATAAGCCATCAATTAGAGTGAGACACAGCAGCAATCATGAAAATACTTTAAAGCATAATGGAATACTTACTCATAATTTTGTCTGAAATTAGATTGTCATTTTTAGTTTATAGAAATTAAAACATTTATAATTAATAATCAACAGTAAAAAATAATAATTTCAAATTATTACAAATGCCACCAAAAGTACCACCCAAATCTAATGCCATGAAATATAGGCAGAACAATCAGAAACTCAAAGGATAAGGGAGAAACATAGACTATAAAAAGTTCCCTCAGAATACAAACAAATCAAGATTAATTTCGAATGGAGACATAAGAAGGTTGGCTAGAAGAGGAGGAGTCAAACGTATTAGTTCAGATGTCTATGAACTGTCTAAATTGTATATGAAATTGTACATTTCCAATATTCTTCGTGATTCGATGATTTATGCTAATTATTCAGGAAGGGCTACAATTTTGGCAGATGACATTTGCAGAGCTGCCAAAAGAGCTGGATAAACTGCAATTGGATTTACTCGTTGAAACTATTGTTTATATATTTGAATTTTGGCAATTTCATTAATAAATGAATTTTATAAAGTCAATTTTCTCCAAACCTTCAGCACCTTAATAATAGCAACAACCGAAGAATCCAAATTCTGATTTCTCTATTCTTGATCCACAATTTACCTAAGTGAGATTGAGAGATGCAAAATTGCTAATCAAAGATATGAGGAGATTAGAATAAGTTGTTAATTATCAGCCAGAATCAATCAATGAATAACTCAAAAAATGCTATGCTTTACATATTATTTTGAGCAGTGATCAATATTAAGCAATAGACAAGGTGATAATGTGTTGTGAAAAAAATAATGTAAATAATACTATAAAATAGAGATCAAACCAGTTGCACATAACACATAAGCAAGAACAGCGGTTACCACGAATATTAATTAAACATGTTAGATATTGTCAGATTAATAAATGATCGCTACTTAATATCAGAATTCCATGTATCTTAATGTCTCTGATGTAATCAAGATTTTATATTTGATTTAGCAATTATAACTATATGAGCAAATTCATCAAAATGAATCGGAATTCATGAACACCTATTTCAATTACATCTAGAGGATTACTCAAAATTCTGATATCTACAACTCTTGTAAGTTCCATCAATACCCATATTAAGACGAAACTTTCAATCGAAAATTGTAATTTGTGTGGCTTTTCAAAATTATCAACATGCTTAATTTTAAATTAGGTTTTTTACCCTACCTACAATTCTCCTTCAATCAAAAAACATAGAATTCATTCATCATCAGAGACATAGCCTATCTAATTTATAAGGATTGCTTATTGGAGTATGGGTTTTTGAGAAATGAAATAACTGATATGATTGATTCCTATTCATAATTTTAGGTTAGAGATTGTAAATCTATTGTGTTAATTTAGCTCTACAATTTTATGAATTGGTTGTGATCATGCTTGAAATTAATAAAAAAATGAAATAATTCTATGAAATGAGACAGCAATTCGCACTAAATTCCTCATCCGTCAGAGACGTTAAATGGTTTGTTATAGAAAAAAAACAATTAATTGAAATCGAAAACTTTGTGTCCAAAGCTAAATTGCTGAACACTGCCTAATTCAAGAAGAGTCTAATGGTGCCAACTCAAAAAATTGTTATGGAAAATCTGTAGAAAGTGATGATGGACCCATCTCTAATGGAAAATTCTTTTCTTAAGGTATATATAGATCGTATTCAAAGGAACCAACAACAGCGAAAAACATTAAGAGAATAAATGAACTCCTTTATTCACCCTTAAATTCTAAATAAATCAAAATATCAAATCATTCGAGATAATTGTCAAAAAATTGATTAATTTAATCTCCAAACTATTATTATTTTCCATATTAGAATAAGATCTCATAAGCTTATAATTTCTTAAGAATTCTATTTCATATTATCTACTTAATAATTTAAATTAAGGGCTAAATCTAGGTTTATTAATATAGTAATTATTTACTGATTTAATATAATGGAGTTTGATTCTGTAGGAATTCATCTCAATCAATCAAGAGATTTACTAATCCATAATTATATGAAATTCATCTATTTTATCAAAGTCTATTCATGAAACAGATTGTTGTATATTAACAGATAATTGATTGTTTTATAGTTTATCAATATATTAATCATCTTCCAGACCAAGAGGCAACTTATTTCTTGAAAATGATGATGACTTGTTCCAAGATGGCATTCTCTTCATCTCTTTTAGCTTTGGCTTCAGCATAGTCAGCTCTCTTGCTTTCCAAATCAGATTGGGCTTAATCGAGAGCATCTTATGATTCTTAGAGGATAATCTTTGACTTTGCTTATTAGGCTAAAGCAGCTTGAATTTACTAAGAAATATATGTATGGATATTACAGTAGCAAGTCTGTCAGCATAGACTTATTTTCTCTCGTATTCCACTTTCAAATTAGCAACTTCAGCTTCACTCAAAGAGACCCATCCAGCTAATTCCCAGGAGGCATTGATTTCATTGACTTCCAAAGCCTCAAGAGAAGCTTAGAGATTGGCTTCAAGGGATTCCAAAACTGCCAAGACTCTCTCAGCTAAAGTGGCACCTCTGCTAACCTAAAGAATAAATTAGGATTGATACAGATCCATCTTCTTATTTAGAGGCTAAACTGAGGAAGGATTTGACTTCATGTTCGTTGAAGAGGTTGCTATAGGCCTTCAATTTTTCAGCAACACTTGTGGCTTTTTCTTAGACGAGTTCGAATGAATCTCCATTAATGATGTAACCAGCAACGTCTTATTTAAGGACTCTGACTACTTCAAGAGCCTCTCTGTTTTATTTGATTGATCTGACAAAAAGTTAATTGCTCAAACACTATTCATCTAATAAGACTTAAATCTTTCTTGCAATTTCATCTTATCTTTATTCATTCCATGCCAAATAATTCTTTGTGTCTGAGAGTTCCTATTCAAATTGGACTCTGTTTTCAATTGATTATTAGAAAAGCTTTTAGTTCAAGGACTTGATTTTAGTGAATTGTTCAATAGTTCTAGAATTAGATCATGATATTACTGTGCACCAACCCATTCATCTGTCTCATTCTTTTAATCAGCTGCAAATTGAGCATCCTTATTTGATTGAATCAGGTCATTCAACAAACCAAAGACTGTGTCAATGGCATCCATAGCTTTTGTTCCTGTTTAAAGTAATGCCATAATTTAATCATGAGTTGAAGTTGCTGAGGCAATGCTCACCAATAAAAGGATTGCAATGGTAGCTTTCATCTCTAAAATAAATAATATTAATCAAACATCCCCTCTAACTATGTTAAATAACAAATACTCTCAATTCATCTAATTTTCAAAAACGGGTATTCCAAAATTAATATAGATCAATCACTTATTTATAATTAAATATTAAATACACATAAATGTTACACTTTCCTTGCTCCAAATATCTTGATGAATCAAAAACAGAACAAACCAAATTAAACATTTCTATAATACATATAATTTTCATTAGTTAAAATAATTCATAAGTTCCTTTCCAAAGCATTCACACACCCTTTTATGAGCATAGCCCAATTAATGAGAAGACCGTTTAGCGTAAATACTAACAATAATGTACTAAATTCTTTTTAAGTCGATATTTGAATCAATAAATTAAGGATTATTTAGATATTCTTGATTGATTTACTATTCAATACTAAGTATCAGTCTGATATAAGGAGTCCCAGGAATTATCAATTGAATTTTCCCGAAATTTGAAGACAATTCCTGATTCCGATACTCTGATTCCGCTGAAGCTATTTCATAACGATACAACTTGTAATGTTGGCAAAATTGGATCACCTTCTCAAAATTGAATCTTTCTACTCTCTGCTCAAACAAAACCACATACTTTTAAATCCCATTATCGATTAATTTTTAAATGCTCTTTTACGTAAGAGCTGATAACTATATCAACTTTAATTCATTATTGCAAATCGTGAATCGGAAAACCTTCGTATCTATTATCAATTTGATGGCCAACTTCTCATTCCATGAATCACTCTACTCAAACTAGTGTTAATGACTTATCTCGAGACTCTGACCAATAAACATCTATTTATTGACCAACTTTATGTCCCTTTATAATAACTATCCACTGTAGTAAGTCTTAATCTACATTTCCTCTATGACGCAGTTTTAAAGGCAGTCCAATATAAATGTATGCACTCCAATAATCTTATTCCCAATATTATTTCTTTTTAATATTTTCTAATCCACTTCGTGTCCACCATTAAAGACCTTTACACAAAATTTAAACTTCAAAAGGATTTTATTCAGCTAAATTTACCCGCTGTCAATAAACTAGGTGATTTCATAACTCTGAGATCTCTTTATCAAAATAAGATCCTTTACAATTTAATTATTAATTACAAGATGATCATCTTTTAAAAATTCAGTGCTCGTATTGTGACTGTTGAATTGAGACATTTGTTATTTAGTATGATTAATATTTGAGATTTAAGAAGTCAACATAAATTTAGACTACTGCTAAACAGTTTAATTTATTTATTATGATAAATCTAATTATAATGTAACTGATTGCAATTCGATATTTGTTTGTAAATTTACATTCTGTTCATTCTACTTTACTTTTTAAATTACAATGCTCAGGTTCTTTGATTTAATGACAACTATCTATAATATTGTTGTGATGATATTCATTATGAAATAAATCGATAGCAATATCAACACAATAAAGCCTAACTCATAATTTTCTTATTAGACTAAAACATAGGATGTGATAAGCAGGCAGTATGAAATTATGTTTGTAATGTTTATTAGCTTATCCTTTAGATTTTTAGATTTAAATAAAATTAGGAACTATAGCACTAGCAACACCCCATTTATTCCTATTTCTAAATAGAATATTATCATGAATTTATTAATTGCTATTGGAATTATGCCCATCAATAATTCATTAAAAATACAAATGAAATAATGAACCAAATAAATTGTCGTATTTTATTATGCAAAAGTGATTTTTGTATAATAATTCAAGAAATCCTTCTTAGATTCATCTTTTATTGTTATTAACGGTCTCATAGTGAAAGCAAGATAAAATAGTAGCAGAATTCCTCCAACAATACAGAAAATGATATTTAAAGGATCTTTAGATGAATTTTGAATGGTTTATGTTATCTAACCTACACTACCAAAAGTTAATTCGAAAATGCTCCCTTCCAAATAATAGATAGTTAGTTCTTGGAACAATTTAGGCCATTTATCATAGAATAATTTAGGGATACAAAGTAGGATTAAGAGTAAGAGGACAAAGAGAGTAAAATCACAATCATGTAATAGCATTGAAGTATAATTTGAATTTAAGTAATATTAGTTTTCTACCTAAATGTTTGAGTTAGTTCCAAAGAGATAATAGTACTTACCATTAGTGGAACCTGTTTGATCATAGGGTATTTGGGTACCTTCCGTTCCAAATCTGAGATAAGCAAATAAGGCAATTCCACAAAAGTAATATAAATTCATCATAAATGGTTTGAACATGATAATCAATTTGAAGGGTAAGAGGTTAGTGAGTAGCACATTTGAGATCTCAAAATAAACAAATATTGTACTATTCTAATAGATCTTATCACAATAAATAATATTCCTATTTGTTCAAAAGAATAAATGGTTTAATTGTAACTATAGAGTTTTTGAGTCTAGTCCTAATAATTTTAAGGAACGTCTGATAACATTTTTATTTTTGAATTTATGTTAATATTTTTATTTCATAATTATATATTCAACTGCAAAAGTACGATTATGTAGTAAAATTTTCAATTTCTTCATATAATTTGAAAACTCATCATTTTTATTCCTTCTAATGGTTATTTCATTTTCTCATTAGTTTATTAGTGTAATGAAGATCATAAAATTATTAACAAACAACTATTTTCTATTGAATATTTTTTAATTTAATTACATATAAAATGATTCATAGCATAAATTAAAGTGATCTTAAAATGTTGTTACTCTACTTATATCACAAATTCAAGTTAGAAAAGAGCTGGTAATTTTAAATGCTTTAACTATTGAAGTGTTTCAGGTGTTATGGAGTCATAAAATGATTAATAACCTATGTTCAATGATTTAATAACCTTCTTTCATTATATTTAAGAAACCTTTTCTAAATCTAAGTTATAATTATTTCAATTATTAGATTATCTAATACATCAAAGTCGATATTTATTTAGAAGAGATTACTATCTAAATGCTTTCATAATACACATAATAATCCCAAAAGCAGTTATTCATTTAAACATTTTTGCAAATCTTAAGTTAAATCACTTTAATTATTATATGATTAAAATTATCAGTTTTTATTCTTTATATATATTCTAATTTAATTTACTGGTTATCTTCAATAATCTTAGGATGCATTTTACATTTGGTCTTATAATTAGTAAGCTTTTTAGTCAATATTTTTATTGAAAATAAATGTTGTTTTAAATCATCATTTTTTCATCTTTCGTATAAATATTGCTGGTCAAGTTTAGAATAGAGATTGTATGCAAAGTCATTCATCAAACATATTCTTTAAAATAATTTCCTTAAACCTAATATTTGCTTTATTAGTTTTTGTGATAATTTTAAAGCCTAAGTTTAAGGATTTCCATCATAAAAGAATGCAATAATTATCTGTTCTCCCTAGCAACGTTTGAGTAGAAATCTACAATCTCGGTATCCCTTAATGCCTAATTCCATTTAATATATAATGGTTTTGGATTCTATTTCTACCAATAATCAATGGCTTCTTATTATTTCTTACATAATGTATTCATTTCATTTCCTTCAATCACAATATGTAATAAATTGCTTTTGTTCTTAAGAATTCTTATCCCATTAGATTTCATTCATAAAATCTTATTCTTAATCATACATGTAAGTCTTTTCTCAACTACTTTTTCATCGTTGTTTGATTGTAATCAAGCGACCATTCTTTTAGTCTTAACCTATATCAGCATATCAATATGTTCGTCTACCAAGTTAATTGGCAAGTCCATTTGGTCATCTCCTATATTTTTTGCACACATTAATTTATAAATGATTATAAATACCATCATTTTCATATATTTTGTGTAAAGTTTGGCTAATTACTAAGGAACAGCTTAACCAGATATCTAATAAATAATTAAACTAAACTTTACATCAAAAGTGAACAGTCTAATAATCAAATTCTACAAAAGGGAAAATGATGTACTTTGTTTGGTGTCGTAAAATGATTTGGGCTTAACCAAATTAAGTGATTTAGATTTAAGCTATAATCCAAAAGGATCCGAGGTTTATGATTATCAGAGTTACAAGGCCAACAGTGAGTATCAACTAATCCAAATTCCTTATGTAGCCATGATCTACATGAAATGTTTTCAACTAAATTAAAATCAACAATAACTTATCAATATAGAAATCTATTATTCTGAAAACTAATTTATATAAGGATGCGTAAATGATTGTAATGGCTATAATTATCCTGAAATTTCGAATTCTATTTGCATATCACAATAATGCCATTGTTTAGAAGGAACATTTGGATAATATTGCTAATTTTAATCTGTCTAGATATCAAGCAATATTCTTACAACCTTTACATTAGATTCCCATAAATGGAAATATTTTCAATACTAGTTCAGTTCTAGTGATATCAATCTATTTTCTTAAAATATAGAAGAAGAATTATGTATTTAATTGTCTATAAAATATATAGATTATAGCTTTGTATTGAAGTAAAATCCTTAATTGAAAATTCCAAATTTGAAGGAGAGCCAGAAATTAATATCATTTAATAATATTTAATAAGAATTAAAAAATTAGTAAACTAATGTTTATGTTGATGTAATTTATATAGGATTGTACAATAATTAATCCAAATCCCTCAACATCTAATTTAAGATTATCACTAATGATACAGAAGAAGAAAGCACATTTGAAAGAAATAAGATAGTGATTATTGTCACGGGATGTGTTGTAGGAGCATTACTGCTATTTGCTTTTGGTTTATCTGCTCTCAAATCTCGATAATAACGACAATTTCAATAATAAGTGCAAGAGGCCATAAGAAGAAATCTAAATCAAGTTCATAATTTGGATTAATTGCAAGCCTAAAGTCCAGAACGCTAACTTCCTTAAATCAATCATAAAGGTAATACTTAAGCACTTATGAGGTTTTTCGTTAAGGTTTATAAAAGATCATTTTAAAGGACATTCCTATGAAAAAATAATTAAAGCATATCCAGGTTTATCACAATTTGAAGAATGTGTTGTGTGTTTAGAATAAATGAAGAAGCCTACTACAAAACAATAAAAGATTTGTTCTGTAACTCCTTGTTTTCATATTTTTCATTGTATGTGTCTGGAAGAGTGGTTGTTAAGATAGAAAAATTGTCCATTTTGTAGAACTGAGTACAGCAGAAAAAAAATAATCAAAGATCACCCGTGGTTGGAAGTTAACACTCTCAGAGTGAACAATACAGATTCTACTTATTTAAGTCGAATGAAAAATAACTCAGAAACTGTTAATGAAAGTTAAATTGAATTTGTAAAGCATTAACCTGATGATTAATAATAAACAAACTAAATGGAAATAATTAGTGAATAATGAAAGTATCAAATTATAGTCTATTTTTGATATTATATTAATTGAATAGTAAACATATATATATATATTAACATCCATTAAATTAAAGATAAACAATATTTTAATATAGACCATAATATAAATAGATCTCTTAAGTAAAATGCATAAATTGATTTATAATTATTTTATAATAAAATCAATCTAAGTCTAATTGCATCTCGGTTTATCTAGTATCAATATATTATTCCAAAGGGGCCTGTATGAAACTTGAATCAAGTATTTCTTTTTGAGTTTCTAAAAACTTCTTATGTTATCTTCTTGAATATAATCTATAAAAATCCCAAATAGCATAGACGCCTAACACAATAAGTACTCTGCCAATAATTGCTTTAGAAGTGAGTTCATCAACAAATTAGTATGTTTATTCTTAGTGTAATGTCTCATAAGATGGCTTTCTGAAATTGTACCATTTATTTTAATAGTACTCCCTTTTATTTGTGCTATAAAAATAGGAATCAGGATTCATGTCATTGGCTGAATGTGCTTCTCCAGATTATTCAAAATTTAATGCATCAGAATCATAGAGTTATCTTTTGATTGGATCCTTAAGTACTTGATAAGCTTTAGAGATTTCTTTGAATTTCTCTTCTGATCCAGATTCGCCATTATCAGGATGGTACAACTTAACCAATTTAATATATTGCAATTTGATTTCCTTAGTTGTGGCCTTAGGAGTAACTTCTAAGACCTCGTAATATGTCTTAGGTATTTTGGTTGTGAAAAAAGAGAAGTAATTTATTGATTTTCTTAATAACATTTAATTATTATGTCAGATTAAGAAGAAGAGTCACCGAGATAAGATGAATTCGGACAGAGGATAATAAAATTAAAGGAGTTAACTCCTCTTGAGAAGGAGTATTTTGATAAGGCTCGCTAACGACACAAAGACAATATTTACAAAGATCAAATAGTTCAAGGTAGAAAATTTGAAGGAGTGGCTTTTATTTCTAAACCTGCTGAGATAATTTTCAAAGTATTGTGAGGATTCTTATTATAGGATTTTGATGTAGGTAAGCCACACACCATAATTATGTAACTTACTAATGTTTCTTACACATTCAATTCATTCAAAATACTCCCATTGCCTGAAGCTGTTAGAGTAAGAAATAAATGTTGAATTAAGGATTTCTTTGAACTGATATACACTCCACCTGGTAGAGTTTCAGCAGGCATGTCTTGTCCAATAACAGTTAGATTTACTCCATAATTAAATGATGACATTGATGTCTAATTATAATGCCAAGCAGAAACAGGGCCCTTCCAAATTCATATCCTATGCACAAGCAAGAAAGCAATTGCAAAAGTAGAATAACCTATCATTGATTTCGGCAAAGTTATTCTAGGAGAAGATTCAACTCTCATTCTCAAAATTCAAAATTTAGGAGCCCTAGACACAGATGTTATCATAAGAAGCGCAAAAGGCATAGATTTATAAACAATAGCTACTGAGTCTGTTTCCCAAAAATCTAATAGAGATAGACCCTTTGATGAAGAAGGCATTTTACCTTACTTGAAATAGCTTAAATTCTAAAGACAACATGTTCTATAAGGATATTCCATGCTTAAAATACCAATTCAATATATTCCAGCTGAAGTTGGTCCCTTTTCATTGCCTCTCACATTATATTATGAAAACTTCTTGCACTCTCCACCTTGTCAAATTGAAATTAGAGGATATTGCACTGAAGTACCCATTTATGTAGAAAAACAAATTTATAATTTCCAAATTTGTTTATTCAATCATATTTACAGAGAAAAGATTGTGTTTTTCAATAGAAGTTAGAATGCAATGAAAATTTAAATTTAAACTCCAAAAGAGACTAAGGATTTCTTTGAGTTTAATCCAAAATTGGGATACATATAAGGGAATTCAAAATTTGAGATATGGGTCAAATTTAATGCAGAGAGACAATTATAAACAATATGCCAAAGATTTTTCAAGGATAATGTCATAGATGTTCCCTTTAAATTGATAGGAGCTGATTAGAAAATGCCTGTTCCCTTTAATATTGTTGCTTAGATGACAATGGCTACTCTTTAGATTACACCTGCTAGATTAGATTTCGGTAAATTATTTGATGGGTAAGGTGCAAAGAGAGCTATCACTTTTGAGAATTTAAGCGATTTACCCTAAGAATTGGCAATCTACCCTTTGCCAAAAGAGATATCAATCACAACTGATTTGGTACCATTGCGTTTACTTCCGAAATAAAAATTTACAACAGACATAATATATAGAACTTAGAAGGTAATTGGAATTAGTGATAGATAAGATGAAGGAATTTTAAAATGCAAAATAGTTTCAGGTACTATCTCCACGAAAGAAATCAGAATACCTTATACTTGTGAAATTTCTAAATGTCCTCTTGAATTTTCAGGAATTAAGTTTGATATTCCAGTCTAATAAATCGATGAAAAGTATTCAACTACCATTGATATCAAAAATATATCTTAAAGAGACATTATCATTGAATTCTTTTTACCATTCTATGAATTGTGTGGTCTTAAAATGGCTCCGATGGTTCAACAAATTTAAAGGGATTAATTAATATAAGTACATTTGGAATATGACTCATTCTTTAAAAAATTAGGAGCGTATACTCTTTAAGAATTGAAAGAAAAATATGAAAATGATCCAAATAACAACTTTGAATTGAGATTAAAAATTAGATATGAAGAAGAGGAAAGAAAGAAAAGAGAATAAGAAGAATTGAAAAAAGAAGAGGAAATGGCTGCTAAAGGTAAAGCTGCCAAAAAGGAAGTTAAAAAGGATCAAAAAAAACCAGAGAAATTAACAAAAGCTTAGTAGTAATAACTTGAAGAAGAGGAAAGAAGACAAGCAGAATTAGAAAAGTTGAAACAAGAAGAGGAAAGATTGAAAAGAGAAGAATTTGAAAAATAGTTTGATAGTGCTAAAGAACTAAGAAATCTTGGAGGAACTCTTGTTGAATTCAATAAACCTGAAGATTTAAGTATTGTGTCATTATATTCTATAAGATTATTCATAACACTATTCTTGGTTGATTCCATGTTATTTTAAATACACTGATATGCCAGATAATGCAAAATAAGTAATATACTTATAGATTTCTACTGTCACTGTTCAAAAGAGTTTGCTTTTGAGTAAAACCATAATAGATTTTGGTGAAGTGGCAGTTGGAATTAGACAAACAAAAGAACTTACTGTTTTCAACCAAACTCCATTCAAAGCGGAATTAAAAATGCAAATGTTGCCAATCTCCTGTGGGTTTACAATTTTAAATGCTCTAAGAACAATAGAACCTAGTAATAAGAAATCTTTAATTGTTTAATTTCAACCCACTGAAGATCAACCATTTGAGGAGACTTTAAAACTATATTGCAATCATGCAGCAGTCTCAGCCAAATTAAAAGGAATAGGTGTGAGACCAGAAGTAAAGGTGGTACCAGAAAATGGATTAATATCAGTTGGAGGAGTAGTGTTGGGAGAGTATGCAGAAAGGACATTTAAAATAACAAACGTTTCAAATTTTCCAATAAAATTTTAATTAATAAGTAAGGCTAGGGGAGTTCAGAATTCATGTGGAACAGAAGTCTTTTAGTTTATACCTTAAGAGGCAATTGTCAATGCTTAATAGGAAATTACTTGCAAGGTGATTTTTAAACCTGATAGGGTTTCAGATAAATTTTATGATCTGATATCAGTACACGTACCAAATCAGAAATCTGAGAAGAGAGTTTTCATTTGGGGGTATTGTTATAATCGTTAGGCTTATGTCAATATTTATTAGCCTTATAATTTAATTCCTCAAATTAATGAGATTAACAAGAAGATTGAATTTCCCTTTGATTAGTTGAAACTAAAGGATGAGGAGAAGGTTTACACATACTTGAACAACAAGATTATGCTTGAATTTGAGAAACTGAAAGAGGAGGACAATTCTAGAAAGATTGTGATTGGCAGTTGCAAGCTTTTGGATCCCAAGATGGAGAAGCCTGTGAATTATGAAGTAATATTGTCGGTAATGCAATTCCTTATGGTTTTTTAGAAAGATGAGAAATACTTTGTGTGTGATAATCAAAAGGGGGCCATATAACCTGGAAATGAGGTAGTTATAACATTCACATTCAAACCTCCTCAACCTGATTAGTTTATTGCGTCGATTGAAGCGTTGAAGAAGATAGGGTAATGGAAGGAGACGAAGATCGAATTGAAAATATCAGGGGGGTTTTTAAAAGCAGGAGTGTAAGATAATATCAGCTATGAATTGATTCTGAAAGCATTCATTAATTAGATTTGATTTCTATTAAAATAAGTTCATTTTGAATTAAATATATGATTTAAGTTTCTGATGTCACTTTATAGGAAGCTTTGGCTAAGAAAGAGGAGGGAAACAAGTTCTTCGTCGATAAGAAGTATGATGAAGCCATCAAATGCTATTCTGAAGCTATTGGTATGTAGTATTGATCATCTATGGCTAGATCATAATCCAAATGAATCTGTATATTATTCCAATAGGGCAGCTTGCTATTTAGCATTAAAGCAATACAAAAAAGCTTTAGATGACACAGAATAAGCATTGAAAAGGGATTCAAACAACGTAAAAACTTTGAGAAGGAAAGCAATTGCCCTTTAAAATTTGGGGAGATTGGAAGAAAGTGTGAATTCGCTGAATGCTGCCTTATAAATAACTCCTGGTGATTAATCATTGAAATCAGAGTATTTGACAGCCCAACAGGTAAAAATAATAGACTTAAATTAGACTTGTTAAAGCTATTTGGAAGGTTTGAAATAAATTCAAAATGAAGATTATTAAAAGGCCTTATATTAATTTTAATAAGTTATATAAGTGTGTGCCTAATCCTTGGAAATTTAGATCTTATTTGTTGAATGTTTGGCTAAGTGTGGTGATAACGACAGAGCCAGTAAATGGCTTATGCAAATTTAAAGTGAACACGGAACAACTCCTGATGTGTATTACTTAAAAGGAATCATCGACTTATATAACGGGAATAGTGAAAGAGCGAAGAAAATCCTAATTGATGGTATGAAGGTCGACCCAGACAATAAGAAGTGCAGAGAAGCATTGAAGAAGGCAAGGAAGTGTGAAGAATTGAAGGAAAAAGGAAATCAACTACTTTAGGAAGTGAAATTAAATGATGCCATCGAATGTTACACAGAAGCTTTGAGTGTCGATCCATACAATCGTAAAATCAACTCAATTATCTATGCCAATAGAGGATTAGGTATTAGATTTTATTCAATTTAGTTAAATAAAAAATGAATCAACACAAGGAAGCCATTGATGATTTTACTAAATCTATTGAATTGAATCCCTAATACTATAAAGCCTTAATAAGAAGAGCTGAATCATATGACAAGTTAGGATAATTTGGGGACTCTTGCCATGATTACTAACAAGTTATTCAAATTGAACCAACATTGGAATAGGAAATGGCATAGAAATTGAGAGAGGCTCAAAAGAAAGAAAAATTAGCAAAGAAGAAGGACTATTATAAAATATTAGAAGTTGCAAGGGATGCCACAGAAAATGAAATCAAAAAATCATATAGAAGATTGGCATTGTTATGGCATCCTGATAAATTGAAAGATAAAGATGAAGAAACCAAAGTACCAATTACTTATTAACTAAACTCTAGCAATTGGGATAATAGAAGTTTAGGGATATTGCTGAAGCATATGCAGTGTTATCTGATAAAAAAAAGAAGGATCTCTATGATTCAGGAGTTGATCCTAACGATCAAAGTGGTGGTTTTGATGGCGGAGTCGATCCTACTCAAGTCTTCTAAATGTTTTTCGGCGGCGGAGGAGGTTACCAATAATTCCCATTTGGCGGGGGAGGAGGAGTTCGTTTTGAATTTAGATGAAGTTAAACATCTATAATTTTAATGTTAAAAATAAAAAATGTCTTCCACTTTTAAAAGCTTTGTCTTTAATTTAAGTTATTGCCATAATTTACAATCAGAAGAAGTTCTCTACTCTATTCAATCCATGCTACTCGAATAAATTCTTATATAAGAAGGAGAATTATTCGATTGGCAAAATCTTATGAATCGTCCTGATTTAATAAACTTAAAGTACAGAGGGAAATTTGAATTTTGATTGTGCGGAATGAAAAAGAACAAACCAGCTCATTCTTTTTTTTATCCTATTAGTCCATTAAGGATTAAGGATTAAGGATTAAGGAGTGTGGATGGATTTATTTTAAGCAAGAAATCTTATCGAAAGAACGTTGAGGTGTGTTGAATTTTTATAGCATTCATATTTAAAGGTTTTTGTTTAAAGGTGATTCAGAGATTTAACAAATAATATAAACAATATGGATTTTAAGAATCATTTGATTTTTAGAAGAGGTTTCAATATTGAGAATACAATTTATAACTTATGTTGGAAGCTTTTTAAGAGTAAAGTAAGTTGTAATTCATATTTTTTTGGTTATGATTTGTTGTTCGATCGTTGATTGTAATTTAACAGTACCCTTTCAATAGCTGACCCAAAATTCAAAAGTAATATGTCATATAGGAATCTCCTGAAATATTTATTTTGAAAAACATTTAGATTATGATCTAACAACAAATATCATTGAAAATAATATAGAAAGCATTTGATCGGAATTTTACATAGTTTGATTGCTTTTTTCATTCATTTTTTTGTATTTACATTTTTAATGTAACTGGATGGTCTGAAGCAATATTAATGACATAATTATATAAAATTAGTTTTGGAAAGCCATGACCAATATGTAATTGCAACCTAAATTTCTAATTATAATTCTATTAACGGCTTTTATTTTTTTTATTTTGTTATGAGCCCTATTTTATGAATCCTTTATGGAAAAAATAAGAATAAAAACAGATGGAAGCAGATATGAAAAGAAAAATTAGAAATAATTTATTAATCATCTGACTGACGTTAGTAAACAAAAGAAAAAGGGGGAGTTGAACTTCTACTTTATGTATTTTCATATCTGTTTTTGTAATTGCATTTGATTTGATGGTATTTTCAAGCTTAAAACTAATAATTATAATTGATTTCCGTTGTATGCATATTTTACTGTTACTTTGAGATAGCAACCTAATTTTGTGGAAAAAAGATGTGCAAGAAAATTTTTCAGAAAAGATTAATGTTTTTGATTTTTAATAGTTTTATCGCAATAGTTTAATTTTCTATATAGATTGGTTCGATTAGAGTTCTTTTAGATTGGTATACCATTTTAATGCTCATATTTGGTAAGCATTTATTGTAATGTACAACGACTGAATAGAGGATGACTATCTATTATGATGATCTCACTTTTAAAATCAAAAATGTTCTCATTAATCAAAGTTACTAGCTCGGAATAATTGTGGCAATATTAGTGGATTCACTTGATTCCACTTTCATTTAAATTAACAATTATTAAGGTTTTTAAGAACTTTAGAAATAGCCATCTGTTTTGGAGTACCAATTATGAACTTCCTGATCCTCACTTTCATAATGGCATTGTATTGCCTGTTGAATTAAAGTATGCTGTCAAAGAGTATAAGTTTAATTATTTTAAGTTTGCAATCAAGCTCATTCATAGGCAGAGAATCTTTAATAATTATTATAAATCTTTATATCAAGCACTATTTTCATCTAATGAAAGTTTTAAACAATAAGAAATAGAGGAAGGGGATAATTTCCTTTATATTGAAGTATTCAAGTAGGAACTTTAGGATTAAAACGAAGTCGTAGAAATGTTTTTTATAATAAAAATTGATAGTAATTTAAACTGGTATTGAGTTGTTATTGAATTTATTAACATAATCAATTTTTGAGAAATATATTTGCCTAATTCATTTTGTTATAAATAACACTTATAATTTTAATTAATATAATTTTACAAATGGATTAGCAAGAATTTATTTGTTACTCATGCAATAAAGTATTAAAATAAAAACGTGCTCTATAAGAACATTAATTAATCCATTCTGGGGAGAAGCCCTATAAATGGTTAGTTTTTATCAATAATTTGCTAGCATAACTTGTAATTAATAGTTTCGATAATATTCCTCTTTATAAAAGCATGACCGTATTCACACAGGAGAAAAGCCATATTCTTGTTAAGAATGTGATTCAAAATTCTCTTAAATATCAAATTTGAAAAGACACCAATTAAAACATTAAGAACAGAAACCTTTTATTTGTGAAATTTGTCAAAAACAATTCATTACTAATTAAAATTATTAATAACATAAAAACAAACACAATTAATAAAGGCAAAGATATGTTTGTGAATGCAACCGATCTTTTCTTTATAAGTGTAGTTTAAAAAAACATTAAAAGATCCATAAAAAACATGATAACACAGATTAGTTCATAAATCTTTCACAAATAAATCAAATTTCAGCAGATCTCAGAATATTTTTTACTGCCTCACATCCTTAAATTCTCCATTCAAATCATATTGATATATTATTTAATGGAAGATTGTATAATTATAATGAATGTAACTATTTAATTATTAACCTTAAGCAACTGGCAGAATTGAATTGCATGATTTGATTGATTAATAGAAGTAAAATTGTGATCCAATTAAAGATCATCAACATTTTGATTCACAAACCCAATATGATTTAATTAAATGCATAGATTGTAAATAAGAAAAATGTTGTTGCAAATAAAAACAATTTTTTAATAATTGCTGTTTAGCTTGTAATGGTGGAAATTGTGGAGAAACTCCATTTGCAATATCCCAAGTAATACATTTTCATGGTCCCAATTGTGGCCATCCAATTGTTATACATGATGGACATATCGATTATCTAGTTAATGAAAGGCTGCACTTTCCTCATGATGGCCATTGCGACAATCATGGAATTTTGAATAGAATTAGAGTCAAATGATAATATAATTAATATAATTCAAAATAAAATGGATTTGAATTCAGATGAATTTTTTTTTGGTATAAACAAGTCTTTGTACTTTAAAACTGAAGAATAAAAGAATGAAATGAAAAAAATGGATCCAGAGTACATTACGAAGACGTATGATATAATAAAATGTTAAGTGGAACCGATTTCGTATTATTGCCCAATTCTCCTGAATTCATAAACCACAACGAACCATTTGAACCTATGTATATACCAAAACAAACAATTCTGGAGGAAAGTCTAAGACGAGAGATTGAAAGGATATGTTTTGCAGATACTTTGTTAAATAAAGTAGTTTTCGATTGTGCAGATCCTAGTCCTTTTAATAAAGTAAAATAGTGAAAAAATGTTAATTTTTATAGGATACTGATCCAAATGTCTATGGATTAGAGGTATTGCCTTTTTATATACCTTAAACAAAAGAAGACACAACTTTAGTTTTTGAAAGCAGATTTGAAAGTGGGAATCTAAGAAGAGCAATTTAGATGTAAAAATGAATAAAGAATGTTAGATGCGATTATGAATATAATCTAATTCTCAAACCAGATTATTACACAACAATGAATACTTAATGGTTTTACTTCTCATTATCAAATACAAGAAAGGATGTTGAATATCGGTTCAATATAATAAATATGATGAAGCCTGATTCGTTGTACAATTCAGGAATGAAGCCGTTAATGTATTCGGAATAAGGAGCCAAACATAAAAGTATCATATTAAAATATATATTTAGAAATCGGTTGGTTCAGAGATGGGCATGAAATATGTTATTACTAAAACAATATGAAAAGAAAGAATGGTGGGTATTATTACACTTTGACATTTGCAGTCAAATTCCAATATGACTTTGATTGCATCTATATAGCTCATTGTTATCCTTATACATATACTCATTTGTGTAGGTATCTGAAATAATTGGAATCTGATCCTGCAAAAAAGAATAGAGTGAAAAGAAAACAACTTTGTTAGACTATTGCTGGTAATACTTGTGATTTCTTGATTATTGGTGATTTTAATAATGGGAAGGAGAAGAAGGGAATTGTTATTACATCTCGAGTTCATCCAGGAGAAACGATGGCTAGTTATGTTATGGAGTATATGATAGATTTCTTAACTGGTAATACTCATGAAGCCAGAATCTTGAGAGAGAATTTTATATTTAAAATTGTGCCCATGCTTAATATTGATGGAGTTGTAAATGGAAATTATAGATGTAATTTAGCAGGTGTTGATTTAAATAGATAATGGATAGATCCTAATAAAAAATAACATCCCACTATTTATCATACCAAATAATTAGTTAAGAAAACAAAAGAGGAAAGAGACCTGGTGTTATTTTGTGATATCCATGGTCATTCAAGGAAGAAGAACATATTCATGTATGGGTGTTCAGGAAAGGATCCAAATCGAAAAGAATTAGTGTTCCCTATGCTCAATAGAAATAATTGTAGTGTCTTCTCATTCAAAGATTGTTGTTTCTTACTCTAGAAAGATAGAGAAGGGTCTGCAAGAGTAATTATGAATTATCATTTCCTAAGATTGCTCTGTGGAGAGAATTCTCAATAATTAATTGCTATACACTTGAAATGTCATTTTGTGGAGCTGATTTTGGTAAATACGAGTACTTTCATTTTAATTTGGATATCTACAAAGAAATAGCTTAATCATTTTGTTTGTCTATAATCGATTGCTATGAACCAGAATAGATCAAAGTTAAATAGGTGATGGAAGAGATTGAGTAGAACAGTCTAAAGAATCAACAAAAAGATGATAAGAACAATTCAGGAGATGAAGGATCCGATTACTCTAATGATGATCCAAAGGAGTAAGCAATGCCCCAGTAAATTCAAGTTTAGACAAATGATTAATGTAATTACTTATTATTCTATATGTAGAATTGGGTTCATAGACCAAAAAACTTAAAAAAATACCACTTCTGCCCCCAAAGAAGAAAAAAGGACTATGAATATGCATTAAAATAATTAACTGATTAATTAATTTAAATTTATGAATTATCCAGCTTGGGGAACAGTCATGGGATAACCATTTGGTGTTGCAGCTTATTCTAACATTGGATTCGTATTCGACAGAAATAAAATCCATGAATATCAGTGTTATTGGCCCAAAGAAGAGACTGGTCTAGCAAGAGATGTTTATATTGGATTTAAGTATATCTCAAATCTTAATTAGATATCAATGTGTTGAATATGCTAGAAGATTTCTAACCTTGTATTTTAAGGCTGCCTTCTAAGATATTCCACATGCCCATCATATTTGGGCACTTGAAACAATAGAAGATTGCACAAAAGAGGAAGGAACATTCCCTTTTGTCAATTTCCCAAATGGCTCTAAAGAGTTTGTTATTCATTTTTATTTAGACCACCCAAGATTGGAGATATCATCATCTATCCTTACTCAAAGGAACAAAGATTTGGCCATGTTGGAGTTATTATCAATGTGAATTTGGAAGAAAAGATTGTTGATATAGCTGAACAAAATTACGAAGAGGCCGGATGGGAATGTCCTGAATATGCAAGAAGATTGATCATGAAAATTGAAAATGGATAGTATTTCATAACAAATAAAAGAATTGGGTTATATTTGAATTTTATCCTATAGAAAACCTTATGACAATTGGGACGCCAAGGAAGAAATATTTGGATGGAAGAGAATAGACTTTAACCCAAAGCTATGATTGTTAATTTTAATTCATTTTTTGAATTCAAATTACTCTAACCCTTTTAATTATATTCTAAGTGTTATTAACTTTAATCAAAAATTGAATTTGTTGTTAAATAAAAGTAAGAAGGAAATTATAAAGATATACACATTCCTCAATATAGATTAAAAATATTCTTAAAAAATATTGATATCTTCTTACTAACAATTAATTAAACGGCTAATCTATCTATCACTTTTGAATTTCTTTTCATTTTTAAAGATTCTATTTCAAAATTTTTGAAACTTCTTTAACTAAATTATTGATCTTTTAAATCCTCTTTGAAGTATACAATTATGAAATATTAAAACTCTTAGGAACAGGATGTAATAAGTGTTAGCATGAATATTATGGATTTTAGATTATTCTTAGTTGTAAATAAAGAATAAGCCATAAAAAGAAATTCAATTAGAATATATATTTTAGCCATACTCAAATGATAAATAAAATTATCCTTTGATTTAAGTTAAAATTAAAATATAGATATTTACCTCGAAACTTTCAACAAAATTAAAGAAGTTGTCGAATACTTTAAGAATTCTAAACTTTGATGAAGTAATTTTTATATTATTAATATATATATTAAATCAAATTAAATCGCAATAAAGATTGTAAATGAAAATTTCCAATTCGGATTAAAAATGATTTTATATTTATTTTTTAGCATCTGACAAGGTTCTTTCATACTCATTATCTAAGATTTTTTCAATTTCTTAGATTGCACCTTATTTAAAATTCGCTAAATAAACTATTTTATCAAAAACATTTTTATCAAAATTTTAAAGCAATTCACTATCTATTGAAATCTCTAAGCAATAATTCTGTTTGATGTATAAATTTAATGTATTCTGAACATTTAATATTTCATTCTTATAAGTATTTTAAAGGGAGCCAATTTTTTAATATAAATTGGTGAACTGTTTAGTTAATTTATCAAATGCTTCATCGTTCTAAGCAGGATATAGATAAAAATATTATTAAAAAATTGATTTTAAAACTGAATGAGTTAATTGAACACCATTATTATTTTCCTAAAATAGCTTATTCAAAGCTGTAATCTTGTCTTAATTCCAAGATATATCAAAAATATTTGTATTTTTATCCTTCTTATTTAAACGAGTGAGTTGGACACTCTAATTAGTTTTATCATCAAAATATAGTTAAGTGAATGCTTTTTTACTATTAATAAGCTGATATAACTCTTATATTAATTTGTTAAGATCTTAATAATCTTTTTATTACTAAACTTATTAAGATTCCATTGATATACCGAAATTTATAAATCTCACATCTATTAATGAAAATGTATTTGCAAAATAAAAACTTTTATTTGATGTTATTAAAATATTTTCAGCACTTATATTGTTGTGATGTAATTAATGGTCAGTCCAAATTAATCTATATTCGAAAATAATACTTGAAATTAATATTTCAACTATCTTCTTTTATATCTCATCTATTTTATTTTTATTCAGCTTTTAAATAAATATTCTAAGTGGTAGTATATGAAGATGATTAAATAGGTAATATTAATAAGTGGCATTGTTCTCATCATCTTTTAAATCATTTGGTTTGTTTATATAAAAATCATGCTTTATGAAAATATTTTTATTTTTTATGTTTTCATAGTAGTTCTTAACCTTTTGAGCTTGATATTAAGTGTAATTATTTTAATATTATTTAACAACGTAAGGAAAATCCCTTTCCAAAGAGAATTTGTTTTATTCTGGATTTTCGCTTTTTTTACTTTTTATAGAATTATCATTTTACATATTAATTTTTAAATGAAACAATAATTGGAATTGGATATTATTACAATTAAATACTTTAAGAATTAAAACCTTTTAGTTTACTGATTCTTCAATTGAATAGTTAGATGTACCTATCTNTTATATTATTAATATATATATTAAATCAAATTAAATCGCAATAAAGATTGTAAATGAAAATTTCCAATTCGGATTAAAAATGATTTTATATTTATTTTTTAGCATCTGACAAGGTTCTTTCATACTCATTATCTAAGATTTTTTCAATTTCTTAGATTGCACCTTATTTAAAATTCGCTAAATAAACTATTTTATCAAAAACATTTTTATCAAAATTTTAAAGCAATTCACTATCTATTGAAATCTCTAAGCAATAATTCTGTTTGATGTATAAATTTAATGTATTCTGAACATTTAATATTTCATTCTTATAAGTATTTTAAAGGGAGCCAATTTTTTAATATAAATTGGTGAACTGTTTAGTTAATTTATCAAATGCTTCATCGTTCTAAGCAGGATATAGATAAAAATATTATTAAAAAATTGATTTTAAAACTGAATGAGTTAATTGAACACCATTATTATTTTCCTAAAATAGCTTATTCAAAGCTGTAATCTTGTCTTAATTCCAAGATATATCAAAAATATTTGTATTTTTATCCTTCTTATTTAAACGAGTGAGTTGGACACTCTAATTAGTTTTATCATCAAAATATAGTTAAGTGAATGCTTTTTTACTATTAATAAGCTGATATAACTCTTATATTAATTTGTTAAGATCTTAATAATCTTTTTATTACTAAACTTATTAAGATTCCATTGATATACCGAAATTTATAAATCTCACATCTATTAATGAAAATGTATTTGCAAAATAAAAACTTTTATTTGATGTTATTAAAATATTTTCAGCACTTATATTGTTGTGATGTAATTAATGGTCAGTCCAAATTAATCTATATTCGAAAATAATACTTGAAATTAATATTTCAACTATCTTCTTTTATATCTCATCTATTTTATTTTTATTCAGCTTTTAAATAAATATTCTAAGTGGTAGTATATGAAGATGATTAAATAGGTAATATTAATAAGTGGCATTGTTCTCATCATCTTTTAAATCATTTGGTTTGTTTATATAAAAATCATGCTTTATGAAAATATTTTTATTTTTTATGTTTTCATAGTAGTTCTTAACCTTTTGAGCTTGATATTAAGTGTAATTATTTTAATATTATTTAACAACGTAAGGAAAATCCCTTTCCAAAGAGAATTTGTTTTATTCTGGATTTTCGCTTTTTTTACTTTTTATAGAATTATCATTTTACATATTAATTTTTAAATGAAACAATAATTGGAATTGGATATTATTACAATTAAATACTTTAAGAATTAAAACCTTTTAGTTTACTGATTCTTCAATTGAATAGTTAGATGTACCTATCTTAAGCAGAATCCAAATCAATAGCTTTAATGGTGAAATTTTGATTCTCGAAGATCAATACATTTTAAATATTTCATATTCTATCCTATATCATTTAAGGGATAAACTGTTTTTAATGCTGATGATGAATTTGAAATAATGATAATAAAATATGTAGACTAAATTATAAAAAAATGGTAAAGCTAAGGAGTTTAATGTATTTAACATATTTTATTGCATTTCCCCCATCTAATAATATTAAATAATCATAAATAACATAAAAAATAAAACCCTTATTCAAAAATTAGAGATACAACAAATAATTAGATAAAGTTAAAGTTTAGGAACATCGGAATTTTAAAATTTACAATAGAAAAAAAAGCAAATATATATTGAAAGAAGATTAAATTCAAGAATTATATAAATTATTATAATTCGATTAATGAAATAGTTAATTTTATAGTTTTAACTTTAGAAGAAGAAATAAATATGAATAATCATAAAATATTGAAAGAGAATTTAGAATCAATAAGATATTCTAAACCCACACTATTTACACTTAGATTAGTAAAAGTAGTTTTGAGTTGTACAGACTCTACATTGTTTCATGAAATCGAAGTTTTATTTTACTGTTTCTTATTATGTGTATGACAAATTTTCTAAGAAAAGAGCTTGATGGAATGCATTATAATCTTGTGTGTTACTTTCTACACTGTCAGCAGTACTATGTCCACTGCCTTTAAGATCAGGTTCTTATAATTTTAATGTTTCGATAATGCTGGTTTATTCAAGAGGAATAAATTTAGTGCCAGGAGCATCCCTTGAAAATGTGTGGCAACGATTGCAATACTTCCTGAAGGAATAGTTGAGGTTTTTGCATCCAATACATATCCAATCTAGAGGTTTATTTTACATCTTTATTGAATGAATATATAATTTATTTATTTATTTAATGACAAAACAATTCATTCACATGCAATTTTGTAGTCAAAACTGGTTAATGCAATTTAAAATGCCTGTAAAGGAGTAATAGGATATTAGAAATCTAAATTAAAAAGATCATCTCCAACTCTCCCAAATTACAGCAAAATATTGTCCTCCTTATTATCTACAATGAGTTGAAAATTTTTGACACTTGGTTTATCTACTCTTTAGTAGAAATTAAGAACAAAAGCCTTATGTTTGCTATTCCATTAAGGAGGCCGATTGACATATGTAACGATATGATTTCTGTTGTTATTTTAAAATTCCTTCAGTATTCCATCCTTAGAATTAGTTGGTTTGAAAACATAAAGTTAATCTTCGGCATCCAAATTTGGCAATAAAACCTTAATAAGAAGAATTAGATACCACCATTTTTCTTGGTCCTTTGGATCCTAGAATATTGCTTTCATATTAAACGATGCCAAGTTGTTATCGAAGTTTAGATTGATCTTTTGTTTTATCAGGATTCAACCCTGCATCATATAATACAAATTCGGTTCCCATGAAATTACTTCTTACTTTGCCAATGAAATTATTTCCCTTATCCAAGTCCTCTCTTGACATAGAGATGATATAATTGCTTGTATTATTACAAGCTCTCTTTTTTGCACTCATCAAATACAAAAACCCATTTGATATATGAAGATGATATTTTGGGTAAAATCTGTTCATTCCACTTCTATCTCTCTTGATTGTACATTGGATCATCCCTCCTTTGGGAGCAGGATTTAAAAGAAAATGCTTCTTACCGTGGGGAAACTCAATGGATGGGAGAGGCTTTGGATATGGACAAGTTTATTTCGGTTATTCCTAAATTACTTATTGGAATTATTGCATATTCTGTTATTATTCTATAATTTCAGATGTATCATTAGTGAGATCCATTTAAACTTTATCATTCTGCTATTTCAATTCTTTCCTTTTATCTTATTAATACTGAGACAACAATCCAGAATCATCCACATTCTCATCTTAATCTAGAAGTATAATTTCTGAGAACTCCTGATAATTATTATTATTTTATATTATATTCTCCTCTTCTTAATTTGTCTATTTTTAAATTATCATCTCATCATCTTTAGCAATATTTTCTTTTGGTTTGGTTTCCTAATCTTCACTTTACACAAATTGAATTGTATGATTTTGCTTTGAGAGTTGAGGTAAAGAATCATCTTGGCTTAATTATTGTCCAGGCTCATAATATTGGTTATGATTATTTCCAATAATAGCGAACTTAAATATACATTGATGCTTACTTTCTCAATTTCTAATTCGAAATCTTGATCATAGGTAGACTCGTTTTGACCAAGTTTTTTTTTGTATTGTTTATTGTTCTATAATACACTTAGCTCTTAAAATTCTAATGTAGGCAGAGGTTTCGTATATTATTGAGGCTATAAATAAATTGATAGCTTTATACCTTTTGTTCCTCCTATTTATTTTGAGTATCTACTAACGGATTTGTATATTTTATTGTGTCTTCCAATTCTGGATCTGAATTAAATTAAACTAAACTTTCCACCATTTCATCATTCTATTTGATTTCATATTCTCCATATTTCTTTTGTATTTCTATCTCTTTCTGTAACTCTTAAATCGATAATTACTTATTAAATTCTACTCAAGGGCTTACTTTCTTATTTGGGCTCTTCTTTTGTTTTCGCTTAAAACTTAGTGACATTAGATCGACCTTTCGGTTATTATCTTTAATTAGATTAAGGATTTTGGTTGGCAGATTCCTAAGCATCTTCTATGAGTTAAGGATTAAGGAACATATTAGAATATATTAATTGATAATGTAAATATCAATTATTAAATCAATCAGTAGCTCTAGATACGAAACATGACATTGCTATCTAAAAGGCCTGCAAAGGTGAGATCGGCCATTAGAAATCGAGATTGTATAATCCTTTATCAATTTTCCCCAAAAGAAAAAAAACTTTATTATTATCTTTTTGGCACAATTATAAATTTTTAGACGACGCTATCAAAGCTCTATTGTAAAATGGTAAAACAAACATCTTTGCTTCTGGACAATATTCTGCTTCTCGATTCTAAAATTCCTAAAAATTTTTTGGTTTACTCTCAAAATATTGAAACTTTTGTTACCGGTATTCAAACATCTAATTACTTTAGGTTATTTCGGGTAAGTATACCTAATTTCCATAATTTAATTACTCTAATTTTGTGGGGTTTCTTCAATCCATTTTTTTAATAGTTAGCTCCTCCAATGCATAATCTATGCATACTAATTGTAGAACATTTCTTAGGATTTATTTTGTTATCCAGAAATATAAAATTTTAGCCATATTTATCCCATTTTAATTTGCCAGCAAAGTAATTTATTCCAGATGACTTAAAAATAATTTTCTTTTTTTATTTTGCGTCTACTTATTCAGCAGTCAACATTGGGTAATCAAAAATAGACATTTCATATTTTGAATTCTAATTTGAAAATCTAATTTTACGAATTTGACATTGTAATATACCCTCATTTATAATTGGCTATAGAATAAATTAAACTTTATCAAATGGAATTCTTATTTGTTTTATTGGATTTGGGTAAGCAAGTTTATTGCCTTAACCTAAGTTCTCTGTGCTGTCTTTTTCAATTTCATTTTCAAATACTGAGTATTAAACAGAGAATTAAACCTTCCCAGATTCTTCATTTTTATCTTAATTTTTACTCATCTCTTTCAAAAGAGTTTATGAATCATTTGAGCCAAATTTTGGAATATTTATGTAATCTTAAGACTAAATTTAATTGCTCTTTGATCCACTGAATATCTAAAGAATAATTGATTTATTCATAATAAAATTATTTTAGTTTCTAAGTATTAAAATGAATTTTATTGTGAAAAATTTTGAAAAAAAAACAGATTAATTTAATTCTAATAGGCTTAATTTTCGATTTTTAATCTTCTAAGGATTTATTTACATATCATCTATAATCTATTACGTCTTAAGTAAAGAAACATGTTAATTTATTTTAATTACATCACGATGTGAGTTATTTATTAAATTTATAATTTGAATACTTATTTATCTGAAGAATTCTTGAGGAGGGATGGTTATTATACTTTACATAACCAAATTACAAAAGCTAAATATTGTTCTAAACAATATATTCTTATAATAGAAATCTCAAGAGTTGATTATATTATATATTTGCTACTTAAATCTTAGGTTGCTTTATAATTATGGATACATGTTAAAATTTATTATAATATAAAAATTATTGTTATGAGCAAGCTAAAAAACTCTTATTTAGATTTTACAAAGTAATACAGGAATCTTAGACAAAAACCAGTATTAGATGTTTAGGATCGAATTGATAATCCAACCTCTAAATTTGATAATTTCTTGAAGACATCAACTTTTTCTAAAAGACTTGAAAAATCTTCATAAAATTAATCAGAATTATATCCAATAAAGAGAGGACCTACAAAACCTGATTACTTTTTTATAGAAAATTATCCAAGATTTAAGGAGGATTAAAATTGCAATCTAAAGATATTTGGATAAAAGTAAACTCAATTTCATAGTGATATATTTGAAAATATCAGAAACGATTTTAAATAAAAAAATTATTCATTTCATTACCAAGCCGATAAGTTAGATTATTCTAAAGATTAAGGAATACCAATAGAACCTAAAGAGAGAGTTAAAGAATTATAATTGGTTAAAAAGGAATAAGAATTACATAGGTCTTTGAGGTAGGATGTAAATTTCTTAAATAGAAAAAAAAGAATTTTGGAAAATCTACATAAGAGTGAAACCTTAACATAACATAAGCAAAGAAACCTAAGTTAATTTTATAAATTAATGTTAGGTTATGACAAATATCGTAATTAGAATGAAAGTCTTGAGTTCAACAATACTAATACTATTATAGGAGATAAAATGAATTTATCTTTCCATCTATCGAAAGATTGGAAATGCAAAAAAAGATGTGAAACTTAAAGACTTGATACTTTTGAAAGAATCCTAAGTTAACAGCCAACGAATATTAAAGTGAATATAGAGAGATTGAATTTTTTAAAGTTCAGAGAAAACTGTGGGAGGGATTACAAAATTGTAAATTTAACAAAAGATGAATGATGATTTTTACTAAACGAAAAATTTATTCACTACATCTTCGAATAAGTTTAGTATATTTTAGCATAAAATTGTGTTAGAGAATCAATCTATTTTCTTATTTTCTATTATTCAAGTTTGACTTGTGATCTAATTAATAGTTATTAAATACAAATATTTCTCTGATTCTTAAATGCTTCTCTATTTCAGTAGATCAATTCGTTCTAAGCTTTATAATTGTGCCTTCAATTGTTATGTTAACTTCTTGTTCTCATTGTCTTTATTTGATTTTTCCAATTTTTTTAAGAATTGTTGCATTTTCTCTGTATCCTTCTATTCACAATTCAATTCAGGAACAATCAAGCCCGGCTTACTTAGCAATGTATTCCAGGAAATTTCTTTGGATTATGCGTAAAATACCTCTAAAAAAAGGATGGTTTTTAATCTCCTCGATGGATCTATGTCCTAAACGATTGTTATAATCTGGTTCTAATAATTTGATTATCAGATCATAAGCCTATTCAGATATGCAATCTTCTCCATCACCAATTGAAGGCCATTCAATTCTCATATTAAGTATGTTATCAAATATTTTATCTACAGTAAAATCATTAAATGGAGCAATTCCACACAACAATTCATACATAATAATTCCCAAACTCCAATAATCGCAACTGAAATTACTGGCAGAAGTCCCTAGGATTATTTCAGGAGCAATATAATCAGGAGTTCCAACAATTCTAAATGTCAAAATCAATTTACTTTTTAGTTTTACTGCCTTATTTATCTACCAAAATGGATTCCACCTTTTTCAATTATTTGTATACGGTTTGATAGCCTTCCTGATCAATCATTTATTCCACACATGTTGGTATTTCAATGGTATTGAAAGAATTCATACTGTCCTTTAATTTTAATCTACTATTGACACCATGTTCTGAGAGACCAAAATCAGCGAGTTTGGCATGTCCTTGACTATCTAAAAGAATGTTCTCTGGTTTTAAATCTCTATGAACTATGTTCTATTGTCTTAAATAATCCAAGGCCAAGATTATTTCTGCCATGTAATGACGAACATAAAACTCATCTAGAGCCTAAGTATAATAGGGACAATATACTGTGTATGTTTTCAGAATACTTGCTAAGTCTCCACCCATCATGTATTCCTAAACAAAACATAAATATTGTTCATGCACAAAAGAGAAATATGCTTTGACTACAAAATTACTATTTAGAATTTCAAAGATATTTCTTTCTGCCTTTAATTGTTCAAGAAATGCCTCTAAATTCTAATTCAAAATAATAATTTTACTCTTTAGGCACAATCTATGATTTTTAATGCATATAAGTCTCCAGATCCTTTCTTTTTAACTAGAAATACCCATCCATAGGCACCTTTGCCTAATGGCTTAATGAATTCAAAATCTTTAATTCCAACTTTTGAAGTTTAATTTTGTGAAGGAACTACAGTTTTAACTAAATTTGAATCAGAATGATATCCCTTATCAATTTAAATTTCATCAAATCCATAATCAGGCATAATGGGAGGAGATTTACAAATCTAATTTTCATAGAATCTACTCTTTCGATGTTAAATCATACGACTTTGTTACATTTTTTCAATATCTTAAGAGTGAAAGGTTTGCTTCTTTTTCACTCTTTTTTTACTCGATGCTTTTTGTGAACCTATTAAATTAGCATCATTATTAGAGGCTGAATTAGACTTTCCAGATTCAAAGCTAGATAGATTAGATGAAGTATCTCCTTCTTTGATGGAAGGATTTAATGCATCTATTTGAGGACTTATTTCTTAAAGTGATGGTTATTTTTTCTCAACATTTAGTGGTTACACTTGTGCTTTGAATGTAGAAAGCTTTTTTAAAGTGGGTGATTATTATTGATCTATGTCATTTTTAAGTTCAGTACTTTTCAACAATTTATCCACTTTATTATCTGTATTATTGGAATTAATCGATTAATTTGATTCACCAATATGGAAACCACTTGATTTAGATTAATTGACTGGTATTGATATGTTTTTTAAGGATTTAGGTGACTCAGATCCATCACTGACTTTGAATATAGATGAATTCATTCTAAATCCTTTTCTTTAGGGTATAATCTTTTAAGAGGATTTCATCTAGAGTTGCGTTGGTGAATCATCTTCTTCTTGAATAGGATCAGTTGATATTCTTTATGAGGGGGAGGATGGACTATTCTAAAATTTAGGCACTCTAAATGAGATTGAATTAGATTTGGTAAATGCTCTCTTTATATTGTTGACTTTATCCTCGGATTAATCCTTCTTTTATTGGTTTTTTGTATTTTTATAAACCTCTTGTTTCTTATGATATTCTAGTCTCTCTAATAGACATTTATGAGTTGAATTTATTATATTTAAAGCCTCTTGATTTTCAATACATTCAGTCGAACTCACTAAGTCATTTAATAATACAAGAGTCACTAAACATTTAAGATTTAATAATAATTACATTTGGTATCCTCAATTTCTACCTCATTGTTGAGGGTTTTTTCAGCAAAATTAATAATTTAAGTCATAATATTCGCGATATTATTTTATTCTTACTGATATTCTCCCGTTTCTTCTTCTTCATCATCCTAATCATCTAGAGTTTGTATTCTTCTAAAAATAAATTAGGTATTTGCATATTGTCTTTATTTATTTTTATCTTTCATTCTTAAAATTAATAGGCATTCTTACTTTTTGATGGCTAACTTAACTTAAACATTTCTTTTTTCTTAATATGCTTAGTCACATAAATTGGCTAGTTCTAAATTCAACTCAATATATTTTTTTTTGCTTTCAGCGTTTTTTTCACACTCAATACAATGTTGAGTCATATCAATGGACTACACCTATTATTCACAAATTCTGCAGATAAACAATTTTGATTGGTTTTTTGCTACTCTATTTGCATCTTGACTCAATTAACTTTTTACTAAAAGGAGATGTACTTTTGTATATTCTTAATACATTGACAAGCCCATCTGAGTTGATTAGGAAATGTTTATTTGTTAATCCAAATTTTACTGATAACATCAAAACTTATTCTTAATTTTAAAGATAACAATTTAAAAGATCTATTTAAGTCTAAATAACAAAGAAAATACTTTGCTAATGATTTTCTAGGGACAGAGCGTCTGTATGATATTTTTTTTATGGAATCTCCATCTATTTTTAAAAATTCATCAAGTAAATTGTTTATTTTGTTATTGATTTCTTGCTATCCTTCAAACTGATCAAGTTAGAAAAACTAATAGATGGTTAGCAATTATGATTGCAAGTTTTTAATGGATTCTTTCTAATAAATTTGATAATGTAAAATGTTACTGCTTGCAATTGATAGTAGTTTTATAATATATCGGCAGTTAATTTAATAGCTATAGGATGTGGTTTTAATATTTTTATTTATTATTCGATATAAAAATTAGTCACAAATGGTTCATCTTTCTGCATTTACTAATATATTTTATATTAATAAAAAAATTGTATTAAATTTTGGATATATTTTATATATTATGTACCCATCAATATGGCTTAACAAACCCTGTTGGGAATTCAGTAGCAGTCTTGAATTCCAACATCTCTGGGAATCTGTATCCCTTGTGATACAGCTCTCTGCTTAATACTGACCACAACCCAGGTTTCATTACAGACAATTATGTTCTTAATTGATTAATAATTTTATACCTAATATACTAGCCATCCACAGTTGGATCTGCAATGATCTTCGTAAACAGTTTATTCGGAATTGGGGCAGTATATGCTCTCCATAACACCAACATATGAACAGATGCAAGGATTGGCCCATAAGCCTTATTGGCTCCTTTTCTATTGGCTCCTGCAAACAACCATTGTGTTCCTATTAGCGAGAATGGCAAAAAGGCCAAAGGTGCAGAAACAACGATATCATTCAATACTTGACTGCAGTTTTTGAAATTGAACAACATCTACAGATTTTAGATAGCCATTCATTACTTCTCTACTTAAATATTAATCCAAAAGGACTTCCATCACTTCAAAGTATGATTCAATGCTCATTGCAATGTCTGATCTTGTACCACCAACATATGAATAGAAGTTGTTCTTGAACATTACTTTATTTTTATTTTATTAATCTCATTAATATGTCTATTATAAATCTCTTTTTGAGAGCTTATTTTGGTTTTTTTAAAATAAACTGCCTTTCTACTCCAATCTAGTAAATCTGACTCCATATCTCTAGCAAAAGTAAATTGATACATTGAAATATGATTATTTGCTTAAATAATATGCAGACTTAATGAAGAAATAGTAAAAATTCATATAATAGATGTTTAAGTATATCATAAAAATTGTTTGACTATTTATTCTAATATTCTAAGAAGACTTTTAAAAACATTATGATTATATTTGATATTAATGTAGATGGATACATAGTATCAATATTTAACATTTTTTACTTGTTATGTTATTACTTAAGACAGTTTTACTAACTCTTAAACATAATTAGCTGATAGTTAATGAACTTCCGATTAAGTACTATGATCAACTTTACTTCGTAGTTCTATCAACTCTTTTAAGGATAATTTATCCAAAAGAGTTTTTCCAGAGCCTTTATTAAAAACAGGATTTTCTGTGATACTGCTTGAGAATGTGGTTCTCTTTTGTTAAGCCTTTGTTGATTAATATAGGGGCTAATTACTAATAAATCTAAAATTTATAATAACATTACGGTTGAGTTAATTTGGTTAGCTAATTAATTTCATTGTTACCAAGACTCCCTATTTTGTTTTATAACCCACTCATCTTTCTAGATGAATCATTTATACCTTTTTTTTGATTTGATCCATTCTGTATTTATGTATTACCATTGCCATGATTCATAGATTTAAGCAATTCATCAAATGAAGGAGCACTATTAATAAATATGTTGCCCACCTTTTTCTATGTTAAAAATCAGTATAGAGAGAAGATTTGGAGGATTTCTTAATAGAACTATCCTCTTTGCGGGTGCTACTCACTTTTAAGGTACTGGGACTGGACATTCTAAGATACAAAGAATCTCGAAATTTATTCAAATTGAAGTCTTGCTCCTTCCCTAATGATTCTTTCTAAGTCAACATTAACGATATAATAAAAATTTAATAATTTTATATAAAACATTTAATCAATCTAAACTTTTTTATATCATATTAATAACTTATTGACCAATAATTGTAGTGCGTCTATATTAATATTATATATTACTTTAGATAATATTCCCAATATGTTATTTTATTAGTGTTCAATAAATCTAATTCCTAAAAGTATTATCTAGCAACGGTTTTGTTACACTACTAACACAATTCTTATTCATCAAAGTATCCCTTGTTCCTTTTATCGATTTTCTCGTAAATCTATCTATCTTATTTAGGACAAACTGTGTCTAAAAATTACCCCATCTCATTAACATCTACAAACCCATCTCTTTGTACATCAACCTAATAAAACATTTCATCTAATTCCTCCTAAGAAGGATCATGATGCAATTATTGGAACACAACCTCCATTTTGAATCTAAAAAATGCTTTGCTTATCTTCTATAAAGTTGATTCAGGAAAGATCTCATCAAATATCTATTCTGCTGTTAATTGCGATAATAAGGAATATTTTCCTTTTTTCGTAGTTTCAACATCCTGACACACCATACTTTGACAAGGAACTATGAAATTAAGGCTTCTACTATCAGCAAATGATTCAATAGTTTTCTGAGTTTAACAAGTAGCCCTGCATTATTTCAAAAAGTCAGGTGCAGTAAACAGGTCTGCATATTTTTTCATGATGTCGTCTTCTGTTATAACGGGTTTATATTAGTCTTCATCATTAGTAGCTACAAACTATTATGTTTATTATCTTTCATTTTAAGTGTTTTAAAATTAAACATATTCATCTTCTTCATATTTGTCTAATATTTGAGATTGATAAATGTTTTCATTTTAATGTTCGTACTTCTACTTGATTATTTGTTGATTGTTTGTTTCTTGTTTTCCTTATTTAGAACTTAGTACATCAGAATTGCGTTTTCCAAAACCAATACTTTAAACATCTTGAGATCTTTAAAGATCAGTTCCCATTTCTTGACATGAATTTTCTGGTTATGGTTCTTTTTTAGATAAAGTTGACAATTTAATTTCTATTATTTCAGTATTATGATGTTGATGAATTCCAATATCTTTGGGCATTTACATATAAGAATACTATCTTCTATGATGATTCTATTATTATGATATATCTTCTTCTTTCTCTTTTTCTTTCTCTTTTTCTTTCTCCTTATCTTTATCAGGTTCTACAAACATCCATGTTTAATCTTTTGTAAACTGCAATTAACAATAATTAACATACATTTTAAAAACTAGCAAGAACAATATCATCTCTCTTTTTTGTATACTCTTATTAATCGAATAATTTTTAGAAGTTCTCCCCCTAAGTATATTACTTCAGTTTTTGTTCAAATTATTCCAACTATTATCTTTGTTATTCAATTTTATCTGGAGAAACGCTGAAAATAATTAAGATTTAAATATTTACAATTCAAATTCTGGAGAATTGGGACTGTTTTATTTTATATCTTCATTGAATCTTGGAGAGTTTTCTTGTTTAGGAATTATTGACTATTTTGTTTATCTGCTTAAAGATCTTTTAGGTGGACTTACAAAATTTCTATTTTTTTAAATACTTGCAGTTTATCTTGAAGGAGTTCGCGAGGTTTTGGATTGAGATATATTTACTTAGTTTTCTTTTGATGTCCTAGTATTAAATTATATCTGAGTTTATTATTATTGTTTGCCTTTGACTTTATTCAACAATTTTCTTAATTCTTATTATAACAATCTTAGATCTATAAAATTAAATGAATATTAATACCATTCTTCTTCTTATACGTAGTAACTAATGAAATTATTTCTGAATTACTGTCCTTGATCATCTATCTGAGAGTCAACCTGTCATCCTTCATAATTTCTAACTTCAAACAATATCATACATGCACATCTATCTATAATAGCCAGCAATTCAGCATTATCATGTTTAATGCGATTTTGAATCCTGAGCATTCTAAATTATTCAATTTTTCTGTTATTAATTATAATATTAAATATATATGATTAATATTAATTACTCATCTAATTAACAACATTTTTTAACAAATTTCCCCATCCAACTCTTAATCTGCATTCTCTTAAATGTTTGATAAAAACATGTATTAAAATTATCTAAAATGACTTTGTTTATGATTATTCAAAATAATTAATTATCTATTGTAAAAGATATATTTATTTATCCATTGATTTATAATTACATAAAGATTTTACAGAATATTTTAAGTATAATGTGAGGGTTTTTATATATATATTTTATTTAATCCTCTCTGACTATTTTAAACCAATTACATTACTATATTATAGAAATATCTTAAAAATATATATAAATGTAAGCAGAATAGTTTGATTGCTGGGATAGCCTAACAACAAATTTAGATAATTAAATATGATAAGATTAACTTGATATATTTTCAATTTACTTCTCTTAATAAGTTAATCATAAACACCAATAAATTTAATTTTTGTATTAATTTACAAATCAATATTTTATTATAAGTCAAGTATATTAATGAAAAGCGAATTTTTCAATTAAGGCAATTTCATAAATGTAATTTTGGAATTCATATCCAAATTATGTTATGTTAATTATTATTTAATAAAATATCTAAAATGAGTTCAGATTCACTAATTTAAGAAGCTCTTTCTTAATTTATTATGCTACGAAGCCCAAGGGAATTACTGCATGAATTTAAGACCCAGACTTTAAATTTAGAGTAGATCAGATAGCTGGTGTAAGTTTTCGATCCAAATATCCCTAATGAGGACATAAAGCACTTTTACCTGAAGGTGATTACCAAATTCAAAAGTCCTGCAGGGATAACAGAAGATATCTATTAATAAATAGTGGATGATGAAGAATTTACATTGCGAGCTGGATCATCGAATTCTTATGAATCTTTACCCTTGTTGAAGAATATCATCAGGGGAGTGAGAGAAAAGAAGGTACCCATATAGAGATTGTATAATTTCTATGACAAAAATAAGGACAAAGAACTTTAAGACCCTGAATTCAGAAATTTATTAGAATTTTTTTACGTGGCAATTACAGATGCACAATTCAAAAAGCTCAGAGAGGAATTTCCTGATCATCCACTTAGTGAGAGTGCCATCGTCAGTCTGTTTGAAAAATGGTAAGAAATAGTTTTCGAAAATACCCAAGGCGATCCTTAAATAATTTTGGAAGCTCCATCAAGTATGAATATTAATTGAATTTAGAAACATAAAATTTCTTGACTATTCCCAAGCCCTAGCAAACAATTAGTTTAGAATTGACAAGGGAAGAAGATGAAAGATTTAAAGATTTTATGGGAGTTGATTTTAAGATTCCAGGAGTTAAAGAATTGGCTGATCTCTAAAAGAGATGCTAATAAACATAAGAAGTATTTACAGACCCTGATTTTCCTCCAAATGTATCAAGTTTGGGACCAAAATTCAGTGCCAATAGTTGGAAACGCTTATAAGAACTTTTTTAAGGAGAACAGAAGGTTTTTTCAATTGATACTCAACATGATAAAAGTGGTGCTGGTTTAAATAAATGGATATCCCATAGAGATATTTGCCAAGGAGATTTAGGTGATTGCTACTTTATGTCAACCTTAAGTTCCATAGCATGCAAATGGTATTTGTATAATCATTAATTTAGGCCTGATCAAATTAAGGATCTGTTTCCTATTTAGAGAGCAAACAAATTTGGTGTTTATGGAGTTAAGATGTGCATTAATGGAGAGTGGAAGGTTATCCCTATTGATGATAATATACCAGTTAAAAACGGTAAAATTGCCTTTACAAAAAATGCTGATAAAGAGATTTGGGTGTCATTGCTTGAAAAATCATGGGCAAAAGTAAATGGATCCTATACTAATATTGATGCTGGAGATCCCAGAGAGGTCATCAAAACCATAACAGGAGGTCCAGTTTGGCTCTTACTCACAAATAAACCAAGTTTCAAAGAAAATTTCATTACTTGTGTTAAGCAAAAGTGTGTTATGGTGACTGGTACTTATAGTAAAAATGCTGATTACTCTGCTATTGGATTAGAACCAGGACATGCATACTCTATCTTAAATGTTAAGACTATAAATCATCCTTAAAGAGGACAAGTTCATTTACTTAAAATAAGAAATCCATGGGCTCGTAAAGAATGGAAGGGGGATTGGAGTGACGATTCAGATTTGTGGACACCTGAATTGAGAGAGTAAGCTGGAAACACAGGAACAGAAAATGATGGAATCTTTTTTATGTCATTGGATGATTACACTAAATACTTCTTTTCAGTGTTCTGTGGATATTTCAAAACTGATTACATCTATAACTCTATGAGATTCAGTGTCAGAAGGAACAAGGGAGTGTATTTCGAATTCGAAATTAAAAAAGAAGGAGAATACTTCTTCGCCATTCATTAGGAATCTACTAGATAATATAGATCTCAACCTGAATTGAAATATGAATATTCTTATGTTAGACTCTTGTTAGCCAAGGAATTACAAAATGGATATGAATACATTGAGGGAAAATTCTATAAAGACATAGAAACACATGTTGGCAGAGTAGGTGAGAATTTCACTCCTGGTAAATACATTTTGTATATCAAAATCAAATGGCATGTACCATCTTGGAATGAACATTCAGTTGTGTTGAGTACTTATGGAGAACAATATGTGTAATTGAAGGAAGTTCCCAGAGATCCAAATCTTGTTTCTTAAACCATGATGCATCAAGTCAGATCCAACAATAAGGTGGAAGAAGTATTGCCAGGAATCACAATGAAGATGGATAACAATGGAAATCTAGGGTTATTTATTGTTTACTATTTTTAGAATTGGTTACATCTATTATAAGAATGAATCCAATCAATAAGTGAACTTTGAAACCAACTTAGTGAATAAAGGAGGTTGTAAATTAACCAAACCTGAAAGAGGATACTATTTCAAGAGTTTTATTCCTCCTCAAGGTGAAAGATTAGTTACTTTTACAATCACACCTCCCATAACTGAGTTGTCCATGCCAACATTAAGTCATAAATTATTATGATTATTATTATATTTCATCATCATAGAAAACATAGTTTTTGGTTAGTTTATTAAATTGATTAACTGAATAAATTAACTTAACAAATTATCCAAAATAAGTCATATGCTGTAATAATATATGATCAGATTTCAAATTAATTAGTAAACTATATTAAATAACAAATTTTAAATTGTGATTTTATCGAATTTGAAATTTAATAAATATATTTTTAAATATAAAATATCACTCAACTATGGACTGCAATTAACAATTTTTTCAGACCAGATTAAGCCTTACTCCATCCTCTCCCTTAAAAACAAGGTATTAACATAATATCATTCTAGACCTTTACCAAGTCCTTCTTTAGAGAGTCTTGAAGAATTCAATTTAAATGACGTATAATCAGATTCAGAAAGCTCACGAAAATCATCTGGTTAAAAGTTTGATAAACAGGTGTTAGTGATCGAGTATTTGATCGAAAAACTAAGGGACTTTGAATGAGAACCTCAACATAAATTACTAAAGTTAAACAAAAAACGAGAGAAAAAAAATAGCAAATAATTGTATTAAAATCATTTTTTTCAATCGTTTCTCATCATATTACAAATAAATTAAGACTCCTTCTCTTTTTCACAAGGGTTGGCTTCTCCTATTTGAGTAACAAGGGTAATTATAAATTTTCCAACTACTACTATTATTATTATTATTTCTATTAATTTATTATATAATGATGGCTTAACTTCTTAGGTTAAGCGAATACATCGAAATCTATTTTGATGTTGTAACATTTTGGAGGTTCAAAATTTGAACGGTAACTTGGCGGGTGAGAAGAACTTTATGATTTTATTTGAAATAATTATCTAAATTATCTCATTTTAAATCATCCTGATAAATTGTCGATCTTGATTGATATTTAATATTTAAATTCATTCGATATTCATTTTATTAGATAAAAATTATTTCTTCCGTTGAACATATGAATTAATCTTTTTACATATTGGTAGTTTAAAAATTTAATGTATTTGCTCTTATTTGTTTTCATTCCATTTCTTTTCCACCTCAGGATCCAAAAATGCTAGTTAAATTAATAATTTACATTTCTATTACACTTCTATCACCATCTACTTTGATTACTCAATATCATTCTCAGCTGGGAATGGCTCTTATTTGCAATTCTCTAACAATCGTTTTATTCTCTCCAAAATTTATTCTAAAATTTAAACATGCTATGTTTATAAATACATAAAACATACTTTTTTTCTCAATTCATCCATTTATGAATCTATTAATGTTCCTTATTCACAGCCATATTTTTTACATCTCTTCAGTAAATACAAATGGATATCATTCAATGAATATTATTAATTGCAGATACTACAATACTTACTAGTTTAGTTCTTTTCTTATTTTTCAACTTCCTACTTTTCATATTTACACTTATCCTCCAAAATTCTACATTATCTTTCCAAACAATCTACAAATTCTTTGTTTATTTGCATATTTTAAAAATGATTGTCTCTTTAGAAATTGTTCTGTTTTCTTTCGTCCAACTTCACAATGCCAACATTTTACAAATTCCTATAATATAGTCAATTTTATAAGTACATTGCTGCTTGTCTCATGTCAGCTAATCCCATTCTGTCATATTCTTTAATCACAGCTTAAAGATCAGAATCTGTCATTATCCATTTTCTTTTTTATAAGTAGATCATCAATACTACATAATCATTATCATCCATAAACGCTTCGCACCACGTTAAAGCTAATTCTCCAAAAGGACCCCAAATTTTTATATTTTCTTCAAACATTAAACAAATATTTATAATAATTATTATTATAAAGAACTTTCTCAAGAACTTAATCAAACTTAACTATTTTTTTAAACCTAATATTGTTTTTGGTATTGTAAAATTCACAATCTTAGTTTAATGCTAATATTAGTTATGTCATTTAATATTTTTTTAATGTAGAACTATTCATGTTATACTTCAATGCAATGATAATATCATATTTGAGAAATATTTAACTTAATCAAGATGATTTGATGTTATTATGTTAACCTCAATTTTTTACTAACAATGAAGAACTCAAAGATTTTAATATCATATTGAATTCATATTTAAGGAATGAAATCTAGATATTTATGCAAATTATTAAACTAATATTCTATACAAATTAAAAATGTAATATTTGTTTTAAGAAATTCTCGATTTAAAGGAAGGAAGACTACAAAAATTCTAATTTTCAAGCACACTAAGCTTAGCATAATTCCTAGTGATATTTAATTTATATCTATGTTCTTTTTTGAGATCGTTCAAATTATGATAAATATTTTATAGTTTATCTTAATGCTATTGTCAAACCTGTCTTTAATGATTCTAATTAAACCTTATTTTATCTTTGATAGTTTTATACTGGCTCCCATTATGTAATTAGACTGATTCCCATAGGCAATATCCGATATTTATGACTTCTCTATTTTATGAAGAGAAATATATATTGAAGATATATGATTTTAATGCAAGAATCAAGTTTTAAGAATTCAATAATATAAATAATCATGAAAATCATTATTCTTTGTTTATTGTCTTTTAGTGTTTTATCTCAATTATCAAAGCAGACCGTCACACATAAAGTCAAGATTGGAGTAACAATTGATGGCAAGAATGAAGGAGAAATCACTTTGGGTTTGTTTGGAAAAGTTGTACCAAAGACTGTAGAAAATTTCAGAGCTCTTTGTACAGGTGAAAAGTAAGGCAAGAGCTATGCAGGATCACCATTCCATAGAATCATCCCAAATTTCATGATCTAAGGAGGTGATTTTACAAATGGTAATGGTACTGGTGGAGAATCAATCTATGGAAACAAATTCAATGATGAAAACTTTACTTTGAAACATGAAATCGGATGTATTTCAATGGCAAACGCAGGACCAAATACCAATGGAAGTCAATTCTTTATTACAACTGCTGATACTCATTGGGTATAAACTTTTATATATTCTTTTAGTTAAATGGAAAACACGTTGTCTTTGGAAAAGTCATAGAAAATATGGAATTGGTAAAAAAGATTGAAAACTAAGGATCATAAAGTGGATAGCCTAAATCTAAAGTCGTATTTGCCACTTGCAGTGCTGAAGTTGTTACAGACGAATTATGATGAATTATAAAGAGATTTACATTTATTCATTAATTGTTTACCTATCTATCTTTTAGTAAAAAATGCTCATGTTCTTGAGCTTGATGATTTAAAATGAACAAAAGCCTTAAATTTCGATTATAACTAAGCTTCTCTAAATATTCTATTTTATAATACAAAAGTTCTTCAACTACATTAATTACTATTTTCTTGATAATTCTTATGCTTTTAGAATGTATAGAGATTTATTAATGTCCTCAATTAATGATATATAAATTTCTAAAGGTACAAAAGTCTGTGTCTATAACACTAAACTATTACCCTTGCGCATAACAATATATAATTGTAATATATATTAAATAAATTTAAAAGATATACTTTATTTTAAGTAAAACATTCCTCCTATCACTCAAATTATTTTAATGAAGATTTAATTTTTAATATATTAATTAAAAGTGAAGAGATAATAATAGAATATTCCAAAATCTCAAATAGAAACTTTTAATTTATTAAGTATCCTCCAATATGATTAATTAAAGCAAATGAGAAATCAAATGCTTGTACTTAAAAACTACTGGAATTGAACCAAAGAAATTCTTATTTGATATATAAAAATATTAATTATCTTTAATGAAAGTACAATTCTTAAACATTTTATGTTATATTATTATTTAAATAATATTAAATGATTGAAATAAGAAAATAGAAGCCTTGTATAATGTAGTTTACAAAAGATAGTGCAATTCTAAAATATAACAATATTATCATTTAAAAAAGTACTCATTGTTATTACTTTTATTTTGCATTTGAAAAGTTTTATTGACCTTAGATTTTTTTGGTGTCAATTGGAGAATTTTTAGCACTTTGAGACATCTAAACGAAACTTTATTTTTTTTGACGCGTCGATTAAATAGCTTAGATTTTTGGAGTATCAATCAAGGATATCGTAAGTGATTTTGGTAATCTTGCTGTTGACATTTCAATTTTTTCATGCTATTTATGAAATAACGGATGTATCTTTGCTTACTGGGATGTTATTCTACTTAAAGGATTTGCATCAATCATTTTTGATAATAAATCTGAGCACTCATTTGTAATGATTAGTTTCTTCAAATCAATATTGCTTAACATATTTTATTGCAATTAAGTTGCATAATCAATTTTTTCAAATGGAGACTTCCCTCCATTTATTAACATATAAAATACTATACCAACACTATAGACATCAACTTTATAGTCATATATTTTATTCATAATGAGTTCTGGGGCCAAATATCCTGCTGTTCCACACCTAGCAAAGAGGTATTTTCCATCTTTTCTATAAAAGTCTGCCAATCCAAAATCAGCAATCACTATGTCTTCGATGTTCTATGCATAACGAAATATCAAATTTTCAGGTTTCAAATCTCTATGTATAATACCTTTTGAATGAATATAAGCCAAAGCATCTATAATTTTATAGATGATTGAAACACACTGTTCTTAATTTAGTTTCTTCTCATTCATTAATTGCTTTAGCTCCCCACCTTTTAGCAATTCATAGACCACAAAAATATGTGTTTCACTTTCGTAAGTTTCCAAAAGTTTAATAACTCGGGGATGCTATACAATTCGAAGAATGTCAATTTCTCTTAAAATGGCTTCTATCTCTATCTACTTTTATAAATTGCTTTTGTCAAAAGTCTTAACTGCGTATTCACTTTTATTTTATTTTTGAATAGCCTTGTAGACCTTTTAAATAAAAATAATATATACCTTACCATAGGTGCCTTTGCCTATTAGGTTTCCTATGCTATAATTGTTCAAGAAATCTACTTGTATGCAATATAATTTCAACTGGTCAAACCATTCTGTGATTTAACCATAGAATTCAAATTGAAAATTGCCTGAAGTAATCATAATCCCATCTCCATTTTGATAATGATGAATTTTTTTTAGTACACAATTTTTCACATCCAAAAACTTGATTTTGTTCTTCCTATATAAAGAATAATTTTACATTTTTACATTGCTTCAGAATTCTTGAACCAGTTTTAATTAGAGTCTTAAACTGAAATTCCTTCTTCTTATTAGAAAAAACATATAATTACAGAGTCTTAAAATCACTTGAAGGTTTTTCATTCAGTAATTCCCATTTTACATTGTGATTAAATAAAGAACTCGGTTAAAAATTCATATGAATTAAATTATATAAATTAATACAACATTTATCAAGAGAATTGTTCGAGTTTTGTTGAAGATTGTACAGGGGATAATTAGGGAGACCTATGAGAGAAGGTTTGCATTTTTTAAAATCCTCTTCTAATAGCCTCTTACTTCATATTGTTAATGGGTTTGGATGACAAATTTTATAACTTAGGTGACAATTGCAAGTACTTATCTAAATTGTTATTTGGATTTATTATGAGTCTTGGAGTGGATATTTTATCAATGCTTTTAGGAGTTTTTTTGATAATAATAGTGCATTTGTTGGCTCTGTGATTTCGAAAGACCTGATGATTCAAAGCTGCTCTTACTGATATCCTTTTAATATTATCAGGCTCAAGCATGTTCTATAATAGATTATATGCTGCTTCAGAGGCATTCGAAACCAAAGAATAATCTATTAAACTTTTATAATTTTGGAATAGTTTCTCCTCTGGATCTGTACTATTGAAAGGAGATTTGCCACCACTCAACATCATAAAAAGAATGACACCCGCACTATAAACATCTATCTTGTAATCATATATCTTGTCTTGTAATATTTCCGGAGCAACATATCCTGGAGTTCCACATCTAGTGTAAATGTATTTTCCATCGACCCTATAGAAATCTGCCAATCCAAAATCTGCTATGGCTATTGATAACGTGTTTCTGTCTCTTAACAGAAGGTTGGATGGCTTTAAGTCTCTGTGTAAAATTCCTTTAGAGTGAATATAAAGGAGCGCTTATAACACTTATTTTATTATTAATAAGGATTCTTCTTCCGAAAGATGCCTTTCCTTTATAAAAGTGTATAATTCCCCTTACTCCACCATTTCATAAATTAAAATAATCTGTTCATCACTTTCATATGTTTCAAAAAATTTGGTGATTCCTGGGTGATTAAGACTTCTGATTATTTGAAGTTCCTTTGTTATCAATAGGTAATCTTGATGGTTAATTATTGTTTTCTTGTCAAATACTTTGGCAGCAAAGTCTCTTTGGGTAATTCTTGATTTTATTTTGAACACCTAAGATTTCTTAAATAGTTTGATACTTTACTAAATGTACCTTTTCCCAGTAACTTATGGATACTATACTTGTTAGCGAAATCTTGTTGAATGCAATAAAATCTTAATTATTCAAGCCAGACTATTGTCATACCATATAATTCAATGACCTGACTTGCCTTAGTGATTCTGATTCCAGCACCGTAATTAGCTTGTTCAATTTCACAAATCGTTGCATTGAGAATATCTGCGATTTGATATTAACCCTGAGAATAGCATGAAGTATTATTACATTCTTTTTTCTTTTAAAAATGAAATGATTTTACAAGTACAATGTCTTTACCTTATAGCTATTGCGTTTGGCTGAGTAAATGTAAAAATTTTCTTAAATTGACTCATTGATATTGCGGGAAGCCGTTGTATTCTGCCATAAAGAGCCTTTTGATATGTCGAAGAAAGAAGTTGAGTTCACTTACTTCTTTATGTTCATAATATTAATCAAAATACCCTAATCAAAAATTCTAAATTTATATAAGAAGTTATTGTAATATCTTCAAAGGTTAATAATACTTGATAAAATTTTTGTCCATATGGATATATATTTTATTTTTACCACTTTATTACAAATAGGCTTTGTAATTATATTTATAATGCAAATCGCAAAATAAACAAAAAAAGTATAAAATTAGATAACTTGATGACAAACGATATTTTATAATGGTATTTATAACTCGATATTATCATTAATTCAAATTTGGATAGGTATTCTTTGTAAATTTTGGGGTTTCCCAAATGGACCTTAGAGAGGAGATAAACTAACAGCGTTTATTCTAGATGGCGATTGCAAAGGAGAGACACACGATTATACAAATCTACTCTTTTGGTCTTTAGGGGATTTAAGCTCTAATTTTGGACTTTATAAAGGTGAAGTTGTTAGGGAGTCCCCTTGAGAAGGAATACTGCCCAAACTACTCTAACTTCCATATTGTTAGAAAACTGTAATATGTTTTCTAAAGAATGAACTTTATTTAATTTGATCGATGGAATATCTTTTGATAGGGTTTGGATCCAACATTCCTCTTAATAATTCAAGACATTCAATAGAAAATTGAAATTTAGTTAAATCTACCCATCCATTAAAATTTGCCATAACTGTCTAATCATAATTATTTGAATCGAATGGTCCTTTGCCTACTAACAAGTAGTAGAACAGTATTCCACAACTATATATATCAACTTTATAATCATAAATTTTATCTTGTAATAATTCTGGTGCCACAAATCCAGGAGTACCGCATCTTGTAAACATGTACTTGCAATCCTTTCTGAAGTAATCAGCCAACCCAAAATCAGCTAATACCACCTATTCTATCATTCCTTGCTCTTTCAAAATGATGTTTTCAGGCTTTATGTCTCTATGAATTATCCCATGAGAATGTATATAATTCAAGGCTTCTATCACTTATTGAATCACTATGAAAGCTCCGTACTCAGAAAATGTTCTAGTTTTCTTCAATTCTTAATGAAGCTCTCCTCCATTGAATAGCTCTTGGACTAAGAATATATATTGTTCGTTTTCATAGGTTTCAAGAATTGAAACTACATTTTCATGTTTCATTATCCTCATTAATTCAATTTCCTTAAGCAATGCTTGTCTATCCTGGGGCTTGAAAGTGGTTTTATCAAATAGCTTCACTGCAAACTCTTTTTTATCTCGTAAACTTTAAATTTTATAAACCTAAAATGATCAGTTTTCTTCATACCTTCCCGAAACTACCCTTTCCAACTAGTTTAATCATGCAGTACTCCTTCTAAAAGTTTGGTTACACACACCACTTTTTCATGTTGGAGTACCAATGGTCAGCAATCCCATAAAATGTGAAATTTGCTCCGTTTTTCGTTATTGAAATTCCCTTTCCCATTTGAGGATGGTTCACGTATTCAAGCAAGGCATTCGTAATATTGTAATACTTTTGAGTTGTTTTCTAAAAAATATTAAAATAGATTCTACCTTAGAACTAAATTTGATCAAGTAATTTCGTTGTAGTACTAGAGTCTTTAGCTTGAACTTCTCATTTTTGAGCACGTAGAATTGATCCTTTAAGGATTTTGAAAATATTTCGATGGGTCTTTTCAACTCAAAGGGTGATGTGAAATCAAAGAACGATTTTTAATCCTAATTCATTTCTCAATTTATTATTATTAAATCTTACAATAACAACTTATTCAAAATTTAAAGCAAGCGAATAAACGCAAAAATCACTACAATACTAAACAATAAAAAATGATATTAAATTTATCTTTAATACTACGTCTAATAAAATAAATTATATTAATTATTATCAGGAATTTTAAATTGAAATTATCATTTTTATTGGATTTTTATATAATCATTACCTAATACATATTTAGATTGTCTTAACTTGAATGTAAAGCTCTCAGGATTTTTCATAATTTATCATAATTTTGACAAGACTGTTAAACATTCTCGAGATACAACTTTATTCATAAATGTTGAAATTTTGGTCTTATTTAATAGAAATTATTAATTATCACTTTTAATGTATTCATAGACAATAGTTAATACAAAACTAAGTTTTGGTTTATCAATTTTTTTTTCGGATTTCCAAACAGCGTTATATGGTTAAACTATATTATTATATCTTAAAGATATTACAAAAGCATAGGTAATAGAATATGATTTTTTATATTAGATTTTTTCTTAATTATTTATAGGTAATAAATATGTATTATTATTCAAAATATGATGTAAATATTTTGATTAAATTAACAAAGTAAAAAAGAATTTTGGCTGAATATGTGTTTCTCCTTTGGTTTTAAGTCATATTATAATAGAATTTAAGCAGAATCATTAGATTTTTATTATTGAAAGATACGTATTAAAAGTAATAACGGCTATTTTTTTGAGATTCAGCATTGGTGCTACTGCCGAACAATAGATTCAGAGATTGAAGAATTTAACATTAATAATCATAGAAAAGATTTGCTATTCATAAATTAAAATTATAATTATAAAATGAATTTATTTAACAATATAAAAAACATGCAGGAATTAAAGAGGCTCTATATTTAGAAATATATGAAATAATGTGTATGATGTGGATATATTTTGGATGTTAATATTTTTCATTGGAGGAATGATGGTGATGCTTCATCCAAAGAAGGCATCTCAATATCTGGGTTTTATTGGGGCTCTTCATCGGAGTTCTATACTTCCTCTAATGTGCCATCTCCTTCTGTAACAACAGGAATATAATAGGATTCATTGACATCATCTTAGGCTACATCTGGGGCTTAGTAGTTTGATTCTGCTTGCATCTCAATGTTGGGGACGTTGTTGAAGTCTTCAGCTGTTAATAAAGCCTATTGAACTTGTTATTCGGTCATTAATTCAGAAGAAAGCTAAATACATGAGAATATTTACATCTTCATCTTGATTCATGAGAATGAATTAATCTGTTTCTTGTTGGATTTGAACAAATCCAGTTTGTTATTGACTGTGTTGGATGGCTCTTTTTAAGCTGCTGTCTTATTTTTTCTAGGCTGTCTTGAGTTATTGAGTTCTGGGACTAGTAAATGAATCGACATCATATTCAATTTATGCATGTGATTATTAATATGCCTTGTTGTCAATATGAATTAGATTTGGTGTTGCTCTAGATTAGGTATGGTTTATAAAGTACTTTCTCTTCTTTTGAGCAGCCATCACTGAGAGGGCTAATACTGCGATAACTAGTATTCTCATTATCGTTTTTAGAATAATATATTAATTAAATGGATTCTCATTCATATAACAATGAAAGAACAATTAAAAAATGGGGCTTGATAACAGTTAGACCGCCTGCTCATTAAATGAATGGTACAAATCAAAATATCATATTTCAGACAGATCAATAGTATCAAATGTCCCAGATATGGCTGTGCCTGACAACATGATTACAACATCAAAATACTCCTCGATCCTTACATTCATTCCATTAAATTTGATAGAGTAATTCTCAAAGTTAGCTAATGTTTACTTTTTGGTTATTGCTATAATGCAGATGATCTCAGCAATTAGCATAACCAATGGTTAGCCTGTGATTATGGGGCCATTGTCAATAGTTGTTTGCATATCAATGATAAAAGATTTTGTCGAGGATTACTAGAGACGCAAATCAGACAACGCAGAAAACACACGTAAAACCTACTTAATTCGCACAAATGAAGTTCCAAGAGAAGCTCAATGGAGTGAATTAAGGATTGGTGATTTGATCAAGGTTTAGAAGGATGAACAAATACCTGCTGACATCTTATTAATGCAAACATCAGATAAGAAAGGGAATGCCTTTATTGAAACAAAAAACTTGGATGGAGAAACCAATTTGAAATGCAAAAATATTCAAAAAAATCTAAAATAACTGTAAGAATAAAGTGAAGATGCTCTATTGGCATTGAGAATGACGATAAAATATGAACGGCCTAATCCTTATTTGTATCAATTCACTGGATCTGCTGAAATCAATAATCAACAAATTCCCCTTAGTGAGAAAAATTTCATTCTAAGAGGTTGTGTTTTGAGGAATGTCAATTATATTTATGGAATTGTTTGTTATAACGGACATGACTCAAAGATTATGCTTAATTCAATTAAGGCATAACCTAAGCGCAGTCATTTAGAAAGAACAATGAATTGGTTCATTATTGTGATTTTTCTATTATAAGTAAATATCCAGTATGATTAGTTTCTAGATGTTCATGTGTGGATTAGGAGGCTATTTGAATTCTTCATGGTAGCAGATTCATAATTCAGAATTATCATATTTAGATATCTTGATTACAGATCCAGAGCATAATTTTGTTAAAAATCTATTCGTAAGTACTCAAAACTTAATTTTAGATAAAATGGGGTAATTGGATTCTCATTTTCACCAACTTCGTTCCAATCTCATTACTTGTCTCATTAGAAATGGTTAAATATTTCTAAGGAATGTTGATAACCCTGGATAAAGGAACATATTCAGCTGAATATGATATAAAAACAGCAGTCTAGTCTTCAAATCTGAATGAGGAACTTGGCTAAGTGGATTACATATTTTCTGATAAAACAGGAACATTGACAAAGAACCAAATGGACTTCAAATGTCTTACAGTCAATAAAAAGTCATATGGAAAAGAAGCAACTTTAACAAATGAAGAAGTCTCCAAATTAGCTTAGGTTTCAAATGTTGACTTCAGAGACAAAGCCTTCTTTAATGATTTGAATTAAACTCCAGGGAAGGGACCACTTCATGAATTCTTACTTTGTCTATCATTATGTCATACTGTTGTTACTGAAAATAAAAATAGTCAGCTACTTTACTAGGCTTCATCTCCTGATGAATTGGCTTTGGTCAATTTTGCAAGATATTGTGGTTATACCTTTGAGGGATTAGATGCATCAAACAGCATGGTAGTCAATATTAAGGGGGACATCAAGAATTACCAATTGTTGCATGTACTTGAATTCAATAGTACAAGAAAGAGAGTGTCTGTAATCGTTTAAGATCAAGCCAATCAAATTATATTGTATACAAAGGGAGCTGATTCTGTTATTGAACCTTTAATGAAACCTGTTGTTCCTTAATTAAAGGAGAAAACTTGGAATGATCTATAAGAGTTTGCATCGATTGGCTTAAGAACTCTTTTATTAACAAGGAGAATATTGCCTTTGTCCACTTATAAGGAATGGGAAAAAAGTTATCTACAAGCTTGTTCTGCTATCTAAAATCGAGAACACTTAATGATGGAGTCACAAGCTAAAATAGAATAAGAATTAGAACTTATTGGTGGGACAGCCATTGAGGATAAATTATAAGAAGAAGTAGGCCCAACCATTTAATACTTAAAAGATGCAGGCATTAAAGTATGGGTTTTGACTGGAGATAAAATAGAAACTGCTATCAATATTGGTTATTCTTGCTAATTATTGAATGATTCCTTATAGTAAATCATAGTTGATGGAAATGATGAATAGGTTATTAGAAATGAATTAGAAAAGGCCATCCAAAAAAGCCAAAACAATAATAAAAATGCATTGGTGATCTCTGGCAATGCTTTAATAATAGCTATGAAACCAGAACTTTCATTAAAAGTAATGTAAATTGCTGAAAGATGTGAGGCTGTAGTAGCTTGTAGGGTTTCACCTAAATAAAAATAAGAGATCGTTTCATTAGTTAGATAAAATAAACCTAATGTTACTACTCTTGCCATTGGAGATGGTGCTAATGATGTCAACATGATTACAGCTGCTCATATTGGAATTGGAATCAAAGGAGTAGAAGGCTAGCAAGCAGCAAGAGCTTCTGATTATGCTGTTGGAGAATTCAGAATACTAAAAAGATTAACACTTTATCATGGAAGAGAGAGTTATAGGAAGAATTCAACTCTTGTAAATTACAATTTTTATAAAAATATGCTTCTAGTCCTACCTTAATATTGGTGGGCTGTCAATAATGGATTTTCTGCTGTTATGTTTTATGACTAGTTACTCTATTAAAGTTATAATCTATTTTTCACTAGTCTTCCTATTGTATTATATGCTATCTTCGATGAAGAATTCTCTGGTGATATTCTCACTTCAAGTAAATCTATCTCTCTATTGTAGACCCCAGTCTTTATGACATAGGAATTAAACACAAATTGTTCAACGTGAAAATATTCTTGTATTGGGTCATTAATGGCACCATCTAAGCTGGCATCCTATCATACCTAACCTTCCAAAGTTATGAAGCCTCATCTATTTATAATGGCATGACGGCGGGCTTATGGACTACTGGTGCCATTGTGTTAGGATATTCAGTTTTGAATAGTAATATCAAAGTAATCAATTCCATAAGAACTATTAGGTTATCCTATTTAGTAACACTTATTCTATTGGAGTTATTGTCGGGCTTTTCGGATCGGTCGTCATATATCTCTTGTTATTTATTTTAGTTTCAGAGAAAATGCCAAAATCTGATATGTCAAATAGCCAAAGTGCTAGCTTTTGTCATATGAAATTTTACTTGACTTCATTATTAGCTATTGGAGCTACATCCATTTTTGACTTGGCTCTGACTAAATTTGCTCAGTGGTCTTAGTATTCCCAGGGAGAAATCTAGCACGATAAAGTTTATATGCTGATTTAAAAATAGCACATTGAATTACCAGATGAACAATATATGCACCCACCTTCCCCAAATACACAATTTTAATTGAATAACTCCTCAGTTCCCAAATCCCCAATCAAACGAGGCTATACAGGTTTTGCATTTTCTTAAGAAGAACATTGACATTGAAAATAAATGTTATTATTTTATAAAATTGGTTAATCTTCAAATAGTATAGTACTTTTGATTTGCATTAAGAATTCGATTTTTTGGCTTAAATAGGATCAGAATTTAACAATTATGTTAAAAAGATTTTTCTATTATTGTTCTATATGAAATAATTTTTTTTATTTTGAAATATATTAATTTATTTTTAAAATATCATCAATGGGGGACAATCTCAGATCTACTTAAAGGCATGAAATTATTTTTGAAAATGATTACAAAACTATCAGAAAAGTTGAGAAAGATAGAAAATAGTATATTTCTTTGGAAATTAAAAAAATGATGAACCTATCAATACAATAATTAAACAATTTAACTTAATTTAGGTTCCTGAACATTATCCCCCATGAAAATTATTATTAAAATTCTCAAAATCCTATTTTAATTTATGCTGATCGTCAGAAGCATCTAATGAAAGAAAATCAATTAAATAGTGAGAATGCAAAACTAATCGCCTTATAATTGGCCTTATGTATATTTAGACTTATATATAGTATGTGCTGAGTTGTAAAACAGAAATATGCTGTTTTTTTTTAATTCTATTACTTAATTATATTTGATTGACAATTAAGTATATGTTTCTTTAATCGAGTATGACTTCGGTTAAACAGAAGTTAGGCAATCCCAACTCTAAATATTTAAAGAATTTCTTCTGAATTAATTTTGTGATAAGATTCCCTAATTGTAAGATGTATTACATGAAAATCAATCTTTTGAGCCTATTATAGATTTTCTGTTAAATATTAATGGTAGGCTTGATATAATTGATCATTTAAATACTCCATATCAAAATTTATTGGGATATATTTTTAAAGTTAATGAGTTTATATCCATATATGAATTTAATAAATCTACAGTGAAATCATTTATTAGACCTAAAAGTTTTCTTTAGGCAGATGAAGCGATCGATAATGAATTAGTTTATAAAACTTAGAGGTTTAATTAGGGTGACGAATAAAGTATCTGTAGAGAGATAGAAATTTTGGAAAAAACATATAGAAGTTCTTATTTTGTAGCCACATTTGCCTATTTGAGAATAAAATAAAAAGTGTTTTTTTTTATGAGAAAATATGTAGGGACTCTAGCGGAAAACTTGGAGATGTTATAAAATTTAAATCATGAACAACGATAAAAAATTGTCTTTTAAATATCATATAGAATTTTATAAGGTATCTATCAATATCCTACTTAGCCATCTCGGAAATGTAGAAATTTAAGATTATTCATAGGGACTTAAAACTTGAAAATTTATTCTTAAATAAGCAGGATTTATAACAAACTTAAATCCTAATTGGCGATTTTGATTGTTCTAAAATACTCCTCAATCCATAGAATGATTATGATAGAGATATGAGTAGAAACCATTAGAGTAATACTTTCAAGTACGATGCTCCTGAAACAACATATTCCTTTAAATATGATATTTTCTAGTTTGGATTGATCACGTTAACTATTGCAAATTTAAATGAGTATATTGGAAATTCAAATATGGGTTGCAGATATATTAGTGAGTAAGAGCACGAATCTTTCTATAGCAAAGAGTCATTACTTCAAAATTTGGTTCTTAAATAATACCCTCCAGAATTTATCGAGATTCTTAGTAAATGTTTAAAAAGAAATCCTCATATAAGGCCAACAACTGAAGAACTGCTTAATTATATTAGACCTTTATATTTCTTAAAAAGGATAAGACTTCAAAATACTGTATAATTAATAAGTGAAGGATAGACAAGACCAAATCAGTTTGAACAGCGATTATTATCACAAAATCAATAATAATAATAATAATAGCCATAGTAATAATATTAGTAACAATAGTAATAACATTAGTAATAATAATAGTAATAACATTAGTAATAATAATAGTAATAACATTAGTAATAATAATAGTAATAACATTAGTAATAATAATAGTAATAACATTAGTAATAATAATAGTAATAACATTAGTAATAATAATAGTAATAACATTAGTAATAATAATAGTAATAACATTAGTAATAATAATAGTAATAACATTAGTAATAATAATAGTAATAACATTAGTAATAATAATAGTAATAACATTAGTAATAATAATAGTAATAACATTAGTAATAATAATAGTAATAACATTAGTAATAATAATAGTAATAACATTAGTAATAATAATAGTAATAACATTAGTAATAATAATAGTAATAACATTAGTAATAATAATAGTAATAACATTAGTAATAATAATAGTAATAACATTAGTAATAATAATAGTAATAACATTAGTAATAATAATAGTAATAACATTAGTAATAATAATAGTAATAACATTAGTAATAATAATAGTAATAACATTAGTAATAATAATAGTAATAACATTAGTAATAATAATAGTAATAACATTAGTAATAATAATAGTAATAACATTAGTAATAATAATAGTAATAACATTAGTAATAATAATAGTAATAACATTAGTAATAATAATAGTAATAACATTAGTAATAATAATAGTAATAATAGTAAGAACATTAATAATAATAATAGTAATATTAATAGTAATAATAGTAAGAACATTAATAATAATAGTAATAATAGTAATAACATTAGTAATAATAATAGTAATAACATTAGTAATAATAATAGTAATAACATTAGTAATAATAATAGTAATAATAGTAAGAACATTAATAATAATAATAGTAATATTAATAGTAATAATAGTAAGAACATTAATAATAATAGTAATAATAGTAATAACATTAGTAATAATAGCAATAATAATAGTAAGAGCAATAATAGTAATAGTAGTAATAATAATTCTAATAACATTAGTTATAATAGTTTTAATAGTTATAATAATAATAATACTAATAATAATAATAATAATAATAATAATAATAATAATAATAATAATAATAATAGTAGTAAGGATAATAGGTATAATTGTAATTTTAACAATAGGTGCTAGTAAAAGAAAACAAGAATAATGGAATAAAAATATTCGAATAAATATGATTATATTAAATAAATTATCATAAATTATATTTAGTAAGTATGTAAGTTATAATGATTTTAGTATTGTCCTTGTTTAATTTTTAGAGTAAATTAAAGAGAGTTTTCAAATCGAAAGAGAAAACAATGAAATTTTATTTTTTTGAATATTATTATATTGATTCTTATATTTTATGCAAATATCAATTGATTCTGGAGTCCAGAGCTGTGTTTTCTCTTTCATCGATCACTTGTCTTTGCTAATGGTTTTATATTGGCTTTCTCTTTTTATATTTCCAGATGCCATATGCCATAATACCCATGATGAAGAGTGCTCCTAAACAAATAATGATAATATAATAAAAAGGTAAGCCAGTATCATCTTCTACTTCATGGGGGAAATCAACTTAATTTTTTTCTATGCATTTTCCTTCAAATAATGCATAATCGGATTAGCATATTAAGCATTTATCATTAGATTAGCACTCACTGCAATTTTCAGGACAAATAAGAACGCAATCCATATTTTCTGAAAGAGTATACCCAATTTCGCATTCAATCTAGGAACAAGTTTTATTGAGTGAAACTTCGTATCCTAAAGTGCATTCAGTGCATTAATTTGGAATGGTACATGAAATACAATTCAATCCACAATCTATTTCACAAAAGTTATTTTCAACATAATATCCAGCCTGGCAATTTTAGCAAACAGTGTTGCTCAAACAAGATAAACAATTCAGTGGACATATTATAGATGTTTGATTGTTTTCTACAAATGGATTTTGAATAATTAGACTAGAAAGATTGAATAATTGTAGATAGAAATTGTCTAATGTGTTATTACCAGCAGCTGTCCATGTGATGTAAAATTCCTCATCATTTAAAACTTAAACACCTGGATTTTTGGGATAAAGTCCTTATCTCGTAACCTAAGTTTAATTTGAGATCTGTAGTCCATCACTATCAAATATCTAAAATACAATATCCTTAGATTTCAGAGACTTATCAACTGTTCTCCAAACAATAATAAATCCATATCCAAATGATGTAACATAGGGATGCTCTTCTCCATAGGAAGGACTAGCGAATAATTTTGCTTCAGATAAAATCTTATCTAAATTCATGATCTGATATGATAAGATATATTAAGGAGGGGATATATTTGTGCTAACAGCTTCAAAGACGAAAACAATAAATTTATTCTTCAAATTTGTAGATTTGAATGCTTTAGCCTCACCAACTTCTTTAGGCTCGGTAACAATATCACCTTAGGTCGTAATTTAAGCCAAGAACGTGGCACCTTCACTTGAAAAAGTAATAGAAATCAAACCATCCTCATCGCTAGATATCATAGGTACTTTAGTGATATCTGCATTATCTAGAATCTACATTTATCCAATGGGCATTAGATTATTACTAAATGATTACAAGAACATAGTTGCTGTATTTAGAGATTATTCAGCTTGATTGAAGAATCCAATAACAAAATTATTATTTGCAGTTTTTTTGATAATACAGGGAGCAGCAATATCATCTAGATTCTATTTTGGTATTTCAGTAACCTAAATTGATTTCGTTAAGGCTTGGCCAGTGACATCAAATTTCTTGAGATTCACTTTCATGTCTCCAACAATTTAATCCACCCACAAAATAACAAAGTCGTTATCAAAAGTGGCAATATCTGAAAACAGAGTTTTTGCTGCCTTACTGGAAGATGCAGATTACAAAAGTCTTCTATTTCCCAGTTCATCCATGTTTACCTAAGTTTTGGTTCCTATTTTCTGACCACTCTTTTTATACAATTAGAAATACACACCAGCATTAGGTCCTTCTTCAGACCATAAAGCAATGTAATCTCCATTGGGGAATGTTGCAATCAAAGGCTCAGATATGCTGATTTCACCAATCACATCTTCAAGTACAACACATTCAGTTTTTGTTTTACTCCAATAATAAGAATCCTCGCATTATTTACAAACAGGAGGAGCAGTACAAACTGAGCAATTGGGTCCACAAGTTCCTATGCATTCAGTCATATCCTATTGACTTTAATAAAAGTTTTTAGGACACTATAAGCAATGTTGGAAAGTATTGCATATTGAACAGCTTTCTTTGCATACATTCTTTTCACATTGATTATTTGATCTTATTGAATAACCTTCTTTGCAAGATGAGCATATTGTAGGAGAACTGCACACCAAACAGGTATCAGGACATTATGGTTCGCATTTATAGGTATTAGGATTCAAAGCATAATTAGTTATACAAGTTGAACATGTATATTCATTTGAACAGGTTGCACATTCTGTTAGGCAAATCAGAGTTGGAGAAGGTAGCAACTAATTCTGATCTGTAATTCTCAAGTAATAGTATTAGTATTTAATTTATAAACTGACTGTTGTATAAGAGGATAGCCAGTTTATAGCTATTTAGTTAGTGTTGATGACTTTGGCATAGTATAATTTTATGTTATTACTAATGGTGTTTAATTATTTGGTTTATGATATGAATATTCCAGATTCTTCATAAAATGAGATACTCAATTATGAATATGTGATAGATATGAAGTTATTCCATATTATAGCAAATCTGCCCTATAAGATAATAATTTAAGGGTTCTCCAATTTTGCATTTGAATCAGCAACCACTTGATAATCTGAGATTCTTTGAAGGTCACTATTAAATAGAGTATAATAGATTTGAGTCTTTGAAGTCAGTGATTAACTTGATCCTGTTTTCCATGTCATCACAAAATTATTATTCTTGAGTTTCTTTATGGTAAAGGATTCTATAAAAATAGTGAACTAGAGAGAGAATTAGTTTACTGTAACTTTAACATCCTTGAAATCTAGGTTATAATTGTATAGGGTCATAAAGTAGTTTGTATTAATTTCAATGATAACAATGGAGTCCACATTGAAACAAATTTGTCCATATCTTAATTACCTTTTCATCTCCAAAAGTCTATTAGGACTTGTAACTCTTAAGTAATCTTTGTTTATTTTATATTCGAATACTTCATATTTCATAAAATCTGAGATTCGTGAATAAATAACCTAATATTGGGTATTTTGATAATATAAATATAGAACAAAATCGCTATATGCATTTTGATAATAAGAATCGTAAGGAATAGTGTCGATCGATTTTTCTGCATCAATAATAACCAAATCATAACTAATCGTTATCAATTTAATCAATAAGTATTCTTTCTCTATCATTTCTACCCAATATACTTATATTGAATTATCTTCTCTTACTACAACATTCGATTGTAAAACTTAGGATGTTAAGGATACTAATTTTATTGGATGTGAAAAATCATGTTGAGTTGTGTTTGTAATTAATTGTAGATTGATGTTTAAGAAATAGGAATCTCCTTAAAATGTGACTGATCCTGAATAAACTAAAACATCGCTTTCTCCAATTGTTATACTTGAAGAAAAACTTGGTAATTCATCTAATGGAGTACTTAAAATAGGGTCTTCAGGTAATAGATTAGAAGTGATTGTAGAACATAAACCTGATGGATCAAGTTTAAATCCATCTTTGCATAAGTCACAGAAATTGGGTTTTGAACATTAACTACAATTTGAAAGACATTAAGGTATACAAAGTCCTTCCATTAATTGATATTGATCTGAACATTTAATGCAACTTGTTGATGATGAACAACTTCTACATTTATTTGGACACACTGGACCATCTATCAATTCTTTTAATCCATTGGATCCGAATTTCATCATAAATATACCTTTATTCTCATCTCCTTATGGTTTCAATCCATCCCAAATGATTAAAAATTTATCATTATTCAAAACTGAAATCTATGGATATTCAGGCTGAATTGTTATTACATTAACTTCAATAGATGGGCCTGAAGGAACTCCATTTATATCAAATATCTATGCTCTTAATTTTCTCTATCTCAATGATACTATATCCTGATTTTACCAAACAATTACAAAACCATTTGATGTTGCTGTAATATCTGGATTATCTGCTTTTGAATTCAAATATTCCACTTCCAAAATTTATCCTATTAAGTTAAGATTAGTGTCAAAAAGTGAGTATTTAATCTTATCAGATTCTCTCCAACAAAGGACATATTCTTGTCTTGCATTTGAAGTGATACTAGGTGAAGATACCCAAAATATTTGATGAGTCACACTTGCTAACTCTAAACCTTCGAAATCATAAATGGTTGCAGCTAATTGATTATAACTTCTATAAACAACAACAAAATTGAGTCCATTAGAATTAATAACAATTTCATTGTTGGACTAAGTATCTGTAATTTGATTTTATCTTCTCAATACTCCATCGCTATTAAACAATGATACTAAGATGAAATCTTTGTAGTCTTTGTTATTAACCCATGCAATCACAAATTCGTTATTACTCAACCCTTGAACTACTAATGGTCTATCATAATATGAGTAGTGATCGAGAGACATATAATCAATAAATGTTGGTGTTCCTATTCTATTAAGTTCTTAATCAAATATCTAGAAATAAAGTTCAGATTCAAAACTGATATCTCCATCTGCCCAAACTATAATCACATTATTATTAGGTAATATAGTGACATCAGGCAAAAATTAGGAGTTCTTTGTATTAACATTCACTTGAAGAATCTAATCGACTGGTAATCCTTCTGGACTAATCAATTATGCATAAACTCCAAAACCACTTCCATCCTACAACTTACTCTACCAAACAATAACACAACCACCATTTGAGAAAGAAGCTACTCGAGGTAAATCCTCAGCATAATCGAAGGAGCTATCTAGTTAAGTTTCGATAGGTTATCCAGCAACGCTTACACAATTGAAAGAATCATCAATGTAATAATCTGGTAAACAAATATCACATGATAATGGTTAACTACAACTCTTGCAATTAGCTGAACATATGGGTACACATTATTACTGCTCCAATTTATAATTATCTATGCATCCTTAACAATTACTGATAGCAGTACATGATGAGCAAATAGGCAGACATTAAAATTCTTAGAATTTCAGTCTCTCGCTATTTTAACCAAATCTTGCAATCATTACCTTACCTTTATTAGCATTATTTTCACCTTGCTCCAACCAACTGATTAATAAATTATTGTTTTGTTATTTTATGTAGCTGAATGAACCTTAAATCAAAGAAGTAGGTGCTATCAAACCTTAAAACAAATCTACTTTCATCTAGTAATCATAAACTACTAGTTTATATCTCTTTGAATAATCAAATTACTAGACATATATGTAGCATAATTATGAATAATCAATTCTAATTATTTAAACAATTGATTAAAATTTATCTACCGTTAAGATATCTTCAAAGTTTAATAAATCCAACTAAGTTGTCAGTCTTATCAAACGATTAAATTCTACGATAACAAAGATCTCCTATTAGAATTTATTTATTGATCCATAATTCAAATAAAATGGTATAAAGTCCTTTAGATTTCTTTCATTTGTAATTTACCCTTAGAAATTATATGTTTAAATCCATGGTACTCCATAATTTTCATCAAAAAGCAACACATAAATATCGTTATCTACTATAATATCACTAATTCTAAATTTAAGGCAATTATTTTATTCATCCAAAAACAAATTTTATACTTTCTTATCTTTATTTTTAAACATTACTGATGGTACTTACTGATTGCCTTATAAATCCAAAAGAATTAATTCTGGTGTATTGCAAACAACCAATCGAGGATTTTAAGCAAATTAATCAATAATTGTTTTTTTATCACCAGTTAAATATAAAATTATACCACCATAATAAGTATAGAGTTTTATTTTAGATAATTATAAGTAAAGATATTCTGATTTTAAGATCTCATCTAACTCAATTATAACAGTATTCTATTCAAATTTATCATTAAATAAGACAATTAATTTTTAATCAGAATTTGCTAGCAAAACTACAAGTTGATTTGTTTCCTTATGATATACTGCTTAAAATGCCTCATAATTAGAAAATTATAAGTTCATAACGGATTTAGAATCTATTATAATACTACCATCAGAAGTGAATGTCTGTACAAATAGCTACTTTAAATTCTAATTTATCCATAGATGTATAATTTATCCATAAGCATTTTCAACAATCAATGTAGTTGATTGAACATTTTCTTAAAGTACAAATTCATAATTTTGAGTGGCATCAATCTCTTTACAACCCAAGCCCATTTCATCTAAGTAATATCCATCATTACAAATATTACAGTGATCTGACCAATAAGAGCATGAAGAGCAATTAGGAATTAAACATATTGATTGGCATTAATTACTATTATTTAAAATAAATCCATCAAAGCATGCATCACAAGATTATTCATTTGTACATTTTTTACATGATTATGGACATAATATTGAATTGAATGGTTGGATAACTCCATTTCTATTTAATTTTTGAGCATAAATTGATCTAATTTCATTCCATGTTACTATAATAGATCCATCTTATAATGGTGTGATGTTAGTATTTTATGGGTATTAGGTTTAAAAACTGATAGGTATGAATCCAGATTATTGATTACCTTGTAAATCAAAATATACTACTCTTAAATCAATATTTCTTGAATTTTTTTCATTTACTCCACCAAATGAGATTGCAAAACCATTTGGAATGGCTGCAATATCTGGTTTAAATTCTTTCACATGATCTAGACCAAAATAGTTTTAGGTTATGGATTTAAAATAAGGGTCAATTATGGTATAAACAATTGAATGTCTTTAATAGCTTGGAATTTCTTTGTAATTTGATAATTTTGAATTTGATTGTATTATTTAAACCCAAACCAAAACAACATTTCCATTTTCTATTTTAGTAATTGATGGCTGCAATCCTTAATATGATTCCAATTAATAAACAGTATTATAAGATAAGCCAGAATCATAAACTTGCAAGATTATTCTGTCATATTATTAATAAGCTATGAAAATGAAATCTTTGGTTGAAACGATTGAAGGTTCTTTTTTGAACAAATACTCATAATAATAAGGTGATTATTATCCAGTATTTTATTCCCAGTAATTCAACCACCACCAATAATCCTAATAAAAGACTCCAACATATTAAAACTATAATTCAGTTATATTTTAGTCGAATTTCTTGATGTAGATATCATTGTTTCCAAACAATAATATTACTACTTCATCATTATTCAGGTATTCAACTGTAGCAAATTTCAAGTTTTTCCATTCTTTGGTTTCATCATATACTATATATTCAGTTCCAATTTTTTATAATGTTTTATCATATTTTTATGCTTTGATTTAGGTACTACCACTGACTAAGTCTACCCAAACAATCAGTATTTCATCCAAACTTGAAGTAGAATAATCAAAATATCCTATATTCGCACTTTTCGCTAGAACTGTAAGATCACTATTATTCTCCCCACTTGAAGAATGCAATTAACCATACACAACCATTTAATCTTTCAAAATTTATAGCCTAGCAACCAATATTGTTCCATCACTTAAAGCTTTCACTCTTGGTAAGATGTATTCTATTTCCAAAGACGAGCCTAGTTACTTTTCGACTATAATATTTGGGTCTGATTGCACACATTCTTAATTATCTTTGATTCGATATCCAGATTCGCATTGATTACAAAATTATTATTTAGTTCCAGATTTTTCACAAGATTGACAATGGTCAAAATCACAGATTAATTGACATTATTATTAATCATCAAGGTAATAATTAGAATCACAAAGTAGGCATTATTAATTAGAATTTTTGGAGCTAGTACATCTTAAGCAATTTTAACCACAAATTTCTTCCCAAGTTTTAATTTAGTTACATTTATAATCAAGCTTTTCCAATAGTACAAATAAATTATTATAATACATGCCTTAAATATCTAATCTTATGACAGACAACAGTAAAATATTATTATTAAGGTATTTTTTTATTATTCCTTATTATACTGGATCTCCATTCCACCACCTGTTATTGGAATAAAATTTAATTTCTTTCACTGCTGAGAGTTTTTCCATATTATAATTGAATGGAAATAGTTTTAAAATTCTTTTGTTCTGATAATAATTGGAAATATCTACCTAATAATATAGAACAAATGACCTATCTAATTGAAGGATTTAAGCCTAATTAGAATTCCAACACTATAAGCAACAACCTACACAATCAAGACTCCAATAATTATATAATTGATTTTGAGAAATCACTTAACTCTTTATCAATTAAAACTCTTTATCAAAGTCGAATTTTATGATTCCAGTCGGAAAATAAATAAATATGATATACTCATCTTTGTTAGTTTGATAGATCTGACTTCTCTATTGATTCCACCAAGATTAGAAAATGACACTAACTTACTGATTGGCTTAATTCATATCAATAAACTTAGTTGAAGTAGAATAATCATTTTTATCTACTAGAATAACTTAAATTATGTTAAATCTTGAGTCCCACCAATAATATTGTTAATAATTGTTCGTGACTACTAAATGAGTCTCAGTTTCTAGTACAGAAACCTAATTATTATTTTGTGACCAGTTCCAATAATAATTATCCTTCTAAATTTTATTTAGATTCAAAAGAATATCGATACTTATTTATTAGCCTTTATTATTATAAACTCTGAAAAATATTTTTGGACTGCTAAATTAATACCCATTATTATCACTCATGTAAGTAACAGCAAATCCTCCGTTTGATAAAGATTTTATAGATAATATATTAAAATTATAATAGGGCAAATACCACCAGTAATAATAGTTCCATAATGCAAGTGTGATAATAGGTTAGCTTTGTATTTCCCTACCATTTTAATCATAAATATGCAAATAAATATTATTATTAGAATTAATATTAAAAGATCTGTTAACTATTGCAAAATTACCATTTGATAATGAGGTAATTCTCATAATTGATTCATCTCCATCTCCACAGCAAATTTATTATTCTTCAATTATTACTTCTCCTTAATTATTGATAATCTTAAAATACATTTGTTTATTATCTTAATAATATGTAATTACAATATTTCCATTTTAAAGTGTTATAAAGTCCTAAATTTGATGATTTTTATCTTCATGACCAATTTTATAAAGTACTTGGTTTTCGCTAATAATTATTTTATCACATTATCCTTTCAAGTTCACAAAATATCCATTTTAACATTATGCACATACTCCAGACCTATACCAATCAAAATAGCATTCTATGCAATTTGATGGACATTTAGGTTAACAAATGGATTTTGTAGAATCAAAATAAAATCCTTCATTGCAGGATTCACACAAATTTTATTTACTGCATTAATTACAATTAGTCTAACATATAACATTTGATATTTTTAATATATTTCCATTTGTGTCTAATCTTTTAGCATATAACCCATAGTCAGAGGCATCCCTATCGCTTCTAACATAATAATCTTCCCTTTCGTATACATATTAACTCCAAGTTACAACATATTGATAATTTCCAATATATGAAATTCTAATATTTTCAATTTATCCATTATAATCATTTAGTTACTTTATTTAACTTGTGGATGAAACCAAATAATTATCAAAATATTAAACTTGAATACTCGAAGTATCAAAGTGAATAGTAGTTTTTTTATACTAAAATCCTAAGACAATACCTCCTTCAACCTAGCAAAGAGAAACTTAATTAACATAAGAATCCGGAGTAATAATAACTTAATCACCAACCTCTTAAAGATTCTAATCAAATCTCTATATTGCAACATTATCATATTCTGACCATGCTATAACTAATTAATTTAATTCATTTTTTGTTATGCTGTAATAATCCTTATATTTATCAAATACTCTTCCATTAATTATGTCACCTTCTACACTAATTGTTTTTATCTCCATCAGTCCATTTTTATTCCTCCAAAGGATATAAAGGGTACTATCAATTTAAGTCATTAAAGCTTATGAATTGTAGTAATAGGTTTAACCAATTAATATAGATTTGAATTCCATAAGGTCTTTATCAAATAATTTTAATCTAATATCATAAAAATAGTCGTTAGATGGAAGAAATAGTAGAAGAACAGCTAAATTATTATTTGATAATTGCAAAATTTGATAATCAACCTATTGATAAATTATCTTATTAGTAAATAATAAGTCGTTTGTTACTGAATCGTATAACACAATTTCATTTCCAATTCTTTCAAAAGTAATTGAAAATTTCTACATCAAAATTCTTAAAACATTTGATGGATTACTATCTTTCCAAATTACAATGAATTCATTATTTTATATTGCAGCTACATTTGGATTTTCTTAGACTCCAATGGAATCTTTAGTAATTAAAGTTTCTGCTCCAACTTTTGAAAAAGAAGTGTCAAATAATTGCATATAAATGGAAATACCATTCAAATTAGTATTTCTGCCAGTCCATACGACAATTGAATTTTTATTTGATAAAGTTGCTATTTTTTAATTATATTGAGTTCCATATTGATTTGTATTAATTAATTATTAGGTTAACTCAGGATCTAAGGGTATGCATTCGTGATATTTATTCAATTGATATCCTTAACTACAAATGATTTTATCATTTGTATCACAATAATCTGAATTAGCTGGACAAGTTTTAATACATTTTTATTAATTATAAACATTATATCCATCTTAACATTTTAAACAAGAATGATTGTTATTACATTCTTAACAATATTAAGGACAAACAACCTCTTAAAGTTTCAACTGATTTCCTCTATTATCAGTTCTCATCATGAATATTGTTGATTGTCCCCAATTATTTAATCCAACATCTATAAGAATATTATCCTAATGTTATAGTTATTCAATTTAAAATTAATAATGTTCATAAGCATAGGATTTTATTTAGGAATAAAAAGACAAACTCCAATTATAATAATCATCAAACTTATCAACCATTATCCTTTTTTAAGTTTAGACATAAAATTGTGATGATTTTGAGAAAACTGTAAAAGAATTAGATTCAGTATTGCCAATTAAAATAGGATTTTCTAATTATTCCATGATATAATGTTATATCTTGAAATTACCTGCAACTATATTTAGATTGCTATCAATAAATCCTAACATAATTTGCTTCACATATTCATTATTTTCTAGGATTGATTCACTCCAAGCTAACACAATTTTCCCATTTGTATTTACAACATGCGTTGGAGTATAGATACTATTACCACTGTAATATAATTATGATTTTTATTCTCCAACATCCTTCTCTACTCTTAAGGCTTTCAACTTTGTTTCCTCTTATACATATAATATTATGAAGATTTATGGATTGAAAATTATGATATCCAAGTTGTTAACAGTAGTATTATCTTCGATAATTTATGGATTTTTAATTACTAAAGTATCAATTTCATAAATAGTATAATATCCTTTTGTTTATGAATCTTTATATGCAACATAAGCAATAATTAGTTTATTGTCTTATCTTCTTAAGACAACTGGCTTTTAATCTTATAAACTAGGTAATGTCACAGTGTCTATAGTTATTTCAGTAATTTATTCTTATATATCTTTATTATATATCTAAAGGATTAATCTACATTAGATATTACAATCTCCCTCAAACCATACTACAGCAAATGAATCATTAGCCAATGTTACAGTTTGTGCATATTTCCTATCATTTTAAGAAAATAAGGATATTTCACCTCCTTGTTTTTACCTATTACTATCATAAAATTAAAAATGCAATGTTTAAACTTAATTTATATTATTATTCCACACAACGACAAAACTAGTATCAGAAAAAGCACTTATTGCAACCTTAGTAAGTTTGTAATCTTCTATAGATGCTATGTCATGTTCATCTACCAATGTTTAATCCAATTAACAATAATATCCATTTAAGTAATATCCAGAATAACAGATATCGCAAACATCTCTAAACCTACATTATTAACAACCTGATTAACAAATTACTTGACATTTATTGCCATCAAAATAATAACTATCAGAACATCTTGAACATTATGTGGTTGTCGTGCATGCATCACAATTGGCCATACATGTTATAGAATTGAGTGGTATTGGTTAAAAGTGCTTATTATATTTAACTACATAAATGATATCTTAAGCAGCTTTATCTTGCCAAGTTATAATGACATTTCCATTTTCTAATAATCCAATTTTTGGATTACTAGGTAGGTTACTAGCTGTGGGGATTTACACTGATTAAAATTGCATTCCTTATTTTGTGAATTATTCTAAAAATATATTACTTTAATTCTTATCATAATCATATCCAACCCAAATTACGAATATATTATCTTAAACCGAGGCTACATCAATTTGATCAAAACTAATTGTTTAAGATCTTGTGGTTCTATAAATTAAAGTATCATATTAAAAGAATGCTAAATCAAAGTCTTTCTCATTTTTTATAATCTGCATTTTGGTTTGAGATGATATTACAAAATATTAAGTATCCTAAGCTATTTCATTTATTCTATCTTGGTAAAGGTTGTATTTAATTTAGGCAAACATACTGATTGCTTAATTAAATCCATATGAATTTATTTCAAATCTTTAATATTGTAAATAAATAAAATTTACATCAACCTATATTTTTAAATTTTTTACACCTTGATTATATACAACTTATTCTTTAGAGGTTTCTTCTCTAATATCATTGAATTATTGCATATATATTAATCGTTTTAAAATTATCCTGAATTAATCAGCAGATTCAATGCTTTGATATACAATAAAAATATAATAACTGCTATTTATTTCTATGTCATATTGCAATTCACTTCTAAATGAGTCATTAAAAAGGTTAAACCAAGCCACAGTTCTCCACCCTACAACGAAATTTCCATTTAAATCCAGAATTGCTAATATTATTCCAGTATTTTCCCTTGCAGATAAAATGAAATATTCACCAAAAGTCTTTACTTTAAGTGAATATATTTCATAACTATAAAGTATGTCATTTTTTATTTCAACACCATGAGAATCAAATATCTTATAAAATGGAACTTATCGACCCCTTGATGTCTCATATTCCAACCAAGTTAAAATAATGTTTCCATTTATACCAACAGCAATTTATGGATGGTATTCGCTTCTATTTAAGTGACTTTGTATTTAAAAGTAAGAATTTTATTAAGCTTAAACACATTGTCTATCATTATTTAGTTAATATCCCTCTTGACAGATCTCACAATAATTCTCTATTTCACAATAAGAACACTTGTCTAAACAGATCAATTAGCACTTATTCTGGCTATCCAACTAATAGTTATCCTTACATTAAGTACAAATTAAGTCATTATCACATGATGTACATGTTTCATCACATATTTTAATAAGTCCAATCAATTAATCATCTTTTATAGAAATTTGTTGAATATATACTTGATTAGTTGCAATATTTGCTGTATTCTTAAAAGCTATCATAGAAAAGAATAAATAGTTTAGATTAAAACTTTCTATTTCATAAAATCCAGGTTGAATTGAGTTTTAATTTATTATTTTTTAGTTTTTGATAAGGCCATTTTCTTAATGTAAATAATTTAGTGTTTTAAAATTACCATCTAGTTGATATTCCACATACAGTAATACAAAACTATTAGAATCCAAAGCTTTCAATTAAGGATTTCCAAAATTTTAATTAATCTATGATTAGTACAATACTTCCTCATTCCATCTAAAAACATATATCTAATTATTTAAATCTTAAACAGCTATCAGTATTTAACTTGTTGATGGAACAATTGAAATAGATGGATTTTATAGAAATCTACAATTCCAATAATTCTAATAGTTTTAATAATTCTAATTAATTATATTTCCAAATTAATCCAATATAAATAATACTGAATCGCATTCTCTTGTCAATACAACATAAATTTATCCTAAATTATTTACTACAGCATCAAAAATTTTCTTTCTCTAGAAATAATAAATGCTTCTAGCCGAAACTTCTCCATAAAAGTTTTAATTTATTAATTATCCATTATAATCATAAGTGTATGATATAATTTTTTGATACTAATTATTATTAAAGCCTCCTTATAAGAAGACAGTAAATCCTTGATTTGTTCCTAGTACTTTAATGATACTCTATTCTTGTTTAATGAAGTAGATACTCTCATTTTCATTTAAGTATAATTAAGTTTATTTGATTTATTGTAAATCTGATATTTGAAGTTAGAAATAAGCTATTCCTATTTTATTTGAAACATATTTTAACAAGAATAAATGCAAAACATTGTTTTGATAGAATAAATCAAAATGTACTACGTCTACGCTATCTAATGATTATGATAAAATAGTTTCACCAATAATATTCAAGACTTTAAGTTATAAAAACGAAGAACTTTAGTTCTCTTCTTGATAAATGATAGCAACTTTTCTATTTGGCAGCAAAGTAAATTTTACATTTTATTTAAATGTTGTTTCAGAAAGACTAACTCTTAATTCCCCATTTTATTGGTTATTATTATTCTAGATACATTTCAATACATTTGTTAATAGAAATCCATCTTGACATATTTCACATGAGATTGAATTTGAGCATTTCGAACAATTCTAAATACATTAGGGCTAACAGTCATTGTTCACTAAAGAATAATTCAATTTACATGATGTACATACATCATTTTAACAGGTATCACAATTAATTCCACAATCCTCAATATTTAATTATAAATTTAATTCTGACAAATATAAATTCTATTTGTATTCAGGTATTAAGGTTTCTGGTTATCCGTCTATCCATTATACAAAAATAGAACTTTTACCAGTTCTTTAAATTGCATATCTATAGATATTTAAGTCTTCATAATTAATAACTCTTTATTAAATAAGTTCTAAGTTTATATTTTTTAAATGAACCAAATTAAACTAAACACCTTATCTGCTAGTTCCTACTATAACAAATGAGTCCTCCAACGCTTGCAATTATATATTTTCGTTCTAAAAATAAAAAAAATATTCCCAAGTAGGTAAAGCTGGAGTCGTAGCGTAATAATTGTAATAATATGAATAATTGTTATTGAGAATGTCTGAAAATCTTTGATCATATACATACAAAGTTATCCAATCATAACTGGGTTAAACAACAATAAAATTATTATTAGAAAGGGCTGTAATTGCTGGTTAATAGCTTAATTCAGAATTATTAGTATATTGAAACAATTTAAATGTTCGTTAAATTTATCCAGTATAATTTAAAATTGTGGCTTAATTATTTGGTGTCCCATCAATATGTTATATTAATACAATAACATCAAGTTAATTTATAGCTATAGATACTTCCTTAGAATAGATCAAACTCACATCAGTAGTTCTGCTATTGTCTTAATAATCGAAGATCAAACCATTCCATATTTTTGACTAATTCGGCCCTTTGTACAAAACTAATAATTTTGTTTCTTTGATATATTATAGATAATGGAATTCCGATACGAAATCCCAATGAACTTCCAAATGAATGTCATTTATTTCTTGTTTTTAAGTTATCGGATCCAAATCAAAATTAATTATTTAAACATATAGTCTTGTAATTCCACTTTGCTTTTAAATCCATCCCAGAGCAAATCCAATATTCCCTATTAAAGCCACTTTTGGTCTTATGCATTCTGAATTTGAATCACCAAATTTTAGTTCCTTTCCAACCTTGGTTTCATCTCTCGTATATTTTTATAAAATAAATGATTTATATTCATTTTCATCAACAAGGGATTGCAAAAACAATATTTATTTATTGGGTAAAACAATTGTTTGCATGTTTTACTCCACTTAGGTAGAAAACTAATCAAATTGCCATCTAGTGCTAGATTAACTAGTTTCAGCTAAAATCCTCTGATTCCCTTCTACTAAGCGGCAACCCAATATTAAAAGACAGGCGTAAAATATGAAGCTAACGCGCATTATTATTTAAATTAATAAGAGCTGAAGATATTAAATTTGATTAAATTACTATATCCAGCACCCCCCTATAAAATAAAAAATAAAAAAAATTTGCTTAATAAATACCGAATGTACAATTTAAGTTATTCAATATTGGTGCACATATAAAATATTCTATTTATGAGAAGATGTCCTTTAGAAAAATGAATTAAAGATTTCAATTCCACTCTAAAATTCATTAAATTAATTGTAGTTTAAGTTGAGGTCTAGGATGTTTTAAATTAGAAGTATTATTTACATTATTGATCTTCGATATATGTTATATGATTTTTAAGGCCTTTGATCAATGTGGTGATATATTTCCCAGTTATTATTTTGTTGCACTGATTTTAAGTTCCCATAATTAATAATATAAATAATATTTTAATAAAGTTAACCGAATAGTTAAGGTTATTTTCCAAACACATGTAAAATAAAGCAATGCTTCATTCTCTTTTTGTCTCATTATTCCTTTTAAACTAAGTAACTATGAAAAATTAAAAATTTGTTAAATTTGTTAATAACCCTTAGTTAATAGATATATATATAGAAATATTCATCCATGATATGTTTCTGTCATGCTTACAGGCTGATTATTGATAATATCAATAATGTGTTTCATTCGATCTTAAATCTTCTCTAATGAATCATTCATGCCTTTCATTTTCATTTCAATGGCCTCCTGTATTTCATTACCCTTCTATTAATCATCCATATCTTCCTCAGCGAATCGTGCCCTATTATGATGAATATTTAGGTTACCTTTTAATGGGCATCCAACTTATATCCTTTATATCAATCTTGGATTTGATATAGGATTCATTTCCATTATAATCATTTTCGTCCTTATGCTTCAAATAAGCATAATAGTATATGTAATTCCACATGTAATGCTCTAGTTCTATGTGTTCTTGAAAGCCCATACCACCTCCTTCATCATTTTTTTCAAATTTTTCTCTTGTGATACCACATATGAAGCATTTCATAGTTTAATCTTTGATTCTTTCTTGAAGTTTCTCTCTCAATGATCCAAATGTGTCTACAATAATACCTTATATCATATTGAGCATAATCATAACCAATACAATATTAACAGCATTATCAAATACAAAACGACTAAAGTAATTAGAAGTAAATCGATGGTCAACTCCATCATATTCATTTTATGAGTAGGTTACTCTATCCCAGCCATTTACAACCATATCGTAACTTTGAGTTATCCCAGTGATAGTATCATAATCCATAATTCCTGAACCTAATGCCCCTGTGAACTTGAATGTCAAATCAAAACTCATAAAAATGCATTGCCACATTGTACTACATCCCCTCTCGCAAATGATATGATCGTTGTCTGGTAATATTCTACAACTTGTCCCATCCACAATTGGATAATCATTAAAAAATATGACAAAACCCAGAATTCCAACATAGTATTCAACTACTGCCAATAATAGAAGGGCTAAACCTATTTCCTATCTTGGACCCCAGATTGCATCCAAAACTGTTTTTAATTACTCTAACTTTAAGAAATCCATTAAATGAAATGCGAAAAAGAAAGGATGCACAGTCAATCCTACAATTCCAGCAATTATATAGATAAAATAATACAAAATATCTGGGTCCTATAATAAAATAAATAAACTTTTTATTCCTCTTACACTTAACTACCAAATCATTTTCATTACTGTTTTTGGTTTTTGGTAATCTTCCCATATATGATCCACTTTTAGGGGTGCTCTTTTCACTAAAAAGAAGAACACTATTAATGAACTAAAAACCAACATTGTAATTCCCAATCCTTAAATTAAATGAGGTGTCCATATAAAATCTTTATATTCTAATAACCTTGGATCTTGCAATCTTTCGTACACCAAATCACCCGTTTAACCAGATTGACTTTCATTATAAAATGATTACGAATAACTTAATAACACAATAAGATTAATAACTAATGTTGTTACAAATGCACAATTCTCCCATAATTTTCCAGATGTTGCGAAAAATGCGAAAATTGGATTTTTAGCAAATACTTAATTCAATTTTTCTTCATATTCCATAACCTTTATTAGAAAATTCGCTCTTTCCATCAAGTATGTTAATTTAGTCTTGCTGCTTGTCCTATCAACCTGATCATGAAATTCGAGTCTAGCACTTTTTGGTAAGTTACAAAATGGTAATTTTGGAAAATAAATGGTGTATAGCTTTTAATCTCTGATCATATCAATCGAGCAAGTATTCTATCTGAAAAACTTAATAGCATTTTTTGTTAACTCCTTTTGCTCTAATTTCTCTTACAGCAACTTTTCCTATCTCAATTCCTCTTCTGATTTCTAAGCCAATCCCAATTATCCTATTAGATTCCCTCCCATTTTTGCAATATTCCCTAAGCCTGAAAATATATTTGCTATTGCATTGACTTCCTTCTTATTATTGTTTTCAGAAAACTCATTTAAAACATCATTCATCTCATTATCCTCATATAACAATTATTTGGCTTTTTAGTTTCCTAAAAACTATTGCATCAACAAGAATATATAGAATCCATTTTCTATAATGAATTCTTAATTTACTGCTGGTTCATCATTTGTGATTTCATTTTCAGCTCTTTTGAACATTTCATCTTTGTATACAGCTCCAAATGAGTTCTTGAATATTTTGTACACTCGTGTCAAGTTGTTTGTTAAAACATTTAATGGAATAACCCTTACCAATCTAGCAATATCAGAATTCTAAGGGTCACAACATTCTAATAGTGATACCAAACAATTTAAACATTTAAACTTCAATCTTGCCAATTATCCAGGATGAATGGCTAATCTATATTATTTTTCACCATCATATTTGAAATACTCGTTTGATTATTCAAATATTTTTTCATCTTCTGACAATATCAGTACAACATATTCTAAAAGATTGCTTTTTAATAATGCCTATTGATTTTATTTGCATGGTCCTTGAATGAGTTCTGTCAGTGTTTCGAAACATTACAGAACGCTTTCGTAATTTCCCTTAGAAATTAAAAATGTAGAAAGTAACAATACGATTTACGAAACTAAATCAAAACTATTCTTCTAATTACTTTAAGATCTCATATAATTTTAGAGATCCTAATTGTGGCCTTCACAAAATAATTATATCAATTTTAAGGCTTTACAAACTAATTTATTCTCTTAATAATTTAACTTATGAGCTCTACTCATTGATAATATTTAGATATCAAATACATTTTTGAGTTATTTAAAAAACTTTTCACATTATGTATTTGACAAAAAATACTCATAAGCAGTTTTTTAAACATTTTGATTACCATTTTTTAGTAGCAATATCATGAATGACATAATAGTCCCCATGTAAACTGGTTCTAATTCAGATTCACATAATAACACTATTAATATTTAAGTTACATTCATTCTGTTAAATAATACTTGTCTTTCATACAATTCGTTCTCTGTATCCTTTAATATGGCTGATAAAACTTTGAGTATAAATATGATATTCTCTCTACTTGCTCCATTTGTTTTCCAAAATTCCAAATATGTCAAAATTTTAACAATAATATCTGAGTTTGTCAATAACAGATCCTTTACTTCTTATTTTCTATCATCTTTAAACATATTCTGTATTGTCCAAATTGAATTTGATAACTTTAAGGATTCCTTTTTAACTAAATCTTTAACAAATTCTTATCCAAAATACTTTTTACGAAATTAACTTATTGCTGAGTTTTCTTGAGTTATTTGATAATTAGTTAACATATCAGCTGTCTTTTCGTCCTAAGAGATGTTAGGATCTGCCTAGAAGAATTTAATAGGAATTTGAATATTGAAGCTTTAACCTAAATCTGAGATGGTTTTTAATCGTTATTTATTGTTAGTTAATTCAGCTGGTGCTAGAAAGAACATTTTATCGAGATTTTCCAAAAAGAATGACACAAATTCACTTATTTAATGTTAATCTTTTTCAGATGACAGTAGAGCATTTTGTAACAGTTCGTTATATCTATTTACAACAGGTAATAAGGAATCAAACAAGTAATTCAAATTTTAAGGTATAAATTAATCCTTTTGTTTGATGACTTTATGTTCATCCGTAAGTATTTTATTTAGAGTTTCTGAATTATAAGGAAACATAAGTTCATCAAGTGTTTCAGGCTTATGAAATACCATTGTTTTGATAATGTTCCAATAGTCACTCTGCAATTGTATGTCATCAGGATGAGGCTTTTCTTTTTATTTTATACATCCCAATATTCTTTAGGTCACTATTAATGTTTGTTCTAAAAGATCTTGTAATTTTAAAAATTCAATTGCTTGACTGATTAATGAGGCTCTTATCTTTTTAGCCAGACATTTTGACACTATATTTATGAAGAATAATTAATATTTAGCCTTATTGGGAGTATAGTCGAAAAAGTCAGTCATTTTACGAGACTCTTAAAATGGATATAATGGGTTTTCGTACTCTGAATCAGGTGATAAACTCATAGGTTCAGTTAATTTTTCAATTATAATTTCAAACATATCAACTGACTTTTTGGAATATATTTCTGTTACTTTAATAATTTCTAAATAAAATTACAGAAACTCAGGGTATCTTCCATGTTGTTTTATTAATGCTATAAAATAATCATATTCTTATTAACCAAGTTATCCATATAAGGTTGGCTTTTTCTCAAATAATGAGCATATTAAACTTATTTAACCAATATTCTGATTACTGTTCTGAATTATTTTCTTAACAACTTTTCTATACACAGTTAAAGCATTCCTTTCATTATCTTTGGCAAAATAAGCCATAATATTCATTGTATGTTTCAGTAATATAATTAAATCAGGAGGGAAAGACTTCTAATCAATAACAGTTAATGCTTTATTTATCAACTCTATTAATACTTCGTAACCACCTATATGTTCGAATATTTATTATTTTAATTTTAGAGAAACACTTTCAGTTTACTAAAATATACTATCTATTTTCCATAAACATTGCAGTGTTTAATGCATAATTCTATTGTTCTCGGTTATCCAAGTCTAACTTCGTTGGACATTGTTCTTCAAAATTTAAGTCATTTAAACCCATACATCAAACAATTATTGAGATTCATTGGTATCTAAAATCTATATATTCTCAAAATGTTATAAGAATTCTTTCTTTTATCTAGCAAACCTTTAAATTAACTCAACAATCTGGTTCTCTAATTAAGGATTCCTTGAAAAATACAAGGAGATTAGCAATACTTCTATAAATGGTCTTCTTAAGACTTCATCAAAGGTTTTTAAAACTGGAGCTGATGTTCTATTTAATCTCCTATCACTTTCTGGTTTATCAATCCATTATTCCCCTGACATCAATATCTCTTCTGGAAATAATTTAATTAAGTCCTCCTCTTTAACTTCATCATTTAATTATTTATTTTACTACAGAGACTTATAAAACTCTATTGCATTATCAATCCAATAATCCTAAGAGACATCCATTAAATAAGAGAAAATCTAACATATCTATATCTTTATTAACACTTAATAGTCTTCTTCTTTGTTTTCTCTTAGCGTAAAGGTTTTATTATTGTATCTTTGTAAAACCTTTGTAAGATTTTTCATTTTCTTAAATAAAGAATCATTCACAACTTCTGTATCTTATTATTTAACTTATCTAAAATTCTGATTAGATTATAATTATTCATCCTTGTCCTTGGTTTCTTTTTCAAATACTTGACTAATACCTGAAATGTTAAATTTCATAAAGCCTTTGTCTTTTTCATTTTCTGCTTGCCAATTTCTCTTGATTTTAGCATTTGCAAGACACTTAAAGTACTAATGATCATATTCTAAAATCTTTGCTAAGACAGTAATTAATCTATCAATTTCCTTTAATCCCATTCCATTTTCAGATATTTTATTAAAAAGTGAAGCGCCTCTTTTATTTGAGTTCTTTTTTTGTATGGGACCTTCAACATCTCTTTTCCAAAACAACTCAAATTTAAGCATTAATTCTAATATCTTAATAATTTCTAAGGTCTCTAAGTTATAAACAGTTTCTTCTCCCAAATTTAAATCTAATTTTTCCGATTACACTTCCAAATAAATGAGCATCTTAAGTTTCAACTTCTATATATCAAACCCTCCTTTTTCGTGTTTCTGACTAGATACTTCATCAAATAAAAATAAAGTTTTTTGAGTAGATTTTTCTTCTAAAATCCTGACCAATTCAGGCTTAGGTGTTGTTGTATAAGGTTCTCTATCAATATATAAGGTTCTTATCATTCTAAAGAAGTATGCTCGAACTTATTTATTAACAAAATGATACTCTCCATTAAAACTATCTTCTTAATCATTTTTTTATTCAGCATATGACAATAAAATAGAGTAAGTAAATGTTTTAGATATCAGTTCTCTTGCTGCTGTATTTCTATGAAAACATATATTTGAAAAAAAAGCCAGTTATTCAATTAAAAAATTGTATTACACTACATATAAATGATCCACTTCCTTGAATTATTGATAGTCGTTTAAAAACTCATTCAACATTCTTGTTACATAGGTCTTATTTGAAGTTCGATAAGTAATGTAGAATTCCTTATAATTCCCTTCACTTTCTTGAATAGGTTCTAAATGCATATATATTTTCTCTTCTCCTTAATCATTTTTAACCTTTTAATTCAACAATTAAATACTATTTAGCAAGTATTCTTAATTATTAAAAACAGGTTCGCCATTAGCCTCACAAGTTTCTGATAGAAAATGCATTAAATCTGGTAAAAGTTGATCACTTTTAGATAAAACATCCAAAAGCCTGGATAAAATGGTACTTTGGCTTTTTTAATTTTTTTAATCTGCAGTGTTTACATTCATTGTGGATTTCATATCATTAGCTATTTCCTATTTATTCAGCTAACTTAATATTTGATAATTGTTTGTTATGCATTAACATATAGTTGTACAAATATAATCATGGGTAATTTACTTTTCAAAATGTTTAAAATATTTCATTAAAATCTCCTAATTCTATTGATTATTATGACATGCAATTTTAATGGTTTGAAATAACTTTAGTTATAATAATCTTTTTCTTTTCCTGTGATTTTCTTCCAACTGTTCTTTTAACTTTTACACTTTCTTTTCATATGCTGCATCATTGGTTTTATCCAATTATTATTAAATCATATTTTAAACTCTCAAAATGATTGAGTGCTCACCATATAGATCACAAATTAGATTTTGCTCTGTTCCTTCTACTTTTTCATCAGGGTTAGGGAATGTTTTACATATGAGCCATATCAATAAAGGTAATATGTTTTCATCTCTTAGAATGTCCTATCTATTTTATGAAACAAAGGAGAAGTCTTATGTTGTTTAAATGTTACTCACTAACTTGTTATACATAAATTGATTTAAGATTTCAAGTAAAGAATTCAGCTTTTCAAAGAGATAATAAAATTCAATTCTCTCTTAGACTTCGCTTTTTTTCATGCAAGCAATACTTGTAAGAGGTTATACTATTTCAAAGTAAGAGATAGCCTCTTTTAAAATAGGTACTAAAAACACTAAGAATCTCTTTTCCCAGATGTCCTCGTAGTCAGTTTTCCTGAACTTAATACAATTGATTAAATCAATATCTTATGTTATACACACAGATCCATAAGGAATATCAGGTTCATTTCTTAAATTTAAATAGCTTCCAGTCAAAAAATGTTTAATTAAGAAATAAGATTCTTTATCAACAAATTTTGAATTTTTTTTAACGGGCACAAATTAGAATAATGTATTCTTTGTCACTTGTTCTGTAAGTTTGACCTACCTCATGATATTGACATCCAAATATTAGCCAGTTTAAAAATGTCTAATACGATAGCACTTATCCCATTTGACTTCTCCTCCACTAAAATTTTCTGATTCTATCCTCCAATAAGCACTAAAGGGAATAGTAATTTTGTCTTATTTGTTGCCAACAAAATTGCTAAAAAATAGCTTAAGTTCTGAGTACAAGGCCTTATCAATTTCTCTGATGTTTTTTGATGCCTAGATAACTTAAGATGACCGAGATTGCATCGATCTCTACTTTTCATAAATGTGACTATTTTATGAATCTGATTTATAGTTTTTTGATTCATTTCTTCCGACTTCTTCACTCACTTACCTTGAAATGGCTGGTTACTACTATCCTGGAAAGAGAGTCTGCTATTTGGTATAAGTGAATTTATCTTAAATGACATTACTTATATCATCTACCGTATTGCGGTCTAAAATTTCTTTGACTTTTTCTTGGATGTCTTAGGTTTTCTTTGCAGTTAAGTATAACTAGCCATTATAAATTTGTTACATTGAGTTCTGGTAAATGAAATATAGCCACATCTCCTACGAATAAGGCTTCCTCATTATCTTATTGAGTCTAAAATATTTTGATTCTCCATTATGTTTAATCTTCGACTGATGCAATCACCTTTGCTCTACAAACTTCATCCTCGTATTTCTGGGGTTCGTCTTGCAATTCGTAATAGTTCAATCCCCAATAATCAGTGAAGAGGTTTGCCGTTCTATTACATACTTGCTTATTTGCAGATATACAGACTACATCACCACTGTATACCTAGTTGGTTCTTAATTTTTGAAAATTTAAACAGGGGTTGAATTTTAATAATGTATTGTTGTTTGGAAAGTCAATCAATTTAAATTATAATGCTTCCAAATTTTGATCATCCAATGCTAGAAATTTCAATGAAGAAACATGAACTAAGTGAAATATTGATGAACTAAAAACTAAAGGAGTGCCTGCTAACTTCTTTGTAAGTGAAATATTCGAGGTTAGTTCATTCTCTAAATTATGCAAGATAGTTTAAATTTTATGTTTTCTTTGGCTTTAGTCAAACTTTTCTAATTCGTTAAAACTCGAATCTTTAAATTAACATAAAAGATCATCTTGCGCCTTGTAATTTAAAACAGGGAGTATTCTGAAAACACAATTCTAATAATCTTGATCTAGGTCACCTCTTAATTGGTGAAATGATCTCAAGTTAAAATTCTGTGTGCTGAATCCATTTGAATATAATGATAAGTTTGGAAAGGCACTCATGTTAAGTACAATTAAGGATGAATAAGTAATAGGTTCAGGATTCATAAATTTAATTATTATATAACTAAAGTTAATTAATAAAACACTAAAAGTATTTTTAAGTCATTTTCCAATTTCGAATACAAAATCATAAAGACCATGATTTATTTACCCAAAAGTAAAATTTATAGATCAAAGTTATAAAAGCAGTTCTCATTTTAAATATATTTCAATAAATTAAGAATATATATGATAATGATTAGATTTCATTTAATTAAATTATATATATGATTATATTCAGGGCTAGTTTTGCATTTGCAAGGAGAGTTAAATAACTAAGAACTTCCTTAATCAACAATTCAAAAAAAAATGATGATGAAAATATTTCAGGTGAATCAATTGAATCTAAGGAGAAAGAGGAGAAAGTGAATATACCTGAGAATTAAGATAATTTGGAAAACAATCAGAAAAAGGTTTTTGAGAAAAAATTCATAAAATCTCCCGAATATTTAATGGCATGTAATCATCAACCAGCTCTTTCTTTACCAGAGGAGATCTTAAAAAAGGCTAGAAAAGTATTTTCAAAATATCCTCCTGATGAATTAAGAGAAGCTTCTTATAAATATATGAGAATGTATTAATTATTGCATGCACTTGAGAAACCAGTATCTGTCACAATAAAAAGGAACAATTTATTCGAGAATCCAGAAAATTTATAAAAATTAACAGAGAAAAAAGTTATCCATTTATATAAAAAAGGAACAAGTGAATAATAAATTTTGGATAAGATATTCGAAAGAAGATAGAAGAAGGATGTAAATGTGGATAGAGTAAATAGTGCTGAAGAAAAACTAGAAGAATTTCATAACTTTGCATCTGCCATAGATTATGACTAAATTTTAACAGTATCATACTTCTTAAGAAAAGTTCCTGGATCTTTTGCAGTTGGTTAAAAAATAATGACTGAAATATAAAAGAGAAATCCAAATTTTAATCCAAAATCTATGCTTGATTATGGAAGTGGAATAGGAACATGGGCATGGAGTTTCAAGAAATTGTATCCTGATGTTAAAAACATAGTTTGTGTTGAACCAAATGTATATATGAGAAAACTAGGAAAATTTGTTACTTAAGATTATATTAAGGATGTTAAATTTTATGAAAGCTTGTCACATACATTGGAACTAAGCTACGATTATTTTGATTTTATAAGCATAGCATATGTATTAGAAGAGATTAATCATCCTGAGGCAAGATTATTAGCATTGTAATCCTTATGGGCTAAATTATCAGATGATGGAGTCATGGTTCTAGTATGTCCTGGATCACCAACAGGATTCCGTTTTGTAAATGATTTCAGAGAATGGATATTGAAGTAAAAAGGTGTTGTTGTTGCTCCCTGTTAGCATTAATAATCATGTCCAATGGCTAAAGAAGGATTTTAATGGTGTCATTTTAAGTAGATGTTTACTGCTTGGCCAAAGGATGGTAATTTTAATTGTATAATTAAGAGTATTCCCAAAGTACATCTATGAAAATACTGCTGTGACAGAGAAATTCTCATATTTGGCAGTATCCAAGAAAGCTTTGGTTTAAGAGGGACAAGATTGGCCAAGAATTACATTCGATCCATTAAAAAGAGGAAAGCATCTCATTCTTGATATGTGTACAGAGTAGGGAACATTGGAGAGGTATCAATATATATATATAAATAAACTAGACGTGTGGTTGCCAAATCTCATGGCAAAGAAGGTGGGTATTATGAAGCCAAACACTTAAATGGAGGAGATCTCTGGAGATTCCCCAAATTACCTCCATCAAAGGTCGGAAAAAAGAGGAGAAAATAACCAGTTAAAATTCTTTGAAGCATTTGTATGTAGATCTGTATAATAATATTATTAAACTGTTTATTTTTTATAATGAATACAAGATCACATCATGGCTCTTAAGGATTCTATTGAACCCAAAACCATTGCTAAAATTGCTACTATTAAAACAAACGTATAAGTTGCTTTAGGTTAAGGCTCAGATGTTTTCTTGAAGTGAATCATATGGGCCAATACAGGGAAGCAGAACTTATATATCAATCTATCATACTTATAATAGTGATCCAAAAATACTTCCCATGAAATTCAAAAAGTGAGACAAATGTGGAACATAGTAAGCTATTAAATATATGCACATCATTGCCAAAGTTCTTATCGCAATTTGTATTTTTGTATCTGCAAACATTGAATCTTCTCTATTATTTTCAATTTAATTATTTTCAAATTCATTAATTTAGGGTTATTATGGAACTTCCTAATAGGATTACTTCTCTAAAATCATTCTCTCAATTATTTACACCGCTGGAAACAATTATAAAGGATATGTTAATAATAAACTGATAGAATAGAACACCACTGAAATGAATTATAGATAAGGATTCTCTATTTATAATGGGAATTACTTCTAAATTAAAAATAAGGATGGGTTTTATGTCTGATTAATATGTTGGAACAGCAATCAAAGCTATGAAAATGGAGATTCCAAATGCAGTAATCATACTGTTAATTGCAACCATTTTGAAGTCTAGCTTATTGACCATGCTGTCTCGGATTGGTAGTATGGTTAATATGCCTTCGCAACAGAGAATGGCCACTCCAACGTAATGAAAAGAGCCTTTTCTTATAAAAACTATTGACTTACTTCTAATATTGATGGCATTCTCAAAACTGTACAATCCTTTAGAGAACCTTATGGAGCAATCATAGAGCACCACTATGAAACCCATTATGGCAGCATAGAATCCGTATTTGCTTGTTAAATGAAAGAAGTGGATGTTCTTTATATAAGATAAAGGGAAGATAATGAGCAATGTCATACATAATGATTGCCACTTCTCAAATTCAATTCCAATCGATAATAGAGATTGTGTTACAGATTCAGTCAAAAATATTAAATAGGCTATGCATATGCCAACCAATTGTAATACAATTGCTATGTCCAAAGAGAACGCCCACTTTAGGCCCAAAGTGATACGGATAACATCGGCATATAAAATTTTATCCACTGCCAAATGATCAGCAACTCCAATCAATAAAATACTTGATCTAAAATTATTAAGATATATATCACTAAACACAACTAAAGGCAACTGGCAAAAATAAAAATATTGACCAAAACCATCCCACAGAATAAGTTACAAAAGGTAATACAATAGCTCCTGCATATGTTGTTTTATAATCATATACCAATTCCTAAATTAGATTTCACAAAGTTAAAATAAGCTTATATTGGAGTTGATTTATGTCTATCAGACTTTTTAGAATTAGCACTCAGTTCTTCAAATTCTCTATTCTCCATTATTCGTTTTTATATTATTAAATAATATTACTTTATTTATTTTGTAAAATAAAAAGTTTCAATATAGTTTCATAAATACAAATATGTCACATCCATTTCAATCAAATCTATAAGTTAACTGTTGTCAATTTAACATATAAAAATTTATCTTGCCTTAAGAAGGATAAGGAAAACAATCATCAGTTTAGATAAACCAATTGATTATGTACAAGACTAAATAATACGCTATTGACGTTTCTAAGATTGAACCTCAAAGTTTAATGTTCAACATGCTTACTTATCATATGGATTTCCATAAGCTAAAGTTCATTTGAATTCTTAATGCTGGTTTGCAGTTTAGTTCTTGCATATTAGAAATTTATGATAGCAGAATAAGGTAAAGTTAAGTATTCTAATTGGACCTAAAGTAACGACCATCCTTAAACACGCATAGTGATTAGAAAATAGAGAGTTTAACTCTTTCTCAAATAAAATGAGTATTTAAAGAAAGTAAAAAAATTGAAAAATCTTACATTGAGTTGTTTAAGGTATCTATAGCTTTTCAATGGCATCTTCATGTTAATAAAACCAACTAGACTTGTATCAAAAAGTAAGAACAAAAATAAGAAATTTTTACTTTGATTTATCCATTTCAACCCAATTATGAATTCTCATAAATCACTATACCGAATTGGTATATCCATATTTAATAGTTTTAGATGATAATCCATAAGTCTACTCTAATAATTAAAAGTATAAATAATATAATAATATATTAAATTAATTTTCAGAATCTTTTGCTATTTTGAAATGGCGTGATAATGTAAGTAAATTATTGATATGAAGATATGGATGATTCCGGTTCGATCATATCTTGTTCAATATTATCATAGTCTTTTTCTCTTGGTTTAATTTTCTTGATGAATTTCATCTTCTACAAGCATTCGTAATTAATAATATTTGGGATGTTTGACTTTGTTAAGATCTTCTCGCATCTTCCTGAACTCGTATTAATCCAATAATAAATTTAGTCATTCAACTAAAATATTGATTCTGCATAATTAGCAATATCATAAATAAGATTATTGCTCAATCGTTGTCTCAATTCATTAATGGTTGTTAAATCTTTTGCGAGCAGTTCTTAATGCAACAAAGGATTCTGACAAACAAGTTGCATTTTTTCAATATGAAATGAAATTTTGGAGGCCTCATTTTTTGATTGATCTTTAATAACGTTAATTAATTCTTTGATAATTTTGGCTTTAATAAGTTTAATTTATACATTTTTAATCTGAAGGAATTCCTTTGAATTGAAATTCACTTAAATTTAGATTCAGACTATTTCTTAAGTATTATTGCATTTCCACTTTTGAATATTTCATTTTAAACTATATCACTTGTAGGTAATCTTTATATTTTAATCTTTCGGACAAGGGAAGCATATCACTCAATAAAGCATATTTGAGTTTTTGAAGAGCAATTTCATAGTTGTGATTTCTCAATAGTTTTTATATTTCAGGCATATGATCTGCAAAATCTGTAGTATCTAAAGTGGACATGTTTTATTTTTCTAACTGCATTCTTGTAATTTCTTTATTGGCTAATCTTTAAAATATAGGGGCTGATTCGCTTGCGATATCCTTTATCGAGCTTTCACTAGCTATTCTTAAAGAGTTGTCGTCCAGATCAAAATTATCATCATCATTTTCAATTAATTTTTAGGCAATATTCATATGTTTCTTATTCATGTTTTTTTCAATTTAATTTTTCATTTGATATACATTTTTTTCTGTCTATGACACTGAAACGGTTTCATGCAATACATTTCTAATGATCTATCTTTTTTCCAATTTCCTCATATTCTTTAACATAGTTAAACTTTGTATTGCCAAATTTCTTGGTAATCTATTACACTTACTTACTTAAAATAAGTCTATATTAATCTTTTATATATATTCTAAATACCTGACTGAGCAATTCCAATATTTCAATATTACCAACACTTGCAGCTACATGGCTCAAAGACCATTCACTTATACCAGATTTTTTCTCGAAATCAAATAGTTACTGATGCGATCTTAAATGATATAATTTCTTATTGTATTCAACTGCATATTAAATTGCACTAATTTAAGCTTTCCTGACAGCCAAATCCAAAGGAGTCCAACCTTCATTGTTTTCGCTGTTTGGATCAGCATCTAATAATAAGAGGAGATTGGCCATTTCTTTGGCATCTGGATTCTTGGAATAATTCATGAACAATTGGTGTAGAGGTGTATTGCCATCAATGTTTCTAAAATTAATTAAATTCAAATCAGTATGTTATGTTATCGAATTATCTTCTTCATTGAGATTTAAAATCATTTTGAAAAAGGCTAAATCTACTCTTTAACAAATAACATGAATTGTTTAAGGAGCAAATTTACCACCCAGACTTCTTAATACTTTGACTGATCTTTATTAAAGTGTATTATTACCTCGTTTTACCTTCAATGTAACAAGCACTCAAAGGAGTATTTTGATCAAAATCTAAACTATTAATATGTTCTGGTATTATTTAAGTTAAACTATGAAGAATACCAATTTCATTAGAGGATCCTGCCTAAAAAAATAGATTTCTGTATCTAGAAAATAGTATTTATTGTACTTATAATCAGTCTGAGAGAAGTTAGGCTCAGAAAGACTCAACAATTTAACAAAACTTTAGAAATTAAGGCTTGTAGTTTGTAAAATAGATATCAACTTATCCTTTATATGCTGGTACTTCTCAAAGTTAATCTTCATTGGCAATGCTGGTTTGCAATACTTAAACCAATCGAATTCAAAATATTGCATCCCATAAAGTACTTTATGAAATCCCTTGGGTATTAAGGTAAAACAATTCATCTAGATGCATAAATGTTCCAAGTTAGGAAAATACAGTTACTCTATATAATTATTTGATAAGTTCAGATATTTAAGTTCTGGAGGATTGACATTAAAGACCTTGATTAGATTGTCTTGCATGTCTAGATATTCTAAGTATTTCAAGGTTTGCAAAAATATTGGTAAGACATTAATTTAATTGCTGCTCAAGATCAACTTTTGCAAATTTGTCATGCGCCTATAAATATTAAGAAATAAACAAAAATTACATTATCTAAGGTGGTACAGTTGTTAATTAGTTTTAGGATAAGTTCAATAACTTTATGTTGACAAAATTTTATTGTAATTTAGGGATTTATCTGAGTTGTTAACAGGGCAATTCTAATTTCTCCTCAGTATAGAGTGAATCCTAAATCTATAATATTTTTAGTAAATACTGTTTCATATGGTTATTTTTATTTGTGTTGATTATTTTTACCATTAACATTTAAGTTAGTTTCTCCATTTTAATCCTTTGCTTCTTAAAAACTAAAAAATGGCTTTTCTTTTAATTGATGAATACTAAGATTTCCATCATGTTCATCTTGAATGACATAGGAATCGAAAGAAGAATAACTTAGTACTGATGGTTTCTGTTCACATTATCTATTATCCATTATATTAATTATTCACTAAAAAAATTAAATTATCATAATATCAATCAGAATTATCGTTAAATTCTTTATCAATATGGTAATCCTAGCCATTCATAATTGAGAATTCATTAAAAATTTCTTAATTATTTTCTTAATCGGACTGTTAATTTTAAATTCCTAAATTTTATTCATCATTTTGTAAATTTTAGAGTTAAATCTATTAAATTGCTTTTTATTTCTCCTTTTGCTTTTTGAACTTTAAGTCTTATTTTTTACTCTTGATTGGACGATTTGAAATGAAATTTAGTGGGTCCCGAGCTCCAGCTAAATAATGCTCTATAAATATAATGTATATATCTGGATCTTCAATCCTATTAGAATTAATTAAATCCAATAGTAAAACATTCTCAACATAAAATTGAAACCATTAATTTGTTTGATGACAATCAAAGATATCTCTAAAATCTTGAATAGTGTAATCAGCTGATTTGGCAGTCTTCTTTTTATTAATAAAATTGCTCAATTCTTTCTGCATAGGATTCTTTGAAAAATACTCTTGATTATCTTTTTTTTAATCTTCCATAAACTTTTTGAAGTTATTTCCAAATGTCTTTGGAATGTTCTTAGTGTTAGGCTCTTAATTCATCAAAGTCTTATATCTTTCTACTTAAACTTAAGTGTTTAATTTTGGATTCTAAGTATGAAAGTGATATTATTATTAATATTCTTATTCGTTTTCTAAATGGTAACAATCCTCCTCATAATCCACTCCATCCTAAAATTATTAAACAGATTCTTCACTTTTTTCATTATTGAAATTTAGCATTTAAAAATAACAAATAAAAAAAAAATTAATTACACTTTTTAATTAAACCTTAAATTTATTAAAATGGAATTCAATCACAATTTTTAAGCAAGTCTTTCAAAGAATATGTATTATGATTAAGATGAATAGCAAGCTCTTTTAGAAGAATTGATATTGATATTGATCCAAAAATGGACGATGCAGCTTTAGGACATTACTCTTTAAATAATTTGACTTAGTTACTTAATTTGTTTAGTTGACATAGTTTGATTAATATTTGTTATTGGATTGATTTATCAAGCAGCTTTAATATTTTCAACAGGAATTTTAGACAACTCAAAATAGCTCCTTATAGATTAAGATGAGAAGAAGATTGAGATTTTATGTCTTTATATGAATATATATATTCATGATTATTAGATTGATGGTAAAATAAAAATGAATAGGGTAATAAATTAAATTCACTTAAAAATGTTACAAAAGAGAAAATAGGAAAGGTATTTTTGGACCAGCTTAAAAAAAATGAATTCGGCTATATATATAAATATCAAAATATCATTATCTAAGTATATTGAGCATCATCTAATATGTTTTTGCACTAATTGGCTTATATTAGTAATTTGGAGGAGCATTTTTTGGAAGAATAGTTTTGCAGAATTTTCTAAATTTCATTTCTGGAGTAGCCTTAGGTTGCTAATAAAATAAATCAATCAAATTGAAGTCGCTTTATTAAATCAATTATTATTTTTAAACTTCTAAATCTGGTTAAGAAAGGTCTGCTTTCACAGGGGTTTTGTAAATGAATTATTTTGATCTCACATTAGTAAATGAATTCTAAGGTTTTGGGGAGTTATCAATTCTTCGATATTTCTTAGGAGTGCTATAAAATGCTCTTTCCCTATCCTTTAAAATCTAGGAGGGATGAAAAGGCTTAATGACATAATTAAATTCCACAATGGATATTTTATTATCTTCATCCCTGTCTGAAGCATGAAAGAATGCACTAATATCCTGCTTATCATATTGAATGTAATTGCTTTTAAAATAATTTTCTAAACTATGATAAATAAATAAAATCTATAAATACTGTTGGGCAGTAAAATATCCAAGTTAGTAATGATCTATCATTTAGAATGCTTATTAGACTGATTCTTTGCATAAATCTTTGATAATTTTGAGATGTTTAAAATTAGACAATTCCTAATGGAGTATTTTGAACAAACCCCATTCAACTTCATTTGGTAAAGTTTTATTTGCTAATACAAAGTATGAATCTCTGGCAGCAGCTGTTTCTTTAAGAAGAAGATCAGTTTTTGGTAGTATCTGTTTAGCAAAGCTTTATGATAAGTACAAATATACTCTGTGTAGGTTACTCTTCCATCTCTGTTGAAGTCCAAATATTATAGTAAATAGGATGCTTCTAAACTTGTTAGACTGCAGTTGTTATCAAGCATAAAATCAATGATATCTTGATAAGAGATTTCTCCACATCTACTTTTGTCCATTCTTTTGAATGCTCTAACTTGATAAAACAATTTACCAGCATAAGGTTCAAATTGAGATAATTAGGAAAGTAATTTTCTGACTGTTTCTGTTCTTCTTTCACATTCGCAGATTTCAATAATAAGTTCTGTTAACATTTATTAATAAAATAATAAGACTTAATATTAATATTTTATTATTAAATCAGCAATTATCTGGTCTTTTATAGTCAGGAGCTATACTTGGACATCTCTCATTCATACGTTCATATGGATCTATTGTATTATAACCTTCCAACTCCATTCTATGAGTTCCCATGATTTAACAATAAGGCAAATCAGGATCATTGAGTTTGCATTTTTTAGGAACATTATAATTTTTATCAAAGAAGTTCAACTAATAAACATCTTTGGGTGTAAATCTATATAGATATAATGAATAGTTACTCTGTTGCTTAAATATGATATTCTCCAAATAAGCCAGCTGCTTTATACAATCCAATAACAAATGAAGAACATACTTAACTTGGTCCATCACTGTAAATCCATTCATCCTTCTCAACCATGGCATATAATTCAGCCTTAATTTATATATAAGAGTATTACAATTTCAATTCCTCTCTTAGCTGCCTCAATTGTGATATCTGGGATTGTCAAACCTTCAGTTCCTAATCTCTTATTTAATGCTTCACCAACCATTTTAGTTGAAATACTAGGAGCAAACTTCTCTATGAATGAGAATATGTAAGTAGCTAATTCAGCACTCAAAAAACTGGGATAATTATCTTTTGGTGTATCTATCCATCCAAATATAAAATTGTGATAACCATATGGTTACCCTTCCATAAATTTCCAGAATTTAAGAGCACCCTCTTAATCCCATTAAGCTCTCTTCTCTGGACTTAATGGCAATATGGCTACATTGAATCCTGCATTCTTAGCATAGACTTTCCAATCTTCCCATCTGTTCTTTTGAATATTCTTCTTAGGCCAATACCAAGCATCTTATGATTCTACGACCCATTTAACACCATCTATTTCAAAGATAACAGCACTATGTCCTGATCTACTTCCTGTTCCCCATTCTATAATTTAATCTAATCCATCAAATCTAGTAATAGCCAAAAAGTCTCCTTAATGAATCTCTGCTTCTAACCATTCTATTTCAACATTGGGTCTCTCCTTCCATCTATATCCTGTAGCTTTCTCAATAAATTCTATATTTGATCTAATCATCCATTCTGGTGGATAACTACCGAAGACTGGACCCAAATATGGATTAGCTGAAAATCCTCCAAAAAATAATTCAATTGTGGTTAACAAATCTCCGATCCAATAATCAAAATGATTACAGGTTCTGAAGATGTAAGCTCCCGCCAATTTAAATGCTTCCTTTTGCTTTTCATTTTTAAAATGGAAGAAAACCTTATGGTCATGTCCTAAATACATTTTTTTGTAATATATTACCATTCTTAATTTTTACAATATTGTAATTCAAAGTTGTTCCAATCATGTAAAATTCTGAGCATTATTTTCCGTTTTTAAATTATCCTGGCTCGAAGGTCACCTAAACTCGATTTTCAGCATCATTATATTCGTAACTCACTCTCACTAAAGCGTAGCAATCATCATCAAATTATTTAAGTTCTATATAGTTTAGTTCATGGTTTAGTCTTCCAACTCTTTGGAATGACATACCGAAAAAATCGTGGCTGCCACCCTTTTGACAAGTTAAAAGTTGTGTTTGGTCTTGATTATATCAAAGCTTACTTAAACTCAATAAATTGTTCATCAATTTTTCATACTTTTCCTTTGGGTCCTCCTCCTCATAATAATGAATATTATATATTGTCTCATTATGTCCTTCCTCCACAACCTAAGTGCCCTGCAGTCTATCAATTACTGTTCTTTGTTGGCATAGGCTTACACCAAGAATCAATCCAATAATAAAGATTTTATTCATATTATTATTACGTCATTGACTTCACTGTTATCTATACGGATTTAATTATTCCCCATAATAAACAATAATTATATATTATAAAATAAATTATGGCTTAATAAGACATTTAAAGAAAAGCCAAAGCATACCTAGACAAACATTAAATTGAAGAAATATTGGGAGATTTGGTAACTACACTATCCTATCATCAAATGAAAAATCCCATTATATATATTGTACTACATTAAATTAATTATATCATAGATTAAATATTTGTGCACCGTTCACTGTACACCAAAGGAATTACAAGAGGCAGGAATACAAATTGACAACAGAGAAAAAGTAGAATAACCAATCCTTTGCTTGCCATTTCCAAATTTGTCCCAACATCAAGGTTCAATCAAAAAATTGACAAAAGAGCAATTTTATGCCTGCAAAAATAAAATCACTGATCAAGGAAATAATTTTAGATCTATTTGCAAACTCATTCAAGATAATCCCAAATCTAAACCTGGCCTTTTTGCTGTTGATCCAAGCTCATATCTGATCTATAGCGATCTTTTTGATCCCATCGTTAAAGAAAAAGGTTACTTAGGTACTCCAATTAAGGATATGTCCTACACCCTTTCCTCCTCCATTCTAGAAGATGTAAAACCATTTTTAGAAGAATCTATTTTTGTTCTCAGAAGAAATGTCCCTAAGTAGAGATTTGGTTCTACCCTGTAAAACAGACAGGCTTTGACCAAAGAGTTACTCTAAGTTCTATCAAAATAATCAATTATTAACTATTCCTTACATAATGATTTAACATTCATGGCACAAGAGGATGTTAGAAAATTATAAATCAATGACAAATTGTTTAAGAAAAAGGATCCAAATCAAGCGATTATCAATCAAATATTCAAAGGATTGCGTCATCCAGATTGGCCTATTGATAGAATGGTACTCTAATCAAGTGATAAATAAAATATTGTTTGGATCAATAGAGAAGATCATCTTAAATTCAAATTTCTCAATTTAGAAAAAACTTCCATTATTGATGCTTTGGATACATGTTGCAAAATGAACCAATACTTAGATTCAAAAGATTTAGTCAGTTTTGATGATAAATTTGGATATCACACTGTCAAACCACAATTTAGTGGTCTAGGTCTCACATTTACTTTAAAATTCAAGTTAGATCAATAATCAATTAATAAAATTAAGTCAAACAATAATAATTTAAGTTCTAAAATATAAAATAAGGTGTTTAATGTTTAAACTAAAGAAAAAGATAAGTACTTTACAATTAAATCAGAAAGGTGTACAGGATTAACAATGAAACAATATGTAGAATAACTGTGTTAAATTCTCTCAATACTATTTGAAGGAGTAATCAAGAAGCCAGAAACATACACAATTGAGAAATATTTTAAGAATGAATAACAAATATAATAATAATAGCAATAATAATAATAACAGTAATAATAATAATTATTATAATAACAATAATAATAGTAATAATAACAATAATAGTAATAATAAGTTTAATCAATCTCAAAGCTATTAGATGAAAACAATAATACTATGTCTCCATCTAAGGCTGCCTCATCACCCTCACATGTTGCAATTGATATTATTTAAAATCAACCTGAAGAATAGGAATATGCAACTTTGCACAAAAAAAGATTAGAAACCTATTCAAAAAAGCTAAAAGAAACCAATAAAACTCGGCTCAACAAAATATGTGAATTGAAAGAACTAGTAGGCTTGCTAAAGGACGATACTTTTTATTTCTAAAATTAGAATAAGAAATTTGTTATTGTAAGAAGAAATCTTAAAATTAGAAGAAAAAATGTTGAAGAGATTATTGGGTTAAAGAATTAGCAAGTATCAGATTAAATTTTGAAGGACTGCAATTTAAATGGTAATTGTGATAAGGGCATATTTCAGTATAAGTATAAGGGTTATGACTATTATGTGGCAATTGAACTTGATGATGATTTTACATTTATTTTCCCAATTACTAAGATTTCTATCTCCTAATAATTGCATAAAATACAAAGAATAGTGGATTAATTCTTGCCTAAAGATTTATAATATGCTTGGGATAATTAATATGGATATTTAACTAATAACAATACTTATTTAGGGAGCGGAGTCAGCATAACTTGTGATTTTCCATAATCTATTCAAAATGAAATTCCTGGAATCCTGAAAGAATTGATTTTAGATGATTCTATATAAAACTCGAATAATTAATTCTTAACTCTTACTTCTCTAGATGAATATAATCTTTAAATTTACAGAAATGCTGTAAATGAGATACTGCTCTAGTAAAAGTTGTCAGATAAGAAAATAAGGAAAGCCTTAGATAATTAAGTATGTGAAAGTGATTGCTATCAAAATGATCAACTGTGGGCACCATCGAAGAAATGTTTCGAGGACTTCGAAGAATTATATACACAGTATATTTGGAATATAGGTAAAAATTGGTTTATAACAAAGCAATAGCATATTTTAATGGAAAACAAGTTACTCCTTTCAAAAATTATGATAAAATCAAGTCCGATTCCTATAAGCTCAACATCCCTCAAAATCCTACTGTTGTAAATATCAAATGTACATTTTACAGAAACTTTGACTCACTAAAATACAAACATGAAATGTCGGTTTAAGAAAAAATAAAAATGAAGGTAAGAATATCTTATTTAATTTAAAGACTAAATACAATGATTTCATTAAGAATAATGGGTGGAAATTTGGAAAAGACCATCATTTGGAAATTAGTTTTGAGAGCAAACCGGAAGAGTTCATTTAAAACTTCTGTCAATTTTGGAATTAACTAATAGAATAAGGCAAAGAATTTTAGAAAAATTGCAACATGGGATTCTATGGACCAAATTTAAATCAAAGTTTATTAGAAGGATTCCAATTAGAAATAAAAACAAATAAACCAATAAATCCAGAATTGATTAAGAGTTACAATTATAAACCTTGCTATCATAAAAATGGAATTATGAACTAAGATGATGCAATTACATCAATTATGAGTAATAGACCTTGCGTTCTAGAATTCGAATTAAATTTGATTTAAGAATTATTGTGAATATTATTTCAAACATTTAAAACAAAACATAATTTATGTTTTCTTTCATTCTTAAAATTACTGGAGTGCTTCATGTTCAATTTCTGGGATATTCAATTAAAGCTAAGATTTGTTTATTTGTATTTATTTTAGTTATTTTGATAAAATCTTTAATTCATCCTCCTTGAGAGTTTAAGCCCACACAATATAATCTTAAACGTAAATTAAGTTTAAATAATTTCTAGGTTTAGCTTTGGAAAATAGTCCTTCTACTGCAACTAATATTTTGATTAAATTTATTTTATTTTCAAGAACCTCAACTAGAAGGTTCTTAGTCTTAACACAGACTTCAAAGCTTCGAATCATCGGAAATGTTATTGCTCTTTAATAATTGTTAATCAAAATATTTTCTAAACTATTCTCTATATAAAATGCCTAAAATTAAGAACTCAATTAATTTATGGTTATGGCAGATTCCTAACTTAAGTCGCCTTAAAATAAATTATTTTCGTATAAATATGCAAACAAAATATCGATAATTCCAAATAAGCATAGTTCTTTATTCTCAATTAAGTACTCTCGTTTGCCAAGTTTACTAATTTTATTAATTTCGTCAATTGTAAATTATTTTTGGAATTAGAATTCATATACTAATACTTCATCTACCTATTCATTTTCAAGTAAATCAAATAAATAGGCATCTTTGTCAAATTATTATTAAACATATTACAGTGCCATCAATCTTCTATCTTATATAGCAATCTATTTAGGATCTAGAATGGCCATTTCATATAATTCTTCCTCTAAATCATCAAATACATCTTTATATTGATTATTAAATCCATAACAAAAAGGGTTCACATATCCTTGTAATTGATCTTCTGGATTTTAATCAATATTTTAACCCTCCTCTTTATCATTTGTGCTTTCTATTACCTAAATTAATTTGCCTTAAAATTATTTATTTTTTTTGGATTTCTTATTCATAAGCAGTCCAATCATATCAAGTTCAGTAAAATGTTCTCCTGCATTCAATTTTTCTAGATAAACCTTTAGATAATAGGTTTCTGGATCATAAATTGCCTTAGCTGGTTATTCAGCATCTTTAAGAAATTCATTAAATGTTAATTAGAGTAAGTATGGTTTCAGAAAAAAACTAAATGACTTCCCAATCATACTGAATTCCGATTTAGTTGGCTTAACATAAGGTAGTCTGAGTTTAATTATGATGTGCTTTTCGTCTTGTTCAATAAAAAATTCAGGAGTAATAAGAGGCATTAATTAATTTTTTTAATTATAGTTGATATAATTATAAATTAACTAATATATAAATGATTTAATACTATTTCTGTACAATTTTAATATTTCCCTTAATTTTCTATCCATTTCTCTGGTCTTTCTTCATTTTATTAGTTTGTTGTTTTGTGTTTCTATAAATTTTTAAGATTCTTTAGTTAAATTAATTGCTTTAGAGTATTTTTCATTATCCTTATTTGAGTTTTCAATTATTCTAAGGACATAGTCTAAACATTAAAATTTAATACTATCTTCAATAAGTTAAAGTTAAGTTAAAAATTATAAAAAAAAACCAAAAAATTTATACTGTTTAGATTATATTTAAGAATCTTGATAATGTCTACTAATGATGATTAAAATTATGAATTAGCCTCCAAAAAGAGAACTTTGATCTTGTTTTCTATTAAATAATTCCTTTGAAAGTAATATAAATATAAATAAGAATGTAAATTTACAATAAATCAGTAATATTTAAAGAATATCTCGAACTAATACTGAAATCAATTAAGATAATAATTATTTTGAGTAATAATATACTATTATATTTTTTTAATATCTATCGAGTCTAAAATTAGGAGTCTAAGTTTACAACCTGATGATATAAATGTAAAGGTCATCAAAATTTGATTGGTTATAATACCAAGAATTTAATATTAGAAATATATATAAAAACGGATGATTGATCGACTGATAATAGGTTTTGCAATATTATTAATGGTTGGGAATAATTATGCCTTTGATATTCCTTAGGCGTTAGAGATTCCAATAGAAAAAGAGTTTAAACTAACCTAAACATAATTCAATTTATTATACAGCATATTTGCAGTACCTAACATAGGATTATCTATTGGAGGAGGTATCATGATAGATAGGATGGGAGGAAGATGGGGAGTACGAATTCTACAATAAATAGGTATTTACATTTTCATTAATGCTTGGACTTTCATAAATATTTATAGCATTTGGGGGATGCTATTAAAAATATTACATGATGTTAGTAGGGAGGGCAATTTTTGGGATAGCAAGTGACTTATTACACATAGCAGTGTTTAAGGTGATTGCCAGAAGGATGCCATATTGTTTAGGAACAGCAATGGGGTTGATTTTAACAGTTCCAGAATTGGCAGCAGCTCTGAATTCATTTTTATCACCTTACTTATTTGAAAAAACTCATTCCTTAGAGTTGCCTTTGCTTTTTGGAGTATCATTATGCACTTTGGTATAAAGAATAAACTTATCCTATAGTCATTCTTATCTGGATTGCTAATGATATATTTAGACACTAAATATGATGTATGTTTGGCAGAGGAACCAGACGAAGAGGTTTCATTATCTAAATGTAATTCGGCGATCTAAATTAGTTAAGCTTAGTAAGCCATTTGTGAAGATGAGTTTGATCACTACATTGATGTTAGCAGCCTATGTTCCATTCTTAGATAATGCTAATAAATTTTATCATGAGAGATTCGGATTTAGTATCATGCATGCTGGTAGAATAGTCACTGTTGGATATATTGTGGCTGGTAATGAAATCTCTAAATTATTCATAGCCATCTCATCTCCTATAATTGGAAAAATCAGTGACACTTTTTCTCACAAAAGGCAGGTTCTCATTTTCATTTCGACTTTAATGTTCTTTTTATCACATCTACAACTCTATTATATGCCTCACTCTAGACATCCCAACTATATGTCAGTTTTCGCGTAATTTATATTTTCTATCTATGTGAAGTTTGATAACTTTGGGATTGTCTTATGCTTGCTATTCAAGTATTCTGATGCCTGCATTGTAATCAACTGTCCCTGAAAATATGTTAGGTATTTTATATGTGATATTAAGAGCTACTGCTTTGGGAATATTGGGGATTATTGAAAATATCTGCATGGCAACGGTACCTATGTTATCAGGATTTGTTTATACTTTTTTAAAGGGGGAGAAAGATAGAATGAGAGATGTTGATATTATATATTTAGTATTGGCAGGAATTGGAGTTTGCTTATCGATAGGAGCATTACCAAATTAAGAAAAAAACGTCAAGAAATAAAAAGATGCAATTAAACAGTTGCATAAACAACCTGAAGAACATAACCATTTAATTTGAATTTACAATAAAATACATTTTATTTCTATTATGTTTCTACAATTGAGTTCTTAATTACAAAATCTTTTAATTGGCTGATCCTTCATTTAAGTTTGGTCCTTTTTGTAAATTTAGTATGGCAATAGATTTTAAATAATATAATTTTGTGAAATAGATAGATGATAATTAAAAAAATGATATCTTTTAATACAAATATTTAGTTCATAGCATTCCTGCAACCTAGAAATTGATCAGTTCAATTTGTTGTTTTAATTTCGAAATGTCTTCTTAAAAGAACCTTATATTTATTGAGAGGATTTGATACTTAGTTTATAAAGAAAAATATTATTCAATTGATTTAATATTAAATTCTTGAGTGGATTTGATTTATTGTAAATTAGATTTGAAAATCAATGAATTTTGAATGACTTATTACTTGATTTCCTGCTATTCCTTTTTTAATAAGGATAATTTTAGTTTAAGCTAGCAGAGAATGATAATAATCGTTTTACTTATTTAAGAGTAGTCTTGAATTTGATTTCTCTGGGAGTTGGATTGTTGAGATTCTTTTGTTTGGGAGGAGCCAAGGATTGGCCATGAACAAAAAAAGAAACGGGAGTTTAAAGTGAAGGCTGACAATACTGATGTCTTCTTAGAATCGCGGCTGATTCATTTCTAATAATAAACATTTGTCTATGGGAGTAGTTTTTATTTGTTTGAGTTTTCATTAATAATTAAATAATATGCATGTCTCATTAAAAGACATAATGCCACCTCAGCATTCTTAACATAATCCACTGTCAAAGATCAAGTTCAAGATTAGCAAGAAAGTGGAATCTCTTTGTCAATGCAATCAAAAAAGCTGCTTAATCTGTGCTCGAAAAAGATCATCTTCAATGTTGAGTATCAAAAATTCGTTGGTGGTTGATGAAAGTTCACCTGTTTCTAAAAGAACAATTGATCAGAAGGCAATCTTGGTATAATAAGCTGTCGTCTCTAAATAAATATCAAGACAACAATCAAATCATGTCATTCATCACAGTTATTATAGTGGCAAATAAATCAATAATACTACTTCAACCACAATGGTTAATAATTCTCGGACCAGAAAGACCTCTCTTGAATCCTCCCCTCCCAAGGAAAATGGTAAACCTATTAGAATATATCCTAGTAATCGGAAGACATTCTTTCAAATTTCTATATGTAATTGGAAAAGGTGGTTTTGGAAAGGTTTGGAGAGTTGAAATGAAATCCAACAGATAAGAATATGCTCTGAAGGAAATGCTAAAATCTAAGTATCCTTCTTATTTCAATCCTTAATAGAATCATCTCCAAAAGGTCTGTTAACTCTGTGATGAATGAAAAGTACTTACTCGAACATCTCAAACATCCTTTTCTAGTCAACATGCATTATGCATATTAAGACAGAGAAAACTTATACTTGGTATTGGATTTATTAAGAGGAGGAGACCTAAGATATCATATTGGTAGAAACACCAGATTCTCTGAAGAATAAACAAGTAATCCATTAATTTATACCCAAAGAGTTTTTTGTCTGTTGCATCTTATTGGCTCTCTAATATTTGCATCAAAATGGTATCATCCACAGAGATGTAAAGCCTGAAAATCTTGTCTTCGATAAAGACGGATTCTTAAGACTAACTGATTTGGGAGTTGCTAGATTAAACAAAGATTCAACTGCTAGTGACACTTCAGGAACTCCAGGATATATGGCACCTGAAGTTATGTGCAGACTCGACCATTCATTCCCTGTCGATTACTATGCACTTGGAGTTATTGCCTATGAATTACTCCTTGGCAAAAGACCATATAATGGCAAGAATAGATAAGAAATTAGAGACTAGATCTTAGCCAAATAAGTTTAAATCAAAGATGAAAGATTCTCGCTTAAAGCCTAAGACTTTATAAATAGAGTACTCTTTTAATATTATCATTCTTTAGTTACTCATTAGAAAGCCTTAATAAAGATTAGGCAATAACGGAATTGAAGAGATCTTTGAACACTAATGGCTGAAAGGCTATCCTTGGGGCAAGTTGATCAACAAAGAAATCAAATCATAATATGTCCCTGGAGTATAACTTTTAAATTATATTATTTAGAGTATAGATGGAAATTTCGATTTTCAAAGCTAGATCTCCGCTGATAGCGAACCTTAAGAAGATGCAGCTTCTCTTATCAGAAGAAAAAGTGTTTAATGCTTATTTGAGGGATACAAATTTCAATGAATTTTATCTTTTATATTGCGATCAATCCTAATTCCCCTCTCTTTAAAATAGTTCAAACATGGTTTTAAGTCTACAAAATAATAAATAAAAGTTGAGAGAGATACTCTTATTTTTATTAATAAAAATTTGAAATTTACTAAATTTTTTTCATTTATTTATATATTATATTTAAAAAAATAACAACAGTCTTAAATTATTAAATTTTTCATTCATCTCTTGAAATATTTACTTTGATTAAGAAAACGAAATAAAAAGAATAACAGAATGGTCATTGTGGCTGTGCAATAAGATTGTTGATATAGATAAATGAAAAAAATTCATTAATTTATATAATATGAATCCTTATTTATAAATAAGTAATGTTCAAATGGAAAATCAACAAGAATTTTTTGTTTTTTCTAAAGAGCAAAAAGAAAATTAATTTTCTAAATCTTTCTTTTTTCTTTATGCTGTGAAAACAAAACGTAAAATGGAATTTGTTAAAAATTTTCTTTATCATTTAAATTATTCTTTAAGAATATACATAAATCATATTAAATTCTAATACAAAAAAGGTTAAATAATAATAAGCTAGCAAGAAATGAAATAACCTAATGATTATAAAGAAAAATACATAAGAGAATCGCTTATAAATTTATCATCTATAATAGGATTTCACATTATTGAGATTATTTCATAATAATAGTGTTTTTTAGTATTGGGATCAATCATTCTTTGTAGAAATTTTTTAAAACCAAATTTAACAATATTCTTTTAAATACACAAAAATATTTCGTTTAATAATCGTTCATTAATGATCATGATTGTTCAAACATTGCATATTTACTCTATTCAGAGTAAGTAATTAAGTAATTCTAATAGATTTCTAAATTTTTATCTACAAAATCAACACTTATATTATGCTTATTATTTTTAATAAATATTTTATGAATAATTCAGTAATTTAATTCTTTCGTATTTCAATAATCGTTTATCATTTGCATTATAAAGAGGTTTAGAATAATTTGAATTTTTTGTAGATTGGGAATCATTAAAAGAAAGAAAGTAATTAAATGATATTTCAATTAGATATTTCGAATTGAGGTTAACGATGCATTGAATTGAATGGAATATAAAAATTATTGTATTAGTATTTAAAAGTTTGTTTTTCTGAGGAATTCAATTTATATTCCATAAAGTGAAAATGTAAGAAAGATGCTCATTACAAATAATATTTTATGTATATTTCTTGGTAAAGCTGTCATTTTTTTGGAATCTCCTAATTTTCTCTACGTCATTTGATATAAATTTAGGTTCGAGTGGCTTCCCTCATTTTTCATAAATATTTTTATTTAAGAATGGATACTTAAGAGCCAATAAATCCTAATTACGATGTCGTTGTGTGCGGAACTGGTTTGATCGAGTGCATTCTTAGTGGATTACTAAGTATGGAAGGAAAGAGAGTGTTTCACATGGATCGTAACCCCTATTATGGAGGAGAGGGTGCATCTCTAAATTTAACTAACCTTTGGAAATTGTTTAAGGCTGGATAACAGTTTCCATAACAATTAGGTATGTATCAATTATCAATTTGAAAAGGTTAGAATAGAGATTGGAATATCGATTTGATTCCCAAGTTTGTGATGGCAAATGGATAGCTTGTTAAGATCTTGCTTAAGACCAAAGTGGCTCGTTATTTGGAATGGAAGGCTATTGATGGCACATATGTATTCCAAATGAAGGAGGCTGGTTTGTTTAGCAAGGGAGGTGGCAAGATCGAGAAAGTAAATATCATAATAAAAAGATTAGGTTCCAGCAACAGCTTCAGAAGCCCTTAAATCTGACTTGATGGGTATGTTTGAAAAGAGAAGATGCTAGAAATTCTTGGCCTATGTGTCCAATTATGAAGCAAGCAACCCCAAGACTCATGATGGTAAAATGTGATTAATATCATAGGTTTGAATCTGAATCAAATGTCATGTGCTTAATTGCTAAAGAAATTCGAATTAGAGCCAAATACAATTGATTTCATTGGTCATGCTGTTGCATTATACTCAAATGATCAATTCTTAGATAAGCCAGCAATTTAAACAATCGAAAAGATCAAATTGTATATGGATAGTATTGGCAGATATGGTGATAGTCCATTCATCTATCCAATTTACGGATTGGGAGGTATTCCAGAAGGATTCTCTAGAATGGCTGCTGTAAATGGTGGTACATTTATGTTGAATGCTGACTTGGATGAAGTGCTCTTTGATGGAGATGGAAAAGTATAAAAAAATATTTAATTTAGGTATGTGGATTAAAATCAGAGAAAGTCAAGGAATTGATGGGATTAGAATAAATTAATTGCAAGATGATTATTGCTGATCCATCATATGCATTAAAAGCAAAATTATCAAATAAAGTGAAATCTATCGGAAAGATTGTCAGATGCATTTGCATTCTCAATCACCCAATTCCAAACACAAAGAATTTACCATCAGTTCAAGTTATCATTCCATAAAGATAAACAGGCAGAAAGAATGGTAGATATATTATTTTAATTAGATTAGATATTTATGTTATGATGGTTAGTGATGTTCATAATGTTTGCAAGAAAGGATTCTTCATTGCCATTTTGAGTACCAATGTGGAAACCAATAATCCAGAAAAGGAATTAGAACCAGCATTTGAAATCGTCGGCCCAGTCTTGGAGAAATTCGTCACTGTAATTTTAATAATAAATATCAAAAGGTTTCTGATGTTTATGTGCCAACTGATGATGGATCCAAAGATAACATCTTCATTTCAAGTTCATTCGACCCATAATCCCATTTTGAAGGTGAGACTTAATAAGTGTTGAATGCCTACAAAAAAATATCAGGAAAAGAATTAGATTTAACCAATTTACCAGTTGATTAGGATGATTAATGATATATAAATAAAAGTAAAGCAGATATAGATATATTTATATTTATTGATGGATATATGAATAATAAGAAGATCAGCAAAAACTTAGCTTATTTATATATATAAACATCAAATGCTACCATACTTACTTTCCTAATTATCAACTAATCTTCCTATTTTGAATTCAGATTCAATATCTTCATCTTTCTCAGTTGCCTTATAATTAAATTTCTATCTCTATGTAAATATCCTTCTAATATCACTTAAACTAATTGTGTGCACTTCGAAAGTGTATAGCATAAACCCTACAACTCCAAAACAGATCAAATAAAACAAGACTGATAGAATTGAACTAACCATTTTAAGAATAATAATTACAATGAACTTTATGGCGAAACTACACATTGCTTTTAGAACACCATTGTAATATCTTAGAAATATTATAAAGGAATATTTAATTCGATAGTAGTATTTCCATTTTCAACGCAATTATACTCTACAATTAAGGTTGAAGGCTCATCTGTTACTATTCCCCCTTTGAATAAATCTCCTCTAATTATTGGTTTTGTGATTGTGTGATCTGCATCAACATATGGAGGAGATATATGCACTTCTGGGATTAATTTTAGTATTGCTTCCAAGACTTGAAATTCTTCTTATGTTGTTTCTGTGTCTGATTTTGATTAATCAACTGCATTAAAGAAATCTTTGGTTTCCTCTTTCTTCAAAATTTTTTCTTCCTCGCTGCTCTTTGTTAGATTCATGTAAACGTAAAAGATGGAGTAATTCAGATTGGCTGGAACTGTGAAAACAAAATTATCAAAGTCCTTGTCCCAATAGGCTTTATTTACCAATTCTCCATCCTTAACAACTGTCTAATTATATGATTTAATAAGTGCATCCACATTCAATCCATGTCGTTTTATCAAAGGACTTCCACATAATTTTTACCAATAGATCTTTGCAGACCCACATGATGGTATATTAAATACTACTTCGTACTGAATTAGTCTGCCACCATATTATTTACATCTGTAATCAATTTTCAATGAATAGACATTGCTTTAATGATGCTCCAGTTTAAGCGTGCTGTTTGCAAAATAATGATCATCAAATTCCAATTGCACCATATCTTGTGTTAATTAGATCTTATTGTCCATAGAGACATACAAATAGTCCATTTGAACTGAGTTATTCACCAATTGAAATGTGTCTATTCTATGATAGAATATTTATACCTGCTTCCAATACCCATTATTTGGCAGGCACACCAGCTTTAATTATATCATCTCTGCTTTTATCTATGTCAGTCGAAACGTGTAAATATTTGCAAGTCGACTCAAAACAATTGACCAAAGAGATCAGAAACACGTATATTAATAAATTCATGATGTTTTATTATTTTAAATCAAATTCTTCTTTAGGCAACTAATTTATTAATAGTAAAAGCATCATTTTCTTTAAGAATGGCCTCGACTTGCATGAAAGATTCATTGGACTCGCCTATTAAATAATCTACACTAATATTACTATCATCATATTGCAAACAGAAACAAACTCTTGATGGATTGATACCTAATTCTGGGACATGGCCAGAAGCTAATTAAGCCAAATACTCTGAAATAGCGCATAAAATATCTGCAGCATTTTCTTTAGTGACATCAATTGTTGCTTCACATCTAAAAATACATAAGCAATTATTTAATACTCTTTGACTGCTGGAACTTATGGTTCAGAAGTAGGAGCAGGTCCTGGGGCTGGTTTAGGTGCAGGTGCAGGTTCTGGTTGGGGCTCTGGTTAAGGTTCAGGCTCAGGCAATGGTTCTGGTTAAATTTCATCAGGAATAACAGGAGGTTATTCAGATGGTGGAACAGGGACGTATTCTTCTTCTTCTCCCCAATATGGTTGTTCTTCCTCAGGGGATGCAAATGTTTAAGGAGGAACAAACTCTTCCTCTTCTTCTGGCCAAATTGATTCCTCTTCAGGGAAAACATTTGGAACAGCATCTGGTGCAACAGGAACACTTTCTTATTCTTCTTCTCCCCAATATGGTTATTCTTCTTCAGGGGATGCAAATGTTTCAATTTATGGAATCTGACGACTTTCAGGAACTTCAGGGAGAGGATTATATCCAAAAGGTATGTCATCTGGTGAATATACAACATCACGAGCAGGATAACCAATACAACGATTGACACGCCAATTATAGAATTGTCCACTGAAAGCAGGGTATAAACCATCATTACCAATGTAGAGTCTCCTCCAAGGTACAAGATAATGGCGAGCATCATAAATTTAATTTGCTCCAACCAATGGTTGCTCTATAGTCACGATATTAATAGAATAACTAGCGAATCTAAGTTTTCTGTTATATCCAAAGTAAACATGTTGCCATTGACCCAAGGTTACTCCATAACTGAGAGAGTCCCACAAATTAGGATTACCAGATCCTGAATATGTGTAAGTAGTAAATTAGAATACATTTCCAACCATATAATTACCAATATAAACAGCCAAATCTCTATCTCCTAATTTAATCTCTTCCAAATTAGCATCTGGATTTTCAGATAATCTGAAGACAGTGTGCCAAACATCTTAATCTTCTATTGGTTCCCATTTGATCCAACCAGAAACAGAGTAACCAGCATCCCAAGTTGAAAAGTCAAATGTTTCATCAGATGTATCCTCAAATCCATAAAATTCATAATCTCCTAATTCATCAGTCTCTTATTCACAAACTTCTTCTTCAGGAGGACTATTGCATGGATAAACAAGTAAATTATATTTTATTTAACTAGTGAAGCGTAGATTTGATGCTGAAACTGCATAATGTCCATATACTTTTCCTTAGAAGGATGGATGAGAATCTTATGGTCCACCAATCTTGAAGTCTAAACTAGTGTATGTTGGATGGGAAGCAGGAGTTTATCTCAATGCTGTTTATTCTTCAAAGAATTTGACTCCACATCCAGTAACTCCTTAACCGTGACTGATGAATACAAAACTCCAATCACCTTCAATGTCATTATTCGGTACAGATGTAGATTAATATGTCGTTCCATCAGCAGTAACACATTTAACACCTGTATTAGTTACAAATACTCCCAAAACTGTATTACCATTATCTTATAAACTGGCTAAATGGAATTCAGTGCCCTCAGCTAAGGCTGGATATTTTTACAATTTTTAGAAGTATAAACCAAAACCATAATGGCCTATAATTGTAAGTGTGCTAGTAAATTCAGGGTCAAGTTAAGTAGCTGCCAATTCTAATATATCTGTAGATTCAGATGNTTCTTCCTCAGGGGATGCAAATGTTTAAGGAGGAACAAACTCTTCCTCTTCTTCTGGCCAAATTGATTCCTCTTCAGGGAAAACATTTGGAACAGCATCTGGTGCAACAGGAACACTTTCTTATTCTTCTTCTCCCCAATATGGTTATTCTTCTTCAGGGGATGCAAATGTTTCAATTTATGGAATCTGACGACTTTCAGGAACTTCAGGGAGAGGATTATATCCAAAAGGTATGTCATCTGGTGAATATACAACATCACGAGCAGGAAAACCAATACAACGATTGACACGCCAATTATAGAATTGTCCACTGAAAGCAGGGTATAAACCATCATTACCAATGTAGAGTCTCCTCCAAGGTACAAGATAATGGCGAGCATCATAAATTTAATTTGCTCCAACCAATGGTTGCTCTATAAACACGATATTAACACAATAACTAGCGAATCTAAGTTTTCTGTTATATCCAAAGTAAATATGTTGCCATTGACCCAAGGTTACTCCATAACTGAGAGAGTCCCACAAATTAGGATTACCAGATCCTGAATATGTGTAAGTAGTAAATTAGAATACATTTCCAACCATATAATTACCAATATAAACAGCCAAATCTCTATCTCCTAATTTAATCTCTTCCAAATTAGCATCTGGATTTTCAGATAATCTGAAGACAGTGTGCCAAACATCTTAATCTTCTATTGGTTCCCATTTGATCCAACCAGAAACAGAGTAACCAGCATCCCAAGTTGAAAAGTCAAATGTTTCATCAGATGTATCCTCAAATCCATAAAATTCATAATCTCCTAATTCATCAGTCTCTTATTCACAAACTTCTTCTTCAGGAGGACTATTGCATGGATAAACAAGTAAATTATATTTTATTTAACTAGTGAAGCGTAGATTTGATGCTGAAACTGCATAATGTCCATATACTTTTCCTTAGAAGGATGGATGAGAATCTTATGGTCCACCAATCTTGAAGTCTAAACTAGTGTATGTTGGATGGGAAGCAGGAGTTTATCTCAATGCTGTTTATTCTTCAAAGAATTTGACTCCACATCCAGTAACTCCTTAACCATGACTGATGAATACAAAACTCCAATCACCTTCAATGTCATTATTCGGTACAGATGTAGATTAATATGTCGTTCCATCAGCAGTAACGCATTTAACACCTGTATTAGTTACAAATACTCCCAAAACTGTATTACCATTATCTTATAAACTGGCTAAATGGAATTCATTGCCCTCAGCTAAGGCTGGATATTTTTACAATTTTTAGAAGTATAAACCAAAACCATAATGACCTATAATTGTAAGTGTGCTAGTAAATTCAGGGTCAAGTTAAGTAGCTGCCAATTCTAATATATCTGTAGATTCTGATGAATGGCAAACACGTGGACCTTCTTCTTCCTCAGGTTATTCTTCAAAAACGAATTCTTCATGTTCTTCTGAGAATGGAGAACGTAGTGGAGATGCTCGTGGAATTTGGGTTTCTTCAAAATTGAATTATTCTTCTTCTTCTTCAGGCAATACTACATTTGGACTGACAGGTGGGAGTGGTGATTCTTCATAATTAAAATATTCTTCTTCCTCTGGAAATAGTACAGCATCAGGAGTAACAGGTGGAAGGGGTGTTTCTTCAAAAATGAATTATTCTTCTTGTTCTTCTGGGAACACTAAAGGATCAGGAGAAACAGGTGGAAGTGGAGTTTCTTCGAAACCGAATTATTCTTCGTGTTCCTCTGGGAATACTAAAGGATCAGGAGAAACAGGTGGATTTGATGATTCTTCTTGATCTTCCTCTGGTTAATCAGGTGTTGGGATTGGTTGTTCTGGTTCTTCTCCTGGAATAGTCCATTCTTCAGTTCCCTCTTCTGCGACTGTTGGTTCATCAGGTGATTCTTCAGTATTTGGATTAACAGGTGGTTCATCAGTTGGACCCTCTTCATCTTAAGGTACTATGGGCTCATCTGGGGTTGGTTTGTCATCTGGAGTAGGTTCATCTGGGGTTGGCTTATCATCTGGAGTTGGTTCATCATCAGGGGTTGGTTAATCATCAGGGGTTGGTTAATCATCAGGAGTTGTTGGAGGAACACCTTCTTCAACTGGCTCTTCAGTAAATTCTTCACTTGGAGCTTCTGAGGGTGCTTCTGGAGCAGGCTCATCTGGACAAGTTGGTTGACATGCTTATTAGCATCCAGATTAGATAATCTTGAGATCCTCGATCTTACCTTTGACTTTAATGACTGTAACTGGGGATTATTGGCATTATTAGTGAACATTATTCATTTATTTAATAAGATAAGCACACAATTTTGTTAATGTTTCTGTACACTCTTCTCTTTCATGTCTGTCTATAAGAATGAAATTTTAATTTACCATGAGATTGCAATCCTTATAATTTGCTTTATAATTCAGAAAGCACAGGAGGTGAAATGAGATCTAAATCTTTAATCTTTTCAACTAGTTGCTCATACTTTTTATGTTTAATTAGATGCTTCATTTGAGTTAGAGTCTCAATATGCGATGGAATGCGCTCCTTGTTCTCCAAAACTTACTACCATTGAGTTAAAGTTTCTTCCAAATCTTCAAAATGAGATCTAGGAGTTTAGCAATTCAATTGTGAAGTGTCTAAAGCGTCTACTTCCGCTAAGGTATGGGACATCAAAGATGCCTCGAAATTCAATGCTGTGGCATACATCAACAGCACAAACAGGGCATATATTCTCATTTTTATTAAATATAATAGTTAGACCTTTAAAACGGATTTATTACATATATTAAATACTCAATTAATCATACTAAAATCTCAATAAATTACTAGAATACTCCAATCTGCAAATGATTAGCTGAATATTAATTCTAATATCATAAGTGTCTATCCAAATTTCCATAGAGTTTTAGGATTATGATGAACTTTGTTTTATTTGTGAAAGTAAAAGTATTTCAAGGAAATTAGATACTTTTTGTTCCTTTCTTAAAATAATATTACTAGAGATAAACCAATTAAGTGCTATCAATATAAACAAATCATTAATTTGAATTTAATTACAATCCTCTAAAGTTCAATTAATATGGCTAGATTACTGCTTAAATTAAATTAGATTTTTAGACTCATGTATTTAAGTGCTCAAAAGAAGGATATGCGTGATAATTTCAAATTAACAACATACATGAATTAAATATAATTTATTTTACAATAGCTTTGATAGAAATCAATGCTATCCTAATTCTATGAAATGGTAGAGAATTGGTAAATAAATCGTTTAATTTAAATTAATACTTATAATTTAGGATTCTAACAGTAGAGTAAATAAATGGCAATTAATGATAAGATGTGCTGTAACAATTGCACTCATAATATGACTAAAAGACAATATATCAGTTGAGGTAATTTATTAAGAGATAATTGAATATTTATTGATTAAATAATATTAAAAATTATGAGTCGTGCTTTATTTGTTAGTAAAAATTACTTAAGCAAAAAATTCAACATTAAATAGCCAAATGAACTTTATAAGCAATTACTTAAAAATATTCATCTATTCTAGGCTGATGAATTACAAAAAATTTCATCCGATGAATTAATACATTATATCATATTTTTTGGAACACATCCTGAACGTAGAAATTAAGGAGAAAGAGCTAAGAAGATTACTTTAGAATGTCTTAAACAATATAAGAAAAAGATGACTAAAAATTCATATGAAATAAATTCATAAATACTCTTATCGCTGAGCAATGTTTTATTGTATGATGACTAGATGGTCCAAGAATTAGTTCAATAGGTGGATGAAGACAAGGAAACTCTTTCAGTCAAAGATATGATTAAATTTTAGCATTGTCTCTACAAACTCAATATCCATAATGAAAAGCTAAGCAATTATGTTCTTGACAAATTTCTTAAACAGAAAGAATAAGTAGATTATTTAGAATACATTCACGATCTTCATATTAGATCAAATCTCCTCTAAATGGGCTTGGTTGATGAAAAAGTCATTCTAACTTTGTTGAAAGGATTTTAGGCAAAATTAAATTCAACTTAAAATTCTTATTATACATCTAAATCGTGCTTTTAATATTGTTAGCTTATGTATAATTTATACCCAGAGATAATTGAGAAACCATTTTTTGATTTAAAACCCAATGATGATAACATATTCGCTGAATAATTTAAGGATTTGATGTAAGACTATGTGATAAGCAAATAACTTGTAGATCGTAAAAAGTTTTATTAATCTTTTGAATACTATTTAAATTTCTAGAATATGAATGTATTGAAAGCCAAAGAAGATGCTATATTGAGAAGCTTAACTGAACTTGAATAAAATGTGTAAGATTTACTAAATCAATTAAATTATCAAAATTCAAGAGCACACAGAGTATTGATTTATGACGTAGATTACTTAGTTAAAGATAACATTATTTTAACATGTAATGACCCAGTTCATTTCGTCGAAGATTTCGATGGAAAGATTTTAACCATTAATCCAAATCATGTCATGTAGAGCAGGTATTCATTTATTAATAAGTAGAGGCATTTGAGTGCCACAAATAAATACAAGGTTTTCGACATAAATTATCATGAGTGGATAAATTTGACCGAATAACAAAAGATTGACAAATTAAAATCCTTAATAGATTGATATATGAATATTGTAAATCAAATATAGTTTCATTTTTACCTAAAATATTTCAGAAGCATTGCTTAGGGGATAAATTTAGGAATTATATTAAAGCTTATTCTAATTTTTATCAACATTTTTAACCTAAACCAAAATCTACTCCTCAATCTAATTATAGAACATTGGGATAATATTAATAAATATAAAACAAAGCAAAATTATTTGTTATAAAAGAGTTTATCAATAAAAATAAATTTATTAAAAATTTGAAATGGCTGAACATGAACATGAACATGAATTTGAGGGCGGTGAAGAAGAATTAGAGGCTCCTAAAGATTCTTTATGGAGAGATGAACATGCCATGGAGAAATCTGCAAATATAGTATATTTTTTAACTCTTGGGATTGTTGCAGGGTTGATTCTCAGGGAAATCAATAAAAAAACAAAGTAAAGCATATTTTTATTGAGTAGATTTCCATATTCACCCATGATATTATCATTAGGCATATTAATAGGATTGCTGTAGAAAAGTTTAGGGTACATAGGTGAGAGTGCAAGCATTTTGTCAAAAATGCATCCTCATCTGATCGTATTTGTCTTTATTCCAGTTTTACTATTTGAATCAGCATTTAATTGTGATTGGTATACTTTTAAGTATCAGATGGTGAATATTCTGTTGTTAGCAGGTCCAGGATGTGGTTGGGTAATATCTAATCTAAATTTAGGGTGCAATTCTATTGGGAGGAATTTTCAAATTAGTCTTGTAATATGATGACAATGATATGACATGGTATTAAGCATTTACACTTGGTTCAGTTTTGTCAGCAACTGATCCAGTGGCTGTGGTGGCTTTACTTAAGGAATTAGGTGCAAGTTTAGCATTTAACCATTTAATTGAAGGGTATTAAATTACTATATTTAAGAGAAGCCTTGCTCAATGATGGTGTTGCAATGGTGTTTTTTATATTCTTTAACAAATTTTCAAAGGCCCAAAGTGGAAAGGGTGAGGCTGTAACTGCAAGTTAAGTGGTCATAAACTTTGTCAGAAACTCACTTGTAGGTCCAGCATTAGGTTTGGTCTTGGGTATATTGGCAGCATTATGGACAAAGAGAATTTTAGGAGATGATATTGAAGTAACTTGGCTTACCTTTGTCTTTACATATCTTACTTTTTATTGGGCTGAATTTTGTTTTTTTAAAACAAGTGGTTTGTTGGCAGTGGTAGGATTAGGATTGTTTTGGAGTGCATTTGGTAAAACTAGGATTAGATCATCTGTTGAGCATTCAGTCCATACAGTTTGGGGATTTGTTTAATACTCTTGTGATACATTAGTATTTGTATTGGTTGGAATTATTGTTGGAACATAAGTGATTGAAGAAACATTTATTCATAAATCTGATTACATTAGAATGATTGTGTTTTACTTTTTTATGATTCTGGCTAGATTCATTATGATTTTAACATTTTGGCCATTTTTAAGATGTTTTGGCTACCCTATCTCTAAGCCAGAATTTATTGTGTTAGTTTATGGTGGTTTAAGAGGAGCTTTGGGTTTGACACTTTCACTTATGGTTGGTTGTGATGAAGAATTACCTGCAAGATTTAGACATTTATCAGTATTTTATGCAGCAGGAATGGCTGCAATAACTAATTTAATTAATGGTACAACATGCAAAGCACTTGTGTAATATTTGGAAATGATTGAAAATCCTGTAGTGAAAAAGAAGGTTTATAAGAAATATTTAGAGGAGCTAATAGTTAATTCTTAGGATAAAATGAGAGAATTAGAATCAGATCAATTTTATAGTATGGCTGATTGGAATTAAGTGAATTAACTAATTGGATAACCTAAATTTATAGAGAAGATTGAGAAGCTAGAGACTGAGATTAAATATATGGTTGGAAGTAACAAAGTTGCAGCCAACTCATCAAATTTATATGAAGGATTAACTGATTAGGAAATCTTTGGAGAAGTCAGATATAGGATCTATAGAATTCTTAAGGGATTGTATTATGATAAATTTGAATATGGATTATGTGAAGAAGATACAGTCAGATTGCTTGTAGAATCAAGTGATATAGGATTGGATCACACCAAATCTATCCTTAATATTTGGGATTAATTATACAAAAACTTCCTTAATTTTAGTAGTGTCAATTTCTTTTTGAAAGTAAAAGAAATACCTTTGATTGGGTCATTTGCCAAAGAGTACATGATTAAACATTTAGGTTTCGTGTATGATGTCACTACTACATATTTATCATGTGCAAATGAAGCTTTACATCTAACAGACAGTTTTCCTATGGGCAAAGATGCAGTTAGGCTTGTGATGGAGGAAATGTCAAGGGAAATTGAGAAAGCTGAAGGCTATTTGGGGATATTGAATGATACTTTTCCGGAAATAGTTAGAGCAATTTAAACAAAGAGGGCATCTCATTCAATTCTAACTCATCAAAGACATTATCTTGATGACACTCAATAAAATGGACTTGTAGATGAAAAGGAATATTAATTATTAAAGAAGGAAATTAATAACAGATTAGTTGATTTAGAAAACCATCAATTTGAAATGATTTTACCATCATTTCATGTTTTGGCTATGGAATTCCCTATATTTTCGGGATTAATTTCTACTGATTTGGATAACATAATTAAGAGTGCTTATGAAAAGAGATTTGGATGTGATGAAATAATATATGAGTAAGGAATGACATGTCAAAATATATTCATTATTAGCAAAGGCAATGTAGTTGATGAATTCTAGGGAGGTTCAATTAAGAAAGGTTTAGGATCATTAATCTCATACACCAATTTAATTGGGGAAGGTACTTGCATGAGTACAGCTAAGGCAACTGCTGACTCCTTACTTTATTCATTAAACTTAAAGATTCTTAAAGACCTCATGCAAAGAAATCCTGAGTTTGAATTCAAAATTTATATCAATTCAATAGGTAATTCATAATTTTATACTAGAATACTTAAGAAAAATGTTTGAAAGCTAAGCAGGTCCACTTGCCAATTTAGAAATCAAAAGATTATTAGACTTTTTCAGAACGAAGAGCAAGCTTAAGAAAATAACATAAAATCAAAAATGTGATTTTATCTTTGGAGGTTACTTATTTAGAGGAGAGTTGAAGGATATTAACAACAAAGTTTATCCTCAATATTCGTATATTTAATTGTTAAATCATTAGGTACATTCCTCCTTAAGAAACAGAATGTCTAGTCAGTAAAGATGCCATTTGCTTGGTCTTTGATGATCAAGTAGATTCACTCAACAATTAAATGCTCAAACAGTTAGATTTAGATCCTCACAAAGATCAATAGATTTCGGAGAGATATTCCTAAATCAAACGTACTTCAATACAAGATAAGAAAAAACATCATTGAATTTGTGTAATTTTTATTCATCAATTTTAAGAGAGATTCATATCTCAATGCTTTATTTTTTCCATTTTGGATGTTCAAATAAACTTATTTATTATTTAATATATATATAAATTAATGTAAAGTGTAACCTCTATAGAAGTACCCACAAATTTGCTTAAAATGCCAATAATTAAGAATAAGGATATAATGGAGAAGAAATGTAATTATTTAATTAAGCTAATAAGATGAATATGATAAAGTTGGAAAGAATTAAAATGTTATTGTTGAACCTGCAGTAGTTAAATTTTGTGGTTTTGAAATTGGCAAACTAAATGAGATTAAAGTGAGAGTCATCAATAAAAACAAACAACCTCAGAGAATCTATGTGTTTCCACCAAAATCAGAAATATTTAATGTCAAATTTGATAAAAAAGGTGCTATACCAAGTGGAATGGCTGAAGAACTCTACGTCTAATTCAAGCCTCAAGAATACAAATACTTTTATGATGTTATAAGAATCAATACCCAAGATGACACTTTACTAATACCAATACATGCTTATCCTGCCCTCAATCGAGATGGATTAAGAGAATTGTTCCCACGATTAATTGATTTTGGCACTCTGGATATAGGTGAGTCTTAAACATATGTAAACTGATATTATTATGCTAGAGCTATCCTATATAAAGCAAAGTGCCTCTTAATTTCGAGTTTGAATTCAACATCACAAAACCTTGTTAAGATATTAAAATCGATCCAATCAAAGGTATCGTCCCAGGCAAAGGCAGCATAGATATTTCTATCACATATTGTCCATAAGTCAACGTTACAGAAATTATGGAGGTGGAAGTAATTTCATCTAAATAATTGATAGCTTAAAATAGCTCAATTTGATTTCGAACCTTTGTGTATCAAAATTATGGGATCTGGCAGGTTCCCTGAAAATAAAAAAACCATGAGACCTAGTTCAAACAAAAAACTTAAATCCATTACTAATTCTTCCAAAGCTAAACCTCTCTAGAACACTCAAGAAATTCCTGTTGAAGAGAGTCCTAAACCTGATGAAACATAATAAATTGAGAACCAAGTATAAGAGCGATCAAAAACTCTGAAAATGACTAAAAGCACTAAATTAAAAAGATCTAAATCTCAATAACAAGAAACCAGCGATAATATTGGACTTGATAAACTTAAAGGCAGACAAGTAAAGTATTAAATAACAAAAGTTATTAGAAAAATCATATTTAGATCATTTTAATCAAATCTAAAGTTTAGATAAAGAAAAAGAGATGAGATTTTTTTAATGCGTTGGAGATCCTCCAATAACAGAGACTCAAGTACAAGACATTCTACTGGAGAGACAACAATATCTTAATAATTATTTAGATGATGTCCAAGCTAAAGGAACAACAAGATACACACTATTGGTTAATTCTGATAGTACAATTGTTGATTACATTCTGCCTGAACATCAGCAGAGTTGGGATTTGGATAAGAATGACACCATGAAAATTAAAAAACTTGTAACTTATATAATAAATTCATTTAGAATTTGAGAAAGTTTGTATGTGCTGCTAGTAGAATTATCTACAAATTAAGAATGGAAAAAAGATTATCAAAATTAAAGGCCTTTTTAAAAGGAGCGACTACAAGAGCAGAAGTTAAATAACTAGTCAATTTGGATTGCCAAAAAGCAGAGCATTCAGGTGTTGGTAAAAAGGATTTTGTATAAATTTTATTTAAATATTCAGGTCAAATTTACCTTTGAATTCAACTCAGATAATGTTGGATTCTTGAAATTACCAGTTCAATATTCAGAATCCAATGCAAACTCTTCATTTAAATATACCATCACACCACAAACTGGGTTTGATGACCTAGCTCCTTTTGATGAGTTGCCAAGTGATGATTGTGAAATCATGCAATATAAAGTGTGGGAGCCTCCTTAAATTGTGTATCATCCCCCTGTAATTGAAAAACCTTTAAGAGATGGGGCAGAGGAGGAAAAATCCCTTAGAGGTATTATGGGTCCAGTAACTTAAATACTACAAACTTAAAATGATAATATTGTCAGGAACATTTATTTAAAGCCACCTGATGTTGAAAGCTATCAAATACTTAAAACCCATAAGACCTTAAGATTATACTAATAATATAATGATGGCACTCCTTTGAATACCTTTTATCCTCTCATGTTTAGTAAGGTGAATGGAATCGGGGCTGATCTAGATCCAGATATTGCCTAGAATCACTAAATTCTAAAGCAGGAATTTATCAATAGAACACCTGGTTATCAGAATCTAAATCTTATATATGAACTTCCATTGGATCAATTCTACTATCAGGAGAAAAATATGCAGTTAGCTTACGACTTTGGATTTGATGAACAAATAGAATTCTACTGCCCAACAATAATGGCAGAAAAAGAATTGGATGATCAGATGACGGATGATGATAGCGATGAGGACAAACCTCCTCAGATAAATGTTGTGGATTAGAATGATTGGCTTACTAAACTTGAATAGGATGATAAAACTATAACGACTTTGAGATAATCAGAAATTACTGATTCCTTTGAGTAACTAAAAGAGAAATTAGATTCAAATTTGACGTAATAAAATAAATAGATATTTTTAGTTTGGAAAAGAATAAATGGATTTCAACAGTTCCCTCTAAAACTAGTGACTTCAATAAGTTTATTGTTAGAAATGAAAATAAAATGGTCATATTATGATTTATAATATTTCCAACATACATTTATATAATAAATTAATAAACACTATAATGAATCATTTAAGTAGTTTTTTTGTCTAATTTTTGGATTGAAACATTTGTAAACAGCTCTTCTATGGATGTATGTTGGAAGTTAAGAAAGTTTTAATGTTTATATATGAATATTATTTATTATGCTTGACTTTGAAAAAGATTTTTATAAGTTTGTTAAGGCTTAATTAGACAAAAAAAAAGGGATCAAGTAGAATGGAACAGATGAATCATCTGATGAAGAGGAGACACTCAAGAGTAATTTCATATCTCTTATAAAGAAAATAGGCTAGTAAGTGAGAACATCAATAAAGTACTTTAAAATGAGAGAAAAAAGATGAAAATCAGCAAAATATCTAAGGAGTAGCATTTTGAGAATAAAATGAAGGATTTTGCCAACATGGACACATTTATTGATGTTAAACAATTCCTCAAAAATCTCAACGATTCATAAAAGAAAAAAACCCATAAAAGAGTGTTTAAGGCATTCAAACGTAGTTCTTCGGATAGTGACAATGAGGATTTATTTGATTACGCAGAAATTGTCTCTAAAAGTAAAAAGTACATTGCAAAATCTCAAAAACAAAGAGCTAAACCAAATATCGAAAGCTACCTTCAATTTGAAGATTAACAACTTTAGAAAACTGAAAAAATAGTTGAGGGGAAAACGACTAATGAAAAGTTCTACACTGGAATTGATGTATTAATATCGGATATTAATCAAAAAAATGCTCAATCGGAAATAGATAAATAATATGAAAAAGAGAAGAAAAGACACAGGGATTCTATGAAATCAGAATAATATATCCCATAAATTCATCATTTGGATTTCGAAAAGGATGAAGTAACAATTAAAGCAGGAAAGAAATTCAAAGAATAGTCTAAAAAAGTTTTATAACTTCTTGAGAAAACGACAAAAATGTTATATAGAAATAGATTGCCCCAACCTCCTAATCCAAAAATCTTAAAGCAATAATAATAATAATTGAAAGAATTGAAATCACATCCTATATCTGTTGAAATCAGAAGTTCGAAACAAATCCTTACGAAAAGTCGTAGCATTAGCAAAGACATTAAATTGCCCACAATTAATGGACAAATCAAAGGTAAAATTGTAAAAAGGATTACTCCCTTACATTAATTAAGTCAAGCAACCTTACCAGAAATTAAGCCAGGATCTTTTGTGTCTCTTAGAGAAGATAAAGTTTTAGAGGATTTTCATTACTTTAAAAGCTAGAAGCATATTGCTAAATAAAACTCTCTACCCAATAATTTTAGCCATCATAGTCTAAGCTTTGATGTTAAAAATTAGATTTGTGACTTTATTACTTAAGTAAATTGTATGATATTTATTCTAGTTGGATAATGCTTAAGAATAGTTCTAGAGGATGTATCCTTCAGATAATTAATTATAAAAAATATAGAATAATATGAGTAGAAAAATGAATAAGATTGGCAAAACTCCTTTGGAAAGCTTGAAATACTTGACTAGAAGAAAATTTAATTTTTCTAGAAAGTTGGAGATTAAAAGCAAAAAAAGTGAAGTTCATCATCAAGTTTTTTGAATAAAAAGTGATTACAATTATATTGAATCTATTTTTTAGTTGATATTTAACTTAAATCTCAAATCAATTCTGTTACTTCCTTACACATATCATATATCAATTATTTTCTTAATAATTTTCCAATTGATTTTATAATTGAATATGTCATCCATTCTGAATAAATTTAGGAAGCAACCTCAAAATGATGTACCTGCAGGAATTAAAATCGAGAATACTTTGTTTGGATAGCAACAAGGAACTTATCAACCACCCATAATTCCATCTGTTTAATTATCTCAAACCAACCAACCAAGATAAAAAGGAAGACCCGGAGGAGGTACTATAATTCTATAATTTTTTAGGCTGGGATGATGAGCCTGAACCATAATAGTAATAATAATAAACATCCTCAAACAAGCCTACGAATACGATTAATCTAATTAATGATACCCCACCTAGGTAAAATGAAAATAAAGCGAACTTTGACATACTATTACCACCACAACCTTCCAACAACAACATACAATTAAGTAGAGTGAGTGAGTATACAAAAGGACAACTATTAACTCATGAAGAATTAGAGATCGGAGGATTGTACTAATACTTTATATCATTTTAGTGAATTTGAATTCCATATTGTAGAGGAAGCTATTAAATTAGGCGGTATTAAATTGAAGTAGAGTGATTCAGTCCTTAAGGAATTTGCAAGAGCTTGTTAAACTTTACAGGAATAATTGATAGGAAGCATCCTTTTGAATAAGCTCTATAGTGAAGAGAATTGGAAAGTTCAAATTGTAAACAAATTTAATCAATTTGTAGAGATGCATTTATGCAATTCAATTTATTAGTTAATAATATCAAAACTATAGAGAATTCTTTTTAATTAATTAGAATTACTTAAAGATAGATACGGATTAATAAATATTATAATCAGCAATTGAGTAAACTCTTTTAGAAATTAATGGATAGCAATAATAGAAGCAGAAGGTATTATTTCACTATATTTTCTAAGGAGATTTAATTTGAATTTCGTGAACCCCCTAAACCATAATAAAATATAGTATAACAACAATAAGCAAATCTTTTTGAAATAGGAATTAACGAAGGATAACAGAAATAATAACAACAATAAAAACTAGATTTAAAATCCCTAAAGATTAAATAACCTGAGGTGAAGCAATAGACTCAATAAAATACTCAAATAGATTTATTAGATGCATTCAATTAAATGTCTGTATCAAATCCCAATTAAAACTAATAATAATAATAAAAACAAGGAATTAACTTTGATGAAATATTAAATACTTAGACAACTCAAAATGTATAATAGCCATAATAAAAAAAGAATGCCTTTGGTTTTCTCAAAAAGGATCAGCAGCAATAACCTTAATAACAGCCACCACCTCAATAGTTAAAATAAGAATAATCCTAATTAAACACACTTTTATTGCAAGCACCTCAATAATTATACTAACAATCAGCACCAAATTAATAATAGATTTCAAATATTCCCTATGGATAGCCATCAAATTTATACAACCTATAATAATAAGTCTAGTTTGGATAAACAAATTATTCCTAAGCGTTTGCTCAATTTAACATCCAATAATAACAATACAATTTGGTTTAGTAAACTCAGTTTACTTAAGAATAGCCATAGTAAAAGCAACAGCCTGCACCAAAAGAGAATGCTTTTGATTTCCTAAATTTCTGATTGTTATATAAAATATTAAACAAATTACATAATGTAAAAAAGCAATTCTTATCATATAAAAACACCAAGGAAATATCGACAACCAAATATTATATCATAAGAATTATTGTAAAAATTAACTCAATCGAAACCAGAAAATAGATAGGAGAACGAATATTTTGATAAACATGCATAAATGAATGAAGCCAAAAAAGTAAAATAAATTTCTAGATCTATTGAAGGAGGATCTTAAAGTTATAGAGAAATAGTATAATAAAGTTTACATCTTTTAAATTTGAATAAAAACAGTTTAGAAAAGGAATTGAATTTGAAAAATTAAAATGATGAAATACAAAGAACAGAAAAAAAGTCAAGGCATGTCAGTCATGTTAGTTAAATATTGACGAAAAGGAATAGAACTGATAGCAATTCTTTAACTCCAAGGAAGGTAGGGGTAAATGATTTTATCCTAAATGCAAATGCTTTTTTAAAGGAAAAACAATTGGAAAATCAATTAGACAAGTTGTCTTATCAAATAGTATAACTTTAAAATAAATCTAATAAACTGGAAATACAAAATAGATTGCTGTTTGCAAATATATAATAATATTAATAAGATTCTCATAACCTAAAAGTAATATGACTTTTATAATTAGGATAGGCACTCTCTTATTCAAAAACTAGATACAATGATTTTAATGTAGTAACGTTAGGAAGAAAATCTTAATTACTTTAAATAATTATTTAAGGAGAATAGTAATGAAAATAAGAAAACACAAAATTCCCTCCCAAAACTTCGACAGGCAGGTTTATCAGCATATCTTGGTTTAAATATTTGATTTAATTAATTCTTCGCCAATTTATATAAAATTCTTAAATGCACAAAACTCATGACTAAATTACACAAGAAAGTTAACAAGATCTTTTTAATGAAAATACAAACTCATCCTTGCTAGGAGTTAAATCTTATTAGTAGTACGCCTATAGATGGATAATTTTAATATGTTTTCTAGGTGTTGTATTTATAAATGGGATTGCATATCAAACTTTTATTCCAAATGCAAAATAAGTATAATATGATGATAATTAAAGTTTATAGAATTATATGATGTAAGCGAATAAATAATAACATTATCGGGAACAATATTTTTGATAATGTAACCATTGTTTACATTTTTTGCCTCATCATGTATCTATAAATTTAAAATAAGTCATTGTTAAGAAAGGATTCGCGTTATCGTTAAATTTTGGTGTTTTGCTAACAATAATTGGATATGGAATAAGATTATTTATAAATAAATTTTCATTTTCTATTGTTATTTTAGGATAGGCATGTTTAGGAATTTCAAGACCCTTTATATTGAATGGTCAGATTACCATGGCATAAAATTGGTTTTATCCCTCAAATAGGACTGCTGTATTAACAGCGTGCAATGCATTTTAAACATTTTCAATGATCATAAGTGTGATATGGCCAGCAAACTGGATTTTTCAAGATTATTCTTATACAGATGAGTTGAGAGAAAAAGGATTGGAATTATCTTTGAAACTCTAATACTAATAATTCTTTCTAAGTCTTGTTCTTATTCCTGTAATATTTTTAATTCGAAATAACCCAGTAACTCCTCCTTCAGGATTTACAACTGCAGACAATGAAGTTGGAGTTTCGGAGTCAATAAAAAAATTACTAAGAAATGGAAATTTCTTACTCATTCTTTTAACATATAGTTTATATTTTGGAACTATCAAGGGATATGGATTAAATGTACCATATTTAATGTCTCCTTTTGGATTCATTGATACTCACTATTCAATTGCTTCTTCAATGCTAATAATAGGTGGATTTATATCGGCAGGAATGGTCTCTAAGGTTGTTTAAAAATTTAAAAGGTATAAGGCGATAGGATTGGTTTTGCTATCAATTTCTTTAGTCTTAGCAATATTGACATATCCTATAATGATGACTAAGCAATTCATCCCTTTATGCATTTAATAGTTATTATTAGGATTTTTCTTAATTCCAATGGTTCCAGTTTTGATGGAATTTGGATGTGAAGCCATTTACCCATTGAATGGCAGTTTTTCTATTGGACTTATGGTCTCAGGGGCAACAATAGCAGCTTTGTTGAGTAGCATTTTATTAACCTATACGGCTAAAGGCAAAGATAGTGACAAGTAAAGTGCTTTAATAACTACTATCTTATGCTGCAGTATATTTTTAATCGGATAAATATTATTTTTATTCACAAAAGAGATTGAAAATAGAACAAAAGAGCAGGAAAAAGAAAACAAAAATATATTGAAATTAGACTCCTCTAATACTAATAATAAAAATCATTAAACTTCAATTAATGAATCTTTTGATTCATTTAACAATAAAACCAAAGATATTTCTGCAAAGGAGCATTTGATTATTGATTAAAATTAATTTTTAAACAATGGTGATGAGATTAGCAGAATTGAAAAAAAAAATTGATAAAAAATAATGAATTTTAACAAAATATATATATATATATGATTTACATTGTATGTTTAATAATCATCAGTCTCATAATAACAAATATAAATAAATTTTATTCTTATAAATAATTTTAAATGATGTATTTGAAATAGAAATAATTAAACAAAACCAATTTATATATGAATAATCTACTTAAAATACTCTCATTTCAATCCCTTCTCTTGTTATGATTTAGACCAGGCCTAAGCGATTGTCCTCTTCATTTCATCATCTCCATTTTAATACATTTCCTTCATCATATTCATTAAAGAAGCTTGCGGGTCCTCTTTGTCTACCTTTGATGAATCAGTGTTTATCTAAGATAAATTCTTTTAAATACTAGTTTTTCTTTATATGCCAATTGATCCCAATGCTTATTCTCTTTTTTGATCAAATTAACAACCAATGAGTTATTAGTAGTTTTGACAGAACATTCTCGATCTTTCAAATCATCAAAAGTCTTCTTAATGCCGAATCTAAAATGGCATACAATACATACCTTTGATTAATTCCCTTGTAATTCAAAATCTTGACATCTACACTTTGAGTAGAAAAAGAACTCATTATATTCTCTTTAGGTAATTGTCCTATTCCATCCAGACTAATAATTATTTTTATTTTGTTCCCTTCTTAGTCCCAAGCATATTTAGTTATTCCTTAATACTAAAGAGTATCTGAATCCTTAGGACTTGCTTCTTGTTGTTTTTCAGGTTACTCAACTTTTTATGGAGTGAGTATTTTAATAGAGTTTTCTAAGTATTTGATTCTATTATTCAAATATTCGATATTGCCTTTGCGTTTTAATGTTCCTAATACTTATTAAACTTCTGCTAAATCTAGTTAGAGATTCTCAAGTTCAGACATTAATGCGAATAATTGGAATTTTATTAAAATATGTGTTGAGCAATCAAGCAAATTAAAATAACTCAATTTCTAGAATTTTTCTATTAAGTTATCTCCTTTATAATTATTAAATTAACTTATATTAATTCATTATTATTATAGATATTTGAAATGGAGCTATCATAATTTATTAATAAAATATATAATGAGTTATCTAAATTGTAAGTGGAAATAACATTACATAAAAAAGTCTGCAAAGATTACACAATTACCGAGGATTCGATTTCAAAAGGATATTAGGGCTAAGTCCATTGATGATATATTCGAGAAAACCAAGCTCAATTCTTAAAGAGATGAAACCAAAGAAGAAGACAACATATTAAGAAATAGTGATAGAGTAATGTATAATTGGGTAATAATATTTTGAATAGTGGAGTAAGCAAGAATATAGCAAAATACTAAAGAGGAACCTAAATTCAGATCAGTTTCAGTTGCTCTTATAAAACAAAAATTATAATATGAATATGAAGAAGATATTACTACTATACATAATAAATGTGGGATTAAGGTTGTGAATTAAGCTTAATAAATGCATAATAAAGCATAACCCTAATCAAATAATCTCAGCGACTACGAAAAATAGAAATAATAAGTGAATGAGATCTTTAAGAGTCTTTACACATCTCATTAAGAAAAGCGACTCAACATCGAAAGAATAGTAAGTGATCGACCTTAAAGGATGAAACCTATAGATTGGAATGAAGTGAGAAGAAAATTACCTAAAGATTAGATAGGAACCATTTATGATCCTACAAGATTCTAGAACTTATATGAAAAATTCAACAATGAAATTGAAGCGAATGTTCCTCATGGACCATTTATCAGTTTTCGTCAATTTTTGAGGGAAAGAAGAGGACACTTCAAAGATTGATATATAAAATTGATTTCTAATTTAAATTAATTTATTAAATCTTATACATTTTCTAAGAAAATAAATTTATTATAGCTGAAAAAGCTTTAATTTTTAACAAAAGGATTTGATATTAAATCACCTCTTTTATTTAATGAATGATTTACTCAATTTATATGCATATTATAATTAAAATTAAACAAAAAGCCTGATTTACTTGAAATATTTGAGCTCTTAGACAATTTAATATTTATAATCAACCTATAAAGCAAAAATTCATTTTTATTTTTATGATTATGTCTAATTGGAATGCAGTTTTTCATAATATTTGATTTTCTCAATACAAACTGAATTCAAATTGCATAGTTATTAAACCTTGTATTACAAATCATTATTCTCAATAGTCCTTTCTTCTAATTATTTTTATAACTACTGATATTGGCGTCCTTAAAATTAATATTAAGCCTCAACAATCTATAAATCTTACTTTAATTTAATTAATTCATCTTTAAGTTAAACATTTTCAAGCTTAAGTTTTTTTATTTCTTCGCTTTCGTTTTGGCTCAAGGCTTTTGAGGTCATAGACTTTTTGTTATAGTGGATTGCGTACATCTATATCATTGTTGCTGTACAAAAAATCTAATGAGTTGATCAACAAAGTAAATTCAACAAAAGCTTTAGTGTCAGGACATTAAATTAGATTTATAGAGTATTCCTTTTATCTCATATTTAGATTGAGAGCAACAGATATGTCAAATTTTGCAAAGCCGGCAATCCTTTTAGATTTCCCATCACTTAAGACTACATTAAGTTTTCTCTTATATACAATAAGTGCTGCAAACTTACAATTTTTTCTTCATACTTGAGATTAACTTTTGTAACAACGCATTTCACTTCCATATATTATTCATATTAATGATTAATCTTCATATAATTGAGCAATGACACATGTTTATCTTGACTTTTTATTTCAATATTGAACGCTATGTCTGAATTTAATGTCAATTGTAGTCTCTTAAATATGATTGTATATGTTAATATTTATTACATTATAATATTATAAATATTTTATATATTATAAGTGTCAAATATGAAAACTCTCTCCGCAACCACATTGGCCTTTTTGATTTGGATTCTTAAAGACAAACTCACTTTTAATGTCGTCTTCTACGTAATCCATTTCAGTTCCTACTAGCACCATCACAGCTTTGGAATCAACGATAACCTTCACGCCTAGGGTTTTAGTAGATAACAACCTTTTGCTTCGACTACTTCATCTAATTTATCAGGTCCAGAACAATAGTTCATTGTGTATGATAATCCATTACAGCCTCGCTTCCTAACTCCTATTTTGACTGCATCAATTGCTGGATTATTCTATTATTTCATTAGCTCTGTGATTCTTTCGGCAGCTTTATCACTCTAGAATTAGAATAAAAATACTATCGTAATGAGGTTTCTTTTTGGTCTAAGCTTTGTTATAGTACTCATATAAAATTTAATCATTAATTTATATAATGTTGATAATATATAGATCAAATAGTATTTAATAGATGCTCAATCGTTAATTCCTAATATAAATTGGTTTTGAATTTTGATAAATTCTTCGAGGGGATGTCCTATTCCTACATCAACTCAAGCAAGTAAGTAGTCAGATATTGTAATTCCCTATCTGAACAATTATCATAAAAAGGGATGATAGGGATACCATTTTCTATTTAAAAACAGAAAGAGTAGGAAGCGTTGTCAACTAAGACAAGATCTTTGAGGTTTCTATTTCCCAACACTCTTAAATCCTTAATATGGAGACCATCATCCACAACAACACAACTTTCCCTAAAAAATCTATGATGAATCCATTTTTTGTCTGGGTCTATGTAATTGATGACTTTCTGAGCATAACATTCATGTGAGGCAGTAAATACTATGATTTCATACTTTTGACTCAGTATGGCTAACATTTCCCTACAATATGGTCGAAGGTTGATTCCAGCTTGAACAGTTTCTCCGGTGGGAAATTTAATGGTTAACACTATATCTGAGGGATCATCGTTAGATTCTTAGCAATGAATTAAAGTTTCATCTAAATCAAAAACGATAGTTTTTTTGACTACATAAATTTAAGTAATTACATTTATTATCTGGTAAATTGACAATTTTATTAGAAATGGCATTTAAAGAGGGCTTTACAATATCCTTGCAATATTGAAGTGCATGATAGCTTTGCTAAAAATGATCTTAGTAAATGTCTAAAAAGTACTAATTAGTTTTTTGGTTAAATAGTTATTTGATTTCATTCTTCGATTATTTGTTATTAAAATATCTCAAGAAGCTCATATAGTATTCGAAATCATTGTAGGGTGACTGAGGTCCTAAGCTTTGTTTAGGCATTAATCTCCTATCTGGAGAGACACTCCTCATTTTCATTTTGGTCTCTCTACTCATAGTAAGAGTAGGAGTATAAATATTTTCTTTAGTAGCTCTTCTGATCGGACTGTTCATCCTTTTCCGATCTTACTATCTTTTGGGTATGATATTAGCACCCTTGGAGAGACGCATGACATATTTAGACAAAGGAGCGGATATTGGAGGAGACATTAATGGGGTTGAAGTTTTTGGCTCAGAAGTGTTTTAATCTTATTCTGAGAGTGCAAATATAGTCACTTGTTTGGGAATTTCAATGTCAGGAATAGTTTGCTGTGACTCTTCTTTTTCTTTTAGTACTTCTTTTTATCCTGAACTATTGATTCGTTAGCGTTCTTGGAGTTTATTTTACATGGTTCTTTGTATTAGTGTAAGTTTCTTTTATTGCTGTGGTTATTATTTTTTATCGCTGTCAAGAGTGCGAGTTGATTTTGGAGGTTCTGGCAATGACAATTTAGGATCACATCGTTGGATATTTTTTTATTACACTATCGTATTTTTGGCAGACGGGATTCGTTTTTAAGACGATTTAGGTCTTGAGTTGACCAATGCTTATAGCAACGAAGTCGTAGATTACGTTTACTAAATATTCGCAACAGAGCCGTTGTTTCTAAGCATAATTTTAATTATGAATTAAAAAGTCAAACTAAATTTATTGTGAATATATTTATAGGCTCTTTATTTTATATATATATATAAATGCTTTAAACGGATCAAGTTCCCCCCGTTAAGATAAATAATTAATAAGCAGAATGTGATTTTTATACATTTTGTTTAAGCACAACACAACACTTAATTAAAATAATATTTAATGAGAAGTTTAAGCAAGATCTTATTTAGGCGTCCTCAACTTTGGCTGTCACGAGTTACACCTGCTTTGGGTTAAAAGTCAATGTTTAAATACAGTGCAAGTATGAATTGTACCAATTGTTTAGATTCAAACCATTTCTTAAATAGCAAACTCAAAACCATTCCCTTGCAGAATTATAAGGCAGATTAGAGTGAAATAGATTCTAAAGTAGAGCCCACTGATTTCTGTCTCTTTAGTTCAATTCAGCCGATCTTTCCCAATAATCCCATGAATTGTCAGATCAAAATCGGAAATTTGAAACGAATCACCAAGCCACTCCTATACTCCATTATTTCCCCTGACAACGGAGAGATTTTCACTATTGGCATAGCTTTGAGTAAATCAGTCGAAAAAAATTTAAATGCCGAATTAAAACTCTTAGAATAACGAGATGCGAATGGTAACATTTTGATTAATGATCCAATAAGCAACACATTTAATTTAGATATAATATCAAAACAAGTATGAGACTAAAATATTTAGAAAAATTATCGATTCAAAATAACTAAAATAGAAATGACACCCGACGGAATATTTGCTCAAGGAGTACCGTATAAAGATAGACCATTAACATAAGCAGAATAAATAATCGATATCCAACACGAAATTCGTATGGTGAGTTCACTTGTACAATAAATAAGGAAATTAGCCTAATATGATAGAGTTGAAGTATTATCAGAAGTTAAGTATTCCCTATTGGATTCTAGTGAAAAACTCACTCCCAATTAGGTTGACGAATTAGTGTTCTAAATTGCCGCGGGTCTCTCCAAATTATTCACAAACAACCTGAAAATGAATACATCCAATTTTGTTTAACAATTATTGGAGAGTCAAACATACATTGATAGACTCTTCATTCTTAGGAAACAGTTGGAGAATATTTCAGGAGTACTTGATCTAGTGAACAAGCATTTCAAGGAGGCAGACTCCTCTCTATTGAAGTTACATCAATAAACTCTAGCCAAATTAGCAACTGAATACATTCGATAAAACTATTTGAAGGACGCTTCTCAATCTTAATAATAAGGAGGGACTGCTGGATCCTAATAACTTGGTGGTGATAAGGTACATGTTTCTACAATTAATTTAAAGTAATCATCATTAGTAAAAAAGTACTACGATAAATTATCATTAATTACTGATGAATCCTCAAGAGAAAAAGTTAAACGAGAAATCGAAAGATTCAGTTTATTAGAAAAACAGAGCTCAGAATTTCATAAAATCAATTCCTATTTGGATGAAGTCTTTAGTATTCCGTTTCAAAAATTTACAGTAATCTATTCAAATGTAAGTAGCCTGTTCAATGGGATATATAATTTGCAAAGGATGTTCTTGACAAAGAAATAGAAGGCTTAGAGAAAGTCAAAGAAAGAATTATTGAAATGATATCAGTCAACAAATTAAAGAATGCAGGTTCTAAAGCTAAAGGGTTTATTCTATTGCTAAATGGTCCCCCAGGAACTGGAAAGACATCAATAGCCAAGAGCATTGCCAAATCCTTAAAGAGAACTTCAAGATTCATTTCATGTGCTGGAGTTGCAGATCCAACTTTCTTCAAGGGACACAAACGTACTTACGTAGACTCAATGCCTGGAGTGTTTATCAGAGAATTAATCAAATCTAATACTATGAATCCTGTGTTCATACTCGATGAATTGGATAAGGTATCGAAACATCATTCAGGCGGTGCTGATCCTTATTATACCTTATTGGAAATCTTGAATCCTGAGGAGAATCACAATTTCACCGATCATTACATGGATATCAGTGTAGATTTTTCACATGTTATTTTTATTCTCACATCTAATGACACACTTTAAATGTTAGAACCACTTAAAAATAGATTAGAAACTATTGATATCTAGGCTTATATTTAAGAAGAGAAATTACAAATAGCCACCAACTTCTTGGTTAATAAAAGCATAGAATCAAATGGTATCTAATCCTAAATGATTAAATATGACGAATAAGCCTTGACCAAAATCATTAAAGCCTGGTGCTACTAAGAAAGTGGAGTCAGAGAATTAAAGAGATGCTTAGAAAAGATTGCAAGGAAACATGCTACTAATCTATTAGCTGCCAATCCTAATCTCTGTGATAAAGTTGATGAATTAAATCAAATCATTTTTGATCCTACAAGTTAAAGTTTAGACTTAACTAAGGATCAAAACTTAGAATTGATATCTTAATATTTAGGTCCTCCTGTTTTTGATATCCAATTAGAACAAAGATCCATTAAGAAATTTCCACCTGGACAAGTCAACATTTTGACAGTAGGCGGAATGATTGGACATGTTTTAACTGTTGAAAGTTGTTTTGATTTGAGTGAAACAGAAAAGAAGGGTTCAATATAAGCCTCAGGAAATATCAAATTAGTTTTATAAGAGTCTCTTAAGCTAGCCAAGATAAATGCATTTAAATTCTTGAATGAAGAACTAAAACTAAAATTATAGAACTCTGCAATTCATATGCATTTCACAGAAGGAGCCACTCCAAAAGATGGTCCTTCTGCAGGAACTGCTATTACAACAGCTTTATTAAGTTTAGTTATGAATGTTGTTGTGCCCAGTAACTTAGGGATGACAGGAGAAATATCATTAAATGGATAAGTTTGTAAAATAGGTATTTAATACTTTAATTAATAGGTGGACTATAACAAAAATTGATTGCTGCAAAGACTCTGGATATTGTTGACATCATTCTTCCATATGCTAATTTAGGGGATGCATTAAATTTACCACAACAACTCATCAAAGGCCTAAACTTATACTTTGTCACAGATTACAGACAAATTTACGAATTGATATTCGAGCAACAGATGGCTAATAATAATTATACAATTAATAAAATTAAAAATGGAGTATATGAAACAGATTAAAATGGAACTAAAGAACAAATATAATGTACAATTAATTATTGAATAAATAACTGAATCATTATTATTGTTATTAATAAATTTCGAAATCTACATTTCACTTTTATAAATTTAATGTTCTGAATATAAAATAGTTTTATTTCAAAATATCTATAAAAATTCCCTAGGAGTAACATATCTCAGTTTTTCACCATCTTCTACGAAAACTACCTCATGTCTTTCAACAATCCTTTCTAATTGATTTTAGTCTAATGAATTAGGAACAACAACAAAATCTTTGGATTGCACTTTTTTGACCAAATCTCTCTAAATTTAATAGAAATAAGTAATTACATTATTTAATTTCTTATCAACCATTCCAGCCAATAATTTCTTCTAAAATACAACAGAATATAATATTCCATCTTTTGATAATGGCACAGCAGGGTATGTTCTTAAGTAATCCAAACATTCGCCTATGGTAGTGGTCTCAACACTCAATAGAGTGATCTCAGGAAGATTAAGTTCAGATATTGGTTTACCAGCTAATGGATGATCTGGCTCTTTCAATTCGTCATAAGACATCAATCTATTCTCTATCATCCAAGTTTTATTTAAGTGTTTAGTCATATAATTTCTGATATTGTCTGGTAATATGATCACAATCTACAATTTAATTCATGAGTTTACCCTTTACTATTCTGTAAAATTTTGTGATTTAGCCCATTCAAGAGCTCCCCAAACATTAGCTCCAGAAGAACCTCCACAAAGTAGACCTTCTACAGCCATCAATCTGCGAGCCATGTTTAAACTATCTTTGTCATTGGACTTGATCCAACAATCAACTTCTGTCTATTGAAAAATTAAATAAAAAATTACTCTATCAAGAGCTTTTGGTATAAAATCATAACCAATGCCTTCAACCTTATAGGATTTGATATCCGTCTTATTAATCTCTGGAGGCAGTGCTAGATCTGAACCATAAGGATCTACGGCAATGACCTTACATTCAGGGACTCTCTCATGAATTTTTCTACCTACTCCTGTGACTGTTCCTCCTGTACCTGTTGACATAACAATAGCGTCTAACTTATCATCACAGGCCCATAGAATTTCTTCTGCTGTTCCTTCATAATGAGCTAAGGGATTTGATGGATTTGAATATTGATCTAAGAGGATAATGTCTGGATTCTCAGCTGCCATCCTTTTAGCCACTTAGATTAGTGACTCAGGTTCATACCAGGCTGCTTCTGTTGGTGTTCTAATCACCTTAGCTCCAAGTCCTGTTAAAACATCCTACTTCTCCTAAGACATCTTTTCAGGCATAGTTATGTATAGAGGATATCCTTTAACAGCGCATGCCAATGCCAATCCTACTCCTGTGTTCCCAGAAGTGGCTTCGACTATTGACTTTCCTGGTCCAAGTCTTCCTTGTTTTTCTGCATCAACTATCATTCTCACTCCTATTCTATCTTTGATCGATCCAGCTACATTAACAAACTCACACTTCACCAACACTTCACATTTCAAACCAAATTCTTTTGGAATTTTGTTTAAACGAATCATTGGAGTATGGCCAATTGCATCTAGAGCATCACTGTATATCTTTTTGAATGGTACAAACTGGGAGTGAGAGTGAGGTGTAGGTGCTTGTTATTATGCCAGACCTCTTTTATAAGTGCATTGTATAGTGTCTTTGGAAGTGTCTTAAATCATTTTATAAATAAGCCAATTTTAATGAATGGGGGAGGCTTTTATAAGTACGGGGTAGGGATAATGCTACGAACTGAATATTCTAAATTCTGATATTAAGATGGTTTAAATAATTGTATAACTCAAAGTATGGATTATTAATGATTAAATTAAAATTGTTAAATTATTTTTATATGATTATTTAATATTAATATTTAATTTAATTTAGCTCCTGAAAATTAATTATTATAAAAATTAATATTATACTATAAAACATTAATAAAAAATAAAATCATTCAAGTTGTTACAATTTTTACAATTCATTTTGTTCCTCATCTTCAACATCCATCCATGTTTCTTTTTCCAATTGATCCTTTAATTCTAATGTAGCTGTCCAAATTTCCTTATTTTATTAATTATTATCATATACTTAATCTTCCTTAGCATCAGGCAATTGAAGAATTCCATTCACTAATTTTTAGCTCTCCTCATATTTCTAGGCCTTCCACAATGCAAAAGCCAACATATATAAACTTTCTGGATCTTCAGCATTTCTATCTACTAGCATTCTCAATATTTTAATTGATTAGTCAAATAGTTCCACTTCCACTAATAATTTACCAACTTGTAATATAAAGTCCTCATCATATTCTTCCATCTCGACCTCCAGCTTTTCATATATAACTCTTAAGTCTTTTTTGGCAGCCTCTTCATCTTCTTTATTGAGATGAAAATTAGCCAATTGTAGAAATGCATCTAAATTCAAAGGATCATATTTGAAAGCATTATTTATTGCATCGATACAAGTTTATTCTGATTCTTTGAATTATAATAAATCAGTTTAATAAACTTCAGCTATGGCAGCAAAAGCATCGCCTATATCCCTCTTAGATGCATTCCTCTGTAAGGCCAGCTAAATTCCATACTCATATATCTAAATGGCCTGCTTTCCTTATTGAGTCTGCGCATATTTAAACAATAATTTGTAACAATGTTCATACGAACTAGTTAATTTAATTTGTGGACGTACGTGATTAAGTCTTATTAATTTAAGTATGGAGTGAGTGCTTGTTACAGTTCCTCCACTAGACCCATCTATTCCAAACAATCCGTGTATTGATCTAATGCTTCAATGTTTTTGGGGTTTCTTTTGAGGTACACCTGATATGCAGATTTAGCTTATTCGAGATGAAGAGCTTCATATAGGTCATTTGCGAAATGAAGAAGGGTCTCACTTGAATGATATCAAATATCTTACTTGTCCATTGCTGTCACCTTATCCCAATCTATTGTGCTCTCCTCCATTCTTAATCTTTTATTAATTTAAATAAAATTTGAGAAGAAATTCTCTTTCGTAAACAATCTAGAATAAAATACATATATTATAGCAAAAAATCAATTTTTTCTACGTCTATTGTGCTTTTTCTTTTAAACCTTCTTTAAATCTTCCTAATAAAATTCCTTACGATTATTGATAATCTCTCCATCCTAAACAAGTAATGCTTCCTGAGTCTAAAATGCTTAAGTCTTAAAAACTGGATGTTTAAGCTTAATGTTATCTATTTCAGTAGCCAAGTTCATTGAATTATCCCATTTTCCTTTAGAGAAGTTGACTCTAGAGTCCTTCAATTACTGAGTAATTGCATCTAAGAGACCCTTGTCTATAACATCAATCTCTTTTCCATCTAATTCCTTCTTTTCCTTCTATGCATTGATTAAATAGAATATCTCATTAATTTCGTTCTCACACTTCCTAGAATAATAAAGATCCCAAGGTAATTGGGTTAATTCTTTTTGAGAATCCAAAACATTGATTATAATGATTCCTTAAGGTGTAAGTAATGTCCTAAGTTTATTAAGAAATTCAGCAGACAAGAACTATTTAGGTGGTGATAATTAATTGGCTTGAGATGCTAAAAAATAAGAAATATAGATTACCATTTATATCAACAATGATGGTGTCATATTGATGGCATTCTAGAGTTTAATCTACATAATCAAGTGCATCACAACATACTAAAGTCTCTGACTCTGTATTTTTGAAATCAAAGAATGTTTTTGCAATATTCACGATATCATCACTTAATTCGATATTGGTAACCTTGACTCCAAAATGTTCATTAATGAATCTGCTCAATAAACCAACACCTCCTCCCAATATAAGCACTTCCTTTGCTTTATTAAATGCTAATCCTGCAACTATTGCAACATATGCTTCGAAATCTAGATATGAATTATCCACTTTATTGTTGATTATTTTGGCTTCACTCTAAATCAAATCCAAAGCACTCTTAATTATGAGTCTCCTATATTTAATATCATCAATATTTAGTTCTTCTACTATGCAATCATCAGCTTCAAATATTATATTCTTTTCTCCAATTTCATCCCCATCTGTTAAAAATGGACAAGGAATATTAGTGCAACCCTTCGGTATTAATTATTTCATAGGTTCAGACAATTCCTGTTACACTTATTTCATATTGTTGAATTTGTGTCCTGGATTCATACGTGCTATTACACATCTTGACATTTTCATTTATTTTATTAATTCTTTGTGTCCTTATTCAGTTCCAAATAAGAAAGATTACTCTCTTCCTTAAGGAACGATAAAACAGCCACAAGTTTTCTATAATAAAATTTTGCTGTCATCGTTATCATAGATATCCAATTTATATCTAGGAGTTTGTTTATTGTTATTATCCCAAATATCTAAAGTGAAGCTTTGACTTTATCTAAGTTTATGGATTGATGTAACAAAATGATTCTGTAATTATATCTTCTTTATTATTTCTTATGCCTATTTAAAGGTTAGAGTCTGAACTTCCTTTTGTAATTAGTAGAATTAAATTGACTTTTGCTCACTTTTATCAATAACGATAAAAAATGGATAAAGTTTACTTTTCTCAATTACACATTCATAAATTTGGATATTGACTTACAATTACAATAGAGTTTTTAGAATATGATCTTGTAATAGAGATATAATGATGAATTTGCCGTTCTTCTTTAATATTCTGAGCATATTTGCTAGATAAGCATTAACTTAAGGTGTTTCTTCATCTGGAAATATAGCATCAAGAGTTCCCTTGTCTAGAATAACATCGAATTATTCAGATTGAATATTGATTTCTACAGTCAAGGACATGCATTAAAATGTCATTTCTGGTCTCTTATTCTCAGATCTCTTGCGCATCTAATCTAAAGACTAATAAGGTTAAGTAATCAATTTTTACAATTTTTTCATAATCAACATTTGTTATATTTTTGCAAATGCCATTGTCATAGAGTTATTCAGATAATAGTGATTTACCACAACCTGCATGGAATACACTGTCTTCCATTTTGATATATTTTTTAAACAAATGGTTGTAGCTATCATAATTGCCATACCACTCAAAGAATTCATTCTATTGACCCTCTTTCTTAATCTTTTTGAAGAATCTTTACCAATACTGTTTATTCATAAAATCTCGACATTATGTAGGCAATACTCCTTGCATTTACCACAAAAATTAATTTAATAATAAATGAACGATCTTCGAATGCACAAGTTATAACAATTCTTCTCTAAATCGAACATCTACCAAAATAATTCGATTTAACAAATAGAACGATAGAAGCTAACTATCTCCAATGATGTAGAACTTAAGGATTAATCACAAATTGAAGATAAGATGATTCCTGTTGTTCGTCCTTACTAAACTGATTTTGATAAAGATATGTGTAAAATCAATTTAAATACTTAGATCTTATGGCGAAACCACTGATACAACCATTAATTTAATTGAATATAGTTAGCAAACCTGAAATCAATAATGTGAATCTTTCGCACTAATTACATAACTAGTTAGACAAAGCAATCAAAAGATCTGAGAATTTTCTAACTCTTAAAAAACAACCTAATCACTTTCTTAATCAATTGAGATAATAAAACAAACAAAATCAATTAACAGAAAAGAAATAGCAAAATTCAGCTCCTAAAAAAGAAATCAAACAGATTGATTCAAATGACTATGATTTCAAAGCAATCAATAAAAGACCACTACCTGATTAAACTACAGGCATTAAACTGCCTAAATCCATCAAAGACATCTATTAAATTGGACAAACTGCTGATGATCTATAAGCAAATGATGAATCCTTTCTCTTCAAAGAAGAACCAAATTCATAGCAAGTCGTAACTAAAATTGATTTTGATTGTCTCTTGAATATAGCTGCTGGTTAAGTCGATGAGCATACGATGGCTGAATTAGTTAAAAATGTTATTATTGCAAAAAAGAAGGAACTTAATAATCCCCTATTAAATAGTTCCATAGAATAATGTGATGTATCAGTGGAAGCATACCCTATTAAACAAGATTAATATGTTTAAATGTCATCCAAAGCATTACCAAATGTGTAAACCGTTTTAAATGGGATTCGACTAGCCAAAAATCAATACTATCAAAGTTAAGAAAAATAAGAATGCAAAGCCATCATACGCTCACATTTAGAAGAACTTATGTAAATATTGATGTAAGGATATCCAGAACAATCTGGAATGAGTTAATCACTTGACTTCTTACTTTCACTCAATAAATAAGAACTTGCACTTCCATACGAAGGAATGAGCAAATTGGAGTTACTCTACATTTTTGTTAATGAGTACAAAGCACTTTAGATGCTAGAATAAACTTAATCATCAACGAATCAATTCAATTAGACTATAAGTAGACGATATCTGAAACCTACAAAGGCAGCTTAGATGAAAACAATTAAGAAAAAATGATTTCGAAATACTTTTACTTATTATTATATATATATAAATTCTTAGATCAAATTATATATCTTAATATGATTTCATTTGATCAAATATTGGAAGAGAAGATAGGGTCAGGGATATACTAACTTAGAACAGTTAGCATCATAGGATTAATAGAGTTTTGTGATGGTGTTGAATACGTTTTTATGTCCATTTTGATGGCTATATTGCAAAAAGAATGGTAACTATCTCAAACACAAGTTGCAACATTGGGATCTTCTTTTCTTGGAGGAGTAGTTATAGGAAATTGCATATGTGCTTATATAACAGATAAAATCGGCAGAAAAACATCATTTTCAATATTCGCAGGACTTTCAGTGATACTAGTCTATTATACAAGTTTTGCTGAGTCGTATAATGAGATTATTATCCTTCGATTACTATTTGGCATAGTGTTTGGAACAACTAGTCCATTGGGATATGTGTTTATTACTGAGGTTGCAGTTGCCAAGTATAGAGGAAGATTTGCATTTTCATTAACATTAATGTATGTAGCAGGAAAAGCCTATCTAGTATTATTGTGTTTTTTCTTTCTTGATGATTATACGAGTGGAAATTGGAGAGGATTGATAAGGTTTAATGGAATACCAGTTTTGCTATGCTTTATATTATCACTGATATATTTGAAAGAGACCATCAGATATTATTTGAACAAAGGTTAGTACACAGTAGCATTCGAAGAGATTGAGGATGTCCAAAAATAAAATAATAGTTAATATGAGCCATTAAATGAAAGTGAAAAGGATGGATTAATTGCTTGGTAATTGAGATAAAACAATCTCATGATCAAAGAAAACCAAAACGAAGAAAGTGGAGTATTATCAAAATAGCATCTCAGAATTACACTTTAATTATGGACTTTACTAATACTGGCTAATTTTTAGAATTTAAGCATTTATTTATTGATGCCATTTTTGTTTGCATAAGAAAACTCAGGATTCGAACATATGTTATATTTATTTTTGATTGAATTTGTCTTTGCATTTGTAATCTACTTATTTATAGATGATCCAAAATATGGTGGAAGAGTCAATATCATTATTTACGCTTCAATTTTATTAGTAATAACAAATTTGTTACTCTATATATATCAAGCTTCAATTTTATTTTTTGGAATGCTTTTAATAAAGATAGCAACTAGAGGGATGTTCTCTACTCTATTTATTATATGTTGTGAAAGTTATCCTCTTCATCTAAGATCTAGAGGGAGTGGATTGGCTATGGCTGTAGGCAAAGTCGTGTCAATTCCATCACCTTATGTGCTCTTCCCTCTATTTGCTATAGATCCTTATCTGCCGTTTTTGATATTGAGTGTATTAGGAACATTTATGATCGCATTATCAATTACATATCCGTCTGATCGTACATAGAAACACTTGGAAGTTTATAGTGATGTATAAAAGGAAGAATGATTTATTAATTTATTTATTGTCTAATATTTCATAATCCATCAGGATATTATGCTGATGTAAACCAGGCGTGATAGAGGGCATCTTTAGCTGAGGGTCTAATTTATTAATCATATATTATTCTTATACCTTTTTGAAGGATCAATGTGTAATAATTGTTTGACAAAGTCTAAAAAGAACATGTCATCAGTCTTGAGTCTAGCCTTTAGATTTGATTTCTTGGGAACCAATATTTAAATTAACCCAGTCTTTTTTCTCTTGACTGAGGCATCTGACATATCAGGGTTCGGGTAATGTTGTTATTGATCTTCCATGGCATCCTGATACAGTAGTTTCTCCTTAGTGAAGAATTAATTAACTAATCTGCCCTCTTTCATCATATTCTCAGGGAATGGACCGATTATACCAATGACTCTAGCCAATAAACCTTAAACAGTGTCATTCTAAAACAAAACATATCCAGTCCATAATTCAGCTAAGATGCAGCCCAATGACCACATATCAATTTTATAATCATATTTGCATCCAATGATAACTTCAGGTGCTCTGTAACTTCTCGATTGAACATAACTAGATAGATGATCATGGATGAAACATGAAGATCCGAAATCAATTACTTTACATTCACATTTGCTTATAGATCTCATTAATATATTTTCAGGTTTCAAATCACAATGAATCAATTTAAGAGAATGTATATAATCTAAGGCAATCAAGATTTGTTTGGTCAACTAAATAAATATAATATTTACTTACTTTTTATAATCTACCAACTGTAAAATAGTTTACTTTTTCTTTTTCTCTATAGTATTTGTAGAATTCATAAAGATTATCTTTAAGTAATTCTGTAACTAAAAATAGATGTTCTTTATGATAAAAGAAATCATATAATCTAAGCACATTCTTAGCATCACAATCTCCATTGCAATTTATATATCTCAATAATTTAATTTCATCTATGCTCTAATCCATATAATCTTTATTATTTTCTATGATCTTCATGCATACTTCCTTTTAAGATTGCAAATCTAAACATTTAACTGCTTTTGAAAATGCGGCTGATCCCAAATATTCGAGTATTTGATACCTTCCAGCTATGATTGAATTAATAACAATAGGAAAATCTTTAGTTTCTTCAAACCCAGTTCTTTCCCTATCAAAAATGACTTTGAGATTGAAACAATCATAGATGACTCTATCAAATTCCACAGGATAAAAGTCATCTGTAGAGTCTGGGTGTTTCAATGTAGGAGGCAAATAAATATATCCTTTCCTACTTTCCTCTTAGGATTTCTATTAACTCTTCAATAATACTGCACTATCATCTTCATTATCACAATTCACTTCATCCTTCTTCTTCTTAAGTTAAGCTATTGCTCTTTAAGGAAATCCAAATTTGTCTGCCAATTACTTAGCCACTTTTATGAAATCCTTTTCTCCAACTTCATATAAATCAAATCCAGGATCATCATCATCATTATATTCATCTATTATATTTTTATTTTCTTCCATATCGTGTAATACAAATGACTAAGAATTTTGAAGAAAGAATGAGGAATCATTACATCCACTTTCAGGTCTTATGATGGATGGCATTTTAGCAGTGTCTATACCCTCAAATTGTTGATGTTTAGCAGCAGATCTCGAGACATCCTCTTCTGTAAACAACTCATCGACTGAAGGTGATTTTTCCAAAACCTATTATTGTTTTTGATGTTGCTAAGGCTATTGGATTTTTCCAAATACTATTTAGTCACTCTCTTGAATCTCTAAAATAATTGTAAACACTATATTTAATACATTTGCCAAAGCAAGGAGCCTATTATTGCTCCTCACTTGTTTCAGTCCTTTTTTTTTTGAGAATAGAATTTGAAATAGAGGTATTTGAAATATCATGAAAGACATCTGCTTAATCCACCATCTTTTAGAATGTGGCGTTATCAAAATAACGTTCAATCTTCTCGTTAAGTGTCTCATCTTCTAATAAGTTTGGCTTTGACACCAATCTATTCATTAATTTTTCCATTATTTGTTCTGTCTGCTCTTATGTGAATACTTTGGGTTTCCTGCGCACTGCTTATCTATCGATCACTGGCTTCTTCTTTTCTTTCTTCTTCTACTCCAAAGCTTAACAGATTATGTCTTTCAATAATTCAAATATTAGTACTCATAAGCATTTATTGTTGTTACTTTTCGCAGTCAATTTCATTTTTCATCATTACTTAAACATTTATGTCACTTATATACTTATTTCTTCCTTCAATTTACGGGCTGATTATTGAAGACCAGACTGCTCCAAAAATTTAACTATTGTTTTCAGCGCCTCGTTCATTAATTATATAATTAATATATATATAATGATTATCAATATTTTAATTAAAATCATTAATATCTTAAATTATTATTCCACTATGTTTTATTTTAATGGCTTGCAAATTCTTGAAAATTCCTATTAAAATATTAATGTCAAATTAAGACCTCAATGAACTTCCGGCCCTCAAAGTCAATGTCCCCTCTTTCTTGATGAAAACATATGAAATTCTAGAAGTACACCATTTTTACTACCACTTTATATTCAGAATCCGTCTTTATCCCACATAATCACCTGGAATCAAGAGGGCAACGCATTCATAGTCCTGAATTCCCATGAACTGGCATCCCAAGTGCTTGCAAACTATTTCAAACACAAAAACTATCCCAGCTTCTTGAGGTTATATGCTCTGTCATAATAGGCAACTTAACATGTACAGCTTTAAAAAAACCAAAAACAATTATGGACAAAGTGAGTTCAGGCACAAATGGTTCAGAAAAGGACTTAAGTAAAAATCTTTTTGATGCATAACATAGAATTATGCTTTAATACATTCGTAGGAGGAACTAAGAAGAGTCTGAGAATAAAATTGAGATGAAGAGTACAAATAATCACAAAATTGATAATTACAAACTAGAACATGAAGAAATGAAAAAGTTGGTTCAAGAAATTCACAGCACTCAACTTCAAATGGAAGTTGATTTCTCAGCATCCATGGAATACAACGCTTAAGCCACTCGTTCTAGTCAAACTATATTGTAGGTTTATTGTCTCATTTTTATTGTTAGTGTCTGAATCAAATGCAATAGTAATTCAATAAAAGGTTCGATAACCTTTCCTTACTCCTAGCCAAGATCACTTCATATATTCCAAATTTTTGTAAATTTTATTAATTATGCAGCTCACTAAATAGGAGATATGTCAAAATAATACTCCTTCGATGAACCATCTCCAAGCAGATTAGAACACCATTATATTGTCCCTTATCATGAGAATAATAGCCAATACAGCAATATAGGATCACCATATCACTAATTTTCTTGCAATAGTCCAATAAATATTCTTTTATCCAGATAAAATTAATGTAACGTTCAAAAATAAATTTAGAATTTTAAGATTATTGCTTTTAATTCGATCCCAACATCTTCTAATTCAAAAGATAAAACCAATAATAACAACTAGCCCTACCCGCTCCAGCAATTAATTCATATTAGCGTATTCAATATTATCCATCCAATTATAGCTAGCAATAATTACTCATTGCAATCCAGTTCATAAAACTCCCCTTATAGAATGCCCAGTCCTTGTCATACTTCCTTCATGGATTCTGAAAACCCAGAAAAAGTATAACATTTAATTGTATAACAATAGTTTAATTTTTACTAACAAGCATGAATTATATTTGAATTTTATGTAAGACAATTAATTTATTATTATTCAATGTATATATCTATATTCATACTTAATCTGGACAAAATGCAATATTTATTAAATTTGTGTTACTTGAAAGTTAGCAATAGAAGCTTTATAGTTTTACATCCTTGTAAAGTAGTAGATTATTATTATAGCTGCTAGGAGAAGTCATGCAATTTTTTTAAATTATTTCCCACATTTTGAAATCCAAAGAATGAATTAAAATATTAATCCTTAGTTAAATTAAATTCTTAATCTAACAAACAGCTATCAAGATGTTTCTTGTTTCTAGTTCAAGTTTATTTACAACATATTTGATGATTTAAATAGTATTTTTATTCTCTGAAATCTTCAAGAAATTCATTAACCGATATCACTTTTAAGTATCACATGATTAAACAGTTTAGAAAACATAATTGATAAATACTTATTTATCTTAAAATTTGAATATATTACTCTACAGTCATTATTAGGCAAGAAATATCGTAACCTGCATCAATAAATCATATAATTGATATCTGTTAATGCAGTTTTAATTTATACTTTTGAATCTTCTACTAACTTGTTTCTACAGATAGATTTTGAAAATGTTCCATCAAATAAGGTTTTTCTTTAGTAGAATTTACAATATTATTTCACCACCACTAATGCAGAAAATAAATGATGATATTAATTAGAGGCCCAAGAGTCTCAAATAAATGACATAGAAACCAAAAAGCATCCTCGAATTATTTGAATTATTTACTTCTCTGAGTACCTATAATTCAATAATAGATAATTAGCAATATCCAATTTATACATTCTCTGCAGCATATGCTTTTAATGCATTTAATAAATTTACTATATTTCTTCATTGATTGATATATGATCAATATCCTTTTGATAGAATCTTAAAATAGGTCAGGGAATTCTTTGATTTTTGGCTATCCTGTATAATAATTTGGATTAGCATCATAATCAACTTGTTATTTCTAAATTAATTCTTATTCAGATCTCCTTTAATAATCTAATATACTCTTAGCTAGGATTTCGATCTAGCATAGTTTATATGAAATCCAAATTATTTTGATTAAATTATATATATATAAAATGAATCCGAAACAATTATTCTAAGATAAATATCAATAGATTAGAGATTTCTTACTCTCTTCCTCTGATGAAAGAAACAATGAACAGTTAATTGATATTAGGAACATACTCGAAAGTTTTGCCTTTTTCATTCAATTTACAAAGTATTAAAAATGACTATGATTCAAGTACAAAATCATAGGAGTTTATAGAGATGTGTCGATATTTGTAATTGGAAGTGTATGAGCAGGAGCAAACCCTTTTTAGGCAGGGGGATCCTGCAGATAAGTTTTATATAATTTTAAAGGGAGAGGCTCGAATATTGATTAAGAGTCCAGGCTTAGATGAAATAAAATAGGTTGGTATTTCTGGTGTAGGAGATTGTTTTGGTGAATTGGCATTGCTATTTAATTCAGACAGAAATGCTACAATAGTAGTTGGGAAGTAAACTGAATTGATGGTTCTTCATAGGAATGATTTCAATAAGTATATGAAATTTCATTCTTCAGAATAAGCGAATTAAGTAAAGAACCATTATTACATACAAGGCATACAACCTTCTCAATGTGATTGAGCCATTTCTTTCATTAAATTTTCCAGATAAAATTAGACTTGCAAGTAAGATGGAATATAGAACCTTTCAATCAAATTATGCATTCATAAATTAAGGACAGACTTTGAATAACTTTTACGTAGTTGAAACAGGTTCTGTCAAACTCTATCGTACAATACCTTTTAATATCAATAAAAATGGGTTGATTTAATTTCAACATAAATATGATCCCAATAAACAGAGTAGAAATCTCAAAATAGAAATTGATGAAATAGGACCTGGAAAGTATATTGGAGATTATGAATTACAACATTATAAGCCTAGTCAATACACAGCAGTTACAGGTATGTAAACTACTTGTTTTGTGATATCTCTTATTGATTTCAATCTAATGAGCCAATTCTAATTAGCTGAAGTTTGTCGAAATTCCAAGCCTTATCCAACAGATGATCATATCAGAGAAGCCTTTCTCGATGGCATCAAATGGAGAATTTTCAGAGTATTTATATTCAAACAAATATCTTATTTAGAAACAGATGGTCTCAAAATTACAATTAGAATTAAAAACATGCAGCGAAGTTAGAGATCCAACAACCTTGCCCAAATTTCAATATCAAAAGGATCTTCGTCAATTTGCTCTCAAAACACTCTCTTATGATAAGTTGATGGACTCCTATTTGAATTCTAATGGGGAACCTGCTTAATAGTAGGCAGGTAGCATAGTTTTCAATGAATTAAATAGCAAGAGTCCATAAAAGAAGGACAAACCATTTTTTACAAATGTCGACGAAGCAATTAGGAAACTAAAATAATCTTAAGGCAGCAGTCGAAGCAAGAAACAAATTCTACCAAAAATAAATCCAAAGGTTGGCTCGGATATTTATAATATATTAGTAAAGAAATGATTATTAACTTCTTAAAAATAAAATTAAAATGAATCAAATTTCCCACAACATCCTTGTTCAAAAACTTATTGATTACAAATTAAGGTATTCGTACTTTTCTATAGACAAATCTAGAAAGAACAAAAATAAGAGAAAGGCTAGTCCTTAGTATTCTCCACCAAAGATGCCCATATCATAAAGATAGACATCCTTTTCGAATGGTCATGCATATTCGATTCATTAAAAATTGAAATCAATTCAAAGTTAACAGAAAGTATTCATTCCTCAGGCTATGCCACAGTCTCGGATTTGCTGGATCTCTTAAGCCAAATGTTTCGCATCATTCAATAGTATGAATAGCAGGCAAGCCATCTCTGGTCCAAAAATCTCGAGATGTTGAAGCAAATCAAGATCCCAATCCTCCAGGAAAATGAAGACTTGAAGCTTGCTGTAGAAACCCTAAAATAAAATGATATTTAAAATAGCGTATATGGACAATTGAAGGAGTATGAATAAATTTAGAAGCCAAAACCTAAATTAATCGATTTGTAACACATCAATAGAGATTCGAATTTCTAAGAAGAGTTTATGTCGAAAGTAAATGAATTTAGTTTATCATGGCGACAAGAAGTGCAATAGCTAAAGTAATTATGAAGATTTTGAATGTATTAAATATTCAAATAAAAATTACAATTAATATCTTTTAATGCATTCATCTTACTAAATTTAGATTTAATTAAATTATTATTTAATATTATATCATAATTCTATAAAACTATTAAATCATGGATACTCAATATATATCAATCATCAAACTACTTCAAAATCATTTTCATTGATGAATCATCGTAATATAAATTTTTTTAATGAAATTCTATGGAAGATTAAATTATATATCTTTCCTGATTATTGTCTTATTTCTTTGATTAGTTTAATGTACTTTAAGATATTAACAGATTAATTGTTTCATTAAATTGTAAATATCGGAATTGTGGAACTTAAATGGGAGATAAAAATAACAATTATGATTTGGACAAAGTTATACTAATTTACCATAATAATTAATAGCAAATATTATAAAATTAATATTATTGCATCTCTCCTAATTAATTCTGTTTCATTTTCTTATCTTATTTAAATGGATACTCAAAATACTATTTGTATTGAATTAATAAATTGATATAAAAAAAGATAGTTAATAAAATTTATAATAAAATTCCAAAATTATAGAATAGCTTCATGATGATTTTTGAATGACCCATTTTCTTGCAAATAGAAATGGGTCATTTTGATGTTATAAATTGTCCTCCAAAATTTCAATTACTATTTTAATTTCATTTGATTTTTTGACCATTTAATTGGCTAAACTTATTATGTACATTGTTAATAGTTTTCCTTAATCATCTAGATTAGAATTAAAAAATAATTAAAATGTTTTATCTAAATTTAAGTTGACGAGACATTGAATTTTTTGATAATATTAATGAAGTTGACTTATCCAATTATCTAATTAAGATTTTATTTTATGAGGTGCAAATGTATAGAATACTTTAGCTTTAATGGCCAATAACTTTCTTAATAAAAATTACATCTTTAATATGAGATCATCATCCTGCTTAGGAAAATTCTATATTATTTATTCAATAAATTCACAAAATTCATAGGTAGGCTTCAATATTACTGGTAAATCAACTTCTTAATTCCTATTTTAGGAGAGAAGTTTTTATTTCGAAGATTTCTGAACTGAGCAATCAGTGCTAATTTACTCAATTAGTTCAATATTGATCTCTGAGTCACTTTATTAATGTGAATATCTGAAGGGCTATTAATTTAAATTCACTCCAGTACTTTAACGTGGAACCTCATCCTCATAAGTAAATTAAGTGATTTCAAATTCTTTACCTCTCTTTTACGCCTGTACTCTAACAAGATTGGCTAGAGTTTGATCATCAAAAGATAAAGGCTTATTATCAGATAAACGTTGTCGAATGTATTTTTTTCTGATTTCATTTGGTGACCTGACTCCTTTTGATTGAAGAGGAGAATTAACTTGGGTAGACACAGACTTTTGGGACAGTTTTACTAAGTTTGAAGCTTACTTAGAGACAGATGACTAGGATGATTGATTCTCTGATATAATTTAAAGAATCTATTAAATTGTTAATCTGTCTTCAGGTTCTAATTACAGCATTCCTTCAAGTAATCGAACGATTAATTTAGAATCTATAATGTCGAGAGTTTGACAGTTTTCTTTGATTTCTTACATAAGGGTTTAATCATTAAACTTGAATTTGGGGGCTGTTTTAAATAGCATCTCATGTAACATGATTCCCAAAGCCCATACATCACTTTTTTCTGAATATTGATTGAATAGATGAATTTCAGGTGCCATATACAGAGGAGTGCCAACATTATATCGTTTAAGTATGCTATCATATTAATTCTCAATAAGAGCGAATCCAAAATCAACAAGTTTAAAAATACCATTTTTTATTAACACATTAGCAGGCTTAATGTCTCTATGAATGATATCTAATTGGATAATAGTTATTTTGATACTTTTTTAATGTAAACCAAGGAGACCTTTGCAAATTTATGTCAGTACATCAATAACCTTCTCAGTTTTCATTGGTTCTTACTTTAGTAGTTCTTCCAAACTGGCACCCTCACAATATTCGCTTACTATATAGGTGTTATTAGCACTTTGACTTATCTCATAAACCCTTAAAAGATTAGGATTATCTATTTATAGCAGAATCTTGATTTCATTTGAAAGAAGAGATTTCTAGATTGGTGAATTGTAGGTTTCTAAAGAGATGACTTTAATTGCCACAACTTAATGAGTAGACATGTGAATTCCCTTATACACTTTCGATGAATATCCTTCTCCAATGATATCATTCATATCAAAATTGTAATCTCCGATTTATTTCCTAATGACTTCTTTGTTTTCATTCATTCCTATCAATTTTCCTGATTATTTAAAGATTTTTCTGAATAAATTATTTAAGCAAAATAAACACACCTATATAAAAACTCACAAAGTAAAAATAGATTTGGAAGAAGTTGATATCCTTTTCCTGCAAGGAATACCAGCCCTTAATAAAACAACCTTATTAACTATGTAAATTGAGAATTTTATGTTTAAAAATTAACCCATTAAAAGTAGATGAATATCCGATTTATAAATGTTGGTAGAAAATTAACTTTTTAGTTAAGGTGAGTAAATGAAGTTAATATTATTGTAGGGTATCAGAAGTCAATATTAGAAAAGTATTTTTGTGATGAAGATTGGAGAAAATATTAGTATTATTTGTATAGTTGGGTTATTCAACAGAAATTATATTAGAGTGATGTATGCTTAAAAAGTGGATTGATATTTCAGTAAACCCTGAAATTTAAATAATTAATATTACTATGATAATAAATTGTAATTGTTTATAATAAAATTAATATTTATACCGTTAAAATTCTGATTTTTTATTAATGAATAGTTATGCAAAACAAATCTAAACATTCAATTCAGGAACATTTGCAACGATGAATGAGTTTTAATTCATACAGAAACTAGGAACTGGTAGCTTTGGAAACGTGAATTTGTATGTGCATAAACCAACACAAAAAAAATATGCAATTAAAATTGTAGTTTTGAATAAAATTTTAGATGCCTGGAGATACGATAACAAATTAATATGAAAGTGAAGGCATTGAGAGAGAAATCAGAGTTCACAAAAAATGCAAGAATCCCAATATAGTTCAACTCTATGATTCATTTTATGAGAATGATTCTATTTTTATGGTTCTTGAATACCTTGAAAGCGGTAGCTTATTAATGATTATACTAGGCAATTTGTTTGCACACATTTAGAAGAATCCACCTATGAGTGAGTAGGAAGCATGTAAGTACTTTGTTTAAACATGTCTTGCATTATAATATATGCATTAAAATAATGTATTTCATAGAGATATCAAACCAGAAAACCTATTGTTAGATGAGAAATTCAACTTGAAAGTATGTGATTTTGGTTGGTGTGCTGAGAATATACATCAAAAGAGAAAGACCTTCTGTGGAACCTATGAATACATGGCACCTGAAATAGTGATGGAAGTAATGTACGATTACAAAATTGATTTATGGTCATTGGGAATATTGTTATTTGAGTTGTTACACAAATACGCACCATTTAAAGGAAAAGATTTTAAGGAAATTTCAGTTGCAATTAAATAATGTCAGCCAAAAATTAAGCCATCAGTATCAAAAGAAGCTTGCTAATTAATATCTCAATTATTATCTCTGGATCCCAATCACAGACCTCCCATAAATCAAATTCTAGCATCTTCATTCGTAAAGAAATACAGCAACACCTTGAACTTAGTGGAGTTCCAAGAAAACATCCAACCGAGATCTCCACTTCGATCATATCCCTCCGCATAGTAATTGAAGTGTGGTTCGCCAAGAAGAAGAATCACAGAATATAATATGATATAAAAACCAGAAACAAGAGTGAGAATGGCATCGCCTAAACCTGTGGATTCTCAGAAGATCATATAGAAGATTTATGTGAGTCCTGCTAGGAGGATTTAACCGAAGGGAAGGGAGAACGTGGCAGTAAAGACAGGGCCGATAGATGTGAGAGGAAGGGAGGCTACCAAAATAATATATATGAATTTATGTAATAATATTTCATGATTCAGAGTATCTCAAACAAAATTATAAAAATCATTAAAATATTTTGCTTAATTAAAGATAGAAGTCAGTATGAATTTACTTTAATCATTTAATGTTTTATAATGACGAGGAAGAAGAAGACTGGGGAGATAAAAATGAAAAAGATGCGGAGGATGAATTTTAAGACTTAAATCCAAGTGAACACAAAAAGAGAATTCCAAATAACAGACCAAAACTATAGCCAAAACCATAAAAGAAAAAGAAAGATGTATAGGAATGTGAATTCGCTATTGATGATCCAATTAAAAGAAGATAATTAGCAAATTATTAGCATGTTCCTGTAAGACTAGAAGCAGGTGAGAAGATGAACATCAATGTCCAATATGATGATGGTTAAGTTAGGAAATTTGGGCAATAAAGTACATTTAATATCCCTATAGATAGAGGCATTTGAGGAGAAGTTGATTCCAATCTCAAAGAGTGGAACTTTCATTTACGAGGCATCAACAGGAAAGTTAGAAAAGAAGAATCCTGGAAGACCAAGAGAAGATACGAGATCTCTGTTTGATGATCCTAAACTACAAAAGATGAGAAACAATTATGTACCAAAGCTTCTATAAAGAATCACTACTAACAATACTAAAGAAGTGGACGAAGAGGAAGGAGTCCAAGACCCAGGAGTTTCATGGAAACCAGTTAAAAGTGTGCATGAAGTCCCAGAATCCTTTTATATGAGACAGGTCTTTGACAAATCAGCTAGTGGACCTAGGTCTATCGATAAGAGCAAAATTAAATCAGAATATGATGCATTTAGACTGTTTTTCGATAATGACATCTACAATACAATTATCAAGCATACAAGAGAGAGGTATTAATAAAAGGTTGAAGAATAAATCTATTCCTATATTCATGGCATGGTTCACATGGGAATTAGAGCTAAGAAACCTACTTTAATGCAATGGGAATTCACGGAATATGAATTGGAAGCTTACTTTGCTGTTCAGATATTCTTCGGTATAGTTAGATTATCAAACTAAAGGGATTATTGGAAGTCTTCTGCAAGATAGAAGCCTATAAAGAAGGCAGAGACTGGAAGAAGAAAGTTGAGAGAATTGGCTTAAGAAAAGATGGATCGGTATGCTCATTGGGTCACTCAAAGAATGAGTTCTATAGTCAGTTATGAAAAGTTTAAGACGATAAGAAATTGTTTGAATATCAGTGGGGCTGAAGCACTAAAATTGAAAGGTAGAGATCCCATTTGGAAAATCAGAGACTTTTTAAATCAAATGAATATGAGATTTGCTAAGTATTACTATCCTGGAGAATTCATCACTATTGATGAGGGTATGATTCCTTTTGCAGGAAAGGTTCAATTCAAAGTGTATAATCCCGATAAACCCACTAAATGGGGAATCAAAGAATATCTGCTTTGCGATGCTTCCAACACTTACACATTCCAATTAAGATTGTATCATGGTTAGACTATGTGGAATAATGATTTTAAATAGACTATGTTTGTCAATGAGGAAGACACTCAACACAGAACCATGGAGTTAGTGTTGTAGATGTGTAAGGATTATGAACACAAGGCACATAAAGTTGTCATGGATAACTATTACTCAAGTTGGATGCTCTTTAGAGAATTGAGAAATAGAGGCATTGGAGCAGTTGGAACTATTAGACATAACAGAGTAAAATATTTATAATTATTGCTTAGACTGGTTTAACTAAGAAAGATTTGACTTCCAAACATTTCCAATAGATTTATAATCAATATCATTATGCTTATTACTTGAACTAATCAAATGAACTTATGCTCATGTATTTCCAAGGAACAAGTGAAAAGGAAATTGCTTTGATTTCCAATTTCCTTGATAATTCCTTGAATGAATAACACATGTGGGATATTAGTAAATAACATTATTATGTCCCTCATTTAAAAGCTCCTTACATGATGTATGTCTACAATAAATACAAAGGAGGAGTTGATAGAAGAAATTCATATGTGGTCAAATATAGATCTCGATTTCCTGCTAAGAAATGGTGGCAAAGTGTTTTTGAAAGACTCTTTGAAACTGCCATTTTAAATGCCTATTTAATCTTTCGAAGTTATAATCCTGAATCATCATATCGAAACAAAGGATAAATGAGAGATTTCAGAATCAATCTCATGTATCAATTTGCTGAAAGATACAAATCCTATGAACATCAACAAGAGGAAAATGGAAAAAATAGATTTTCCTACTTTGCTAAAATTCAACCTCACACTTTTATTGAAGGAGAAGAAATTGTAAAATGTTCTGAATGTGGAAACGAAACCAAAGTGTTTTGTCAAGAGTGTACTATTCTTAAAGCGGAAGTAGTTGGTCTATGTCATGAAAAGGATACCATTAAATGTCAAAGATTTCATGAATTTATGGACTTTGAACTTGATAAAAACAAAGAAGTCATTGATAAAAGAAAAGGTAAGGATCCATATAAGCCAAATTTCTTAGAGAAACTTAATTAAAGAACTAATGCTAAAGGCAATCAATCAAGTTAAAAAAAAGAAAGTCCTCTTGTCAATTTATTAAATAAGATTAATGATTAAATTAAATAAGAAGCCAGAGTTAAATAGGAAGTTAAAAGAGAAGATAACACTAATAAATAAACTACTTATATTATTCCAGAGGTGAAGTCTGAAGATGAATCCTCTACAGATTCCGATATCTATATATAAAGAACTACAAATCAAAGATTAATTGAAATACATCAGAAAATTGAGTAAATGAGTATGTGTTCTGAGGAGTTTTTAAATGGATCTGTGGCAAATAGCTAAGAAATCTTTGCAGAAAGAGATGAGAATGATTAATTTAATGATAGGAATGGTAATGATGATGATCAATTTCACCAATAAAGGGCTTAGCAAATAGATGATGATGATGAATAAAGAAATAATTAAAACGAAGAACAATAGAAGGATTTTATTAAGAAAATGATGGAATTTGCTGATGATGATGGTAGTGAAAATGAAGAAATTTAAGAACCAGAAGATGAGGCAGATTAATTTTATCAATAATTATTATAATAAGAAGAGTAAGCAATCAAATACTAATAGAAGAAATAACTGCAATAATAATTAGAAGAAGAATCAGAAAGATCAAATGTTTCACATAAATCAAAAAAACAATAAAAATTAGAATAGAAGTTCGTTGAAACAAGTATGAGAGGCATCAAATAATCATAAGTTTAATCTAATAGTGAGATTGGATAAGATCTATAAAAGATTATATCCTCCTCCTAAAATTTGAATTTAATAAGTAAACAAATTACAGAGTCAAAAGGGGACAATTAAAATTCTTAATCTGATTAATGAAGAGTTTTTATCAATATAAATTTATATAATTATCATGACTTTTTTGTAGAGTTGAGACATTTACTTCCGAATTATCCAGAGTTATAATGTAAATTTTTATAATCTAACATAGTTGAGAATACACTAGCAGTAAAGAGAGCAGACGAATTCATTTTACGATACATCTGCTCAACTTCTTTTTTAGTTTTATTCATTAATACTGATCTAGCACTTGATGATGTTTTTAACTACATAATTCTAATTAATTACTGGCATTTGAGAATCTTATGCATAATCACAATCTTTGAAATGCTTATCACTCATATACCCATTTAATTAACGAAATGTATCATTTTATTCATCTCTTGTCTATGTTGGTTCTCTCTTTTCTAATTCTGTTATTGGAGTCCCAAATAGATTTTATTTTCGTTGAGTTTTAGATTATCTATTCTGAGTCGTCTACATTCCTAAATTCTGTTCAGTCAATTTAGCAATCAATTGATCCTTCTCTTTTAATTGAGTTTGACTCTTTTTTAGCTCTCCTTATATAAAAATTAGTCGTTTTGCACAATTACAATGTTTTTCACAATTTGCAGAAGCATTAACCGAAATTGATTGACCTAATTGCGATTAATCTTGATCATTTAATAAATAATCAAAAGACATTCTTGAACTACCCTTTCTTTCGCAACTCTATGAACTTGTTAATAAGGTATCCAATTACTCTTTCAGTTGTTTATTATCACTTTGCAATCTTAATATAGTATCTTTTAACTAAATTACTCATTTTGCATACCTACACTGCTTCTAACTTTAATTAAGTATTTTCATTTTAAAATAGTGTATGCAATTCTTGCTATTATTTAATGTCGAAATATTTGTACTCCATATTTTAATTCTGCTCTTCGATTTCATTTTATAACAGTTTCTTCTCCTTCTCAGAAATTTCCAGTGCCTCTTTTAATTCTTCCACCTTATTCTAAGACGAATAAAATGCAGAGGCAATTTAATCATAGCTTAGTTCTTTAATTTTTATTTATCTCTTTAATTCTTATATTTATGATTTTAGACTCTCAGTTGGATCGAATAGTTAAGAATGAAATAGTCTTTCTGCTTGTTCTGATTTGGAGATTACTGTTTTATATTAATAGTCATCATAAATTGGTACTAACATTATAACCATACAATACTATTTTATTTTGCTTTATTTGCACAGGAATTCTTAGATATGGTTGTTCTATCCGTGATAAAATTGGTTGTGCTATTTTTTGGGTGCATAATTAAATTAAGTTTTTTTAAGTTAATTATTTTTTGAAAGTAAATAAAATTATAATAAATATATATATTCTTTGTATCTTTCTTCTCTTGTTAGATCTCTTTATAATCATTTCACTTATATTATATTTAAAAGTAAATTACAATGTAAATTAATCATATCAATTTGTTAATTGTTGTACTAAAGTCTAATATAACTGATTTAAACATCTCATTGTAACCAAATTAGAAAATTCAATGTTTTATATTTTGGATCGAAATTTGTTCAAATCATTAGGTACTTTTATCAATCTATCATATCTAATATTCTCCTGAGTCTGAATTAGATCAAATATAATTTCTTGCAACTCCTCTATCTAATAAAATGGAGTTATTTTATACTGTTCCTACAATTACCCTAATTATGGGAAAATGTATTCTATGAGCATCCTCAAAAAGAATTAATGTTAATATTAAATCAACACAATAACTTATCTACTATTATATTGCAGCATAAATTATTGCATTTATATTTTCATTTTGTTAATCAGAGCTTGAATTGCCCCTTTCTCATCCCCTTTCCCCAATCTCATGTGCATTTCAGGACTAACTAAATCTTTTTGTTCCATAATCAGTATTTTAAACTTATCACTCAACAATATGCATTCATAATCATCAAAAAAGTTTGAGTCTATTTAAACACACAATAATTTCAAATTTTAGATGTTTATTTGTCTACTAAACCTCATATTGCTATTTTCATTTGTGAATATGATCCAATTATATTGCTAAAACATATGTTGCTGCTAAAGGACTAGTCGACTCTATGAAGATTCGCTTAACCAATCATTCACTATTGTACTAGCATGTAATGATTGTATTTTTGAAAATTATAAATTGTTGTTGTTGTTGACACTCATTTAATTGTTATTTGCATTAAACACTTTTGAATTGTATAAATTACTGAACCCCAATGATCGACCAAAATCAACACTTCTATTTTAATAATTAAATAATTGCGACTAATTTATATCATTCCTATTAACACTTAAATTTGGATTTTGAATTTGCTTCCTAGAATTGTAACTATACTTATCAATTTCTTTGCATCCCCCCTCGCAACCTATCTTGTTAGCTGGTCTGTTTTAGACTAACATAGTTTTTTTAGCATTCGCTGGAGTGCAACTAGTTTGTGATTCCAATTCAAACGGTAATTCAAAGGATGTATTCATATTTGAAATTCTGCTCATATGCGCTTGTAAATTAGGTAAATAATTCGATTTGTTTTGTAACCTAACATCTTGATTTTGATTTTGATAAGGCATAGTTTTTAACTATAAAATGTTTGATTAAAATGGGGTAAAATATTAGTCATTTCTAGAAAAGCAAGATTCCTTACTTTAATTCCTTGATTTTGCTGAAATTTTACTTATTTCCATTTATTATTTAGCTGTTGGTTTAATTAGAAATTGTCTTATTGAATTTATTTATTATTTAGGATTCTGTAAGTTGGTGTTTTTAAAAAAACCATCTAAAACCAAAGGTTAAGTTTGTCTTGTTTTTGCATTTTCTATCAATTCTTACTTTTGCTGTGCTTCCAAAAGTTCCGCATAATTTAATGCTGAGAAATGCAAATCTCCCATTTCATTATCAAAACAATTTTAAAGACTTTAATCCTTTAAATTTTAAAAGAGTTAATTCTTTTCTTCTAATTTTTTCAATATATTTCGTTATTGCATCATTATTTTTAATCTGATGTAGGCCTAATCCACGTTTTTTGATTTAAATATGGGTTTCAGCAGAGTCTAAATTTCTTGTTGATAGATTTGAGCGTGATTTTTTTAATTTGTTGAAATCATTTGATCAATTGCAATTATTTATATGGGTGACTTCTTCTGAAAGTTAAAACTTTGCTAAATCTAACTAATAAAAGTGTTTATTATAGTTTTTCTAAGTATATCAAGGGCAAAAGTAAAATCATCAAGCTCCGTTAACAATGTATATTTTAGAATCAACGATTTGTATTAATCGTATAAACTTTTAATTTTTAATAAATATGACTGGTTTTGAGTTCTATAATTTTACTAAATTTTAGCTAAAGTAAATCACAGTATTTTACATGAGATATGTTGTAATCTTATCTAATCTACATTATTTTAAGGAATCATCTGTGCTTGAAATTTTTATAATTTGCTTAACTATTTTTTGGTTCCTTTTTTTTTCACTTCTTATTTTTTTTTATCTCTCTTTGAACTATCAATGACAATAATCTTAATGTCTTTGCTCTAAATAGGGGAAGCTTTTTTTTAAGGCTTTCTTTTTTTAGGTTTAGGAGTCATCGATATTATCTTTAATGGTTAAATAAAATTGTGAATAATTTTATAGTTGATTTTACATGAAAATATTTACTCATTAATAAACCATTATAAAAATTAAAAATCTCAGAAAAAAGTTTGATTACTTCAAATATGATAATCATATTAGGTTCAAATTTTGTATATCATATATATCAATTGAATTTATGATTGTTTTTTATCAATACAAGAAATAATAGATTCCTGAAATATATATTTATTGTCTGAAAAAAGGATTCAAAATATATAATTTTCTAGTTTATTTTTATATTTACACTTTTATTGGCTGACATTAAATTAAAATGGAAGAAAATAAAATAACAATCTACTTATCAACAATAATGATATTTAATAAAAGATCTAAATTATTGTATCAGATATTAAATTTAACAGAAATTCAATTTGATTTGACATTACTTTAAAATTTAGATTTTATTTTTATGTTCAATAATTTTACTCATGAAGTTTATTTTTAGATAATTTTTTATGAAAAAGCCCTTTTTTTGATAAGGACTAATTTGTTGGCTTAATTTGTTGGGTAGTATATTGCTTTCATCAATCTTTTAAATTAATCGAAGTCTATTGTTTCTCTTAAATTCGATTCCGATTTTTTTTTACCTATAGATGGAGTTAATTATGAATGAGTGTTTTTCATTAAATTCATCACTTATTTTGTAAGATTATGATAATGAACATAGGAGGGAGACGGCTATTTACAATATGATTTTGCCTACTCGTCATTTTCCTCTACAATTGTTTAGATTCCTAAATATTCAGGTAATTCAGAAGTTTACAAAGTTGAACCATTCGAGAAAGTCTTTCGTTTTTATTGTTTCTGTTAAAATAACTCTTATGTTATCAACATTTACATTTAATATCATCAATTTATGTCAAACTAGATACTTTTATGCCTTTTCGTTAAGGTATTCTTAAAGGATTGATTGGCAGATAAGACTTTAAATGCACAAAGGATGAGATTTGATTTTCATATAAGGTGTCTTAACTTTTCTTATTTTAAATGGTTTAAATGGGAGTCAACATTTTTTTGAGATGAGATGAAGAGATGTTGTTATTTTTCATTAAAATTATTATATTATTAATCTATAACCATTACAGGATCCCAATCGAAATCCTAAGCAAAAAGACATCTAGTGTTATTGAACTATTCATCATTAATATATATCATTAATTCACTTTTCTAAGGAAATGTAAACTAAGCTTAAAGATATGTCTACAGATCCTTATCCATCAACATCCCAAAACTTTTTGGTTTCATTTCCTAACTATTTTGTTGCCTTATCAACATCAGCCCAAGATTCAGGAGGATAATTATTCTCTAAGATTTTGTCAATCATGAGTATATCCAATTTCTCCCATAATCCAGTACTCGCAATAAGAAGATATCCTGACTTAGGAATTTTAAATTCCAAAAAATCAGGATCGGCTGAAATTCCAATAGATTTTCCTATCTAATTTCCAAAGCATCTTGTTATCTTGATACCAGGATAAGTTTATTTTGGAACCCAAATTTTCAAACTTCCTTCCTTTTATCCTTTGAAAATAGCCTGATCTATTTTCCCTCCCTTCTTTATTATTCTATCAACTTCCTTTCCACTATTTGTATCATGTATTGAGTTCAAATTAATTTAAACAAATTTTCTTATTTCTTTTGGATTATCATTTAATTGATCTGATTTAAAAAAATAGGCAGCTTTCGAGTCTCCCAAATTTGAACAATATATCATGTTATTAACTATAATTAAACTGAGCAGTGAAGCTCCACTTAATCTAGTATCAATTAAAGTCTACCCGATCTAAAATACAATAAAAACAATTATGTACTATTTTTTATTCAATCTGCTAATATATTTTCTTTAAATTATCCTTTAATGTTAGACTCAGTGCTAATAAAGGGACTGAAGCAAACAATTTTTTTAATTCTTCTATATAAAATTCTGTAATTAAAGAAGAAATTTAGGATCCAAACTCTCCATGTCCATCGCTCAATGATCCAACAAAGAATTCAATACTTTGTGACTTGTTAATCTCTAGACTTAAGGAATCTCCGTTTTTAATAAGATTTCGGAGTGCATCCAAGCCATCAAGTTATCTGTAATATTGTTGTATACTTACATACTACTTTGGTATTTGACATAATTCTTTATTTATTCTTTAATGGACATTCGTTAGATAGAAGTTCTCTTACAAGTTATTCTAATATTTGCATTAGAGGCTCGATATGTACTAATTATGTTTTATAATTTTGAAGCCCCTTATGGGGAAACTTCTACCCTTTATGTAATGGGAATATCTGGAAGTGTTTTCAGTTACCTACCTATTGAAACAGGTTTTAACTAAAACTGGCTTTTTTTAGCAGGTTAGTATCCCAACTTACGCATTTATTCTTATAGTCTTCTTTATTAAGCACTCATAAGTAATTATTAAATATATTAATATAGATATTCAATTTATTTAGATTTAAATCCCAATTTTTTTTAGATTAATCTAAATAGAGTGTATTTGATCATACTTGTTAAAGTTCAATAAGAAAGATACTATTATTGATCATTTTATATTAAAAATATATTTAAATTGTGATCCATAGATTTAAATTTGTCACAAATTATTTTATAATTGAATTTTTATTAAATTAGATTTATCAATATGCTGATATATGAACTTTCTTACTACAGAAATTTAAAGTAATCTTCATAAAAAAGAATAATATCATTGAATGTTCACTCTCCAAATTTAAGAGGTTTTACATTAATACCTATAATCATTTATGTGTTCAGGTTTATTATTGAGATTCTAATAGTTGTACCCTATAATGTGTCCTATTTAATAATTTTAATTAAACAAAAACAAGTTATTAAGTAAAACCTAGCTTTTTAAAGATATTCTATTTATAATTAAAATAGTTCTCTAATGATTTCATCAAGAAGGATTGTGACTAATCAAGATTCAGTGTTTTAGTAGAATAAATATATTTAGAATTTAGCAAATAAGTAGTTTTATTTTTCTGTAAATTTAAAGTTGTAAATTTCTCTTATATTTACATATATTAATTAAAACTAAATTGCTGAAAATTCATCATAAACATTATTTCAATAATTTGTAATTCTCTTCCCTTTTAAACTGAAAAAATGTTAGAGAAATTGAGCGATTATTTTTAAATATTCATACAATCATGAGATGAGAATCTATTGGAATTTGATAAGTACTTATGGATTGAGAAATGAATTGTAATTATAAGATATAATGATATATGAAAATGTGATATTAATAATAAAAAATTAATATGGATATCACATTTAACTAACTTGATGTTTTACAGAAAATAATCTTGGAACGCAGCGAAGATATTAGATTACTCAATGCTATAAACTAGTAAGTGCTTGCAAATCAAATGTTTTTCGATTTGGAATTTACGAAAGTTTAATAATCTTTAAGATAACTTGGATTCAAAATAATTGGGCTGAAGAAGAACGATAAATAAAGAATTGAGGAGGAGAATAAGATTATAGAGGCATTGTCGAAAATCCTAATGGTGAATTTACCCGAAAGGATGTAAATATATAGATTTAGTTAAACAATAATAAAACAATTCAGACCTGAAATGCACATCATAAGATTCAATTAGAAGGATACAAAGGATTTATTTTCAATGTTTAAGTAATTCTTTATGGCTGAAAATAATTTCGATGGAATACATTTTGTGCAATCGAATTAAGAATCTGATTTTAAGGTAACCGATCAAAACAAAACAGATGTCCACCGCGATCGTATTGATCAAGTTTCTTGTGAGTAGATCAAGGGAAGAATTCCAACTGTTAATTCAATCAGCTTCGACCTCTGTCATTGGAAAAATGAAGCAGTAACTAGAAAAGAAAGCAGATGATACAACCAATGACAGTAAGGTGGAGAAGACTGAACCAGAAGAAAGGAAACCGAAGCTACTCTTAAGAAAGAAAGTGATCATAGTTAGAGAAAACACGTAACAATAAATGAAATAGCCAGAAATTATAAATCGCAGTGTCTCAGTTACTGATAAATTAGTACTGTATTCGCAACCTCAAGAATCCAATGTAAATCCTGAGAAAGAATTGAAATATCAATTAAGATTGTAATAGAGGAAGTTGAGAAAAGATTTAAAAAACATCTATCAGCCAATGATTGATTTGGACAATGATCATATGTGGTGTTCTCATGCAGTTCTAAAGAAAAAGTTTTTGAAATACCCTGAAAAATATTGTACTTAGTATCTTATAATTTTAGTTTTAAAAAGAGGAGCCTTTTACATTTGGAAATATTTGAACAATAATAATTCTGATATAAGAATAACAATCATGAATTTTGCATATAGAAGAGCCAAATTGGTAATAGTTGACAAAATCCTTTAAGAATAAATATAGGAACTTCACAAATATTACAATACCACCGGCTAACTTCCGAGATAATAATTGCCTTTGTTAGTTTCCTGTCAACAAACACCCAAAATTATGAAACCTCCAATTCGACTCCAATAACAATTATAGGTTCCTAATATAAGTCAATTGCCTATGTTGAGAAGTTAACACTAGCAGATTAAATCAATGGAATTTTATGAAGTAACAACTAAAGATCAAAGAGCACATAAATCTAATAAATCATTAAATCTTACTTAGGAGTAGGCAAAAATATAGCAAAAGATAAAATTATAAAGTTCAAAAGACTTAATTTGATCACTATATTACACATATTTTATATATAAATTATGAATTAAACATTTACAGCTGAAATTAAATTAAAGAGTTCAAAAGAAAGAGGTTATTTTGATCAACTAGTAGATGCTGTTGTTAGGCCACCTAGATAGATATATGATCCATCCAAATTAGGTATCATAAAAGGTCATAATAAAATAGGTGCAACAACCGTACTAATAAATAAACTACTTATTTACAGAGAGGATTTTTTAGTTTTGTCAAGAGAATAAAACTTAAAATTACAATGTTCTTTATATAGTGCTGTTTATTTACCGAACATCCTGAGTTAAGCACTCTAGTGTTAGATTCTCCATTTAGTAATCTAAAGCAACTTTGCATTGATATTGGCGATAGTTTTCATGTTCCAACAATTGGTGTTAGATTTGTCTTTTATTTATTGAGGAAAAAGGTAAGAAAAATAGTTCGATATGATCCAAAACATATAAATACTATGCTGTATATTAAAAAGTTATCTTCCAAATGTGCTGCTTATTTTGTAAGAGCGAGTAGTGATAAAATGATTGGAAAAAATCATATTGAAGATTTGTATGATGCATTCAAGGGGGAAAAATACATATTTACTTTTTTAGGCGATCATAATGCTCCAAGACCTATAGAAGCGTATTAAGGGATTACTAGGTATTTTTATTATATATAAGCCTATATAAAAAGGTTTTTTGCAACTAGATTAATTAAAAGTACTGAGATTTAAAAAATTGGTTTAACTAGGAAAAGTTCTGGAAAATCACACAAAATAGAAAAAGGGTACAAATCCCAAAGATCCAACGAGTCTGATGTGAACTATGACGAATCTGATGATGAAAATGCTAAGAAATTAAATAATGAACAATACATAACAGAAATGAAAAAACCTCAATTATTAAACGCCTTTTTATCTGATTCTGACATCGATAGTTATCATTCACTTGATGAAGATTTGAAAGATCATGACCTTCCACAATTTTAAGATATTAGAACTAAACTAAGTTGATTTAATTATTCTATATTATAAAAATTAATTTTTAATTTTTTTGTTATTATGGCAACTAATACAAATGGAATAGTGACTTGTTGCCAAGATTTTGGAGTATATTGCATCACGTAATTGCAGATTAAATATCAAAAGCTTGTGTATCTCTGAAGTTATTGCATTAGCAGTTTTAGCAGTTGGAATTTGTTAATTTATAAGACGAAAGAAAACTTTTAAATAGGCTAAAAAAAGAAAAAACATTATCTATATTTTAATAATCTTGTGCTTAACTTGTAACATAAAACATAAAATGTAGGCAATATTATCTTTAATTTGGCATAAAAAACATTGTTGGTTTTTTACTTTTTTTAATTATATGTCTATTATGCATTTTTAATCTATATTGTATTTTATTTTGCTCGTAAAACTTTAAGTGTTAGAACTTTTAAACCTTATCAGATTTTATAATTGAAAATTTATTGCATCTGCTTGATTTCACTATTCACTATATTTTTGATATGGAATTTGTATGATTACCTATCTAGTTTATCGTAATCCTATTCGCTTTGTCAAAGTATATGTAATCAAATAAATTTTGAGAATAGATATTTCATATTATCAGAATGATCGGATTTATAGTGAATCTAGTTTTGATTGCAGTTGCCCATTCTTTGAATCTAAGTATTAAAAGGAATCTAGAATTTAAATCAACCATGCTGAAAAACTTTGTCAATTTTGAAGAAAGCTGTAAGAAAATTAATCGATAAAGAATAAACTTTTGGTATGATCATGTGCTATAAGGATCCTTGTCTATGTTACATTCTTTGGTTAATTGCTATACTTCGTTGAGGATATTTATTTCCTAGTTCAAGGGCCAACGGAGACTTGCCATATATACCTAGATGTATTAATTAAAACTATTATGCACATAGATAATTCAAAGTGAAGCTCGAATATTTCAATACTGCTTGCTATTATTAGTTGTATTAATCCAAGTTCAACTCCCTTTTTCTGTAACAATTTATGCATTTTGGTTCCAAAAACCAGTCATAAAACAAGAATCTGATGTATTCTATAAAATATTTTAGTCGATTGAATTTGAAGAAGATTACTTTAAAACCATAAAATTATAAGAAAAACCCAATTCACATTCTTCTGAGTAAATTACAACATTAAAAGAATGAAATAAAGCATATTTAACAAATATACAGATTAAAATCAATTAAATATAGAATAATTAACAAATATCAACTAATATAGTATCAATTTCTATCATTCTTTAATTGCTTAGAATTATGAAATATCTTGGATACTATTCTATATATTATTTCTAAGCTGGCAATAATTATAAAAATATATATGAGAGAAATAATATTAGTTTTTAGGAATTTGGATTATAAATGATAAAGTAAATATAGAATGAAAATGAGTTTTTCAAGTTTTTAATCAATTTTCTGGATATGTGAAAGTGTTGAAGCGTCTTCTAATGCTTTATACTATATTAGCTTAATAAAGAGTCGATAAAAATTTATTCAAGAATTATATAATTTTTATTCAATAATATGGGGTTATGCATTTCTACAAAAGAAGGCGAACAACAAATGAATGAGGAATTGATGAAAGCTCCAACGGCTACATTTGAGCAAATAGAGGAGACTGGGGAATAGGTTTTTATTGACGATAAGAGTGACGCAATTGTAAAACTGGCTGATTTTCAATTTGAAAAAGTCTTGGGAAGGGGATCATTTGGAAAGGTGATGTTGGTGACACATAAGGAAACCAACAAACTATATGCTATGAAAATATTACGAAAAGAGATGATTGAAAAGAGAAATTAGAGATTACATACGTAGAATGAAAGAGCCATTCTTGAAAATGTTAAGAACCCTTTCATAGTATAATTACACTATGCATTCTAAACAAGAACTAAGTTATATCTAATTATGGATTTTCTGATTGGAGGTATTTTTGTTTTGTAATTAATTTAGGGGAATTGTTTTTTCACTTAAGAAGAGCTTTTCGTTTTTAAGAAGAAAGAGCAAAATTTTATGCAGCAGAATTAATTCTGGCAATAGAATATTTACATAAATGTGATATCATATACAGAGACCTAAAACCCGAAAATATTTTATTAGATATGGAAGGACATTTGAAAATAACTGATTTTGGGTTATCTAAAATCAACGTTAAGGATGATGAAAAAACAAATACATTTTGCGGTACACCTGAGTATTTGGCACCTGAAATTTTATTGGGAGGAGGACACAACAAATGTGTAGATTGGTGGAGTTTGGGTGCCTTACTTTATGAAATGCTTGCAGGTGCTCCACCTTTTTATTCAAAAGATAAAACATAAATGTTTAAAAATAGACTTGAGAAACCAATAGAAATGAAGGATTGGTTTTCAACTGCAGCTCGATCGATATTGAATGGACTCTTATAGAATGATGTATATTTTTACAATTTAATCAGCCTACCAAAAGATTGGGAGTAAACGGAAGTTAAGAGATCAAAGATCATGAATTCTTTAGAGAAATTGATTGGGATAGATTATACAACAAATAAATTCAACCACCTTTTAAACCTAAAGTTTTCGGTCATAAAGATTTGAGACATTTTGATGATATGTTTACAAAAGAACCTCCTTAGGATACACCAATAAATAAAATGCAGAATTATGAAACTTATGAATAGTTTACTTTTATCAAGACAAATGATCTTAAGAATTCTAATTAAGATGAGGAGAAATTCATTGAAGTGAATAAAAACTTTATATTATAAAAAATTTGAACTAAATCAGAATTATTAATAATGGGATTGTCCAAATTTGAAATCAGAGTTATATTCTGGAGTAAATGGACGATTCAAATCTGTATATTTTTTGAGTTGATTTGCATAATAACCTTCTTATGCAAATGTAGTTACACTATTCTTAAATGGTTATTCCAAGCTATCTTCAAATTACTAATCATTCTACTTTTAATAAAAATTAATTACTCTCTAATTGTTTGATTCGCCTTTAAGTTCACTTAGGCTTCTTTTGTTAAAATTATTGGCAGTTATTATTTTCTTTTGACTTTCCTCAATTATCTCTTCTGCCTTTTATTCAACTGCGATTTCAATATTTTCTTCAATTTCATCATCTTTTTATTTCTATTCATTAAAAGTAGTAAACTTTTGGGTTTTTAAATAGTAATCTTAATTCATTTGTTCCTACAAGGGTGGTTTACGAGGAAATGAATGAGCAATTCTTTAATTACTCTAATTTTTCTTGTTATTTGATAAATCCCTATGTTTTTAGACAGATTTGTCATTTCTTCTCACACTGTCAGTTTACTAATTGGTTTTATTATTTCTAACTGACAGTTTAGTGCTCATGTCAAATTCATTTTAAGAAATGTCTTATTGATTGGATTTAGAACTAGAAGTAATGATCAGTTATTATTATTATTGTGATAGTTATTATGGTTGCGTAGTCTTTTTTTTTGGCGTGGGATGATCATCATAAACAATATTTGCTCTAGTTATTTTCTCCTAAGTCAATTTTTATTATTTTTAACTTTACTAACTTTGTGATTGTTATGAAAAACCAGTAGTTTTTTTAGATGTTATCCTTAAATAATAAATAGCAAAAGGTACTTCATTTGACAACTGTCTTGAGAAGCCTCCAAATTATTGTCTTGGTATTAGATAATTAGGTTTTAATGTTCAAATCCAATAGGAAAGTCATGCTTCCCCATTATGGAGCTAAAATAAGAAGAAGCAACATACCCATCAGGATCTGCCTATTTCATTGTAAAAATCTTTCTTAATTTGCATGGGGATTAAATAACAAATAGATCAAGTGATCTAAATGTCATTCCTTTCCAACCTTAAATAAAAGAAAAGAGATCAATTTAAAGGTTCAGCCAAATGTTTTTTGGTACTTCTATTGGATATCTTATGTGGAATGGCTTTTTCTCAATTTATTTACAGTTCTATGTCAAATAAACATGACGCTTAGTTTTCGTGGTATCAGTAATTGAGAACTCGATGGTCCATTATTATGTCTATGGAACATAGATTTAGAGACATAAAATCTATTGGACCAAGCCTAGATCTCCTTCTTTTGGAAAATGGGCTTTTGTGTTCTGTCCTTGCAATTCAATAATATAGTCTATGGTTATTAGGAATCGTTAATACTCTTTAATTATTTATCGAAATCTTTAACAAAACTATTGGTAGTAATTTTTAATAGCTGTTAGTAATGCTTCTCTTTTTCTTTGTTGGCTTTGTTGAGTATATCTAAATGGTTAAGAAAAATACCTTTGGAATCAAATATCTCAAACAACGGTGTATTCTAAAACTAATTTTAAAACATTTTATATATAAATATTTAAAATTATCAATATTACTTGTACTATTTTAAGGATTCTTGTAGCATTTATTTGGTAGTTTCTGCTTGCATGAGTAGTTACTAAACGAATTGTAAATTATTATTAATAGATTTAAATTGTTCTAATTCAACTTTTAACTTGTCATTCTCTTATTGTAATTGTATCTCTCTTTCATTGGGTATTTGATTGTTATATTTGGATAATTCTTGCATTTTGATGGTGAACTCCTTATTAAGATTATAAACTTAATTTAAGAGGTTGCTGATGATATTGAGTTGATTTTGATTTTGATATTGTAATTCTAGTTTGTCGTTGTATAATTATTTTAACTTATCCAATAGATTAATAATCTAGTTTACTAAATCATACTCTATATTTTTGGGGAGTAATTGTTGTCTTTTGATCATGATTTGCTTTTCCTCATCCAGGGATTGGATGATCATGTTTAATTTTAGATTGTCTTCTGATTTAAATTGAGTATTGAGATACTCAGATGCTATTTGCCTAATAAAGTTCTCCTTGTCATTGTGTTATTTTTTTATTGGTGCTTGGTCTAGTTGTTTGTAATAGTTGTAGTGTTTTTTGAGGGTTTCAATCTTGTCCAATTCATTGTACCCATCACATAATTACTCCAATTGCGGAATCATTTTATATATTAATAAAAATTCCATAATATGTTATTCAACTTACCTCTGAAATAGACAAGACAAGTCGATTTACTCAAGCCTGTTGAGTAGGCCATCCTGAACTGCTATGGAGAAGTCACGCTCTTTACTGAAGTAATCATAAAATCCATAAATTGCAGATTAGGGATGTTGTCGAGAAAACCTAAAAACTGAGATAAAACTTAGATTATGAGAAGATCAACTTAAGCATCGCCACTGATCCTCAAACATCAGAAAACCTAGAGAACAACCTGATTGAATATCTTAAGCACTTCTCCTTACTATTCAAACATTTAAGATTCGAACAAGGAGACCAACGATCCCCCTAAGTAATGTTCTATTGGAGTGACAGCTATGATCATGTATTTATATATTGTACCACGATTTCTAGAAAAGAAGCTGCCAATTAAATTAGGGCAGATTAGAATTGATATCCTAATACTACAATCTCGCAATCTCTTACTATTATCAAGCCAATAGCAAGATTATTAAGGATACTGATCCTGATCGTAAAGCAGCATACACAAAATTGAGAAATGGGCTATGGGCTTTGGACTAATTAAAACAACATATTCACGGACTATCTAAAGATTCAATTTCTTAGTTATATGATATCACAACCTTGAATCTGGAATTCTTAGAACATGCTGTAATACTAAATCTCTAAATTAGTACTGTGGACTTTCATACAAGGCCCTCTATCAGAATATGATGTCTCAAGTAAAGACCTTTGGTTTAAACAACGTATGTGGTACTATTTTTGAGGCAGCCAAAGAATTCACCATATCCCTCAAGGCTATTGAAGCTATGAATTCCCAATACTAAAAACAAATTGGAAAAGTACTATAAATCATAAATAATCTTAGAACTTTCTTGCTTAAATCTTGCCTATGATTCAATTTAACTAAATTTGGGCAACCGTCACTGGATGTGTTTAGATGGGCGTATATCATTATGGAAGAATACCAGATGACTCCAGAGGCTAGAATATGGGAAAGGCCTTGGGCTTTTTGATTAGAGCACAATAGTTGATATAACCAGTTGTTAACGACAAGAATTCCAGTAAAATATACTCACCAGATTAACTTGATCAATTGAAATCATTGAATCAACAATTGACTCAATTGTCTACTGAATATAATTACAAGAACTAACAGATATATAAGGAATAAATAGTTGCTTAGGATTTGTTGCCATATCCTTCTTTAATGGAATAAATTAGAATCAAACCTCTTGAACCAACTAGTTTCAAGGAACCTGCCTAAGGAGCAAACAAATTTTCAGGCTTCATTTCAGAAGAAGCTTTATAATTGTCTAGGGAGATTAAGATGTTTGTAGAATAAACAAAATACTCTCTTGAAGAATCCCTAAGATAGTTATTTTGTTAAAAAAATCAAGCCTATACAGAGGCATATCTAGTTTACTTTATCGATATGGCACAATAAAAATAACTTGTTTCAGGAGGCATCCCTTAGAGTATCTAGGATAAAATAGCATATATCAGAAGCAGAGGATGTTTGAGTGGAATAGAAAAGATAATAGAATAAGGAAAACAAAAATCCATCATTTGCAATTAATTGCTAGGATAAATTGAATAGGAATTGCTGAATGAATAACAATAAGACTAAAACAATAGAAATAAATATGGTGCTAAATGGGCAAGAACTCCCTCAAATTAATTGAATTAACAATATTTCAATTCTCTCAAAGATCTCAAGGCTAAATACTTATAAGCACAAGGAATTGATTTTGATGTTATGAGTGGTTTTGAGAATTCCAAATAAACTATCATACTTGCTGCATAAAATGACAACTAAATTATTGAAAAATTGCCCAAAGATAATAACAATTCTGATTTTGTGAATCAAAATGCTTAAACTTTTACCCAATTAACATAATTAGATCAAAAAGTCAACTCTATCATAGATTAGTTAAAGGCTAACATATAAGAGTATAATTAAGTCATACAAAGTACAAATTTCACTAAGATTGCTGTCAATGGCATTAATGATGGAATACCAAAAGAATAAGTATTTACTATTGCCCTTTAAACTGTGTCAGCTCTTATTGAAAATTTTAACAATAATGTAAATATTTGATTAATCTTAAGATGAACTTAGTCTCAGAATTGATCACTCAAATTTGTGGAATCGCCAAACAACTCTCTAACCTTAAGAAGCAATCAAATGAATAAGTCCAATAATCCGGATAGACTAATATCTTTGCCAATGCATAATCTGCTATCGATAATATTGATCATTCAGTGGTCTTCTACGAGTACAATTAATAATATATCTAGGCAATTGAAAATGCATTTGGAAGATCAAGACAGAAAAGTCAAGGATTTCTTAATGGCCAGAAATCTTGAATCAGAATAACTAGTTTAATAATTGAATTAACAATAAACATACTAGCAATCCCAACAAAACCAAGCACCATATCAACAACCCCAATAGCCATAACAGTAAGCAGGATATTAATATCCAGTCTATCCCTAATACCCTCAATATCCACAATAGCCTAACCCTCAATATCCATAATAACCAAATCCTAATCAACCTTAAGGTTACCCACAACAGATGCCCTATCCAACACAATAGTATCCATAATACTAGCAATAGCCAAATATCTAATACCCATAATAAAATTAAGGAGCATGGGGATAACAGTACAAAAAATGACATAATTTTACATAATTACAAAGTAGTTATAATTAATTCTTTGTCATTCTTATAATTTATGGAGCTTCAATTGCAAATACCTTAATTTTCTCGTGTTAATATTTAAATGAAAATCTTGGCTATTATTTATGTTTAATAATTATTAATTTATTCAACATGTCTTCAGGAGAGCTTCCATAGGAAAAGAAAACGTTATTCTCAACTTTAGTTCAGAAGAAACAGGCAGAAACCGATGCATAGAAGATACAGAATAGGATTCTATAATTGAAAATGGAACAGGAGAAAGTCTTAAAGCACATTCAATAGGATGAACAGAGAGCAGAGGAAATTTATAGACATAGAGTAGAGATCTAAATGAAGGTAATATTCACCTCAAATAACATGCATAGAAAGAAAATAAAATGAAATAGAAATAAGCATAACCACCTCCATTCTCATTGGCTGTTTCTCATCATCAAAGAGAATTGTTGAAGAAAATAAAAGATGATGAATTGTAAAGAAAGAAGTCAGAAGCCAAAGTTTTTAGAGAGTAATTAAAGTAGGATTTTAAGGGTGTTTAATTATAAAAAAGCTTAGAACAAGAAGGTTATCGTATTAAAGCAATCTAAGTAAAGGAAGAAGAGAGGTAGTCTACCTAATTGGCTGTTGCCAAATTAAAGTAGAAGAGAGAGAGAGTAAGATACGAAATAGAAAGCGAAAAAGATAGAGTGGAGAGGGAAAAGGAGTTATATGATTTAAAAATTTAAGAATTAGAGCAAATTGAACAATTAGCTATGATGGAACTATAAAATTCGTTAGCTAGATAGTAGAAGGTTTAAGAGAAGATTCAGTAAGCACAAAAATTGTCACCCAGTGATTATGAAAAATAATATTAAAGTATTTAGAAGGCAAGTGCCACATAATGATATTTATTAATATTTTAATATGCTTAACGAAAGCTTAGAATCTGACAAGGAGATCGATCCCGAAAAAGAAAGACAAAGATTGATGATCAAGAGATAGAAGTCAATTGAGGAGAGTCTCCAATTAAATGTCAAAGATCACATCATTAAATTGGAAGTAAAGAATTCTAATAACTCAGAATTACTTGATTGAATTGAAAAAAGACTTAGAAAACAGCAAAAAAGAAATGGCGAATTTAAGAATGGAAATTTCGACTGTGAAGAATAATCATGGAACAACGAGCGATGATCTAAGTACATTTATACAGAATGATGTAACTATTATTACAAACTCTAGGCAAAAAGACTTCTTAATGAAACTCTCAAGAAATCTTAAGAAGTTTAACATGATAGTGAATTTTTAGATGCTTAATTAAATGTATTGAAAAGCGATAAAGATAAATTATTAGATGTTACAACTACATTGGAAAAAAGAATTGTGTCATGTGAAACAGATGTAGGATTTAAACATGTTTATGATTGAATGTTAACATTATCACTTATTAATTTTGTTATTTTTTCCTTATTTATAATCAAAAACTAATAAAATTGTATTCTCACAATAAAGTTCTTAAAATAATTCATATTAGATCAAAAAAATATAGTTTTTTTTTGTTTGTTAAACACTATTGATAGGTGCAATATCCATAACACACTATTTAAACGATTTTTCAAAATATTCATCAAATTTCCCTTTGCAAACTTCGCTTCTTTCTAGAGAAGTCTTTACTTCATCAATAAAACATTATTTGTCACTCTATTTACATTTCCCAGATATATTTAGTCCTCTAATCTTCATGCAAGATAACATTGAGCAATCATACCAATCTATTTTGGCTCTCAAATCATCATACAGAAAGGTTAGCTAATATAGTTAATTTCATCTTTACATCATATTTCATTATCTATTGAAAATGAGTATAATCTCTAATTTTATTATAACAAACTAAAATCTTCTTTTCTGCTTATCTATAAAATGATATATCTGGATCATTCAAATCGCACAATTAAAATTATACTATTTAATCTAGTTAAGATGTATGTTGATATTATCTAAATTGAGTTCTAAACAATCTATAATCTGGAGATTGCTCAAATTGTTCTAGATACTTTTTAGCATTTTTCTCCATTAATTACAAAGCATTTGAAATTGTTACTAGTCGTTTACGTTCAAAGAGTACTTTGGATTTTTGTAGTGCTTCTTCTGAATCAATTTAACCACTCATTAATATTAACTATTAATTAAAAGGTTATATAAAATAAAAAAATGTCTAGAATTTGAACTTAGATATTTCAAATAACATAGAGTTATATACCTATATTAACATTGAGTTTTATACTATTAATCTATTTCATTTAGTTGAAATTACATTTATATGATTTTACTTTCATATTTGTTTATATATTCTATAAATGATATATATATCCTTCTTAATTTATTATTATTCACAAGTAGGAAAGTGCTCATTCGACTTTTAATAAGAACAATTATTTATTCAAAAACTTATTTTCTTATTAGGTTAAATAGTTTGGCCAAAAATTTATATAATAATCATAATGATAAAGCTTGAACATTTTCTTAGATTTTTCTTCTAATAGTGTTTTTAATCTTTTGTTCACACTTATATTAGTATATCAAAAATATATGGTAATATTTATTTTAGATTTCAGTATTCCAAAAGATGATAATTATGAGGATTGAAGCAGAATATTAGATATTAGGATTATTTTAAGACATAAATTTTTTAAAATCCATAAACAATTAAAGACGAATTCTTATATTACATAAAATTAATTAAAATCAAGAATTGAACCATCTGTCTTACAAGATCTAGAATGTTATTTTGTTATTACTCTTAAAGTTGTTATTCTTTCGCTTGCCCTGATGGTTAACATTTGTGAAATTAATTTCTGACACTAAGTAGACACATTAGCCTTTGGATAGACTCCCTTTTTAATATATCCATATAGGTCAGCATCATTAGATCCTTTAAATGGGAAGTGACCTGTTAATAAAACATACAGTAAAACTCCCAAGGCCCAGACATCAACAGGTTTACCAAAGTAATCCTATTTATTGACTAATTCTGGAGCCATGTAACTATTTTAAATGAGTTATTATTACCTTGGAGTCCCACAAAATACTCCTAACTTGCTATCTCTATTAACTAATACTGAAAATCCAAAATCTATCAATTTAATTTCATTATTATCTTTTAAGAGTATGTTTTCAAGTTTAATATCCCTGTGCACTATGTTCAAAGAATGACAATAATCCACTGCTTTTACAATTTATCTAAATAGTAGTTTAGCATCACTTTCATCAAGTCTTCTATTTGGAAATTACTAATATTAGAAATAGTAAAGTATACTTTCAAATATGATCGCAAACTCTTAGATCCACCATACTCAACAATTAAATTAATATCCATTTATGTTTCGATGGTATTGACATATTTTATGATATTTGGGTGATTCAATAATTTGAGAATATGGATTTCTCTCTTCAGTTGCTGTCTCCTTTGCTGATTACATAATTTAGCTTTGGAGTATATCTTAATTGCGATTAGCCTATAATTTGTAAGGGAGTATACTTTTCTGTAAATTTATCTCTAGCCAATTTAACAGTTGCATAGGAACCTTGTCCAAGAGTACTTAAAATTAAGTATCGATCTAAATTAGAAACTTGTTATTGAATCACAGAAGTCGTATTTACTTGTTGTTGGGAGTTAGAGCGCATAACCCTATTTATATTACATCATGAAAATTAGTACTTTAAATCGCCCAGAGGTTAGGTTTTAAATTTCTATTCACATTATTAAGGAATATCAGTCTCTAAATGGGCGATACTCGTTTTTTTTATTAAACCATCGGTGAAGGTTTCTAATTAATTTTTCGTTGATTATTAGGTCATCCTTTAAGAACCCTGATTAGTCTTAAGTCTCTGATGATCTGACTTATTTTCTGAAGTAGCAACTGTACAATATTAATTTGTAAATTTCATGCCAGTTTTGGGTCGAGATCGTAGAGTTCTTTAGGTTGGTGTTAAAATAAGTTAAGGAATGGGATTGATAGTTGTTTATTAATACAAATCCAAAATGGCTAACTCTTGGGTTGGCCTTCTTGTTGCAGTGCTGCATCGAGTTGTAGGCCTCACTTTGAAACCACCTCCTTTCATAACAATATTAATATATAATTATATATTTGTTGAATCATTTTTATTTAGCTTAGTTATCCAACATAAATTCTGCAAAATGAATGCTGGCTGGATTGGTTTCATCATAGATGACATCTTCTAGATATTGAGTTCCTTAATTAATGAGTTCTTCGGCGTATACAAGTTCAGCATAATTTATCTTTAATTTTGGCTTAGTTGGTAAGAGCCAATGATACCATGCTTAATCACCAAACACTTATTTAAAATTATGAATAAATGATTGTTATCTACCAAATTTACCCTATCTTGATTCTACTGTTGTTTAATTATCACTTATTGCTGAAATTTAATCCCAGAGCATTTGGCTTACAAAAAAAATAAAAAAGAAACTAAATAGAAGAATACCCAGAATTTAACATTTAGTGGTTGTTATTGTCATCAACATAGGTAAAATCTTTCGCTTTGATTTCATGCAATAATCATAAATTCCAATTGTATGAATGCTTAACAATGTTAAAAGGTACAACAGTTAATAAAGGAGAAATAGAACAAAGTATTTTTAATTAAGGGCTCCAATGCAGTTATTTTCCCAATCACAATGATGATCCATTTTGAAAATACACTTATTACATCTTTTACAATGATGTGCTCTAGGTGGTTTCCATGAATTGCATTTCTTACATTTTCGACCATACATCTCATGAACTAATTGCAATTTGATTGGAACGCTTTTCTAACGAATTTCCCCTGGATCCGAAAAAGATGTTCTGATCTAAAAGGTCGATAGTAATACCCAAAAACAAAAAGCAAATGCTCTCAAATAATATAGGATTGATAATTATGAATTTTCATAAAATGAAGTTGTATATAGTCCCCATACAACTAAAACATGCGTTAATACTAACAGTGTACAACCAAAGTACGAGGACTTCACAGAATTTGATTTCTCTGTGTTTTCTTCACTTTTCATATTATTATTGAACAAAAAAATAAATAAAGAAAGTTGAATTGAGTGATGTACTAAATATTCTTAAAAATGTATACATTTTTGTATAATGATTAAAAATTTTGTTTATGTGTTTAATTCGAATTGCAAATTTATAATACAATTTGCTCGCGTAGGACACATAGTTTGATTTTGGAATGAAATCAAGTCAGCCATGCACTCATCACAAGAGCTGGCATCCGACAGACGATCTCTCCCTAATAATTTTATACAGTACTAACTTATAATTAGTTATTTATGAAAAAAATAAATTTATGGGATGATAATAAATAAATCTATTGATGATTGATAAAGATCTCAATCCAAGGTAATCAAATTAATCTCTAAAATAGTTGTGAATTTAAACATTGTCGGTCTTTCTTTTAATTGAATTATACTCAAATGAAATGGAATTCTACACCTCTGCCCTTTGAATTTGCCTCCTATCAACACAGAGACATAGTGAGAATGAAGGAAGGAGACTAATTCAAAAACAGAGATTTGAGGGTTTATGACAATTTCCTAGTCTACGAGGATCAAGTAATGTTTCAATACAAAATAGAATCGATCCTATTGGTTAGACTACGAAAATTGCATTATAGATTAAATACAGGATCAAAAAGGAATACGTCTCATTAAATGTTTCGATTCAGTTGAATTTTATTGTGACACTCAGTAATGGTTCAAAATACTTAAAAGACACACAATATAAAGTGATTTTCAAAAGTATTATGCCTTGATTAAAAAAATAAGCAAGGGCAGATTTACAGAAGTATTTCATCAATCTAACATTAACAGGTTTATAGAGCCAAGTGTCATGCTGACGGAAATGATTATGCAGTCAAAATATTGAAAAAGTCATAAATCATAGATGAAGCTGATTTAATTGCTTTGTTCAAGGAAATCAAAGTATTGAGAATTGTGCAAACAGATTTTTGTGTTAAATTCTATGAGATCTTTGAAAATACTGAAAATATTTATATAATAATGGAACTACTGATTGGAAAAGATTTAGATGGACATATAGAAAAAACATCATTTTTTTCAGAGGAAAAGACAGCTAAATTTATATTTAGATTGATAAAGACAATTTCATATTTACATTCCAAAGGCATCATGCATAGAGATATTAAACCTGAAAACATAATATTTAGATAAATTGATAACATCGACAGTGCATGCCTGACAGATTTTGGCTTAGCTGACTTTTATCACAGCGATGGATTTTATTTGTTTAGAAGATGTGGAACTCCTGGTTATATTGCTCCAGAGATCTTAAGAAATGAACACTATGATTATAAAGTAGATGTCTATAGTGTTGGCATCATTATGTATTATGTTCTAACTGGAAGGAATCCATTCGATCATCCAAATCCAAAATAGATTGTGTTAAATAATTAATTAGGCTAAATTAATTTTCATGATTGTAAATTGAGTAATGCAGGATTGGGATTTTTAACCTAATTGTTAAATGAAGATTAGCATGAAAGATTATCATCCCATGAAGCACTCAATCATATTTGGTTCCAAATTGAAAAAGTCTCAAAAATAAGATAATATATAATAAAAAAGAAGACAGAATCCAAAAAGAATTTATCTAACATTTTATAACCAAAATAGCGTTTAACTCAAAAATATAAGGCAGCCAATCTAAGTCCAAATGGAAAGCTAACTCTAACATAGATTTACTCGCCTTATCATAGTAGGTAGTTGTCTTAAAAGGATCAATTTTCTTCGGATTTGTCAAACAATTTTATGGTCACAAGTAGATTGAGTTTAGAATTTGCTTAAAGCAAAATTTAACCCCTTTTCATTTCAAAATTAAAATGAATAATTACTTTTTATTTATAATATATGTTTCAATACTTATCTAAAATTGACAACTTTGGGGCACAATTCAAACCCAGGATTACTCAATCAGAACATGAACATAAATCAATTATTGGAGGGGTTTTTACTTTATTAGTATATGGGGTGTGTTTGGCTTATTTTATTTTTGTTTTACAATAATGGTAAACAGGATAAATACTACCAAAAATTCTAATTGAATCAGATGTTGCAGCCTTTTCAAAATTCAAGATGCCCAATGATTTGATTGCTATTTCGTACATCCGATATGAGGATTCACAAATAGATCCATTCTAGCAATAGGGTAACATTTTAATGCCAATTATGGCAATTATGGAAAACAACAAACCGATTTCCTATCAATCCATTCTTAATAATAACGAAATTTCAGATTATGGAACTAATTTAGTTGAGATGGAATAGATGGAATTAGTTAAAAATATGCATAATGATAAAACCTAAGAAAACAATAAAGTCTATCTTCTCTTAATAACAACTTGCAAAGAGCAATACTTAAAATATAATCAAACATGTGCCTCTGAGTATGAAATTACCAACTTTTTGAGAACAGGTTTGATTCCAATTGAAATTACTGTCACATTGTAATAATTTAGCACAATTGATTAAGAATTATATGAAGTGGAAAAACGATTGCAATTTCTACTTTAAGATGACTTAACCTTGAAAGCAGATTTATCATTTTAGAATACAAAATCCGTTGTAGATGACCATCCTATTTTTTCAAATTAAAAACCCTTCATCTATTTTTCAGATTTCACTGTACTCACTCAAACAATATCTTATAACCTCAGCAAATCTATAATTTAAGATGATGTTTTCATCTAAATCTCATTTTAAATTGATCCAATTGAAGTATTGTAATAAATTACTTATGTGAAAATTGGAGAAATGTTGGCTGATGTAGGATCAATTGCAAACCTTCTTTTAACAGTGTCTTGGTTTATATAATAATTTAATAAGGAAGAATTGGAAAACAAAATGATTGATTAAATCATCAGTATTTATTATCCCTAATTTAAATAAATTACAAAGATAAAAAACTTTATTGGAAGAACTGTAGAATTTAGACATGACAAGGCGAAAATAAATCAAAAAGAGTTTCAATAATGGTACAAGAAAGTTAGATAAAATGCTATAATAAAACTATCGGTTGTAAATTAGATTCACGAAATTTCTAGGTTGTATTTCATTTTGAGATCCTAAGCAAACTTTTAATCTATGATTCGTTTTTAAGATTATGGGATTCAGATACCGAATAAATTATTTGAAAAACAAAAAGATGAAATAAATAATGAATTGCCATCAAATGACTTTAAGATAGAAGATTACGATTTAGAGTCATACTAAATAGTAACAAATAATTTGTGCGACGAAGATCTAAATATTCTGAGTTATAGAATAAAAAATCAAGATAAATGATTGTTATTTTTATATAGAAGAAGATTACAAAGTTCATTATCATCTATATTTATCAAATAATTAAAATTTATTATTAAATAGCTAATTTGTATAAATGTTGATACTATAGGATTCTTTGAATCAACTTCATATCCATTGAAAAAACCATTAGAAATAAAGAACCATAAAGATCTTGCTACATTAATTTATTGGTTATTTATTAATTTAAAGAATTGTGATAAGATTGTTACAGTGAAGGAAATTCTAATATTTTTAAAAATTTAGTCCTCAATTTATCCATCCAAATTCATAAGCACCTCCTATAAAGCAATAAACAGGATTAAAATAAATGCCCAAAAGATATTAAAATATAAGACTTTGTTGTGGACTCAGATTTATGTAAATAATCTCAATATTCTTAAAGAATGAAATTAGTAAGAAGAAGTCCATATAAATGAGGCTATGCAAAATAATTTTAGTAATCCATAGCATTCTCCAATATGTGTTATGTTGATAAATTATTGATTGAATATATTATTAAAGCACTTACAAAAGCAACAAATAGCTTAATAAAGATGAGACTTGAATTAAGTCTAGATATTATATTAAGGATTATAATATTTAAGAATAAAAAATATCTTACATTTTTGATGAAAAATTAGTGAAATTTTATGAATCAAACTGAGCTTAAAAAGAGAGTATAAATGCATTATAATGCAATATAGTTTCTATAACTCAATTCAAATACTTGTCAATTTCGAAAGAATGAATAATCATTTAAAGATTAAGAAATAAAGTGAGATTTATATTTTGCCTCTGTTCCCCATATAGTTTAGTGGCTAATCAGAAAACAAAAAATTGATCAATATAAAATATGACGCTTATATAAAAATGATTAATTAAATTATGGATTCTAAAATTATATTTTCAAGATAAGTTACAATAGAAGATTGGAAACAAGATAAATTATCCTCATAAATAGTTCTTATTCTTGGAGTAGGAGGCATTGGCTCTGTAGCAGTTACTAACCTACTCAGATTAGGAGTTAAGAAAATCTTTATTGTGGATTATGATCACGTCGAACTTCATAATCTAAATAGATAAACACTCTTTTCAAAGTAAAATCAAACATATCTATTATAGTAAAGATGTGAATCAATAGAAAGTCAAGGCTGCTTTTGAAAATGCTTCATTTCATAACGTAGGCAAGGCTGAGATTTAAATGTTTGATTTAGATGCTGTAAAAAACTGGGATAAAATTGTTGAGCTGGCTTCTTAATCAACTGCAATTTTCAACTGTATTGACTATGGAGATTATTGGGATGCTGCAGTACAAAGTCTAAGTCTTTATTACAAAATTCCAATGGTCATAGCAGGAAGTTTTGCTCAATCTTTCATGGCAGAAATATATCTTGGAACACCTTGTTATGCATGCATGACAGATGGTCTTAAGGAAGAGTATTTGAATCAAATCACTCAGGAGAAAATTACATAGCTCAAAGACATTTCTTTCCTACCCTCAAATAATAAGCCATAAGGTTAATCTCATCAAGTATTGTGTTCTACAGCTGGTAACTTTGCGACATAATTACTATTAAATTATTTAAACGAATAGGCTGATAGCCAAACAAGCAAGTATACTATTCCTTTTTTATAATTTTAGAAAAGTTTTGTTTTATTTGACTACCTTTGAAGTAGTTATTTTTCCTGTATTTTCAAAGAATAACTGCCATCTCTGTAAATATTAAGAACCTGCAAAAGAGTAGCAAATCTAAGCAACAGAACCTGCAAAAGAATAATAAATATAGGCAACAGAAACAGAAAAAGAGTAATAGGTGTAGGTACCGGAACTTGAAAAAGAGCAATAAATATAAGCAACAGAAACTGAGAAAGAGTAACAAGAATAAGCAACAGAATCTATTCAAAAAAAAAATTGAGAATATTTTACATATTAATCAATTTTTATCATAATCATTTATCAGTTGGTTCTCCGGTGAAAAAAGTCTTCACAATATCACCAATGTAGGCACCTTTCAGGAGCCATTGATCATCCCCTAAGAAAAGGAATGATTAAAAGTCCTAAATCATCTCATCCAAATTATATCCAATATAAATCAACCCTCTTTTAATGAATCCCTTAGCTTTATTGAATATATGAACTTATATACCTTTTATCATAGCTACAACATTTTTATATGACTTCACTCCATCGATTGCAGTGTTTCCACAGTCATTTGCTACTTTGTCAAATAGTTTGGCGATTATTTACACTCCTTTTACAATAAGTTCTATATTTTTAGATTTCAGATTTTCAAGAGCCTTTTAAAAGTCTTCTTGAAATCCAGACACTGTGCCTACACAATGTAATATGTCTGGCATTGCGTCCAACACTCCAATTCCTATATATTCTTTGAATCTAAAATACCTGCAGCGTAGCCCATTAAGAAATCTTTTAAATGACTACTATCTTGAATCTCCTATTTAGTTGATAAAAATGATTCTGATGCCAATCCTGTTGCCAAAAGAACTAATAGTAAAATGGGTTTCATTAATTTTGTTTTTTATTTAATAAAATGATTATCTTTTTTTGTTTGTCATTATCTTGATACAACAAATAAGAATACGTCATTAAAATATGTCATCAAGTTATTTTAAATTTCTTATACATTTTCTAATATATTCTGCAGTTCTGAGAATTATATTTTGAACAACCTAATCTTAGCAAGTGTTTTCACAACCACAAAGATCATTTTCAAAATAAAAAATACTTCTATGGAATCAGAAGAAGATTTGACATTTAGAATTCAACTAAAAAATATATTAACTAATTATAAAGGGTTTCATATATTTCTCTTGATTACAAGGAAATGATTTGATAATTAATAATTTAATAACTATGATAAATTTGTATAATGAAAGTATGTGCTTATTGTTAATAAATATTTACTTTATTAATCTTTATATATAATGATTTTTCTTTATAAACAATTTATGTAATATTTTAGAATGGATTTACAAATACAAAAAAAATGGTTTGTTTCGGAAAACCAAAAATCTAATGTCTTAATTAATGAAATTTTTGATTTTAGATTGATAATTTTATTTTATTTTGTATGAAATTAGCAAGATTATTTTACTTTTCAACAGTTAAATTTCCATACAATTTTAAAGGAGTAAAACCTCTTCATGATGCCTCAATAGAAGCTTATTTAAATACCATTTTTGGTTCTAATTTGAGTGAAGGCTTTTTATTAGCTTACTAAAATTTGTTGGAAAGTTTAACATCTTCAGATTATGAAGAATTTATTCATGAAAATTGTGATAAAAATATTAGTAAGGCTTTGATTGAAGGGATGAAACAAATGGAGAAGAATGGACAAAAATTGAAATTAGTTTACAATGATAAATGCTAGACCAATGTGATGTATGGAAATTCAACATTGCATTTTTCTTGTGATCATAATTAAGATCTCCTGGATCAAAAGCCTGATTTTGTTTAGGGACAAGGTTCTAAAAAGGCAAAGATGTATAAATCAGGAATAGATTTTAAGACAATGACTGTCCAAAGAGGAATCATTGAGATTGCAATTTATATCAGATCTCCTTTGTTTTTGTCTATAAGCGGTTAAGAAGTAAAGTGATTTGTAATAACGTAGAAATATGAGGAAGCATATCATAGAATCGATTTCAGAACGCATTCAACAAGCAAGTTTTCATTTATTGATGCAAAGATATTAACTGAATAGATCATGCAATTATAAAAAGAGAAAAGTGTACAGTCGGAAGCCCAGATCATTATCGATAGTCTTGGTAAAGATTTCACATGGAAAATTTTGAATATAGATGAGTACTTTAAATGACAAGATTAAATCATAAAAATGCATTTATTAATATACGATATTTATAATATAGTGACTTTCACCAAAAATTTAATAAGTGCTTTATTCCAATTTAATTGAAAATATTGTGATAAAACTAAGGTGGAATGATAAATTAATGAGTTTTTATTTGTTATGTTTGATCATTTATTTAAATCGTTGATTCAACTGGTTAAAAATTTATTAAATATATAAATAAGAATTTGATGAAGAAAAAGTTGTATTAATAGGTACCTTAAGATTTAAAATGGAAAGAAGATAAAATGATCATTTAGTCTTAGTTTAAAAAAGAGAATGATGAAATTTGCTATCTCTAAGGGTTTAATAATTATATCATAATTACGAAAGTAATGCAAGTTTTTAACCATAGGATCTGTAACAATAGCCTAAGAAATACATACAGTTAGATTTTAATATCAAGTTTGAAATTCTTAGGGAGAATCAGGTCAAAAAAGGTGATGAGGATGATTCTTTGGGGTAAATTACAGGAATAAGCCTAATAAAAGATCTCGGGAATGAAACTATAACTTATAAGAAGTACCTTGGAGGAGAGAAAATAATCAAGCAATGGCGAGAGTACTTGAGTAGCAGGATAAACTAATGGCAATTTCACCAAATGTTTAAAGTTTACAAAAAAATTGGGAAGGGTAATTTTGCTTCAGTAATTTATATGAATAAATAGTTTATAGGTTTATTTGGCATAGAAAATTGAAGATTAGAAGAAAATGGCAATTAAAGCATTCTCTAAATAAGCAGCATATGCGGAAGAATAGGGCAAAGAAGCTATTGTAAATGAGTTAAAGATAATGAGATAACTGAACCATACACACATAATGTAGATGTATGAGGTATATGAAACTTAAAATTCCCTATATGTGGGACTTGAATTGTTAGAAGGAGGCTCCTTGTATGATTTGATAAAGGAGAAGACTTTACTGTCAACTACTTAGATTTAATAGATTATGGTAGGAGTGTTGTAAGGATTAAATCACATGCATTAAAAAAAAATCATGCATCGAGATCTGAAACTAGAAAACATTCTGTTTAAATAATAAAAGTAAAAATAAATTACATTTTTAGGAAAATGGATTCAGTTGTGATTGCTGATTTTGGTTTGGCAACTAAGGTGGATGAACTGGTATATTTGTATTATAGATGCGGTACTCCTGGTTATGTTGCTCCTGAAGTCATAAACATCAAGGATGTATAAGGACATTATAGTGAAGTTTGTGATGTTTTCAGTCTTGGACTTGTGTTTTACTTATTGTTAACTGGGAAATAGGCATTTCCTGGTAAATCTTATGGGACTGTTGTCAAATAAAATAGAGAAGCAGTAATTGATTTCAAGATTAAGCAATTGCAATAAGCACCTAGTTAAGCAATGGATCTAATGAAGAAGATGCTTGAGAAGGATCCAATCAAAAGAATCACTGCTGCTGATTGTTTAAAGCACCCTTTCCTTGCTGAAATGAATAATCAAATGACAGATGATTTTGTAAATGATTCAATCGATGAAATTGATGAAATAGGAGAAATTGCTTTGAGAATGAATGCATTAAATGAAGAGTATCATAATTATTCAATAACCTTCTTAGAACCATCAAATTTGATGCCTTCAGACGAAATGCAATCCTAAATTCTCCGGGTTCGCCAGGAATTTTAGACACAAAATAACTAAAGTAACAGAAAGTCATAGACTCTTTAAATTAACTTTAAATGAACTCTCCTTTGTTTAATGGAAAAACTGATACTTTCGATAGTATACCCAATATTGGCACGCCCAAAAATAAACAATGTTAAAACACTTTTCAATAATCACCTATGATTAAACATTCGTAATTTAAACAGTAATCTATTTATCAATTAATTTAGATCTATTCCATAATAGTAATAAAATCAAGATAATCCATTACAAAAATACTCATAATAATAAAAAAATTGATAAAAACTCAATATATTAAATTTTAAAATATAATAATATTTTTTATAACTCTGATAATTTATAACTATTTCTATTTTCATTTAAATTCATAAAATAAATCATTGAAATGGGATGCCATTGCACAAAAACAAAGGAAATAAAACAATCTAAATAGATCAAACACCCTAAACTAATAAAACTAAAACCACTCCTTTATGATTAGGATCAAAACACTTAATCTCCAATTACGACTGATTAGATAAAAGATGATTTAGAGGATATGAAACCACCAAAATTGTGTTATATAAGTAATTCTAGTAGAGGAGGGATAGGGAAAACCAAGCAGGTCTAAAGAGAGATAGGAGGAAAGAAGGAAAGATTTTCTTATTTATACATTCGACCCTATCAACCTAATTAATAAAAATGATATTGTAATTAATAGTACTAAAATTTTCATTTTATTTAATCAATTATTTTCTAAAAATTCATACACTTTATGCATATTATTTTGCATATAACTTGTGGTCCAAATTGCAAAGGGGAATACCATCAATGATCTGAATATTATTACTGAACCCAAAGCTATCGGAAGACCTGTAAAAACTGATTTAACAAAATGATGCATGTCATCTTAAAATATTTGGTGCTTTTGTTCCTTGATTTTTGGCAAATATTCTTTGAACTATTATTCCTATTATATCCTTTGTTATTGTTGCTTTCTATAATTAGCAATCTTGATATCAAGAATTAACTAATCATGCTTTTCTTACATAATTAAAATAAATTATATCAAGTTAATATCAAACATTTAAAATTTAACACGATTTATTATAGCAAATGCTCACTTAGTCTACTTTAGTTAAGGACCATGCCAAATTACTGATTTCGTTTTCCGCTTTATATTCTAATAAGGGGTCTAAAGAATAGTCAATCTTATGAATTACCAATAGAGTTCAAGTCATTTTGTTTATTCTGCAATTCTGAAAAGTCCCAAATCAAAGCTGAAAAATCGTCAGATACACTACAAAGATGAGTTGTTGATTCAGGTGCCCATGCTATTGCATTAACAAAGTCTTTGTGATTCTTTAATTTGGCTAATGGTAAAAGTGGTTGTCTGAAAATATGGTTAATTAAATTACCTCGTATCCAATAGCGTTACATAATTTACATCCATCTCAATTACTGCTAGATAATTAGTATCCATTTTATTCCATGCCAATCTAACTATGGGATTGTTATTTTCAGTCTCAAACAAAACTGTTGAATGATCTAAAGCTCTATTGAATTATGATAATTGAGGAACCTCAAGTCGAATTGTCTGCAACTGCCATCTGCACCCACGGAAGCAAAGATTTGATGATCTACACTGAAACAAATATCATAGACTTCCTTATCGTGTGCTATTAACTAAGTAAAGACAGTCTATTTTTCTATCTCCCATAAAGTACAAGTAGTATCTATTGAAGCAGTTCCAATGTAATTCTATTGTTTACAACTCCAATCAAATGAAGTTAAGGGCGCATTGAAGTCACTTGTCTAATGGATGTATTTATTAATAATTGCTATACATTCTTTAAGTCCCACTTAATCTTCACTTGTGCATTTTAATCATCATACTCCCAAACCTTCAGATTTTCTCCGCTGGTGGCTAGGAGATCTGGATACTTCCCTTCAACATCAGGAATCCATAATACTTTTGTGGGAGCATATCGATGATTGAATTTAGCCTTCTTGAAAAAGGATTCTTATTCTTTGTCTAATTGCAAGATGTAAACCTATTTTCACTTAAATAAGCTGACTTCGTTCTGAACATCTTCAATCATGCTTCCTATAGCTATACGAGATTACGGTGTAGGTTTTGATTGAAATCCCATAGCATAGATCGGCCAAGGAGCTTTGAAAGTGTATATTTGATTTTGATTCTCTTATTGCATTTAGTTTTGGTTGGCATTTCCAACCATGCCTTGCTCTTAAAGAAGACTATTTTCTGCATATTGATTGGCATTGCTCATTACTTTAAAAAATATTTATAATTTAATTCATCAAACTATATCTACAATACTCTACATTTGTTCGCTAAATACTACATTACTTGGTCTTGAGGTAATTATTATTCAATCAATTATTCTAAATATTGATTACGCTCTCTAAGCATCTCTTGCTCATGCTTTAGTTTTTTAATTCTTTATTTCTCCTTTACTTTTTATTTAAAATATAGAATTCCTTTTGATTGGCATCTCCTTGTATTGGATTGCAAATTCATGCATTCCTTTACATTTTTTAGTACTATTTCATCCTTCAATTTTATTTCATGTTGAAGTTGAATATTTTGAATGAGTAATTCAGCATTCTTCTCTTCAACATTCTAAATAATTGATTGTTATTTTTTTATTTGCTATTCCATCTCAGTAAACTTTTATTCATACACATCGCTCATATATTTCATGTTCTCTAATTCTCGTCTGATTAACTCTATTTCTTATTGGCTCTTTAATTAGATTTATTGCATGACTATTTCATAACGATCCTCTATTTTCTTATTGAGCTTCAGTCTCTCTTTTAAAATATACTCTTCCAAATTCATTTTAATAATTGATATATTATAAATAAAAATATATTGGCAACTAAATCAAAGGGGGTATGTTTAACTAAGTATATAAATTGATAATATCCTAAAAATATTTTTGATTTAATTTTATATTTTCCAAATGGATCCAAATTAGAATGAAGATGTTTTCTCTGCCTTTGTTGATGAATACTAAAAAAACTTCTTTGATATGCTATTCAGATTTGAAAGTGAGTTCGCTATTTATAATATTTATCAGGCAAAGCTGAACCCATAAAAGAAGCATGGACAAGAGAAGATGGCAGAGGCCATGGACTGACTTGTGTTATATAAGTATATCCATCCTAATATCCCTTAAGGATGGTAATTTCTTTGAAAAAGCTGGCGTCAATGTTTCAAGAATCACTATTCCATTGAGTCAAGGAATCTATCAATAAATGAAAGGAAGAAGGGTTCCTGGAAGCAATCGTATTATTCTTAACAATAATCATTTAGTGGACTAAATCGATATGAACAATCTTGCTCAATATGATACTTATGCTAATGGAGTGAGTCTAGTAATTCATCCCATAAATCCATTCTGCCCAACTGTTCATGCCAACTTCCGTACAATAAGAATCAAAGAAAGAGAGACAGGTATATAAATGAATATATTACTTTCTTAGGTAAATTGATCGATTCTTGGTTTGGTGGTGGCAGTGATCTCACTCCAATCTACTTATTTGATGAAGATGCCAAATTTTATCACTAGAATATTAGAGATGCCATAGTAGAAGTGACAGGAGATGATAAATTATATAGATAATACAAAAAGGAGTGTGACGAATACTTCGTAAATCATCATAGAAAAGAAGCCAGAGGAATTGGTGGAGTCTTTTATGATGATTTCAATTTGGAATCCTTTGAAAAGGGTTTAAAGTTCTAAAAAGGAGTTGCTTATGCTAACTTGAATAGTTATGAAGCTATCTTAAATAAGAGAAAGGATACTCCTTATAACGATGAGAACGTTCGTTGGAGATCATTCAGAAGAGGTATATTTTGGATTGAATCATAGGTCGTTATGCTGAATTTAATCTGATTCACGATAGAGGAACAAAATTTGGTTTGATGACTCCAGATGCCAGAATTGAGAGTATATTAATGTCATTGCCACTCACAGCCAGATGGGAATATAACTATCATCCAAAGGAAGGTACAGAGGAGGCAAGAATTGTTGGTGTATTGCTTAAACCAGTTGAATGGGTGTGAGATATATAAGAGTAAATTAATTTATGAAATAAATTGCTTTTCGTTTGAATCACATTTGCCATGCTCAATTTGGATTGCGTACAAGAGCTGGCTCCATTATCAAAACAATCAATCCAGAGAAAAAGACCAGGGAGCAAATCAGATTGGAAATTGAAGATCCTTTCTAAGCAGAAAGATTACGATAAATCTAATTAGAAGAGGATGCCAAAAATTTTAAGCAATACATTTACAATTTGAAACAAAATGACAGCAATCCCAATAATTTCATTAAAGTCAAAGTAAAGAATGTTGAAGTAGCAAAAACTGAAACAACAACAGAGAGTGACATTAGCAAACCTTTTATTGTCAAGAAAATACCAAAATAAGAGAAAATTTTAATTAGTGGAATAAGAAGGTATGTTTATGACAATTGACTTAAATTAGAAAAGTACCTGCTTCTCTAAGAAGATTAATTCCTATTTGCAGACCTTTGATTAATATGCATCTTTATTAAGCTCAAGAGGCTATTGCTGATTCAGGAAGAAAAGCAGCTCAATTCTTAGCCAAAACATTAGTGATGGTCAGATCGCATGCTGTTTAAAGAGGGTATGATCCAGAAAGACTCTACGTCCATTCAATTTAAGTGGGCAGATATAAGAAATTCAGAAAGGCTAGATTTCATGCCAAGGCTAGAATCAATCCAGCTTTTAGAGAGACCAGTCAAATCAAAGTTATCTTAGAAGAAAGGCCTACTAAAGAGGTTTAATTTCTATTTTATTGTAGATGTTCAAAGATTTTGTCTAAGGTAAAACTCCTAGTGTTATTTCATATCTAATGAAAGATTAATTGGTTAGGGAAAAAGCTGACTATGCCAAAATTAGAAGATTCCAATTATTCCTGACTTCTAAAGGCAGACAACAATAGAAATTGATGTTAAAGAGAAGAGCATAAAAGGAAATGAAGGAGAAGGTTAAGTATATTCACTAAATTCTAGGGATTGTCCTTCAAATACCTTCATCGTCAAATTGTGGAGTAAGAAGCTGAGCAATTGGCTGAAAATTACGATACAGGAAAGAGTGGAGTACATAGATTCAATTTAGAGGCTAGACAGACTCTGTTTAAAAAGAATGAGGAAATCAATAATTGAGTTTAAGAATATTTAATATAAAAAATTATATAATAATAACTCATATTAAAAAAATAATGTAGCTTTCATCTGTTATTTTGATGATGTTCATTTCAATCTTTATATTTAAATTAATTGCAATAAAATTTGATATAATTAATAATTAATTAATTATGTAAAGCATTGAGAACTATTAATATGACAAAAAAGGATTTCTGGGTGCAGGTAGTTTTGGAAGTGTGTATAAAGCTAAAAATATAAAAACAGGAGAGATTGTGGCTTTGAAAAGTAATTGATTGTAATACATTTTTAGTTTTGGATATGAAACTATTCTAAGATTAGTTTATGATCGATTCATTGAAAAATGAAATTAAAGTAATGTAAACCTTGACTTCGCCTAATGTGGTTAGGATGCTTGATGTATTTGGCAATAAACAACAAACATATATGGCCATAGAATTATGCGATTCAGATCTCAGATCTGTGATGCACAAAAAGGGTCATATGTAGGAACAATAAGCAATAGAAGTCCTAGCATAATTGATGAATGGGTTCAAGGACCTGGTATCTCATAACTATATCCATCGAGATATAAAACCTGAAAATTGTCTAGTCAAAAGTAATGTGTACAAAGTGGCTGATTTTGGATTTGCTACTAAAATAGATATTACAGGAAGGCAATTGCTAAGAGAATGTGTTGGCACTCCCATCTATATGTCTCCTCAGATTTTAAACAAATAGTAATATTCAGCCAAAAGTGACATCTGGTCGATTGGAATGATGTATTATGAAATTCTTTTCGGTAAAACGGCATGGTCTTGCAGAGACATGTATAGTCTTTTAAGAAGCATCAAAACATAACCACTAAGATTTCCTTATGAAAGACCCATAAGTGAAAATTCTAAGGATTTCATCAAAAAGTGTTTAATGATCGAGGAAACTAATCGAATTGGTTGGAATGAAATTTTTACTCATCCAATTTTTACTATGAAACAATCTGGTCAATAGCAATAGAAATACAATTATGAATTACCCTAACAATGTATTAAGATCTTAAGGAAGATGCAAGATGTTGTTACTGAGAATAATATAGATCCACATTTTATTTTTTAGAGGTTCGACAAAGATAAAAATAACATTTTGGATGCTTAAGAATTTAAAACACTCATTTTGGCTGTTGATCCAAACACTACCCAATATTAAATTTAAGCCTTATTCACAAGAATCTGTGGTCAAGATCAAAAAGTTAATTATATTGAATTTCAAAAACTATTCACAGAATTTGATTTCTCTGATCTCAACGACAGAGCAGGCATTATCATTAAAGACATCTAAGCTGTAATCAAGGCTAATAACATTAATATTACGCAAATATTTAAGAAATATGATAAAAACCATTAAGGAGATCTAGATTATTAAGAGTTTTACAATTTAATCAAAGTTATAGTACCTGGAATCAAAGATTATGAAATTTAGTTGATGTTTTCGAAGTTCGATCGAGATAACAATGGTGCTATCAGTTTTCCTGAATTTTCATATATTCTCAGTAAAGGTACTGGCCAAACGTAAAAGGATGGCATCACTTAAAGGGCCTCTGGAGTGTTAAAGCAATTGTAAAATACAGTGAGAATTAATAAATTAGATGTAGCCAAAATATTTCAACGTTTTGATAAGTCTGGCGATGGTGCCATTGATTAAGAAGAATTCTTTTTATTACTAAAAGTATTATAATAAATTATATTTTTAATAGGCAATCGATGGTAAAATAAGTAAAAACGAAGCTGCCAGCCTTTTCCATATTTTTGATAAAAATCATGACGATTAGATCTCTTTCGAAGAATTCAAATCATAGCTATGAAAATATAAAATTCTAATCATTCAATAAATAAATTATTCAATTTATTAATTACATTAAGGACATTTGTCCCCTTTAGATTTACTGCAATAATAACAAAATGTGTGGTTACATGGTTCTAATTTTGTAATCATTGTTTTTATGGCAGAATTACAAACAAAACATGCTGCATTCTCATTTCCATTCTGCAATGTACCCAAAAAGGATGTCATAAAGAATAATTATTTACAGTAATTCATCAAATAACTGCTCGAAAATAAAAGAGATTAAAATAGTTTATTTATTACTCCCCAAATTAGTGTTCTGTTTAATAATTCGAAATCTAATTCTCTCGTCTGATTTTCTTTTATTTATTTTATTTAAAATCCTATCAAGAATAATTCTAAACTATTGACCATCTATCCCTAAGCTATAAATTTTAAAGAATGTCCAAAACGTAAAAGTTAAAATAAGAATTCTAATTTCTTTATTTTTTTATAAACATTAGGGTATTTCTATTCCAAATGTAAAAGCACTCTTGCATATAAATATCTCCCCAATACGATTATCAGCAAATAGAGAATTTTTTCTCTTTTTCCTAATCCTTCTCCCAATTTTGTACAAAATTAGATATTTTGCAATTCCTATCCTGGCAAAGGTTTATCTTTAGCAATCCTTTATCGAAAATACAAAAAATCAAATATTAAATCAACTTCTGGAATATTAGTTTTGAATAATTCCTTTATCTGCTCAACAAAAATAGATTTAATTTCCGAATCAATTAAAAGTCCTTCTATTTAACATATACGCGAATTTAACATATAATAATTATAATATAAATATAATCAATATTTTAAGTAAAATCATAAAAATTAATAAAATCTAGTCACTAATCAGTCATTTAAATAAATAAATAAAAATCAGCTCTCAAAACTTCATCTCAAAAGCTACCATCCCTCTTCTATTAAGATTTTCAACAAATAAAGTTACACTTCCAATCAGGCTCCCTCCAACTATACCACCAACAATGAAAGGAACAAATCCTTAAAATTATTCAGAAGGAATTACCCAAAGTGGATTTATAAACAGCTCCTGAAATTGCTCCGCATAACATATTCTTTTTTAATTAATTTATATCTGCTAACTCATCTTCAAATAATAGGTTCATTCCGGCCCCAACAAAATAATATAGCATGCTTGCACTTGCCGCTGCTTATCCATAGGTCGATGTTCGTTTTCCCACTGCATTGAAAAAATTATTTAAAATTAGCTTTTTTGGCATATTTAGTGATCTTGGGAAACCTTCAATTGCCCCTTTGACGAATCCAATAGATGAAGCTAAAATAGTGAATTTTCAATTACCTAACATGTAACTCACACCAACTGTAAAACTAATCTTATCGCCAAAGTCTTATCCTGAATATTACTCTATTTAGTTCTCCGGTTTGCTTCCCATAAATAAAATTTAATTAATAATAATCTTTCATTTTTTGTATCTCAAAAATATAATTGATATTATAATATACTATTTAATGAACCAGCTTATAACGAACAGAATTAAATCAAAAATCAAATGAACTATTTTATTTTGATAAAGTGCTTAGTGAATTCATAATATAAGAACTAAGAATGAATAAAGTTGACAAAGGAACTCCATTATTTTTTGAAAATATGTTTCTAAATAATAAAAATAAGGACCATAATAATTTCAATTTTTTCTTTCAATAGAGATAAAATTTTAATGTTTACTTATTCAAGTGAATATTTTATCATGTTCCTTTTTATTTCCTAAAATTGTAAAGCTAAATGCAGATTTTTTCAAATCTAATTTAATTAGTAATAATTGGAAGAATTTTAATTAATTGTTTTTAAAGAATGATTTCATTTGATGATATATTAGAAAAAAAAATAAGGACCGGTCCTTATTAATTTAAAACGTTAGGCATAATTGGTTTAGTTGAATTTTGTGATGGCATCGAATATGCTTACATGTCTATTCTGGTGGCTATAATATAAAAAGAATGGGAATTAAATCAATAATAGATAGCATCTTTGGGGTCATCGTTTCTTTTAGGTATGGTGATTGGAAATTGTATTTGCGCCTTTATAACGGATATCATTGGTCGAAAAACAACGTTTACAATTTTCACAGGACTATCAGTTTTTTTGATATACTTTACAAGTATTTGTACTTCATACAATTAAATGATTACGTTAAGGCTTATGTTTGGAATTGTTTTTGGAACTAGCTACCCATTAGGATATGTCTTTATTTCAGAAGTCACTGAACCAAGATATAGGGGTAGATTTGGTTATTCAATGGGAGTGTTATTTGTGATTGGGAAGATATACTTAGCATTCTTATGTATATTCTATCTCAATGATTTTACATCAGGAAATTGGAGAGGATTGATTAGAGTGAATGGAATTCCAGTTGCAATCAGCTTTCTTTTGTCTTTGTTTTTTTTAAAAGAAACGGTGAGATACTATTTAAATTCGAGAGAGTACAAAGTCGCATTTGACCTAATTGATTCAACTATACAAGAGAATTAAAGAGTATTTGAAATATTAACAGAAGAAGAGGTATTATATGTATGAATATTAACTTAGAAATAAGGATTGACAAATTGGTAGGAAAAGTAAATATAAATAAATTAGGAGCAAGAATTGAATAAGTTCGGGATTCTATCATAAAACTATAAATACATAACAATTAAGATATGGATTTTGTACATTTTAGCTAATTTACAAAATATGAGCATCTATTTATTGATGCCGTTTTTGTTTGCTAATAATAACTCAAACCTGAGTTCTATGTTGTTCATGTTCATTTTAGAATTAATATTCGCATTGTTATTGTATGTTTTTATTGATGATCCTAATATTGGTGGTAGGAAGATGGTAATTGGTTATTCATCTTTGATTTTGGTATTAGCTAATGCTAGTTTGTATATATTCAGAGAGCATATTCTGTTTTTTGGTTTGCTACTCATAAAATTAGCATGCAGGGCTCTATTTTCAACGTTAGGTCTAGTTTGTTGCGAAAGTTATCCATTGCAATTAAGAGCATAAGGAACTGCAATAGCATTTGGAATTGGTAAAACAGCATCAATCCCATCTCCATTTTTCTTATTTCCTTTATTTTATATAGATCCCTATTTACCATTTGCCTTGATGAGTGTGCTATCAATTATAATGATTATAACAAATTGTTTGATTGGAGAGGACAAAACAATGAAACCATTGGAATCACACAAAGAAGATTGACATATATACAAAATTGATAAACAAGTTTAAATTTATTATTCTTTGAATATATTTTATATTTATAGCTGTAAATTAAAATTAATATTCATAATTATGAGTAAATTAATATAATTGGCATTCAAACCTCAGTATTTTGCCACAAGAGTGCAATCAATCAATAGCAAAGCCAAGGCATTCACTGCCATTGATTTTTATAATAATTTATTACTGAATACTCAAACGAATTAGAATGGAAGATATAAATTTTAGACTAATGATGTAGGACATTTTGTTAATATGGTTGAGAAGGATAACATTAAGGAGGCAATTGAAGTATTTTAGATGCTTAATTGATTAGGGATTTAATAATATATTGGGACATAATAATTAAGTGCATTGTGGTATTAAAGATAAGTTTATGCTTAAATGTATTGAATTCGATCAAACAAAATATGTTTTGGATGCCTTGAAATTTCATTCAGCAATTAGATATTTCCCTCATCCATCTGTGATAATCACATTGGCTAAAAAACTTGATAGTGAAGGATTGATTGAATTATTCAAAATATTGAAAACAAGTCCTTTTTTGAAAGTTGATAGTGCCAATCTTTCTAGTTTGATCTAGGATGATCCAAAAATATCATATGAAGTTTATAGAGTGGCATTGTAGAAGAATATAAAATTATAACCTAAAGATTTATATAGGATTGCAAGATAGTTTTTATCTGGCAATAAAGTGAGAAAAGTGTATAACTATTATCCTTATTATGATTAGTGGGTTTATGACTTAATTCGCTTAAGAAAATGGAAATGAAAATGATATCTACTCTTCATTAAGTGTTTTATTTACTCATGTCTATTTGACAAACAAACAATCAGCTATAGTCGAATTAGCCAAAATAATTGAGCATAAGGATGGGTATTAAATTTAAATATTGATCTTAGATTGACCATTTTGAAAGAGGAAGAACAATATATTAAACCACTCTTAGAAATCTTATAAAAATAGGTGGAAAACGATGAAAAATGGAAACCAAGATTAGATGAATTAATATCAAAGTTGAGTTGATTTTATAGATCAATGAATATATATTTATAATATTGATCATCCTTGTTTTTAGATGGGTAAGAATAACTTGAATTCAGGGGGTAACTCTTCTTCACTGTAAAGACGATCACTAAAATAGATTCTTCTGATTCTGCAATTGGCATGAATTTGAACTCTACAAAATGAGATTGATATGGATACCGGAGTGTTTCTATATAGTTTGTACCATATGCTCTTCTGGTGAAGTCAGACAAGTTGAATTAGATTTGATTCCATCCCTCATCCAATCTCATAGGCATTGTACAAATGAAAGGTTTCACTCTTGTTGTTGACTACATTCTTTATACTAATTACTTAATAATTCGATGCCCTAAATCTTCTTCTGACATTCTTATCATCCAAAACCTACACTTCAAATGTGAAATATTTTTTAAGCTAATCATTAATGCCAATAATATTACATTCTTAATAATCATGACTAAGAATGGCAATTTAATTCCCAATGTTTCTTTAGGGTCAGCAGGAGCAGTTATGAAATTAGTACTCACATTTGTTCCCATTATTTCAAGTACTGATGATTAAATGTCTTGATCTGTGATACGTTTAATATGTCCATTCTTGACTTAAATAATCCAATTATAAATTACTTTGCTTATCCCAAATTTACAATGGCTTTGATCCTATTGAATATAATATCGAAAGAAATCCACTTTAGAATGAGTTCTTGAACATCAGTTATTTTTTATTTTATTAAACAAATAAATATCTCACTTAATCCACCTTATCAATCATTATTCATTTAATATACTATTCCCATATTTATACATATATATATTACACTTCCAATCTAAATCAATTTATCTTTTTCGAAGATTATTAGATTTTCAAATTTTATTTGTATTCTAAATTTATTATTTGCTATATAACCATTATTAAATTTTCAAATGCATCCTATATACTTCCTATCCAAGTAGGAACTTAAGGAAAAATAAGACCTTTTAACTTCATCATGGATGACATCTATGTATTTAAAGTAGTGTCCTATAGTTTTGAATTATAATATCATAGCTGACTCTGAGAAAGAAAGTTATAAAATTATAAATAAAGTTAAAACAAATATGGATAGTTACATATGCAAATGCTAGAGAACAATATGTATCCTATGGTGAAACTTAACTATCAAAATACTCTAGATATGATTTATTGTACGTTATTTGAATCTAGTTTGGTTGAATTGATTACTTTTTCTTTTAATTTCTCTAAAGATATAAACTTAGATATTATTAAGCTGAAAGTTTTAATAAAAAATATAAAAAACAGAGTATTAATTTTGAACTACGAAATATAAGAATGTATAAATATTGAATAAATTATATCATTTTTTTGTTAACAAATCATAAATTTTTTATTTCACTAATGGTTTTTCTAAGAATTCTTCAAAAATTCTTCTTTTAGAATATTCAGAAAAATCATTACAACAAGTTAAATCAATGTTGGTAGATGCATCACTTTATTCTGTAACACTTA